GGTGAAGGAGAAGAAAGGGCCGGCACGCGCGCTGTGCTGTGTTGACACTCTGTCTGCCTTTGTGGGTCCGCACCCCACAGGCGTCTATTCCTCGCGCCTCCCTCTGCCCCCGCCGCGTCTGGCGTCCGGCGGCTGGCGTCGTCGGCCTGCCGCCCCTCGTCTGGCTCATTGCATGCCAAGGCGGGGCGCACGCGCGTGACCAGTGCGCAGCGGGTCCATGCGCGAGCTCGACGCATTCACTGTGTTTCACTATCCGCAGCGCACTGCCTGGCGTGTCCGTTGCCGCGTCATGTGTGAGCCCATCCCTGTCCACAACAGCGTCCGCGCTGAACTCACGCCGAGGCACCCGACCCGCGCGCGCCACGGTGCCCAGTCTGCGCTGCCTGTAGCGATCCCCGTCATGCCGCGCGTGTTCACGCATCACATTCGTACGCAGGCACACCATGCGCGACCGCGTTCGTGACATCCCCGCGCTCTCTCGCACCCGCGCCCTGTTCAAACGGACGCCGCTACCCGCCACTCTTGACGCTCCCACGGTGCGCTCCCGCTCAGTATACCTTCGCACACTCACGCGCGCACATGTATCTCACGCAGTGCTCATCCAGCCGCTTCTTAACGCAAACGCATCGACTCCCCGCGACATACATAGCGTTCACATCGAACCCCGCGCTCCCGCTGCCCGCGCCTCCGCTGCGCCGCACCACGTCGTCGCTGCACAGGTCAGCAAAATACAAAGCAAAATATATATTGTATAACAGCAGACGCCCGGTGCGTACAAACAAACGACTACCAAGCGCGACGCATCAGCACAGCACAAGACCGCAAAACCCGCGCGCGACTCACCCATGACAGATACAACCCCGACGGCGGCAGCGGTGGCTGTTGTAGCAGCCGCCGTCCATGCAGCACCGGGTGGCTCGCTGCATCCATGGGCAGGCCAACGACGTGCATCCTGCTACCAGTGCTAGGGCCCGTGGCTAACGAGGTGCGGACGATGACGTGTCAGTGACTGACCGTACAGCGCGGGACAGCGGGGAAGACATACCATGGACAGCGCACCAACAGCAGCGACACCGCGACCCCCTACAGCTCAACAATCAGTATCGACGCACGCACGCACGCCCCGACCGAACATCGACCAACTCACCTTCAGCACCGCAAACGCACCGTCGAAGACTGGAATCGGATGCAGCAGGCAGGCGGACGAAAGCGCGCGCAATAGCAAAGACGACACCAGGACGCACAACAGCTGCTGGCGACCGTCCCTCCCTGTCCCCGCTCGACCCTTATATCGCGCTCTGCCGTGCACTTCCCACGTCCGCGTCCGTCCGCCTGGTCCACCGTCGCACGCTCGCACACCAGTAGCGTGCAGTGACGTGTCGCACCCGTATCCGCGCCGGTGGCACGGGCGCCCGCGCGCTCGCGTATCTGCTCGCCAGGACAACTAGAATGCGAGAACGCGGGGCGCCGAAACGCTGCGGCGTCCGTCCGCGTCTTCTCGTCCATCCACGCTCGCTCGCTACGGCGCGGCTGTGTGCCCGACGCGCCATGCGCGCACCGCACGGTCGAGCCCGCGTGCGTCCTGCAGGCTGACCGTCGTCGCTGTCGACGGCGGGCCCGCGCCGCGGCCAAACCAGCGCGCTGCCGCTGCTGCTGCTGTGTTGCGAGCGGTCGCGCGCAGCCCATCTCGACGCGCAATGCACCGCGGGGCGCGGGGCCCGTTGGTGGCGACGCATCAGCCATCCATTCCCCGCGCCGACATCGTAATGTCACGCCCTTTCGCACGGCGTTGCGTCCGAGCCCGTGTTTGCTGAAACCCGCCCGTACGTACGCCGTCGCACGCTAACGGGACGCCCGCGTCCCTCGCGTACCTGTGCGTCCTGGCAACAAGGCCAGGAAATGGCGACGACCACGGCAGTCGTACGCCATGCTGTGTATCAGCACCCTCGCACAGGTGCGTTCTTCGCATGACCTGATCCACGGAAAGCCCATAGGACCAGAGACCGGTCGGCCAAAGTGCACAGGGGCACGTCGCTACGCGCGATCACCATGGTCCTGTCTTCCCGCTGCAATCGCAGTGTAACGGTACCGTTAACCAGGTGCGGCGTCCTGTCTCGCCGTCGCCGAGATGTTCCGCGGAATGCTGACGGCAAGGATCGAGTGTTCGCAGCGTCCCAACATGGATAAATGACACTCAGGACATTTCGAACTGCAAATATATCTTGTTCCTACCGTGTCCTGCCAATGCTGCGCAGGTATTCGCGATTCACGGGACGTGGAATAAAACAAAAGCCATGCAACGTCCGCAGTGTGGTGATGCGGCAATGACACTCACAATTGACGACATGCCGCGACCGCATCACCGGCCCCTGGCACGCGCGACGAGAACGCGAACATGTCCGCGGCCCGCCATGTCATGCGTAGCCGGTCGCGCGCTCGCAATTGACCCGCGTCGAGCTCGCAACGCGGGGCAGTTCCGCGTCCCGCGTTCGAACGGCGCGTTCGCGTGCCCTATGGTCGCGCGCACATTTCCCCTCCGCCCGCGCAACTGAACGGGCACTGAACCATTCGCAAATGCGAGTCCCGGCGGTGGGAGAGGGAAAGCAGAAAGTGGCACTCTGCGAAAATGCCAAGTGTTGTATCGCGCGACGCCATGTATCCTCCGCGTCTCCCCACTTGCAATACATCGCGCGCCTGTCATTATGTGTCTTTAGCGCGAATTTGACTGCTCGATAGCGCCGGCCCTCAGCACAGCGGCACAAGCATCCATGGCCTCGCGCGGCCGCCCGGAGCAGCACTCCCAAACGCTCTCGTCGACGCATCGCTGCCCGGTCAGCATAGGCTTCGACAACGCCCGCACCAACGCCCGCATGCCCTCGCCTCCTACTCATCGCTCCACTCAGCCGTTCGCGCGCAACTCGCATCACTGGCCCGTCCTCCCGCAAAGTGCGCCCGCTCGCTGCGCGCATCACCCGCGACTATCTGCCGTCCCCGGTTCTCCTTGATCGCGACGACGAGCAGACGTCCCGTACTCCGGTGCGTCGCTCTCCCTCTCGAGTTACAGCCCGACCGTCGATGGCGTTCACCGCTGCACAAGGTAAATACATCCTTATTTTGTGTGTCACTCGTCGCCGTGCCCTCGGCTCCGCACCGTCTTTCCACAGCCCGCCCGCTCGCTCGCTCCCGGTCTTCGACATACGCTGCACCCGCCTCGCACACCTCGGCCGCTGCATCTTGCCATCCATCTTCCACGGCTGCCCGCCCCGTCTCGACGCGCGCCGTCTCCTCCTCGGCGCGTCTCGCACGGCGGCGCCCACCACGGCCTCCTATCGTGCGCCATCACCTCCGTCACGCGTCGTCCAACTTGACGCCCCAGCGGCGCCCCGCGCGAGCGTAGAAGACAGCGCAGTCAGCGCCTGACGCGTCGACGCGCAAGAGCCGACGCGCCGCGTACCTGGATGCGGCCTGCACCCTGCCCGTGGAAATGGCATGGCCAGCCGACATGACGGTCAGCACACGGGCACGACATGACGCGAGCAAGTCCACCTACGCTCTGTGGCGCAAGACAGCAGAGGGATCAGCGCGGGTCAAGCCGCATCAATGGCTGGCGACACGCTCGCCTGTTCCGAGACGGTCAGCACAGGCCGCTCGGTCGTCGCATTGTGCGGTGCATGCAACGGGCACACGAACGTCGGCCGCCGGCGGGCGCAGCCTCACGATGTCTCTGTGTGCGTCCTCTGCGCCCGCGCTGTCGGCTCGTACCGTCTGATCATCCCGGCACAGACGTATCGCCGCGCGCATGCATCCCAGTCCGAGATGCGCCGCCACCTTGCCCACGCGTCGCGCAACACGCGGTTCCCTTGCGTGCCCGCCTCATGCCCCGCTCACATCCCGCCGTCGCACGCACACCAGCCCCCCAGTCACACTCCCGCGCCACCGCACGCCCGCCGTCTCAGTTATCGCGCGCGAACACGCCGAGTAATGTATATATTAAATATATTTGTACGTTCCCGTTGTCGTCATAGCCCTCCTCTCGCGCACGCGGCGTCTTCGTATTTGCGTGGGCATCGCGTCCGGTTGCGAACGCGCGGGCTGTGGCAATCAATCTGATCTAGTGTGATTCAGTCTTAGCGCGGGCGCGGGAGGATGGTGTGCCAGCTGCATGCAGCACCCGACGCACGCGCTGCCCCGCGCTCGCGCCGTGTGTACACGCGCTGGATGGTCGGGCGCGACTGGAAGACGGCGCGATCGTTGGTGGTCCGCGCATCGGTAGCCAAGTCCGCACAACGCGACGTACCTGGTAATGCGAGTCTCATCCCTGCACGGCTACCCCGTCCGTGTCCTTCACGATCAAGGTAGGTGGCGTGTTTTTGCACTCTTGCGACCGGCAGACTTGACGCTAGGAGGATCAGCCGACGCAACGCGAGCAGGACGAAGGTGGTGTCATCGCACAAGCACCATCAGGTTACGTACCCTCGTGCCAGTCGAGTCTCGTACCCTCGCGCCGGTCGAGTCTGCGCGCGCGCTGTCAGCCGTCATGACCATCGACTGACAAGAACAACTTACATTTACGCACCGCCTGCCGCCATCACCATACACTCCTGCCCTCGGACGATCGGTCACCTGCGAGCGGCAACACACGGTCAACACCTCCGTCACCCGTGCACAACGGCCGGCCGGGACGACTCACCTCAACACGGTAGCTGCGTAGTCGAAGGCGCACGGAAAGGCAGCTCAGCGGGCGAGAATCCAGACAAAGTGAGTCCCCATTGTTAAATCTTCCCGCGCTCCAGACGCCACCGCCCTCGCCGCTTAGGCTCTACTGCCGCCAAGTCGCAACCACACATAAGCGCATCGTGCGCTTCTCCCAGGCCCCTGTTACTCCCGCTTCGCTGTGATCGCTACGGTGCGGACGCACTTATCTAACTCCTCCGTGCTTGATCGCTCGTGCTGTGCTGCCCCTCCGTCAGCATGCGCACACATATGCGCCGCAACCCTGTGCGATTGTGTAGGCAATAACGGGTGCCAATGTACAGTACATGACCAGTCCACTGGACGCATGATATTACTGCGAGCCCCGCTCGATAATTTAATTAAAATTCCAATATTGCTACGAGCCGGTCATAGTGCAGCCTTCTGCGCGCGGCCTGATGACCTCTTCGTGCACGCACGACGTCTGCGCTCGCGCCGTCGGCTCGCACTGTCTGATCAATCGGGCACAGGTGTATCGCAGCCCGGTTCGAGGCAGACACCGCACGCATGCATCCCAGTCCGAGATGAGCCCACTTTGCCCTCGCGTCGCGCACCACGCCCCGCTCGCACTCACATCCTGTCGTCGCACGCGCCCTGGCCTCCCTCTCCTGCCCGCTCACAGACTCTGCACCCACCTCCCCCACCTCACCGGACGCCCGCCGTCTCCGCTACACGAAAACACGCTACGTAATACACATCGCAAGCACGTCCGTACATTCTCACCGTTGTCATGCCCCCTCGCACTAGCCCTCCGACGAACTGCACCGCACAACGCGTCCGCGCGCCCCTGCGAACTCGGCCGGACAGACGGCATGCACGTAGGCGGCGCACCAGAGTGGACACTCACGCGTTGTTGGCGCATTCTCGCGAGCCGCGCGTCCGGCTGCGGACATGCTGGTCATGGCCACTAGTCCGGTCAAGGGAACCCAGGGTTAGCGCACGACTGGGACCAGCACACGGATGTGGCAGGAGACGGCGGCATCGTCAGTATTCTGCATGTATGTACCGAATTATTCACTCCGATTGTCCACCCGCAACTTGGTCTGTCCCAAATGCATGGCTTGCAGGTGCAAACTGGACTTTGAAACAGAGCCACTATGTTGGTCTGTGCTGTTTGGCGAGAGAAAGGCGCCCGGTATGTCCCAAAAGAATGGTATGACGGCATCGCATCTGAAACGTACCGATATCTCGGTATGTTTCCCACGCCCTGGGCCCGTGCGGGCAATGGCGGAGAAGTGGCTGCCAAGGACCAGTATCAATACTTATATATGTAAGCAGCTTGCTTCGCTGTTGCGAGTCGTCCCTGATCCCACTGTCTCTATGCCCCTTCTCCAAATACACTTTTATGTCCAATCTCCTGCTATCTCATCCTAAACACTCTGCCACTCTGATCCTGGTCGCGCAAGCATCCAACGAGTTGACAAAATGTCAGGTGAGTAGCGAACAATTTCTATTGGCATACCTCTACTGACTGGGGTGCCATGCGAGTTGGCTGCGAGCTTCCATCAGCAGAGTCAAACTGACAATGCATACACATACAAGCATGACAATTGCGTGCCAAGACGGGGACCATCCACGAACTCGAAACAGGCCGGGAACATCAGCGCGGGTGGCCTCGGTAGGTCCTGAAGCATGTCTGTGCACCTTGCGAATGCGTAGGCTGCATGCCCGTGAACCGAGACACAGCGCTGACCGGGCCACTGACATTTGTGACTGTTTTGAGCTTCCGGTGAGCCTACCGGGTGAGTGCAAGCTCGATTTTCTGTCTGTTGGCCATATTGAGAACTGACCGCATTGTGGCCATCAGCGACAGTACATTGGTCATGTGAACACCACTAGGGGCGCATCCATGTTGCGCTGCTCCCGACACGCTCATGCGCGCGCATATCCACGCGGGGCGTACAGACGCGCTTGTCCGTCAACACACAGGCTGCTCGCCCTGAATCGGAACACAGCGCTGACCGGGCCATTGACATTTGCGACCATTTCGGGCTTCCGGCGAGCATACCAGGTGAGCGCAAGCCAAATTTTATTTCTCGAGAACTAACTGCATAGTAGATTGGCCATATGAACACCGCCAGGGGTGCATCGACATCGCGCTTCCCCCGACGCGCTCATGCAAGGTTGTGCCTACGCGCATACACATGCAACAGATGCGCTCATGCATCAACACAGGGTGCGCACCGTCAAATGGAACACAGCGCTGACCGGGCCATCAGGGGCACCAGGGGTGTGACAACATTGCGCTGATCCCGACGCGATAACGCGACATCATGCGCGCACATATTCACGCGGGGCATACGGACGCACTTGTCCATCAACACACAGGCTGCGCGCCGTGAAACGGAACACAGCGCTGACCGGGTCATCGACGTTTGCAATCATTTTGGGCCTCCGGCGAACATACCAGGTGAGCGCATGCGAGATTTGCATCGTGCTGGCTGTATCGAGAGCTGACCGTACTGCAGAATGCGACTGAAAAGACATAAGTGTGGCCTGTATCCACGCCGAGAATGGCAACTACTCATTCGGGATGGCGGTGCGCGAGTGAGAAGAGCGGAATGAGCGCGAGATGGTGGCTTTTCGACTCGTTTGCAGCGAGTCGACGTAGGATACAGAGAGCGCAGACATTGTATTAACGAGATTGAAATGAAACAAGCTTACCGGTCTCGTTGCGCGCAATGTGCTCTAAGTCCTGCAGTGCGCGCTAGTCCCCTCGCACAGACCCACAGTGCGCTCCCCTGTAGTGTCCTCTATTCCCCCTACACAGACCCACAGTGTTCTTTATGGCCCCTACACACACCTATCTCTCGATGTTTGAACGGTCTCCTGATGTTCGCACAGGCACTCGCATATCCAAGTCGCACACATAGACGCCCGTCACTCGCACAAAAATATATTTCTGCTCGCAGCGCACCCCGCGCCGCACTAGCGTACTCGCCGCACACCCATGCGAGCTCACCTGGTATCCCACCCTTGCCGCGCTCCCCGCGCCGCCGCCACCGCTGGCCGCGCTCGACGGGAACAGGCTCCTGCCCCCCGGCAGCTGCGAAAAGTCGAAATGCGACAGCAGCTCCGAGAACTGCTCCGCCTGCCGCTGCACATCGCCGCCGGGCGCGTGCGCGTCCTGCCCCATCCCCATCCCCATCTCCATGCCCAGCCGCACGTCCCCCATGCCCGCCATCCCCGCGTCAAACGCCGTCAGCTGCCCGAACTGCACGTCAAAGTCGCCGGGGGGGTCCGCCAGGAACGCGCCCGCGTCGAACGCGTCCATGCGCCAGATGCTCGCGCCCTCCGCCAGCAGCGCGAGCGCGTCGCCGCCCGCGTTCGCGTTCGCGTCGGCCGTGTGCATGTTCGCGTCGCCGGCGAACGGGGCCGCGTCGTCGTCGAACGAAGGGATGTCGAGCGTCAGCCAGTCCTGCGTGTGCCCCACCATCAGCCACGACACGGCCGATCAGGAACTTGACCACTCACCAGCGGGTCGATCTCTGCCTGCGGCTGCCCGTCGAGTGTCCAGTTGGACGGTCCCGGCTGCGACGACGACGCGTCCGTGGCCTGCGGAATAGACCAGCTATTCTGCCCCGGCACCTGCAGAAACTGCGCCGCCGGTGGCTGCACCGCGGGTCCCGCGGTCGAACCCGACGCGACAGGCTCCGGCGGCGGGGGCATCGCGTACGACACCTGCGCTGCCGGGGCCGGTGTGGGCGCACTCGAGGGCGGCCTCGCGTGCTCCGGCGCGAGCTCAGACAGCGACGAGCCCGGCGTCGAGCACGGCGTGGACGCGGCCGACATCGGCGGCGACGGGAACCCAGGCAGCTCGGGGTCGTGGTAGTACGGCATGTGCACCATCGGCACGTACTGGGGCGCGTATGCCGACATCTGCGCCTTTGCCCGCTTGGCCTCCTCGCGCGCGCGCTCCTTCTCCAGCCGCTTCTCCTCGCGGCGGCGCGCTTTCTCCTCCTTCTTCATCGGCTGGAACTTGTATCCGGGGTACTGCTCTGCGTGCTCCGCCTTCTTGACGTCCGCCAGCCGCTCGTACTCGCCGCGCACCCCGGGGTCCTCTGCCTTCCACATCGCCGCGACCTCCTTCGAGACGCTCGACTGCGGCTTCTTGGGGTGGCCGTGCTGCAGCTGCGACTGCATCATCTGCTTGAGCTTGTCGGAGCGGTAGAGGATCCAGGCATTGGGGGGCCGCGGGGGGTTCATGGGGTTTGCGCGCGATGCGGCGCGGTCGGGGGAACGGCGGGAAGCGCCGGCCATGGCGGAGGGGGAGGGGGTGTGTGGCGTGGGGGTGTGGGGTTGTATGTAGTGTTAGGCGGATATAGACGTTGATAGGGCGCGACTTGGGGGCTGGGGCGGCGACGCGGGCGGGGGACAGGCGGGCGAGGAGGACATGGCTCAGCCGTGCGGAGGACGGGGGACGCAGGGCACGACTCACCAAGGACCCCGAGGGCGATCACAGTGGAATATGCGCGATCGACGAGGGCGTGCCAGCAACCGAGCTCGAGGACTGCCGGGTGTCGTCGAGCGTGTGGCTGAGTGCTGAATCGCCGGGGGAGGAACACGCGAGACGTCAGAGGGATGTCGTGAGTGTCGAGAAGTGTCCGCGCGGTGACAGAGTTGACGTCGAGCGCAGATGGTGGACGTCGGGTGAAGGAGAAGAAAGGGCCGGCACGCGAAAGGGAGAGACGAACCGGACGCGCTGTGTTGACCCTCTGTCTGCCTTTGTGGGTCCGCACTCGACAGGCGCCTATCCCTCGCGCCTCTCTCTGCCCTCGCCGCGTCTGCCGTCGTCGACCTGCCGCCCCTCGTCTAGCTCGTTACATGCCAAGGTGGGGCGCACAGGCTGATCATCTGCGCATGATCAGTGCGCAGCGGGTCCATGCGCGACGGTCGTCCATGCCGCCCCGCTCACGCCAAGGCGCTTCCCGTCCTCTTGGAATACGCCGTGTGCTTGTCTCTGCCCTCAACGCCCGCTCCCTCCGCAGAGTCAGACCCGTGCACGTGCCTTGGACGGCCCCTGCACAGCGGTCGACCTCTCACCAAAGCCTCCGAGTCCCTCCACTCTGCTTGCTCGCTCGCCATGTATTCTCCGTGTCTCCCCTCTTTTCATTATTATTATTATTCAAATCCAGTTTTATATCCGCTTGAGGTCTCCCCTCTTGAAATACATTGAGCGCCTGTAAAGTATAAGTCTTGGCTCTTTGGCGCGAATTTGACCACTCGGGAGCGCTGGGCCTCAAGTCTCTTCCAGTGCGCCTGCCGCTCAGCACAACTGCACAAGGATCCATGGCCACGCGCTGCGGCCCGGAGCACTCCCAGAGCCAGTCGTCCAGGCATCACAGCCCGGTCTGCATGTGCTTCAACAACGCGCACACGAACGCGCGCACGCCCTCGCATCCTACTCATCGCCCATCGCCCCACTCAGCCCATCTCGGTAGCGTCCCAATGCATGCTGGACATGCATCCCGGCGCGCGCGACTCGGGCCTGCCCACCACTCATACAGTTGCGCCTTATCATCACAACGCGCCAGTCCCAACCACGCAGCCTTGTACTTGCATAACGCGCAAAAAGCCAGCAAAAAACATGGTGACGGCACCCTCGACGCAATGTCAGACCCGAACGTGCATGGCATCATGAAGACGGCCCTAATCCCCCAGACCAGCCTGCCAGTCGTAAGACTGAGCCCTATTATCACAGTCGTGTATACACGCCAGTCTCAGTTATAGGCTTTTTGGGATGCTAGCGAAGCATCGCGCTCCCCCGCCGCATCTAAAGCCTGCTCAAGATCAAGTCCGGCGCCCCACCTAGGTGCGGCCCGAGGGTAGTCGATGTCCCGCCTGCCGCCCGTCCTCTCTCGTTTTCCAGTCGCTGACGCGACACGCCGCCTGCGAGAACAGTCCGTGCTTCATGCACCTGGTGGTGCGCAGCATGTTCGCTTGAAAACTGTAAGGCAACGACACAATGCGCTGCGCTCATTTTTGAGTGTTCCCGTCCGAGGGCGCGAAGCTACTGGAGGCTCGTTTGCCACTCTACATATAGCTACGTTGTATGGAGCATAACCCCGTCGAATTAAAAGTAATATTAGGCCTTATTATTACGACGACAGTCTACCTTGAACAATACACAAGTGCACCCTTCCGGGACGACTGGCAGTCCCGACGACATACCCCGCCTCATCTCGCACCTTCGTCGTGGGTCGCCATGTTTGTTGTTAAGCACAACTTACACATCAACATGAAGATTAGATACCCCCAAGTAAAGGGCATACTCGCCCGTCGCAACCACACATGTTCACACATCACACGACAAAGTTGAATCGAGCAAACGAAACGTCTTTTGTTGATACACATAGCAAGCAGTAACATAAGGACACATCCACCCACGACGGGCGATCAAGGATTGGTAGCAATACGACACAGGGGAGCGGACGCGGGACGAGGGGCGAATCGTACAAGTACAAGCCGGATTGTGAGAACACCGAGACCACGTTGGACTGAACGAGCCGGGACGAAAACGACAAGTGCTACCAGAAACGACGGGAGGGGTAAAAGAGTGCGTGGATGGATGGGTCGAGCAAGAAACAAACGACGTCGAATGATACAGAGAACTTAGCGCGAGTCAACCGTCATTTAGTGACACGGCGACGAGGAGAACAGAGAGAAACTTGATGAAAGCGACGACGCCTATAGACAACACGATCAGTACGTAGCCATCATACCTATGAATGAATACTCACAATCATACGGCTTAGTACTGGGGAGCACCGCCGTAGCCGCCGCCACCGTAGCCTCCACCGCCGTATCCTCCTCCTCCGCCATAGCCACCACCTTGTTGGCCACCGTATCCGCCACCTGCTCGAAGACGAAATCAGTCAGCAATGAACGATAACATTCCCGGACACAACATCGCAACCTTGCGCATCATAACCGCCAGACATATACCCACCTCCAGAGTATCCTCCACCACCTATGACTGATCAGAACAATGACGAAGAACACAAGGTCAAACTGCTCACCAGAGTATCCTCCTCCACCGCTGTAGCCACCACCACCATTGCCTCCGCCGTAGCCTAGCCGTCAGCAGTGAGAAAATAGCTCAATGAAACAGCGAGTGTATTAACCTCCACCGCCACCACCGCTGCCACGAGCGTTGGCGAGGTTGACCTTGATGCGACGACCATCGAGCTCCTGCTCGTTGAGACTGGTGATGGCATTCTGGGCCTCGAGGCCACTGCTGTAGGTGACGAAGCCGAAGCCGCGCGAGCGGCCGGTGTCACGGTCGCGCATCACAATGGACTGTACAACAACGCAATCAGTCTCGAGCTCTAGAACATCTACCGACCACCCATCGCCGCGGGGCTCTGGGACAGCCACCAGATCTCAGATGAACCGGCGCGTACATCGAGGATATTGCCATATGCGGAGAATGCCTAGGAACAACAAATTCGCGATGAACACGAGGATATCAGACACAATCACAAGCGAGACGCGGCACGGCGCGCAGACAACGCGCCGTGCCAAAGGATCACACTGACTTGGCGGAGGGAATCATCGGTTGTATTCCAGCTCAAATTGCTACAGGAACGCTATCAGTCGCGGGCTCCTACAGATACAGGAGAGATCGGCGCGTGGTGTACGACGAAACTGACCCAACGTAAACTTTTGCAGACATGACGGAACCGGTTCTGATAGTAGTGATACAGTAGAAGCAGCCCTTGGAACCTTGGAACGAAAATCGAACGAAACCGGGACCGGACGCAGACAGACGGACGAGGCAGTTGACGAGGGCGGGAGAGAGGAGTGAGGAAGAGCGCTCACCCCGCCCTGCATTTTTATACCTCCAAGGGTTTTTTCAAACTCCGGAGTCAAACCCTAACTTTGGGGCCTGCGCATGACTCCAGGCCCTCGATCTTGACACCGCCCCGCGCCCCTGGGGTCTCGGTCTCATTCTGGGGTGCGAAGATTTCATCCAATGTGATTGCAACATTAATGGACAAAAGGAGGAAACATGCGTGAATTACACTAATGTGCTCAACGACGGGCCGATGGAAATGTTGTGGAAAGCAGACGACAGTAAAAAATTGAGATGGTAGATGCATGAAGACACCAGGGAGATGCGGGTGGGGGACAGAGTGTTCAATTACTACAGTATCGCCGCTCGTGCCAGGTCGTGAAAGTCGTGGGATGCATAGACACAATCAGAAATCAAGGTTCACCTTGCGATCAACAGCGCCAACGGCGGACATTGCGCCCTGCACAGACGAATGTCTGGACTCTCAGACACCACTCTTCCTCTTATCTTTCTTCTCCTTCTTGCTCAGCTTCTTCGTCTTAATACCGATATCGCTGGACACGCTCGCGTTCGGGCTCTCCCGGTTGTCCTTAGTGCTGCTATCGTCCTTGGATCCGGAAGTGCTCTCCCGCTTCAGGCCCGCGATGAAGGAGCCCGCCATCTTCGGAATCGATGAGGCCGAATCTTGACGCCGCGAGACGGACATCCGGCGCGCCAACCGCTGAATACCTTGCGTCGACAATGTACGCCTCCGTTTGGCCTCGGGGTCAGGACTGCCGGACGTGCCGGACCGCGATGGTGTCTGCACATCTTGGAAGGTAACGCCAGTGGCCTGGGGCGTCTGGGCTCGTTCAGGAATAGACATCGCTCGCTGCGACTGTGCGTCATCCGCCACCATGGGGAATGCTACCGGGGCTGGGCTCTCAGAGACTGGGAACGCAAGGGCAGCCGCGCTCTCTCCTGAGGGAGCCGCAGGGACCTCTTCACCTTGAGTTTCCGGGTCCTCGGAACCTGGGAACGCAACGGCAGCGGCGCCTTCAACGATCTCACTTGGTTCCTCAGTCACTTCCGCAGTCGAGAACGCCACCGGGGAATCTACGGCGCCTGATGCCGGGGCTTCTACAAGAACGGATTCAGCACCAGTGCCAGATTCCTCAGGTTCCGCCGTCTCGCCAGACTCCTCAGCCTGCACCAACTCGCCATTTGCGACGACATGCGCATCCACAGGCGCAGGCTCAGGGACTGCAAGCACATCTGCATCCGCGGGTGCAGTGTCTACTTCCTTGGTGGAAGGAGCTTCCTCGACAGAGTAGCCAGATAACGCTTCTTTCTGGTTGGTGTGAGAGGAGGTAGCGTCCTCGATACCTTGTACTTGAACAGCCCACATCGTTGCGAAGACACCGCCCTGAGCGAGTAACTCGCTATGGCTTCCTTGTTCCACGATCTGACCATCCTTGAGCACGAGGATCCTGCAGATATGAATCAGTGTGAGACGCAATTCACTCCCTCGTCATAGTAAGGTCACGTACAGGTCAGCGGAAGCGATCGTCTAGCCAGTCGAGGAACAAAATAATATCAGTACAGCCAACAGACCAGATCAGCCGCTGTTCAAACATACCGAAAGTCGATGCGCAATGGAGAGAGAGGATCGGCCCTCAACAAGGTGCTGCAAAGCCTTCTGAATGTCCTTCTCGGTGGCAGTATCTAGAGCACTGAACGTGGACGTAAACGCGTGAGATCAGGGTACACGCCGGTAGTAACGAGCACACGGGGGTTCACCTGGTCGCCTCGTCCAACAGGAGAACCGGCGGGTTCTTAAGAAGCGTTCGCGCAATAGCCACACGTTGCTTCTCCCCCCCACTAAGCCTAACGCCCCGTTCACCCACCTTCGTCTCATATCCGTCGGGGAAGCTTAAGATACGGTCGTGCATTTGAGCCGCCTTGGCAGCAGCCTCGATCTCCTCTGGCGTCGCTCCAAATTTACCATAGCTGAGCAAGAAGATACGTAAGTCGCGCTCGTATGAAACATGTACTAGTCTATGCTTACCCAATGTTGTATTCAATGCTAGCATTGAAGAGAACGGAATCCTGCGGAACAACGCCAATGGTCTTTCTCAAGCTGGCTTGTGTGACATCCCGGATGTCCTGACCGTCAATCAAGATCCGGCCATCGCCTTCCTTTAGATCGTAAAACCGGTATAGCAGCCTCAAGATCGTGGACTTCCCGGCACCTGACTCGCCGACAATGGCAACTGACGAATGCTTCGGCACTTTGAATGATACACCCTTGAGCGCGGTGCTGCGCCCATCGTACGAAAAGCTGACGTTCTCTGTACGTAATAAGCTCAGTGCATCGGCGATACTCCGTGTCACGCGACATACCGAACTCGATTTCACCATTCTGCACGACAAGGTCCGGCGCATTCGGTTTATCGTTGACATCCGTGGGCTCGCTGAGAAGCTTCAACAGCCTCTCGGTATCGACCAAAGTTTGGTTGATTGAGCGGTAAATCGTTCCCAACATGTTGAGAGGTACATAAAGCTGATGAAGGTGGGTGAGTGAACCCGAACACATGTGACGCTGCAAACAACGAACCTGAGCGAGGTAAGTCACAAAGAACACAAACTGGTAGGGCTCCGATTGTCCTCGTGTGACCCGAAGAGCCATGATCATCGATCCGACAAGGAGACCAGAACTCTGCAAAGCAAGGTCAATCTACGCCATGTATCTCTTTAGTGACGTGCACGTACAATGATGAAGTTTTGCACCAGGTTGAGAACATTCAGGGAGACTATATCTGACTCAGTACAGACCGACAGTGAATTTGAAGTCGCTACGTACGGATAACTTTGTACTCAAAGGTCTGGTACTCCCGGATAGCCTCACCGTAACGCTCAGCCTCGTGTTGTTCACCATTGAAGTATTTGACAGTCTCGTAGTTCAGAAGACAGTCCGTGTGGATTCCCCGAGTGACCTACGACAAGGCGTTGTGAGCGAGCTCCATACAGGTCTCAAACACCCGTATCATACATACCACGTCGCGCTCAACCATCTTTCGCCGAAGTCGTGTGCGCCATCGGGTAAGGATGATACTAGCAGAAACTGCATTGTTCTCAGCCACACATACGCCTCCACAACGGACGCCCAGACCTACCATATGCGGTGATGACGAAGAATACGACGAGAGTCAAGGTCCATTCAAAGTAGATGGCGAAGAGAACGAGGGCAAGACCGATGTCCACAAACGTAGGGATCACATTAAAGAGAATCAACTAACGAACTCGCCAATCAGTATACTTGCGATCTAAGTTTGGATAACACATACCTCGAATGCCCTGTTAATAGCTGCTCCGCGGTCGAGAATGCGCAGAATCTCGCCGGTCTTGCGCCGCAAGTGGAAAGCAAAAGACAAATTAAGGAGATGATCGAATGAAAGCTGCGACATCTCTACGAGGCATTACGTCAGTTATTGAAGCAACAGGCTGCCGGAGCTGCCGGCTTACCGCGGTCGGAATACTGCATGACCGGAGCCCAGAGAGCCTGAAAGCCATCAACTAAGTGCTTCATCATCACTCACAGATCCACTACGACGTACCTCACGCAAAGCGGGAAGGCCACCGCTTGCTTGCAGGAAGCGCAAGCCGACATACGCAAAAAGGTATATCCAGAGAGAGCTGTATGCGCCCTCCTCGAACATGTGCACCAGTTCTGCAAACACCCACGGTACAAGGATATTGACAATCCGCCCCACGAGCACGACCGCTAGACACAAGAGCTGGTTCGAGCTGTCAGTTCAGCTTGTTCACTTATACGAGGAAGAAGAGGTGAGCATACCCCAAGAAACTGCAGGGCATAGCTTTTCGATGGCCACAAATAGGGAGAAATACGCCTCAAACGGGCCCAGATCTCGCCCCAAGAGGGGTCAAGTGCAATCTCCTCCCTCGTCTCCTACCAGTCGAGTTAATAGTCGAATATATGCGTGCAGACAGCTCGTACTCACCTTGCTCTTTGCTTCGGGTGCCTGGATAGTGGATGGGGCAGGCGTGTGCGAGCGAGTAGTGGGACCAGATGCATGCAAAGTTGAACGAGCAGTCGGCCGGAAGGTGCCATACTTGCTCATCTCAGCCGTAACAGGCGAGAGACCTGTCGACGGTGTAGCTGTATCATCCGCAGGCAGGAGAAGGCTTGTCTCGCCAGGAGCAGACTCGTCATCAGCGTTGACGGGAACATAGCTGACACGGGGGAAGAAAAGAGCGCCCAGTAATGGTACAAGAAGCAGTACACGGAATGCCGGGAAAGCAACGTGCAGAATAAGACTAATTTTCAGTGGGGCTAGAGTTTATGCTGTTAGTGGGGCTGTGGCTGCGAAAGCAGGACAGGCCACACTCACCCGAGAGAGACAGCCCTGACAGAGCGACTTGAGCCACATCCAACGCCAATGCCACAGCAATACTGAGCTTTAGCCTGGTCAATGACCACACGTCGACGCCTTGCACATCCTTCCATGCACCCAGCGCTGCGAGTCCAGCGAACGCGGTAAGTCCGAGAAGCGAATTGATTTCAACACCGGTGTAAGCGGGCCATGTCTTATCGAGGACGGCGTAGCCGACGAACGTGAGACCATCGAGGAAAAACGTCAAAGATACGAGAGATAATAAAGCAAGAATGAGAGCACGACGAGGTGTCCGAGTAGCGACGACGACGGAGGTGATAGGTGACGGGGGCTGCGGGGGTGCGGGACGGGTGAACGTTACGGATAGTGTGGCCAGGAAGACTAGTGCTGGGGAGAGGACTCGGATTATGAAGAGCGGCTGAAGAGCCGCGTGCGGTATGTAGGTCATCGCCACCGTCGCCGCTGAGCTCGACGTCGTGGACGGTCGTAAAGAGCAGAGAGAAAGTCGTGAACAAGGCGTGCGCTGCGCCTCGTGTTGTGGCTTCGTTCTTATCCGCCTAGCTGGTTCGGCTCCGGGACTGCCGGCCACAAAACGCGGTTCTCATCAGTTCGCTTTGTCCAGATCCCGTGTTGTAGATCGTTCCGGATAACGCTAACCGAACCGTTGCACTGTAACATTCCCATGCTCCGCCTCAGTACTCGGATCGAATGCAATCACTCGCTTTATGCTACAACGACGCATACATTTCTGTAACCTTCAAGACAGCATCATAATGGCAAAATACAAATGGCACAGATTAGCTACAGAAACACAGATAGGAAACAAGGTACAAAAGCGATGATGATAGGCAACGGACAAGGACGCCCATAGAAGGATCCTAACATGCCCCGCTGACCCACTAATCCGCATGCAGGAAAGTCTTCTCGATCATGTCATCCTTCAATCTATACCCATTCGCAGTGAACAGCCTCGAGCGCAGGAACGGCGTCGTATCGAAAATATCATGCTCCTTCGCCTGTACCATCGCGGTCAGATTCGCGCCCATCGGCAGACCGATAGACAATAGACTTACTCGCTCATCGAGCTCGGATGTCTTGATGGAAATGACATCCGGCTGTTGATGCCGCTGCAGCTGATAGAATCGTGCCTTTTCTTTGACGACCTGGCCTAGGATGAACGCGAGCAGCTCCTCGTGGTCGCGTGCCTGCGTCAGGTACTTGCGGAATCCCTGCAACAGTGGGCTAATCAGTCTCGGCTGTGCACTAAGGTGCTTTTCACCACGTACTCGTTCCAGCGTCTTTTTGATAGACATCTTTTGCGCGCTGACGAAGCTGCCAACGGCGACAGAGATCGCCAGATCGATATCATCGGCGCGCACGTACTCCCGCAACGCCATCTTCGCACTCGCCTCCGCCATTCGGATCATACTTTCCAGGTGCCGCACAGTGATTGGGAACGACCCCGTCGCCAGCGACTCACGGCGCAGGTCTGCAAACAGACGTGACAGCTTCTCCTGGTCGAGGTCGTACAGTTTCGGGCGGACCTTCTCGCGTGCATACATGATGTACTTTCGGAGCACATCCTGCGGTATGATCTGCAGTCAAACAGCGTGAGCATGCAGCTGACAGGTTCAGGTGACAGCCATACATCCGCATCCAGCGTCGTCCCCACATCCATCTCGTCCTTCTCAACTTCGAATTTGGGATGGCTTCGCAGATGACTTCCGACCACGAAACGTGCAAGCAGCTCGTCTTGAACTGGGTCTACCGTGTCCTTCACCACACAGAGTACATCAAATCGGGACAAGATAGGCTCCGTGAGCTCCACGTTCTGCTGGAAAGGGATGGTCGGATTATACCGTCCCCGTATCGGGTTCGCCGCTGCGATGATCGCGCAGCGCGCCTGCAACGTGGTCACGATCCCCGCCTTAGAAATCGAGATTGACTGCTGTTCCATGGCCTCGTGAATGGACGTCCGATCTGCGTCGTTCATCTTATCGAACTCGTCGATGAGGCATGTCCCTTTATCCGCCAGAACCAGGGCCCCTCCCTCCAGCGTCCATTCCCGAGTGACAGGGTCCTTTCGTACACTCGCGGTCAAACCAACAGCGGACGCGCCCTGACCTGTGGCGAAGACCGAACGATGTGCCGTCTTCTCGACATACTTCAAGAACTGTGACTTCGCAGTACCCGGATCGCCCAGCAATAAAACATTGATGTCGCCACGAATGCGATGCTTTCGGTTGATGTCCTTCGGGACTCCTCCAAATAGGGACAGAGCAAGCGCAGTCTTGATGTCCTCATGACCATAGATCGACGGTGCGATTGACTTGACGATCCGCTTACGAATGCGGTCATCTTTGGCGAGAGCACGGATGTCTTTCTCGTCCTCTTCAGTCAACCGGAATGCCGCAAACTGGTCTTCCTTCTTGTTAATGTGATTGGCTTCGATAATAGTCGAGAAGACAGGGAACCCGTTTTTCGAGTTAAGGGACGCATCGAAGTTGTTGCGGTAGATACCGGTCACCTCCTATATAGTGGTGAGAATATCCTCGAACGCATCTGCGCAATACTCACAATCTCTTCTCCGGGCTTCGCCATGTCAATCAGGTCCCACAACAAAATGACTTCTCGGTGTCTTGGTAAACGACCAGGAGGTACAGAGCCCGGTGATTCTTGCAAAGTCATCTTTTGATAGTTACGATAGACAGTCTATGGAGGCCAGATAATTCACGTCAACAAACTGCTGCAAAGCAGTATAGCACAACTTGCCTGTTCCGAATTCACTGAGAATGGCCCTTTTCCTTCGCAATTGGGGCAATAGCTGATCTTCACCTCCTTCGTAGCATCCTGATAGAAGGGACCGAGGACTGCGCCACATTTGCGGCAATCAAACTTGACATACTTGAGCTGCGGGAAAACGCCTGTTCGTCGCGTCACCACACCAGAGACTCGCACGAGATTGTTCAAGTTGGAGCGACGGAGGTCACGCAGCGAGGAGCTAAGAGGCAAGTCTGTGATACGGACATGAACTTCGGAGTGAATGCGCTCGTATGATGGGTAGTAGACGAGGATAGCGTTGAGTGCGACTTCGTCGAAGATGGCAAGCATAGCACTAGGGGAGTTCGTCAAGAAATAGGCAAGAATCGGTTTGGATAGTGCGAGGTGTAGATATGAGACTTCGAGAGATTCCGAATTGTCTACAGAGTATGGCACGTTGGAATGAGTCCTATCTGCGAGAAAGTAGAATCCACTAACTTTCTCCCAAATTGCGAATACGCTGGCCATATACAGACGCGCCGTGCTCATCAACATATGTCATGAGGAATTGTCGGAAGTGCCTGATGATGGACCTGCGAACACGCTCGTTTGCAATCCACTCCACAATAGATTTGGCCTTGATGTCGCTCAGTTGCTCGAGTGGTAGTTCCTGATATGCCGAATGAGATTCACTGTTGTGCAGCACGAGGGGCTGCGACTCACATCCTCCACTCCATCCAAATCATCGAGATCCTTCCTTTCATCGTACTGCCTCCTGACACGCCTCTTCGTTCCGGCCAGAAGGCCGCGTCCGTCATCATCTTCGTCCATGTCGTCGCTTTCCAGGAAAGCAGGCATACGACTCCGACGAGCGGCACGTCCACCTCTTCGTCCAGCTTGCTCACGTCGATCTCTCTGCGCCATCTTGGCTTCGGCTGCACGACGCGCAACCAGGGACAATCCTTCAAAATCCTCCTCGTCGTTCAATCCCGAATCGGAGTAGCGGTCGAGCACGTCGTTCGTAGCATAATCGCTTGATAATATTAGCGTCAAACGCGGGCATCACCTTCACTGAACCGAGAGACATACCCGTCCATTTCTTCTCCGAAGAGATCCTCGCCGTCGTCCTCGTCCTCCGCGTTGTCATCGACGTCTCTGATAGGATCGCGCTCGTCCAAGCTGTCATCAGTATCGGAGAATGGAGGAGGTGGCGAAGAAGGCGGAAGTGACGATTCAGAATCGCGGCGAGAGATAGTGGGACGGGCCAGCGGCGACGAGCCGGGCGGCGGGGTCACGGAGCGACGACGTTTTCCCCCGCGAGAAGCCTATTAAATGCTGAGCAGAACACCAGAAGCATATCTGAGAAAGCATACCATGACTCTCCAGTGTTCAGAAGGATAGTTTCGGAGCGAGTCAAAGACGATGGGGCTAGGTGCGGTGAGAACAAAACTTGACGCGACGCGTCGCGTCACGTTAGCGGAGCTTGAAATTGCCACAAGCGCGTCTTCACTCATTCGACACGACCCTGAATCTTATGTTTTTCATCTAGATGTCATTTCGACGCGGCCTATCTGCGCCATATACAAGCCTAGGTTCAACATATGGTGTTCAAATACCTTGCGGGCTGCTCTACTAAGTGTTAATGTCGATCCGTAAGTAACTGACTACTGGACGTAAATGGTCATCTTATAGTATACTCTCCAGCGTTGCAATTCCGACATAGCATGCGCGAACCAATTCCTTTTATATGAACTTGTTAATAGTGACTTTCCGCATCCTGCGACTTCCTTCACGCTGTCCAGCTCATTCTGTGCTGCGTCCAGGACGGTCCATAGTAAACGGTCGCGTATTCCTCGCCTTTCGCGTGTATTCAAGACATAGCCCTGGAGCTCTACCCACATAAGAGCATCAAAGCGCACGCGGAAGTCGTGCAGGACTTGGAGAAGGAGGTGGCGTGCGACAGCGAGCATGTAGGACCCGGGATCGTTAACGACGTGCGTCCCTTTCCTCAGTCCCTGCTTCCTTCCGTTTGTGCACCGTTGCGGCGGGACTTTTCGCGCATACCATCTGCGCACAATTTTTGCATTATGGATCGCCACTAGGTCACGGAAGAGCGCATGTATGAGGCGATGCTGATGGAAGGCAACGCGGTCAACAGGCGGCAGCAGCAGGCCATGTGGTTCTCCAATCTCGAAGAGATACTGTCTCGCTTCCTGCGGCAAGTCCGAAAGTGTCGTATGGCAGAACGTGTGTGGCTCATGGCAAGCATTTGCGGTACTAAAGTAATTCATGGCTTCCTTTGTCGCAGTGTTCAGGATGGTGGGTGCAGGGACGGTTCTTGTGCTGTAAGCGTTGACATTGTCGTACTGTTACTCACTGCTATATACTTGTCATGTCCGCCACTTGTGGCTATCACGCCACAAAATGCAGCGTGCATCACTCTGATATGTGGATGAGGGGCGGCTTCTTCACCTTTCACGTGCTGCGCACACACAGGTTCCGGACAAGAGCCACCTTTGGAACACGTTGTTGTCACGAATACTTATGGGCAAAACCATCCCCTACGCACGTAACCTATGCTGGGCTCGTACAAGAGCAACGAAGTAAGTCGATTGCAAGCAATAAAAGCAATCGTATGTGAGCACAAAGCGTTCAACACTCGTGGAAATGCCAGCATCCCCAATCGTGTCCTTGAACAAAGGCGTTTGCCTGGGTTTCGGTAGGCCTGTAGATGCGCACAGGATGCGACAATGTTTCGGCGTTCCATCAATAATTCCTGGTGGAGGACGAGACCTGCGCGTCCCAGAAATGTGGCACGCCAGCGATGCGGTATTGCGGGGCCGTCATGTATACAACATTTCCTTTCAGCCAACGAAGAAGGAAGAGAGAGGAAAGGGCGCCCCGCCGCGAGAAGAGCCCAAATGTCGGTGTGTACGCGTCGCAGTACGTCCCGATGGACCACACGCCGTATTACCACGACCCTGAACTCCCGGGTCAGCCACGTCTACGCCGTGCTCGTCGCCGTCTGAGCTTGCGCCAGACGTCCAGCCTCAGCCTCGGCTATCCTCGAGTGCGCCCACACCATCCCCTGCGGCTTTCACTTCGACGGCTGCACCGGTCGCATCGGAGACCAGCATGAGGCCGTTATCGCAGCAAGTGTCGTGTGTGATGCCAGGTCTATAGCATCAGTTCGACGGCAGGACCATCCCAAGCGCCGATGGTGCAACCAGAAGCTATGCAGTTTCTTCAGGCGTTGGGACAGAACGGCTAGTCCATTCAATAGGTGATTGATGGGTTGTTGCAGCCTGGACCACCCAACTGGACACTCGACGTTTGCGGGCGACGCACTCCCGCTGCTAGCCGAGGGCCCGATCATCTGGCGTATGGACGCATTCGATGCAGTTCCCAATTTATTGTTTCTCGCCTCAGTCGTCACGCTCTCCATTGCATGTCCTCCCGCTCTGCCGCAACTACAGTACTCAAGCTGCCTCTCTGTTTGGTTCCCTCCTTTTTTTGCGGACGCATGGACTACTCTTGGATCGTTTTGTGTTCATATATTGTCTCTACTGCTTGATCTTTACCTCTCTTATATTTTGTACTTTTCTCCTCTTCCTCTTTTTCCCCTTCCTCGCATCGCTCTGCACTTGCCCCAAACATCTGGTGTGTCACTGCACGCGCATCGTCCGCGCCTCCCTGTTCCTCCATTTGTAATATTATCTTGCTCGTCGCGATATCCTGGCATCCCATATAATCATCGCATAGCGTCACGTCTCGGAAGAAGTGTACTAGTAGAAGAGCGCCTGCGGGCGCACGCTGACAGCTGTATCCTACGATACGACATGAATGGAATGACCAGTGTTTCTGTTAATCATCATCGCATTGCTGCATTGGTTGTAGGCTCGGGCTCTGCGGTATGTCTAGCTCCGGTGCTCGGCCAAGGTAGTGCGGCAGCGCGTGGAAACTATCGCGCCTGCTTCGTTGGCGTCAGGCACGTGATCGCGTTGCGTCGCAGCCACCCATTGTCCGCCCTGTTTGGCCACGCGCGCCTGTGTGCCGCCCATTTTTTAAAATTTAAATTCGACGAGTTTATACTCCATACAGCGTAGGTACATGTAGAGTGTAAGCGAGCCTCCAATAGCTCTGAGCAATGGGCTCCGCGCCCTCGGACGGGAACAAACAAACACGAGTGTAGCGCAAGAGGTCAATGCCCTACGGTTTTCGGGCGGACAAGGTGCACTCCACCAATAGCGTGGGGCGCGAGCTACCCTCGAGACGCGCAGGCGGCGTGCCGCGCGCGGGTCTTGTAAGCGAGAGAACACGGAGGCAGCGCGGGGGGGGGGGGCATCTACCACCCGCCCGTGTGCCGCCCATTGTCTGCGCTCAGGGCCGCTTGCAGATGTTCGCACAGACGAGCTTCTTCCAGGGCCAGCGATGCGGCTGCGTAGCCTCGTGTGGTCGGTTCCTCGCTTCTGGTGGCGATGAGCGTGGTCTGCCTCGGGCCCAGGCGGCATGCAGTGAGTCAGGGTAAGCGGGTTTTCGTGGTGCGGGAATGCTGATGTTTCGGACTAGGACGGGATGGTTATCACGGTGTATTACGCGGTATTTCAAGGGTGTTGATCCCCTGGCGTTCACGTGAACGTTGTCTAATGTTTTCGTAGATCCTCCAGTCAATGCACGGGTACAACTCAAGAATTCCGACATAAATTACGACTGAAGGTGAGGCTACACAGGGGATGCTATGGTAGCAGAACTACGGCTACCACTTGGGTGGGCCGAAGACGCAGACAGGAGAAGTGTCCTCTCTCGCCGCCTTAAATGCCACGACTGCCTGATCGGTCCAAGGCTGACTGTAAGTTTCAAGGCGTTCCGTGCACTCGCCTTCGACAAGGCCTCGCACGTCAGCCAAGGCAGCGTCCGCGTAGTCGAGGACAGGGTTCAGCATAATGTTACGCACAGTGTTACGCACAATGTCCGGATCCACGTAGGTGTTGTTGTAGTGGACCTCCCACCACACGAGCGCGTCGAAGTATACGACGAAGTCCTGTACGATCCTCATGCGCTCCAGGAGGAGGCCCGCCGCATTGTGGCGAATGCCTGCGGCGTTGAGCCGGAGCGCCTTCTGCCACCCCGTGTGCGGGCGGAGAATGCCCCTGCTTGCTCTATGCCTGTCCACGATATCCTTGTCGACGATGGCGAGTGCGCGGAAGAACTCAGTAACGAGGCCGTATTGCTCAGCAGCGATCGACCAGGTGTCTGGCGTAAACCCGGCATTGTACCTTCTATCGATGTACTTACTACCGAGAGTGAAAAGGTATCTGGAGGCTTGCTGTGGTAGCTCGGCGTAGGGTATCCTGCCGAATGTATATGGAGAGCGCGGCGACTTTGCTTCCCGGAATGGTTCGGTCCCTGTAGTCGTTGTGAGTGTCAGTGCGAGTGCGGCTTCTGTGTGGCCATGCTTACTGGCGACGAGACCATCGATGGCTTGGTGAAGTTGCTTGTCCACCGTCGTCCTGCTGAAAGGCCAAGGGTAACGCGGCAACTCTGCTTCCTGAGAGGGCTTCGTCATTGTAGTCGTTGTGGATTGGTGTGAGTTCTGTGTGGCGATGCTTGTTGACTGGAGCTCACTTTATACTTATCACGTGTTGTGCCCGCAGCTCCCACTAAGCGCGTGTGGCGTGTGGCGTGCGGCACTTTGTTCAAACAAGGGGCGAGGCAATGGTAACCGATTATGACGGTGTGTTATGCAGTGGTATGTCGAGGATGCCGATGCTCTGGCATTCATGTGAACGTTATTTCATGTTCTCATTGATTCTCCAGCCAATGCACGAGTACAACTCAGGAGTTCCGACATAAATTATGACTCGAGGTAAGGCTACGTAACGTGGTCTGGCCGTGCAAGGCAAGCTATGGGAGCACGACTGCAGTTGCCAGCATGACAGGCCCGACGCGGTGCTATGTTGAGCCCCGGTGCAAGGGAGCAAAGTACTTGTCTCTCGCCTCCTGAAATGCCTCGACGGCGCGATAGGCCCAAAGATCAGTGTAGATCTTCGGCCGTGGCCTCCACCCGCGCTCGACAAACCTTTGCACATCAGTCAGGGCGCCGTCCACACGGTCGAGGACCGGGTACAGCAAAACATCACGTAAGGTGGCTACAGCGCTCGCGGGGAGTGTGCCGTCTTGCGGCTCAATCCACACGAGTGCGTCGAATAATTCGACAAATTCCTTTACGACTCTCATGCGCTCCGGGAGAAGGCGCTCCACGATCTGACGGATGTGTGGGTCGTCGCGCTGGAGCGCCCTCGGCCACCAGGTGTGCGTGCGCGTTTGGCTGCCGCGCTTCGGCGGAACGTTGGTGGCGTCGTGCCTGCTGGCCACAATGATGTTGTCGATGACGGCGAGCGTGTCGAAGAGTCGGGTGATGAGGCTGTACTGCTGGGCGGCGGCGTGCGAGGCCGGCGGCACGAACAACCCGTACGACTTACCGACAAGGACAAGGTGATCGATGGCTCGTTGAGGTAGCTCGTCGATCTGCTTTCCGCTGAAAGGGTACGGGTAGCGCGGTGATTTTGCTCGCTGGAATGGCTCCACCCCTGTGGCCGTTGTGAATGTCAGTGCGAGTGTGGATTCTGTGTGGCCACGCTTACCGGCGGCGATGAGGCCATCGATTGCTTCCCGAGGCAGGCCGTCAATCCTGGTCTGTGTGGAAGGATCAAGATAGCGCTGTGAGTTTGATCTCTGGGAGGTCTCCATTATTGCAGTCGATGCGGTCTTTTTTGCGAGTGTGGGTGTTGTGTGGCCACCGTTGTTGATTATAGCTTACTTTATACTCATCATGTGTTGCGTCCATGGCAGCCGCCACGAAGTGCGGGTGGCTTGAAGCACATGAGCCACCCACGCACTGTGGCTGGTTGTGGTGATGGTGTGTCGCATGTCGCGTGTTGCATGTCGCACTTTGTTCAAACAAGAGATGAGGCAATCGATGATGACTAGTTCTCCTCGCTTCGTGAAAACATTGTCATTGAGTATGATGCGTGTTTGCTATAAGCATGCATGCGTTGAACTAGGTTATCGTTCATGCACAAAGCTACGCTTATGTTTTGAACAAAACGTACATGGTGAGTACTAAATTTGGCTGGTATCATCGAAATTTATGAAGAGATGACATTACCAATAGTTGTTGATGGGTGCATGCTCCAAGGCGCCGCAACAGCCACTACGTTATGACATCGCTTTGGGACGCAAATCGGACGTGCATGCCATGATGCGCATCCACCAACAACGACACCTCGCGATCCTCTCGTCCGCTTTCCGTGTCTGTCGTCGTCTCCTCGTGTGGCTGCGTCTCATCCTTCCGTGTCTGTGCATGGCGATTAGGCAATACAATGTCTATCGCATCCTGGACGCTCGGTACCAGCTGCTCGACTTCGTCCCAGATGACATTGAATGCATTTTCCAGATTCTGCAGCTCGCTATCAGCTCTCTTGATTATGGGCTGCAGCATCGTACACCGGAGCCGTTGGCAATCGTCTCCCGTGAGGTTGTCTCTGTCGCTAAGCTCTGCCCACAAGAGTGCATCGAATAGCTGCACGAAATGCTTCAAGATCTTCCGCCTCGATATGAGCAGCTGCATGACGTGATCCCGAACGTCGTCGATCTCGCGCTGACGGGCCTTGAAGAAGCGCAGTGCGTGTTTGCCGTGCAGCTTGTCGACTTCCCTGACCTGGAGGATGACGGCTCGAAACTCCCTGCGGATGGCGAGGATGGCAGTGTCACGGTCCTCAAGGTCGTCCCAGAGGGTGAGGATGAGCTCTGCGCATTGGCGCGTGCATGTCTCGGGTTGGGCTAGGATGGCGGGATGCTGATCGATGTAACGCTTGCAGACGTAGGGCAGATCGTCGATGGTGAGGCCGTGGAAGCGATAGAGATCTGGTTTGAATGTGTAGCGCAGAAACCAGTTGTGCTTGCTTGTGGAAGTTTCGGACGTGTTTTGTGCAGACATCTTGCTAGGGATGTTCATTGGCATTTATGGCGGTGGGCTTCGGCTGGACACGCATCGTCAAGGTCAATATATATATCCCCATTCTCACGTTGCGAGATGACCCATCGACGATTCGTTCGCCTAAATGGTGGACACAATGCGCAAGAGTCCTCCTTGGTGATCGATGTTTGGTAAAAACACGTAAGAATCCTTGGGCACCTGACATACAAGGCAAGACTATCACACAGGGTAGGGTATCGGAGCAATCCTTTTTTGGGCTCCGCCGAGAGATCGATCCAATGTGATTCAATGTCATGTCATTCAATCGCAGGTGGAGACGCGTTTGTTCTCCATACTATCAGAGCGCAAACACGGGTATAATGCCAGTCGGATGCAAAAGAGTTAGAGCTGCACCTTGGTACACCTGGCATACAATCTGAGTTGGTTTGAATTGGAGCACCATGAGCAGCCAGTCGTTTGCATATGGAAAGGGTGCACCATCCACGGGGTGTATTTACGGGATAGATATGTCCAGCGGACGATTTCGTTTACTGATTGAGACAGGATAGATTAGGCTGGATCGGAGACTACTAAGGATTTGCCGAAGCGTCAAGGCGTGGCTATATGTGCCTACTCTAGGAATGCTTCCACGGCCTTCAGCATCTTTGCAGCCTCTTCCGTCTCAAGGGGAGAGTGTATATAGCAATGCACCGCATCTGTCCCTTCCCTGAAAACCACATTCTCTGCACCTAGGTCTTTCCTCATCTTGTCCGCTAAGGTATAGCCCATATCCCGGAACCGCTCGGCGCCGCCGACATCGATAAATGTCCTCGGGAAGCCTTTGAAAGATGCATGACAATCTGGGTGGCGTGATGCGGGGGATATGTACGGATTCGTCTCGGCAGCGCCGGGCGGGAAAGCGTGGGCATAGCCAAGTCGGGCAGCTCTCATGAGCCCGCTACGCAAATCCGGGAGGAAATCGAAGGTGAACGTGAGCGCGGAAGAACCGGGTGTCTCGTGCGATGTGCCGAGGTCACACCAGGGGGAGAGCAGGATCATCGAATTGGAGGGGGGCGTCTGCGGAAGCCTCATGAGCGTGGAAAGCTCGGTGATGTTGTCCACGATATAGCGTGCCAATGCCAGAACATGGGCGCCGCCTGCGGAGTCGCCGAGGAAGATGATGTTGTCAGGTGCGTAGCCGACAATGTCGACAAGATAATGGTAGCCAGCAAGGTTATCCAGAAGCGCTGCTGGGAATGGGTTCGTATAGGGCGCGAGGCCGACAAGGCGATGTTCGACAGCGAAGCCGCGCTTGGCGGGGGAATGACGGAGGACCTCACGTAAGCAATGACCCATCATGTTATCAGGGTGTGCGGACTGCGCTATGAAACATCCGCCGTGGAGATAGAGAATGACCTTCTCGCCTGCTTCAGGCGGTGCACCGACCGGCGTGTCTGTGCCCTCCTTATCGTACCAGTAGCCTGGGATACGAGTAGGGCGGACGTCGGCCTCCTCTGCCCAACGAGCAACATCTCCAATAAGGAGCTGGGGAGTGGGTTCAAGCCAGATGCTTTTGATGCCTGGCGTGTCAGGTATAGCGCGATAATCAGGCCATTTTTCAGAGGGCCCTACTCTGTCATGACGAGAGGCGGATCAGGACATCGTAGGATGTGCGGCTATTGTTGCAAACGCACCTTGCAGCAATGGGTCCAATGTCTGACCAAACCCGAGCGTAGTTGGTGATGAAGGTCTTGAACACGGACCATGATGGTCTCGGACGGAGGAACTTAGGAAGCGACAGGAGAGCCCATATTGGCATGCGGATCAGGTACGTCTGCAGCAACTGAATAGTGATATAGATTCCTCTAAAAGGCTGCCGACGAAGTTCATACACCATCTTGATGGAGCCTGTAAGAGCGTGAAAAGACAAGTTGAATGAAGCATGAATTCGAACACTTATATAACTCCTCTCCCTCACTATAGCTGCCGTCAATGCCGTTCATGTCATTGTAGATGACGCATCGCCGTCGCTGCAGAGTGATTACGGAGATTGTTCACACACTAGCAGCACGTCGAATACCAAGTTATGACTCGAACGGAGTCAACACTGTTCAAGGCAGAGATATATGAATATTTGTGAGTCAATACTCAGGATTTACCTGGTTAGCTGGATAGAGGCGCACCATTATGACGTGCCATATCATGGAACTGTCAAGCTTACTGATTCTCGGTCCCGTTCGTGATGGCAGCTTTGATGAAACGTGTTAGTACGTGAGGTGGATGACCGTACAGCGAGAGACGACTGACGAATTGCATCGTATCAAGGTGCAACTCCATGCAAAGAAATGTGCACTGAGACGCTCCCGAGAGGTATAGATAGGCCTACAGCGACAAGTCCATGACGACATACTTACATTGTCCCACAGAGTGATCGTAGATGCTGCTCAGGTGAAACAGATATGGTGAGTTACTTATAGTTCACGGCAAAGTATCGACACAGCCACAATTTACTAAAGTAGGCCGTCGTCCATTTCCGAAATCTGCTCACGCTTCATTAGGTCTGATTATATGGAATCAACTGGTTAGCCCGCATAGTATGTGATCTAGTCGATGATATCCCGCAGCCGTGCTTCACATGACCATATGACATGCGCCGCTCGAGCCTCAGCTATCCGAAAAACAACCTTACCTGCGTAGACGCCCTGGGCAGGGTGGAGGTAGCGTGAGATGGTATCTTGTGATTACGGTCGCTTCTCTCCATGTTGTCTGACAAATCATGTGTCCCCATTTGTCCACTACCGTGTTGTGCTCCGTCGTGTTCCACTCCCTGGCGGTGGGCGAGACGGTCTCCAGCCGCGCCTGGTAACGTGCAGGAGACCCGTGCCATGCATTCTTCACGTACGGCGAACCACTTTCTTGTTCGGCAGGTATCGATGTCGTGACCGGCAGCATCGGCGCCGTCCGCGTGCTGGCCTGCTTCAACCAGGTATGCTTCCTCGCTTTCCTCTCGGTTCTCTTTGTTCTCGAATCACTTATCGGCATCCTCACGTTGGATGACTGCCTCCGTTCCCGTATAAGAACACCAGCTTCTTCCCATCGTATCTCACATCCCGATTCACGACCACCATGGTGTACGAGCTCCAGCGATCGCCGCTCAGAAAACTCTACATCCTCCTGCACAAGTTGGAGACGTATGTCTTTCGCATTCCCCTATGGTACCTCAAGTCTATTCCTAGACCCCTCCGCCCGAGGGCGTCATGGTCCGCGACCAAGGCATACCTCATGCCCTATCTCAACTACTGGCACGACTTCGGACCCATCGGCGAGAGGTAAGTTTGCACGTCAGCACTCTTCTCGATGGCGCCATCTGCTCACGCCGCCGCTGCCACCACGCAGAGTCGGTCCGATGCACTCCTGGCCTGACTACCGCGCCATCCCGGACACTCCTGGCGTCAAGGCTGTCTGGCTCGACCCCACTCCGCAGCTCGTCGTTGGTGACGTCAAGCAATGGGCAGAACGAGGCAACGTCCAGCCGATCCGCATTCCCGGCTACTGGTATGACAAAGACGGGCACGACACCCCGATCGGCGCGCCACCCGAGCCCGGAGAGAAGGTCGTTCTGTACCTCCACGGCGGCGGGCTCATCACCGAGTCTGCGCATCCATCTAACTTCATGTCCGTAGTCCCGCTCTCGATCATGCGCCACTGTTCAGCGAAGCGCGCGCTGTCTGTCGAGTATCGCCTGGTCGAACTGTCGCCCGAGGCGAATCCGTTCCCTGCTGCACTCTTCGACTGCCTCGCGGGATATCACTACCTTGTCGACGTCCTTGGATTCTCTCCTGACAGCATCATCGTCGCTGGTGACTCTGCCGGCGGCCTCCTCACGCTCACCCTTGCATGCTATCTCATCGACAACCTCTCAGAGTTCTCCACACGCATGCGTGTCCCACCCTCACCGCCGGCCTCCGCACTGGTGCTTCTTTCTCCGTGGTGCGATCTCGGCACGTCCCATGAGACACCAGGGTCGTCGCTGGTGACGTTTTCGTACGACTTCATGCCCGACCAGCGCAAGGGCCTCGTCTTCGCTGCGCGCCAAGCGTACTTGCGCAGCTTGCCTCCTGACTCGGGAGAGACGAACCCGTATGTCTCACCTGCTTCTCGTCACCCCGAATGCCATGCGTCATTCAAGGGCTTCCCGCGCACCTTTGTCACCACGGGCGGTGCAGAACGTCTGCTTGACCAAGATCGCACGCTGGTCGAGTACTTGCGGCGGGACCTTGGTCCGGACAGCGTGGTGTACTACGAAGCGACGGACGCGCTGCACGACTATATCCACTTCCCACAGTTCCCGCAGGAGGCGGCGGAGACGCAGAAGATGCTCAAGGCACTCGAGGCGTTCCTGGAATAGATGCTGTGCTGTCGAGTTGACATATTGATGGGCTGTAGTGCGATCGCCATGATCGATCTTGTCAATAGGCTGTTCCTGATTGTGTACTGTCAGATTGAAGGCTCGGGACCGAGCAAATCCAGATTCCCTTCAGATCAAATTCTGAGCTCCGATGAGCAAGTCCGCCATCAACATATGCGCAGCTGGGCGTATCAGCATGGCTATCCACCCTTTTCTGCCTCGAGTTTTGTGGATCTGCAGTCCATAGCTTCGCAAAGTGTTCGTATTGAAACAGTGGGCGGATGTGGTATGACTGCAGAGGTCTCCTTCAGTGCCTATAGCCCCACACCATTCCCATGCCCTACGTTGCAGCACGCTTGCGATTAGCGTGCGGGATGACTGTCAGGTTCGGAGATCCTTGCGCACCGCACGGCGGGCACGGCGGTAGCAGCGACCCCGGCAATGAGCTTCGGGTTGTCATCACCAATGCGCCGTTGCCCGGCCCATGACCGAGAAAAATTGTCGATTGCTAGGTGAGCAGCGCCAAGAGCTTGCAGATTACGGGTAGTTGATCGCCGATCGAGATTCAAAGTGGTTTCTACGCCTATGGCGATACATTTGTTCGCAAACCTACAATAAGGTGGTTCCATGCTAAAGCTTGCTATATTGTTATGTGTAACAACAGCCAAGGCGAAGATAAAGAGGAAACGATACCGAAAACAAAAAAGTGCAAACAGGTTGCTCTGACTCATATGTCGGGGTGGCTCGCTCTAGCGAGCAAGGAATTGGTTCAGGGGTCTGGCTGCCAAGTAATAGCACCATGATTACCGTTTGCGGCTTAGGGATAGCCGAAAAACACGGCAAATAGTATGGAATCGAGGGGTCACAAACTTTACCATCCATTCAGCAGGAGGGAAGTTCTGTGAAGTCCGCCAGATGCTTATTAATGCTTGCTTTGTCGTGTCAATGCTGACCAGACCACATTGACAATTCTGAGTGAACCCCTACATCGGCGCAAGTTGCATAACAATGTATTCGGCCAGCTATGCTACATGGCGAAGAAGCAAGATAATAGCTGACACAGTCCAAGAGACGATAAGATGAATAGGCGTACAGATGTGGCAATAGAAATAAAAAATCAATAGATGCGTTTAGTATGATGCATTTCCCTATTGGCTCAGTTAGTGGTGAAGCATCACTAACACAAGACAGCCGACGAGGGATTCATTCTTGATAGGCAAACAGATTTAATGCGTCGTCCGACGACAGCTGATCCGGGTCGCAGATTCCTCCATGCGCATCGTCGAGAGGGTCATCAGGAGGTGGCGTTAGGCGAGCGTAACCCCGAACGTCAGACATGGTCCTGCGAGCCGGTCGCTTTCCGGGTGCTTTGAGTTGCGAGACTCTAGACTTCGGCTTCACGACGCGTGCACCGAGTGAGGAGGGCAAGGAGGGTCGTGGACGCGGAGGGCTGATAGGGGACTCGTGCCGGTACATCAGCACCTCAGACTTCCTCTGTGGTGCCTGTGGCTTTCGTTTACGTTCCGGATGCAGCACAATACAATTCATGAGGGCATCGGCGACGATGGTCCCAAAATTCGTGACCCGGCGCGTAGGCAGCGTAGCACGGTCAGCGTCTTGCAGTGCCCCTGAAGGCGCGTCTCCGCCGTCTTCCTCTGCAGGTACCAGAGATGGAGATATAGCACGCTGCTTGCCTTTCGACCTAGGGCGAGGTGTGCTTGTCATATCGCTGCGCTCGTCTTCTTCCTCAGACAGAGGTGGAGAAGCGAGACGTGTTCTGCCTGCCAGCTGAGAGCGCGGCGCCGTAACATGAATGTCGCCAGTGTCACCCTTCGCTACCAGAGCAAGAGACGCCACACGCGGTCGTCGTTGGAAAAAGGGACGGGAGCGCGGGATAGTGTCGAGATCGTCAGACCCAGGATCCGCCTCAAGGTTGACTTGCGGCATCGACGGCCGACCTCTGGCAACCGTGGGCGGTCTTGTGCTAAACCCCGGCAACGAACTCCTGCCAGTAAGATTACGTTGACTTGGCCGTGCACGCGACTGTGAGCGTAGCACCCTCTCCTGAACCTCATCTTCTCCAACGTTGGAATGATGTTCGAGCTTCCGTCGCTTCGCTGCTCGCCCTGCACCTCGCTTCAGAATCTGCGGCGAGCGCTGCACCCAGCAGCCCACCATCTCCTCCCAGACAAATTCGCTTCCAGGTGCACCATTCCCTGATTGCCGAACAGCCTGAGGATTTACGTTCTGCATCTGATTCTGCGCACCAAAGTACCGCGCCTCAGCACTCTCGACACGCGCAACAAGCTGTGCTCTGAGTGCATCCATCTCGCTTTCGGGCGAGGTGCTCGCGGTGTCTTCGCGTTCCGTAAGAAGCGGAAGGGCGCGGGCACGAAGGAGAGTGTCCTCAACATGGCGGAGAGCTGTCGACCACAGCGAAGCCTCGTGTAGCGAGAGTCTGCGCATACGGAGCGTGTCTGCGTACGTGCGCAGAGTCTGCATCACGGTGTGCTGTGGGGCTAATTGCTGAGAGGAAGGAGGTGTAGGGAAGAGAGGAGGGGGAGTTGAACTCGGCGTTGGTACTACCGACGATAGGGGAGAAGTCTCGGCAGGCGGAGAAAGGAGGGCAGAGACGAGAATATCGTATGTCTCTGGCTTTGGTTTGTCAGTGCGGAGAAAGTCGGCGAGGGCATGCAGATCAGCCGATGGGGCGGTGGGAGGAGGATTCGCGATTGCATATGTCGCAAGGCATACCAGGGTATCGGAGACGGCCGGGCTGGATTCGGCAGGCGTCGAAGGTAGATTATGCAGGTCAAAGGATGCAGCATAGAGTAGAAAGTTCACCACTGAGTGATGGTCGCCTGTGCCCAGCTCGCCATTGTCCGGGACAGAAGGGTCCGCGGAACGAGCGTAAATACGATCTAGGAGGGCTTTGATCCAGCGCGCCAAGCGGGTCCTCAGTCGATGCTCGAAGATGGGTTCAATTGGAGAGGAGCCCTTCCGTTTTGATCTTGCCTTGATTTTTTCGCCGTCTGCAATACTATGAGCAACGCCAGCACAGAGATGCAAGAATGCCGAGAGATTATGTGCGCGAAGCTCTCGGGCGAGGCGTGCGACAGCTTTGGAGGTCCAGGCATCAACGCGTCCCAGTCCAGACATGCTTAGAGCTTCTACCAGGAGCTGCGTGAATGTGAAATCGTCTAGGCAATGCTGCCCTCGCCGCGCATTGGGTGTACAGCAAGTTGCGCGCAGGGAGGTGAGGTAATTACTGTGTGCCGGATGGGACAGTGGACATGTGATAGATTGTGTGACGGAAGGTGTGATAGCGGATAGGAATAGGAGGCGCAGAGTACGCTGGGATTCCGGGACGAGATGGAGAGACAGACAGACATCGAGAAGTGCTGTCAGGAGAGTGGGATGATGGGGGCAGGTGTCGAGAACGAAGGTAAGTGCGTGAGAAACAACGCTGAAGCTGCATGAATCCGTCAGCACAAAAACTGCGGTGATGGACGTTTGGTCACACCTTCGATAGTGAGGTGGAACTGCGTTGTACAATTCGTCCATAACCTCTGTAGCAATATCCTCGTCCCTCCCGTCCGTGGCGTCCGCTTCATGCTCGCGAGCCTCTATTTCTCCTTGTATGTTCTCCCCAACCATTACTGCGCACATAGCAGCGAGCCCCATAATGCGTGTCGGCTTTGCAGGTTCATTCGTGGCACTAGTGCCAAGTACCGCCTGAACAAAGCTTCGGAACGCATCCCGCACCTCGTATATCTTTTTTGATAGCTGCAGATTCTCGACGCTGGCTTTGTCTAGATGTATACGCAAACCTAGGTTTTCGGGAGGTTGTAAGACGGCTAGCGGTGGCGCTTCTGTCTCAAGAGAAGCTGTGCGGGGTAGCCCGCGATAGTGTTTGGAGTATGTTATGGATACAGAGTGTGTCTTTCGCGACGATGACGCCGCGAGGTCTGCGAGCGAAGTACATTTCGCACGGAGCGGCCTGAATAGACGAGTGATGCGCGATGTTGTAAGGTGTGCGCCAGTGTTTTGCGTCATGAGGGCTTGATAGTCAAGCTTTCAAGATTCAAGTTCAAGAAATTAAGGGTATAAAGCACAGAGACTCAGTAAGAGGACAGGCCAGGTATCGCAGCGCGCGTTGAGCGCGAGAGCACAAGTTGAACCAGGCTGGCCACGACGCGACACAGATAAACATCCCGTGACCGTGTTCTGCCACGTGCTTATCTAATCGATTGGTCGACTAACGTCGACAGGGCAATGCCCGCCTGTCTATGCTAAAATTTAAATGAGCCCAGTACTCGAATTGGAGGCCAACAGGCGTGAGGTCGCGAGCGATCCAATTCATATAGGGGGTCTCCGGCTCTGGCTACTATCGCGCCCGAGCTTGCGAGCTCGCCACTCGCATCATGTTGAGTCTTTGAAGATTCTCAGCTTTTCGCGTAAATATGTAGCCGAGGCTATCTCGACGACGACTTCAGGAATTAAGGTATTAACTCATGGCCGGACCTGTTAGTCACGGACAATACTAATTGACAAAAGCATTCGGGTGAGACTTCACCATGAAACTGTGCAGCTGTAGTACATTCGGATGACTAAACGACATGAGTTTGCTATCCAGTGATTGTGTATGGTGTTCGGCATTCCCTTTATCGACTTCGACAGTTTTTGTCCGCGTTGACTGGTCGTATCTGACAACGCTTGGCAACAATGGCGACGCCCCAGACTGCCACTCCACCCGATCTACAGGGGCTCGATCATAAATGCCGACTTCGTCGGCATTTGCGATGACAGTCGTCGGGCTGTTGCTCGGGTGGGTTGATTCGCCCGCGGAATGGCCGAGTCGTTCCAAGGTGTTTGGTCACAGCCCGACGTCCGGGTTACTGTCATCAGCAATGGTGAGTGCGGTTCCGTATCCCCCGTGCTCGCACGCCGCAGACAGGGCGCAGGATATAAAAGCCGGCGTATGACGCGGACAAGACAGATACATTCCACAGTCCATATCAACCATCCCAACCAACCCAACCGTCGCACCAAGCAACATGTCTCCGAAAGTTTGGTTCAGTGAGTGACTGCACTACTCTCGCTCGATCTGTACTGACATGTGAGTAGTCACCGGCTCTTCTACTGGGTTGGGACGCTCCATGACGGAGCTGGTCCTCAAGAATGGTGACATTGCCGTAGCCACCTTGCGCAAGCCTGACGCCCTCTCCGACCTCGTTGCGAAGTATCCCGCGGAGAGGCTGCTCGTCTTGAAGCTCGACGTCGCCAAGCCGGACGAAATCACTGCTGCTTTCTCCGACGCAGTGAAGCAATTTGGGCGTATCGACATCGTATTCAACAACGCGGCATACGCCACACTCGGCGAAGTGGAAGGCACTCCGGACGACGTAGCGCAGCACCTGTTCAATGTGAACTTCTGGGGCGCGACACAGGTCAGCAAGGAGGCCATCAAGGTCTTCCGCGAAGTGAACAAACCCGTCGGAGGACGGCTGCTGCAAGTATCCTCAATGGTGGGCATAATGGCACCCGCAGGACTAGGGTTTTATTCTGCTAGCAAGCACGGTGAGTCTTCCATTGATCGCGCGGTGTTCACCCGCCCAATGCTGAAGCGATTCTGCAGCTCTGGAGGGCTTGAGCGACGCCTTAGCTACGGAAATTGACCCTGAATGGAATATTAAGGTAAATTGCTTTTCTCGTGCTCAGGACGCCGTCCATCGTATATTTATTGACCCGATACTAGATCACACTCGTCGAGCCCGGCGCCTTCCGTACGAACGGCGTCACCAACATGGGCAAATTCCCGCCGCCACCTGCTTACACCAACCCCAAGCTCCCGACGAATGTCACCCGAGACGTTATGCAAGTGCCGTATGGCGCTGAGCCCGACAAGGCGGCTGAGAAGATGTATCGTCTCGCGGAGCTGCCCGAGCCTCCCCTGCACTTTCCCCTAGGCAAGGACGCTATTTCCGCCGTGAGGCAGAAACTTGCTGCCATTTCGGCCGACTTCGACAAGTATGAGTCTTGGTCTGATGATATGTGAAGTGGCGCTTTCTCCAGGAGGGGGCAAGCGACCGCTCTGAATATACGGAAGAATACAGAGAGTTATAATGCATATGTCGTCACACCTGTATACTAAAGCATAAAATGCATCGATGTGGGAGGGAAAAGCGCAGCGTCATTCGAAGAATGTCAGAAGACTGTGGTAAGGACAACGTGGATAGCTATGAAATAGAGGAAGTTAAAGTATGGCCGTTGATCCGACAATGCGAATACTTGTCTAATCTAATATCGAGAGTATTAGTGAAGTAGGTAGTATTCAAGTTGGCGACGTGGTAATGCTTTAGCGACGAACCCGAAACAGTCGGAGCTTCCAGACACTCGATATGTGCGCTGTCATATACGACGCACTTTCACAAACAAGTCGCACAATGCTCGAGGATACTCTGGTGACCACAAGTCTTCAAACACGAGTCACAACGACAATATGACGACTCACCGGGCACATGCGACGTTCGCAGTTCGAGCCGCTCGTCCACACCGGTTCGCGAGGGAAAGAAGAGAGTTCGAGGGAAAGAAGGAAGTTGGATCACAGAACGTCGAGTCCTCTGTTTGAGAAGCTCGCAATGACAATGCAAGATGGACGCGGTTTCATGGGTCTCGAAACCCATTCACACGGATGGACGCGCCTCTAAAGGTTATATATAATGATCGTCGCCCCCATAGGAAAGAATTCATTATATTTATGGTCTGCCAGTGCCTACAGGAGACTCGCCTCTACCCGCAAGCGCGCGGATCGATGTTTCACTGGGATTCACCTACTGTCGTCTCCGTTTTTTTCCCTCCGCCTACGCTCACTTTTTTCCATCGACACTCCACCTTCAAAGCTTCACATGTCATAGCCTCGTCCCGACGCTCGTTCCTCTGCGACGAAAGAACACGTGATGCTGCAAGCGTGCCCAGTGTTTGGAATCATGTGACCGCGTCTCCCGCCGGCTGTTCCGTGTTCGTGTTCCTTGCACTGAGCTTTACCTCTCGCCAGTCTCTAAAATCTCAGTATCTGACACCTGATTCCATATCATGAGACTTACTCGAGAACACTCCCGTGCAAGCTGGGTTACAGCTGAATTTCATATCGATAGACCTACCCAAGAATATTTGTACGCAAGCGGGGTTGATGCGGGATTTGTTTTGGATCGACGGGATCATGGTCCCGTCTCATGAGGGCTCGCCCATTCCCACCGGATCCGAGAAGCCCGCTTACCACTTCAAGTTCAACAGGTCTGAACATTGGTTTATCCCATAAACCTTGCTCTGAGACCAGATGATAAACGTCCGTCCCGAAGGGAAGTCGAAGTTGCGCGAAAAGATAGAACATTGTTTTTTGAACTTCCTTCGCTTTATCATGCCTGGTTGATCACTCTCGGATCCCTTCTCAATTGAGCGGTGTCAATCAGCCTTCCATTCCAACCTTGAGCTTGAAGTTCTGTCGCCGCGTGAGCAGCATCATCCATATATAGTGGTGACAGTTCCTGATATGACCTCGCAGGCGGTGGCTGTCACTACGCCAGAAAATTGTTATAAGCGTGAGACGGCTCCCCTGTCCATGCACCGCGACATCAGACTTTCAGAGCACCTCAAGTATGGTCTATGAAGCCCAGCGCGAGCCCCTGAGGAGCATTTACATCGCTCTGCAGGCAGCACATACCTGCTTAATCCTCACGCCATTATGGACAATTTCATCCATACCTCGAATGTTGCGTCCTAGGCCGTCCTGGTCGGCTTATAAGACGTTCGCTCTGAGCTATGTTCGCTATTGGTCCGTCGTTGGACCTGTTGTTGAACGGTACGTCCGCAACTTTCAATATACACCTGCACCGTCTTATCACCTCTTCTTCATCATGCAGGGCTGGCCAAATCACCAAAGTGCCTGACCATCGCGCGATACCCGACGCTCCGGGTGTCAAAGGCGTCTGGCTCGAGCCTACTCCTCAGCTCCTCGTCGGCGACGTTGCACGCTGGGCAGAGCAAGCTGGCGTCCGCCCTATTAGTATTCCAGGATATTGGTATGACAAAGACGGCTGCGATACGCCAATCGGTGCGCCCCCGGAAGAAGGCGAGAAGGTGTTTCTCTATTTTCACGCCAGTGCCTTCATTGCGCTATCCGCACATCCCCACAACTTGACGGGGGCATGTATCCCTACGGTTCTACGTCACGCTCCTGCGAAACGCGGACTCGCGGTCGAGTACCGACTCACAGATCCCGCGTCGAACGCAAATCCATTTCCCGCGGCGCTCATAGACTGCATCGCTGGATATCACTACCTCATTGACGTAGTTGGCTTCGCACCAGAGAACATCATACTACTTGGTGATTCTGCGGGCTGCAACCTTGCTCTTGCGCTGGCGCGGTACATCGTTGACAACATCGCTGAGCTTTCGACTCGTATGAAGCTGCCGCCAACGCCCCCTTCCTATTCCATGGTGCTCCTATCGCCATGGTGCGACCTCGGCACGTCACACGAGACACCCGGATCCTCCGCGCTCACTTTCTGGTATGACTTTCTGCCCGACCTACATAGGGGGATCATGGACGCTGCGCGCCGCGCCTACGCCCACCGGCTCCCTCCCGACTCTCGCGAAATCAACCCCTACATATCCCCCGCGTCGCTTCATCCAAACTGTCATGCATCATTTAAAGGCTTTCCGCGGACGTTTGTCGACGTCGGTACTGCCGAAAGATTCATGGACATGTCTCACACCCTGGCACAAAAGATGAAGAAAGACTTGGGAGACGCGAACGTAGTATACCGAGAGGCGCAGGACGCAGTACACTGCTATATGTATTTACCCTTTGAGGCGGATGCGGCTGCCAAGTCGATGAAGGCGCTCGAGGCGTTTTTGGAGTAAGCAGATGTTGAGAGCGGATACAGGTGCTATCGTTACAGTAGTTACTGTATGACACGATCACTCTTCCGACACCTCAGATGGAATCTGATAATGGGATTTTCAACTCTCTGTCGTAGTTGCGTTGTCACGCTAGCTCACTGTTGTTTGCCTGCAGCACTCTTTGCCCTGTCTGTGCCGAGCATAACCTGTTATCGTACTCGGTCCCACGCATTAGCATCAAGCGCAATAGCACAGTTATTCATCTCTCCTTTATCCAGATATCACGATGCCTTCATCAATTACTGTTACAGTGCATGAGTCAGTGAAAACTCAGCCGCCAGAAGCACCGTTCACCATTTGCAGCGCTCTCGAAATGGTCTACGGGTAGCAGCGGTAGAGGGACACTCATATTGTTCTCCAGTCTCTGCAGACACCTTGTCCGAATGGAGATATGGGCAACTCTGTCTTCCCAGGTGCCTGCGCTCTAGGCCATCTTGATCGACGTCGAAAACGTTCATCTTGCTCCATGATATTTGGCCCATCGATGGTAATGACCCACACTCGGGAATTTTGATCAGATCGCACTCGGTCGCTATCTAGGGTCATAAAGAATATACAACTGGCCGTAGCGTGACGTCCTTTGCCGCAATCGAAGGGGGCATTGTAAGTAGTGAGTCATCAGTGGAGCGAATGCGCTGATACCTCTCTGGCAGCGTTAAATATCCGATGTATGATACTATCCATAACGAGTAATTTATGGCATTTTGATCGATAAAGCGTACCCATGGTATAGTGCTAACGCCACCGTTTCACAGGCGTCGGAAGGCCCTGATATGGATTGTATCATGCATGTCATAGATTGGCCGCGTGCCGCAGCAGAATGACAAACGCGGCCACATATATACCGTGTAATCGATGCCTGCGTCGCAGAAACTTACCCTGACCACTATGTCTAGCGCAAAAGTATGGTTTGGTGAGAAGTCTCAGCGCAACACAAGTGTGGCTATAGCTGACTTGATTCTGTGGCAGTCACTGGAGCCTCATCTGGATTCGGGCTCCATGTCACCGAATGCGCCCTCCGCCATGGTGATAAGGTTGTCGCAACACTGCGAAGGCCGCCCATGCTTGCAGAGCTAGCGGCACAATACCCTTCTTCGCAGCTGCTCGTCCTCAAGATGGACGTCACCGAGGCAGAAGACGTCTCGAAGGCCTTTGCGGATGCCAAGGCCCACTTTGGACGCATCGATGTCGTGTTCAACAACGCCGGTTTGGGTCACATGGGGGAGTTGGAAGGCACACCGGAGGAGTTTGCGCGAGCTGTACTCGAAGTGAACTTCTGGGGCGCTGTCAAAGTGACAAAGGAGGCAGTTCGCTTCTTCCGAGAGGAGAACAACCCGCAGGGAGGGCTGCTACTCCAGAACTCATCGATGATGGGCCTTATCGCTAGTCAATGCACCCCGTTCTACGTGGCAGCGAAGTGGGGTGCGTTGTCTATGCTTTGGTTCTTATTAAACATACCTCACACGACTTACTCTACAGCTCTTGAGGGAGCGACCCAATCGCTGTCAATGGAGCTGGATCCTGCGTGGAATATTAAGGTAAGCACTCAGTCTTCCCAAGCAATGCATTGACCTCAAGCTTCGTTTCAGCTCATACTGGTTGAGCCAGGATGGTTCCGAACGGGAATAGCAAGTGCCGCGCTCCGGGCACCCGTTCACCCAGCCTACAAAGAAAGCCCAGGAGTCGTTAAGTTTCGTGAGTGGGCTGCCACCAATCCACTGGAGCCCGGAGATCCAGCCAAGGCCGCGGAGGCGATCTTGAAAATCGCTGATCTCCCAGATCCTCCTCTCCGATTTCCCCTTGGACGTGATTGTATTGCATCTGTGAAGAACAGAGATGATAAGTTGCGGGATGTGATAGAAGAATATGGGCATTGGTCGGATGGGTTAGACGTGGAGTGAGGCTCGATGAACGAATGACTGTCAATTTTCTGGCAGAGAACAAGACTGTATGTGATCACGTAAGGAATCTTTTATCAAATTCGGAACGGTATATCAGGTATGGATCAGTTTAGCGCTCACTCTCGTAGCGCGAGAAATACCGCACAACGAAATATATACCAAAGTGTTATGTAAGTGCCAGGAGGCGCACCTCACTTGATTCCGTTTTCACAGCTTGTACCGTCCTACATATCGCATACCAAGGACAGGTGCCGGGTAGGCGATTAAGTTTCTTTGGCAAGCGTCAAGAGACTCGGCTTATCTACACGATTGGAGTGCACGCGTATATCGCAGTGGTATGCTCGCGGTTGACCAAGTACCGCGGAGCAGTTACCGAGGCGTCGTCCGGACTCGGACTGAACGTGACCGAATCCGCTCTCTGCAACGGCGATATGGTCACAGCGACGCTTAGGAAGCTATCCGGGCCCACCAATCTAGCCACACAATACCCCTCTTCCCAGTTGCTCGCCCTTAAGATGGACGTTACCGAGCTGGAAGACGTCTCGAAGGCCTTTGCGGATGCCAAGGCCCACTTCGGGACGCGTCGTGTTTAATAACGCCGGGACCAGCCATTTGGGCGAGATTGAAGGCACGTCGGAGGCGATCGCGCGTAGCATGTTCGATGTGAACTTTTGGAGAGCGGCAAAGGTGACGAAAGAGGCGGACAGGTTCTTCCAAGAGGAGAACAACCCGCAAGGTGGGGTCCTGCTCCAGAACTCCTTTGCGCTGGGCCGCACGGTGGTTCCGTGTATAGCATTCTATGTCGCCGCGAGGTGGGGTACGTGATTGGCTGATGTACGTCTTGGGAGACGTACCGCACCTGACCGCCCGTGTTGGCAGCCCTTGAGGCCTTGAGGACTGACCGAGTCGCTTTCCATGGAGCTGGATCCCGAGTGGAATCGCAAGGTAAGGAATCGCATACTTTTGCTGAGACTCGCAAAGACGTACAGCCACTGTAGCTCGTATTGTTCGCACCAGGATGCTCTCAAGCAGAGATGATGGCCTCTTTGCGCCAGGAACCCATCCACTCAGCCTATAAAGACAGCCCTGTCGCTATATACCATGAGTGGATCGAGAGTAAACCATCTCTGTCCGGGGACGCAGTGAAGGCCGCAGAAGTGATCTGGAAAGTCGCCAGCCTTCCAGACCCTCCTCTCAGGCTCTCAGGCTCCCCCTCGGAAGAGATAGTATCGGCCTTTTAGGGAACAGGGACGATAAGCTGCGCGCTGCGATAGGAAAGTATGGGCACTGGTCAGATGGATTAGACGCTGATGATGGGGATGAAATCAATGACTTACTATGCTCCGAATGGCACCATCTGCTCCCGCGACTCTTAGCAACCTGCATTGCGAGCGTTGAATCCTACCCTGCTTCCTACAGTACGGAGGAGGCGCCCACCCAGGATAATATTGAGTCGATACGAATGATGCGGCGGAAAGCCCATAACGCCGCACTACTCCTTGCTACTGAGCAACAACAGCCTGCGCTCAGACTGTAGCGACCATCGTCAAACACTCCTTGCAGCGCACATTGACCATTGTGTTGATTACGCACCAGTCCGTTCAGCTTCGCGTGGTCAATATGCCCAACTACGAGACAATCACCACGTGAATGGAGTCATACGCTGGCAATGGTATGTGGCCTTTCGGACTAGAGTCATGAATTCGACGTGAGTGCTGGTCGGCTGTCATCGTGAACATAGTGTGTTATTCTTAGGCAACAGTGAGCGCACCGTCGATCCCCATCATTGTGCGCGTCGGCTTGCCAACTCAAGTACTCAACAGCCAGGGCCCAGATATGGTGCCGTACAGCAGGACAGGTTATCGAAGGACCCGGATCCGATTTATCGTCTGCTGAGGTTCAAAAACACGGACCCAAGACTGGAGACAGAATCGGATGTGGCAAAGGCAGGGAGCACCGGTCAAGTTGAACGTTTTTACCGGTAACGGGATCAGTGATGCCGCCCCCGGAATATGGGGCCCCGCGCTCCGCCCCCCGCGTTGCTCGGGATCATACATTACCGGGATTCGAACATACTGCAGATGAACGCAACTAATCGCAAACGATGAAGGCAAATCCGTCACTTGCTCGATGGGTCCGAGGGAGCCTTGCTGATCTTCCCGCAAAAGGCAATGAATCTTGGAGCATGTGAACAGTGCTGAGGACTGGCCTCGGCGGCCAGGGGACTTCTGCACACAGCTTGCTCATCGACCGCCATCATCTCAGCCGCCTCTGGCGACTAGCCACGGTCTGCAGACGACTCGGCGGCTCAGAAATACGTTCCGTACGCCGCTTGCGGTCTCCCGAGCGCGGGCAGGACCGGGTCCTCAGAGCACAGAACGGAAGTCACGAGACGCCGACATTGCCTTTTTCGGAATAGGCATCTCATGCTGAATGTAGCGCGGAATGCTATAAGACCAACCCCTCTCCACTCCCCTCTCCTTGCATCCCCCCGCCTCCTCTTCCTTCCTTCGTCGTCGCGCAACTTATTCTTACGCCCTTGTTCGTCTCTTGTTTGTGCAGAATCAGTAGGTTGCTCCTCAATCGCAGCTCTGACACGAGTCATGCCGCAGGTCATTTCAACCGTCCTACAGTATGACTCGGATGCAGGTCTCATTTATTTCGTCGTCTACCCATCCTGCCAGTGGACAGCACTGGTGATGTACTTTGTCCAACATTATATAACTGGATGTTGGCGATCGACTTCTACCTTCTGCGACCATCTCCGCGTACATTGTAACATGAGCTAACGCGTTAGGACATTTCCTCGCAGACGTCCCCAACCATGGCTTACCGAACCCCCTACGTGACGCCCCACATTCTGCACAAGAACTATGCGCAAGCATTCGATGCCGAGCCTAGCAAATGTGTGTCCCTTCTGCTTCTACTGCGCGCATATACTCACCTTTTCACGTAAACAGTGGTCGGCCGGGACTTGGAGTACTTCTCCCAGGCTGGCTTCGACATGGACCGAATCTCCATCAAGCGCAATGCTCCGATCGCACAGCTCTACGAGGATGCCATTCGGAACGAGGGTGCCATCATCTCATCGTCTGGTGCGCTCATCAACTTCTCCGGCAAGAAGACTGGGCGTAGCCCCAAGGACAAGCGCATTGTCTACGAAGAGACGAGCAAGGACGAGATTTGGTGGGGCTCTGTTAACATCATGATGGACGAGCGTGAGTTGAGATATCCTATGAGGTCTCTTGTATTGGCTCAGTCTTCGCTGCAGATACTTTTGAAATCAACCGCGAGCGTGCAATTGACTACCTCAACACCCGTGACAACGTTTACGTCTTCGATGGATTCGCTGGTGTGCGTACCCTACGTCTCGACGGATAACACAAAATCAGCTGAACGCGCTCATGATTTCACCAACAGTGGGATCCGAAGTACCGCATTAAAGTCCGGGTCATCTGCGCGCGTGCATATCATGCTCTCTTCATGGTAGGCGCCCACTGCGGTCCGCGCGATCTACTCTCTCTGACGTCATGCATCATGCGCAGAACAACATGCTCATTCGCCCCACTGAGGAGGAGCTAAAGGACTTCGGCGAGCCGGACTTCATCATCTACAATGCAGGCCAATTCCCCGCAAACCGGTTCACGAAAGGTATGTCGTCGACGACATCGGTCGAGATCAACTTCAAGCGCATGGAGATGGTTATCCTCGGCACCGAGTACGCGGGTGAGATGAAGAAGGGCGTCTTCTCCGTCATGGTGATTGTGTTCACGCGCCTATTTTCGTCGACTGGGCTGACGTAGTATTCCTAGCATTATTTGCAACCTGTCAAGTTTGGTCAGCTGTCGCTACACTCGTCCGCCAACGTTGGCATTGACAATGGCGACGTGACGCTTTTCTTTGGGCTGTCCGGCACGGGGAAGACGACGCTGTCTGCGGACCCGCGGCGCCTGCTCATCGGTGACGACGAGCACGTGTGGTCGGACACGGGTGTGTTCAACATAGAAGGCGGGTGCTATGCCAAATGCATCAACCTGTCGCAGGAGAAGGAGCCCGAAATCTTCAACGCGATCCGGTTCGGAGGTCTACTCGAGAATGTGGTGTACAACCCCCTTACGCGCGAACCGGACTACGATGATGTGAGCATCACGGAGAACACGCGCTGCGCGTACCCGATCGAGTATATCCCGAACGCAAAGATCCCCTGCATCGTCGATCGCCAGCCGAGCAACATCATCATGCTCACTTGCGACGCGTTCGGCGTGCTGCCGCCGGTGAGCAAGTTGACGCCCGAGCAGGCGTCCTACCACTTCCTCGCCGGATACACTTCGTGAGTAGCTTCTCATTTTGCGTATTGCATCCTCGCTGACATCCGCTCAGGAAGACCCCGGGTACGGAGGACGGCGTCTTGGAGCCCATCCCGACGTTCTCGACGTGCTACAGCGCACCCTTCATCGTGCTGCACCCGGGGCGGTACGCGGAGATGCTCGCAGAGCGCATGTCGAAGCACAAGGTGGACTGCTGGCTGATCAACACGGGCTGGACGGCCGGCAAGTACGGAACGGGCAAGCGGTGCCCGCTCAAGTACACGCGCATGATCGTCGATGCGGTGCACTCCGGCGCGCTCGCGCAGGCCGAGTACGAGACGTTCGGGACGTTCGGTCTGCAGGTCCCGACGCACATCGAGGGTGTGCCGCGTGAGCTGCTCAACCCGCGTCTCGCTTGGGCGGATAAGGAGGCCTTCGAGCGCGAGGTGCGCAAGCTCGCGGGCATGTTCCAGAAGGCGTTCGCGCTGTATGAGCAGGACGTAGACGAGAAGGTGCGCCTTGCGGGGCCGCAGGTCGCGTGAGCATGGACGGTCTTAATACATAGATTACCTGGATTGGTTCGTTATCTGTCTCTCCCACAACATACTACGTGTATTGGCATTGCAATGTACTATTTTTACAACATTTGGACGCCACAAACGAACGTGAACGACTCATCTGGTCGAAGTATCGTTAAGTTTGACATCAGAAACTGACTCACCGTGGAATAGGCCAAAAGTACGACAGTTATGATTTAGAGGGGAGTACTGGGATATGACCTGTGCCCAGCTAACAAGGTAGTCAGCGTCGTTCGGTGCTGGGTCGCACCTTCCAAACCATGTAACCAATGTGAGACTCAAGAAAAGCTCTCATCGCAGACGACGTCCCGCCTGCTCAAGCTCCCCAATACTCACCGAAAGCTGTGCAGACCCAATCATCCGATAAATCAAACTCATTCTGCAGAACGCCGCGCCAGGAGTTCAGCACTAATTCCCGATGAAGGTACGTGGTATATAAAATTCAGCTGGTACGATTAGGTCGCATGGACAGATCATACGAGGCTAATTCGAGATGAGACAAGACGAGACTACGAGCCATTACGCCTGGCCCCTAAGCGATGGATCAAGTTCTCCTTGAACCAGTATCAACTACTCAGCGGCAACCTGCTCCGACCACGATTCATACTGATCGAGAGTTGCTCGCAGCTCCTCCATGTGATCCCTGATATTTTGGACGGAATCCTTGCCCAAAGGGAACCGCAGTGGAGGATCTGGCATTGACGCAACGCGGTAGATCACCTCTACGCCTTTGGCGGTGTCTCCTGACATGAGTGGGTTGGCGTCCAATTGATCGTGCACGGCTGCGACAGGCAGGTGGGCATACGCGGGATGAATAGGTACCCGTATCATCGATCCTGCCATAATGTCCGTGCGGAACCAACCAGGAATCACCAACGTTATCTAGTCACGTGTAATGTTAATAACCACATAGGTATTCGATTCGAAAAATGCAATACCTTGATATTCCAGGCAGGATCGAGGGACATCACAAGCGATTCGGTCAAGCCTTCAAGCGCTGTATAGAATTTAAAAGACCGGCAGGATACATGTCGACGAACATCCTCACCGAATTTGGTTGCGCAATAAAATGGGACCGCGGGATTTCCGTGATGACCTAGCGCAGACGAGTTTTGCAAAAGGCGTCCACCGGCGGGCTTGTTCTCCTCCCGGAAGAAGCGGACGGCTTCCCTCGTGACATTGACCGCACCCCAGAAATTTACCTCGAAGTTCGATCGAGCAAGTTCATCGCTCGTTTCTTCCACACCGCCTAAGACTCCGAAGCCAGCATTGTTGAAGACGACGTCAATGCGACCAAAATGCTTTCCTACGGCAGCGAACACATCAAGGATCTCCTGAGGCTTTGTCACGTCGAGCTTGATGACAAGAAGCCGGTCGGGAGGGTACTGGGTAGACAACTCTGAGAGTACTTCGGGTTTCCGCAGCGTCGCCGCGACACAATCGCCGTGTCTGAGTGCGCATTCGGTCATATGTCGACCAAAGCCGGAGGACGATCCAGTGACTAGTCGAGAAGAAACACTGTCAGTAGATTTGACTTCAAATGCACACAAGAATATAAACTGACTGAGCCACACCCGAGGCGACATAGCCGGGTAGTAAGGATCTTCAGAGGGCCTGTTTGTAAAGAGTGTCTTCGCTTGCGACAATTATATAGCAACATGCCAGGCGCGTTGTCCAACCACAATTCCGACAATCGTGCAACGGAGACAAAATCCCCCGTGCTATAAGGTTCTGTTCTATAGGCGCTTCAGCGTGAATGGAAGCCAAGTCTCATTACGCAACCCGCAACCGCCGCTGTGCTAGGTATGAGGCGCAATCTGAAGAATCCTCATGTGATGCACAAGGCAGATTGGGGTTGTCAGATCGGGGATAGCGGCTATACTGATCTGTCAAATGTCAGCGATTAGCGGCCGCCTGATTGCAAAGTAATGCGCGGCAAGTCGTAGACACTATCAGCCGCTCCATCACACACAATGTCGCTCATTGCAACATCTGTACCTATTGGAAAGACACGGCCAGGGTCCAAGATCAGGGTTTACTGTGGGGACATATCGAGTCAGCGAGCCAATCATATGCCCTACGACAGATACAATTTGCAGGAACGCACGTTGTGATTACGAAGAGAGGTTTTGCAGATAATCATCGACATGCTGAACCTCCAGCACGGTCGGACAAATGTCGGCATGTGACGTGCGTCAACCTAACAGGGCCTAACGTTTCCTTTCTGTCTTGTCCGCACAAAACGCGCGCGTAGGCGCTGCTGCGATATTCATGTCAGCGTATATCGACACGGATGATGTTTGGCGCACAAACCTTTTCGCTAAAGTAGATACAACATTCGAACAGCATGTTAGATATAATACATGAATACCGCTGATTTTGAAACTACAAACACTCCAGAGGAGGTAGCTGAGTTACCGTTACCGCTGATGCGACCCCGCGATCCCAAAAAGGCCACCTATTCCGTTTCTCACAAGGCGCTCAGCGTCGCAAAAGACCTACTCGACATCCAGCTCGTCTGACCATGATCCGTATTGGTCCATGATAGTGGTGAGCTTCGCAATTTGCTTCCTGAACGACTCGTTGCAGTCCCTGCCGAGAGGAAAGCGAACAGGAGGATCAGGCAAGTTGGCGACCGCGTAAATCACTTCTACAGCCTTCTCGGTGTCACCACGAACAAGGGGGTTGCCATCGAGATGCTTATGATATGTGGCAGCAGGTAGGTGTGCATACGCGGGATGCACTTGGCTGCGATCCATGTTGCTGCTCAGAACGTCTGTGCGGAACCAGCCAGGCTCGATCAGAGTGATCTACGACACCCAGCCAGCAGTCAAACGTCAGCGATGTAGACATCAAGCATCGAATAGATATGCAGCACCTTGATGTTCCATGCAGGGTCAAGGCTCGAAGCAAACGACTCACTCAACCCTTCCAGAGCTAGAGACACGGATATCCCGTCAGAAGTTACTGAGAGAACAAATTCATTCTCGTGACTACTCACCGAATTTCGACGCGACATAGAATGGAATACCTGCGTCAGGAGTGAATCCCAAGACGGAAGAGTTCTGCAGCAGTCTTCCGCCGGATGGCTTATTCTCCTCGCGAAACCACCTGACGGCCTCTTTACTAACATTGACCGCACCCCAAAAATTGACCTCGAACACTGCGCGCGCGGCCTCGTCGGTTGCACCTTCGACATCTGCCAACAGGGCATAGCCGGCGTTGTTGAATACGACGTCGATGCGGCCGAAGTGCCTGCCAGCCTCGGTAAAAGTGTCGAGGATCTCTTGGTGGTTGGTGACGTCGAGCTTCAGGACGAGCAGCTGGTCGGGGCTGAATTGTTCTGCGAGGTCCGCGAGCATGGCGGGTTTCCTCAACGTCGCGGCCACTTTGTCTCCATTCCTGAGGACACACTGGGTCATCAGGCGACCGAAACCAGTGGACGACCCTGTGACTATGAAAAAGTCAGCACGTATGATGAATCAGACGTTGTGACAAGCCTTACTAAACCAGACTCTAGGAGCTTTCAAAGTCATCGTGAGGGATGTATGGTGTCTGAGTCTGAGAAGAGGCCTGAAGCTTGCATGATTTACTTCGCGTATCTTATATGCTTGCATGGACGTGACGTAATATCCTGTATGTCCGGAATCCCTGGTAGATTAGTGCTAGGGTAGAGTTCAGAGCTAGCCCTTCCAGATACTACCTCCTATCGCATCCGTGAAATAGGATTTGACACTGGTACGCGGACGCAGTAACGTTCTGTGATATTGATCATGCTCTATGCATGGAAGCTCACGGTGTCTTGTTATAAGGAAAACGGCGTATTTGTTCCAAGACCCAAGAAAGCTGCGGGATAGAGCGCAACGGGCAGGTTACCTTCCTCAAATATGCACCTAAATGCAGAGACGGTATATTGACTTCACACTCACAAGAACCCTACTCTATGTCGGAGGGTTTCCTCGACGAAAGGTCCAAGTGTTCGAACATTTACATATTAGGGGATTGTGTGTCGTCTGCCGGTCCCATTATGCATGCCATGCAAAGGTTTATTGCCCCCACACTCGCCAGGCCTATGTCAGACCATGAATGGAACCTTGAGTCTTGGTCAAATGTACACAGGCTTCGACTCACCTTTTGGTACGTATGCGCGTTCAACAACAGCATTGACTGCACAGATTTGTCTTCAACTGAAATGACACCCTTGCAATCTAGTCGACGACAACTGGGGATAGTGCGGTGATTGAAGACAACGGACAACGGACAACGGGAAGATATCTATAGCAGCGTTGTGTTGTAGGAATAAAACGAACGCGCGACTACATGCGATCATTACATAATGCGATCAGATCTACTGCACGCACAAGTTCCACCAAACCTCAAACATTCCTCGAAATTCAGGAACACATACTGGGAATTTCCTGTTGGAACTCGGTGTGAAAATACCAAGGCACAGAGAAAGTCCGACACGTAAAAAACGACAAGCCTATTATTAGAGATGAGGAAGGGGTAGAAGCTGATCAGAGAGCATAACCGGTGCTTTCTGACAAGTGTCAAGGAGGCATGCAGAAATCATCATGTGTTCAATTCCGCCTGGCGATGCATGGAAGTTTTTGGTCTGTCAAATCAGCACGACAGGGACTACTCCCGGAGCATGATGCGGACGAGATGAAGTACAACAATGCAATAATACTCCTTAGAGAAAAGTCCCGAGTCCGACACCGATATTTTCTCTGCCACTTCTGTCGGGCTTACCTCGGACTACTTATGGGCTCGTCACCGGACTAGCTTTGACTAAGTTTCAGGTTCAACGTTCAACAGCAGCGCTTGCTTTGCAACAATCAGTCGCCGCGGCCGACTCGCGTGAAAAGGACATGAACAACTCGCAAGGTCATCCGGCAAGCTATTGCTCTCACCAATGTATACGCTTGTTGAAGATCGTCACTCGGAAGTATAGCAGGATTGTGAGTGAAAAGCAGGAATGGATGTGAACATAAGACACACAACTTGACGTACCCTGAACTAGCTTTAAACAACGTCACATGTAATTGGTAGCACGTGAGTTCAGTGGACTGATAATAAATAGCGAAGCGCAATCACCGCTTTCGTTCCTCAGTCTGCCCCAGCCGTTGAAGCTTCTACGGCCTACCAAAGTACCGGTCATCTTATTTCATACATTCTTTCCCAATACTGCGGCTAAGATCCGAGGCGCCAGTGATATGGAAGGCTGAAAACGCCTTCGTTCTTACCCTTGTGCGGCAAAAGTACTGATAAACGACTGGCTAGCCATAGGTTGGCAATATCCGTGAAGATTCGTAACCTCTTTGGCACTATCTACATGAACACTTAGCCTCATCTTCAAGCAATGCTTGAGCCCGATGAGGTGGTTCATTCTCTATATGTTGCGAGACGCTGCGCATGCTACCCGGCGTATATCTTCACCGTGGTATGGACAATCTAGAAACCTTAGACCCTGACGGAGCTCATCCGACGCACTATGACTCAATTGGACATCTTACAATGCTTCGAATTTTCTGCTCAGTATGTGCTTTCGCTTTTGATACATTCAACCATTCCTCATATTGTTTTACCACGGCATGCTCTGCTCCACACGACCTCAAGACAGTCACTACGAATCGGGGATCGCAGGAGGGCCGGCTCAGGAGGAATATTGACGACCTTGCAATTAACCCTGATGCATTTATTGGGAACCGAGAAAAGCCAAGTTTCCATCAGTATACTCACGGATTTCGGCGAGATGAAGGTGAGTGTAGGCGGGGTGTGTTGTGGTTCGGGGCATGTAAGGATTCATGAGATCGGTCCTAAGCCATCTTTCCTCTACCAGTACAATCTACAAATGGTCATTCAATCCAAGTATGTGCGATCAACGGAGTGTTCGAAATATGACTGACCTTGATATTCCATTCCGGATCTGGCTCGATGGTCAACGTATTGGTCAGTCCTTCCATATCTATGGGCGTGTTGGTATCGCACCATACAGACGTTGTGGTAGGGTCAAGTGTCTCACTGGCCGAAATTGCAGGGAGGCGTCTTGCAAGCGCGGGCCGCGCGCTTCGTGTTTCCGACACCGATCGCGCTGACACTGTATCTATCGCTAGACTACCCCGACCTCCTCACACCATCTCAACCGCTTCACCTCGTACTCTACAACCGGACGAAGACGCATCGCACCTCACGTAGGAGCCGGCACAGCGTGCGAAGACCAAGGACAATAAGATAAGACACGCGCATGAGGCGTGCAGGTCGGCAGAAGATAGCTTGTTCATTCTTTTCTTCTTCTCTTCACTCCTGTAACCTTCGTCCTGGACAGCCCGAGCGACGCGGATTGCACGCGGGACGTAGGGTCGAGCGCGTGATCATGCCTCCTCTGCTTGTTGGGGGGGCAACGCGTTCGTAAATAGAGTCGAGAATCGTCACGCTGACTCCCCGAACGTAGCCCGCGATCGCATGAAGCTGAGCGACGGTATTGTTCTTTCCCGGCACACCACGACTGATGCTCATGTACTCGACTACTTCATGTGAAGGTTTCTAGGTTGCGGGTATATATGGAGAGGAAACGGGCCTGTACGAGCCAGCGAACCACGCGCAGCTCATATTTCTCTTAATCTATATATTCGAATCCTTTGCTGGACCCTCGGCGACCCTCTCGCTCCTCCTCAAAGTCTACGAATCCTCCCAGGTACGCGATCCTCTTTTCGCGATTCACTCCTTCCAGTCTCAGCTAGCGCTGGGGCTATTCTATCTAACCTGATCCCGATCTCTCAGTCCACGAGGAGGCTGAACTAACGTCGACGACACCCGGGTTCCGGTCCCACGAGCACAAAACCCCCACTACGACAACGTCTAGCGTTAGAATGCACTAAACTTAGCAGCCACATAGACCGAGACCCTATCAGGCTCAGTAGTGACGAGTGCTGGAGCAGGACATCTCCTCCAGACCTGCTCTCCCTAGAAGAACCTGACCAACTCCCTGTGGCCGCCCTAGAAGCTCGAGCACAAATAGCGTTTGGGCAAGGTCGCCAGGCGTCCCTTGCAACTCTCCGAGCGCCACTATCTCCGTATTATCAAACACGACATCGATGCCCCCAATGTGAGCGTTCGCGTTGACGAACGCGTTCGAGATGTCCTCCGGCGGAGCAGCTGAGAGTCGGAATATTTCTGGAACATTTCGGTGAGGACGGACCGTCTTCGTAGGATCGCTGCGGCCGTGTCGCCCTTGCGCAGGGTGTACCCAGGTACCCTGTGTCAAACCCCCGACGAGGAATCGGTGGCTGTACGATCTTCGTAGGTCAACGACAATGACACATGATCTGCACCTGGATAATATGCCAAACCAGACCTTCGTTGGCTTTCTGTATTCAACTGTAGGCGCGAATCACACTGAAACGTTCATTTATGATACAGTGTATATGGGCACCCTCTTCGAATGCGTGCCTTCCCAGGTGTCCTCGCAAATGTTGAGTCAATTGTCCACGCAACTGGAAGACACACGCTATGTATCTAACACTGCTGGGAAGATCTACGGCGCACCCAAGTTCCAGTTTATAGGTATGTTATTCCAAGATGATAGTGTTGCAGAAACCAAGACAGCTATCTCATATGGCGGAGCAGTTTGTATCCGAGACTCTGTATACGAATGTTATGCCTGTGATATGATTCCGGAACCCGTAGGCAGGTCAAATTGAGGTATCAGTCGTTTTAATTATCTGTCACATAACTGGGAGGTGCCTCTAAAGCTCCTGGAGTGGTCGCATGAACCAATCTGCGAAGCTCCGCCAACTCTCCGCGCAAGCCCTCAACGTCTTCTACTAGATCTCGATCGGATTGGTTAGAAACACCTGCGGGAACTGCGTCATTGGGAATACCCGAAGCTGCTGTCCTGGCCTCGTGATCTGCGCGTTCTTGAAGAATTTCGCGTTGCTTCTTCTCTGTGATGACGCCGGAGAGAGCTGGAAGGTCATTACCTCGTGCATATGTGTATGGCACGGCTTCAATCGTGCCGCGAGCGACGTTTCGATGTAGTCGGCCATTGCGCCAGTGGAACGTTCTTCTACTCCAGCGCATGGCCAGAATGAGGCTTACGGTACCGATGATACCTCCCAGAACACCGCCGACGATTGCAGATACGTGACTCGAACTTCGAGTGGGATCCTCACTATGTTGGGATACGGCCCCATAGTCTGGCATGGAAATTCCAAGCGTGCTGAAGGTTATATGGGTTTGTCAAGGTCATGAAGGTGATCTGATCGAGCAGCTCACGTTCCCAGTATCAGTGGGGCAAAAATAGCACCTTGTGCAGGACTTTTCCGCGATCAGTCGGCTGCGGGAACCATACTTAAAGCGACATTGCTCACTTTGCTGATCCGTTACACGTGATACCTATGCGGTTGACCTCGTACAGTGTCGGGAATATGCACTGCGTCTGATTATAGGAAGCATGCTCCCATATTCTGGATATCAGCGCATCTCGTACAGTCGAATTGGTTGCAGTCGCAGCAGTAAATGCCAGCCATGCTGGCCATCACAGTGAGAATCGACGTGAAACAAAAGCAGACGTGACGATAGTCATACCTGAATTCACTGTTAGAGTTAGTTCGCTGTCGATGGCTGGACCAAACTCGTCTATGGCAAGTCACGACCAATTCTTGCATCCGAGAGCTGCTATAGCTCACTTTCTGTGTTGTTTAGGAGTAGGTTTGCGTAAAAGGCGGTCTGTTTAGAATAAATCTGCAAGCGGAATTGAACTGTATTGACTTCTGTTCCAGCAGGGTTTGCAAGGACCACATACCATAGAGTTGATTAGTTCAGTTCCAAGAAGAACGTCGGCATATAAATTGTACATTAAAGCCCAAGATGGTAGACAGCCATAACAGAATGGGATCCACGACTGATTGTCTGATGTTACGAGGGAGTCCCATTGGGAGGCCATCTCCGTCACCGCATTCAGAGGGATAACCTGTGGGTGTTGTGAATTCCAGGTCCTTCAAATCAAATCACATGTTGTGACGGTTTGTCATATCACATACGTAGTCCGTAACCTGCGAGAGAATATTTGATGCGGCCCCGAAAGCAACAATGCCTTTTAGGGCAAGATTCGTCATGTTAGCCTCGGTTTGCAAGTCTGCAGACATTCTGGAACAAAGTCAGCGAAATAACGAAGGTGACATTGTGTATGAATGCCCACTGGTTTGTGAATGTGACGCTTTCATCGTTCAAGTAGTATGCCCAATACATAATGAGATCGGACTGTAAGCTAGTTGCATTATGACTATCAGAAGTGGGATTGAAAGCAATAGCCCACATTATGATATATCCAGGAAGGAACAAGTGACCCTTCTTCCTCACCATGTGCTTGCAACCAGCTCAAGTAGACCGAGAGCATAATTAATATGTTTCTGGTCTCTGCAATGGGCCATCAAACACAATACTGGCACACGAAATAAAAAAACCCACGTTCTATTCCCTGTTGATGTGGTGCAACGTTTCCGGAGGCCAAAGGATATGACATCCCTTTCAAGTATACATTTAGCCAAAGACTGTATATTCTGCATATTCATTGACTGCTCACCGACGTCCCGCACTGCATAAGATAGGGTATGCTCAAGGGCCACTTGTGAGTCGAGAAGCGGTCGGAGGAGTGGCCAAACAAAAGAACTGTTGAAATAGAGGAATGTCGGTAGGGCAGCATACAAGACTTCCACCGGTGATACACGGCTGTATGGAATCATCATATTAATATGATTATGAGAATTTAGCAGAGCTTGAAGGTATGATGAGTAAGTGCTCAATGACTCACTTGTCATTGCCAATATTTTTCATGAAGATCTGTACATCAGATGTGTTCCAAGTGATACAATGGTCTATACTCCTATACTGATGCCTGACTCGTAGATGACAAGCGAGGGCTTATGGACAGTACGTCGTCCTGAAGATCGAGCGAGGAAGTCGAGAATGACCACTACCCCAAGTGAGGAGGAGCAGAGACTTGAATGAATAACCAGGTCGAACTTAGAGTTCGACCGACTAATGGTACAACTATTTATACAAGTACCGGCTACGCACGGACCACTGTATCTGTGTGGTTGTGTTAGTAAAGAAGGAAACGTAGTGGTACGATACCAGGCATGAAGTGCGCACGGACCCCATTATGTAAGCTACATAATGTTCAACCTGCGGGTGAGCGCTAAAACAGGTGCCAGTATGGGCGCTAGTAGTACAAGAAATAGAACGGAAAGATAAATGTTTCACCAAGCACCACTCTGGTCCTTAGAAATGGTAATATCTATACTTCCAAAGACTTGCCGAGAAGCAAGAGACACAAGGTCACTGTACTCAGGAGATATTACTGCAGCTGCTTGTGTCAAGTCTTCATCCAGGGACAAAGACCGAGCTGCAGTGTTGGGATAATCGTGCAAGAAGCATCGGATCTAACAGTGGATCAGACTCATTTGAGGGCATGATACGAGAGAACATACCATGTCCTCATTGTCAACATACTCATGCATATAATAGGGAGAGCGAGTTTGCATGGTCCCAGTCCAATTTGCATATATGGCGAAAGGGCGGGCATACCCCACGGACCAGACAAAAGGATTCTGAGTCATAGTAATATTCCCTAAATCCGCGGCAATGGCAAAGGCCGGCAAGTTACTACACATTTAAGTATGAGCAAGGAATATTTGGGATACATGAAGAAACCCCCACTTATCAATAGCACGATAGCTGACATCTCTCTCGTTCATCAGACTTCCAGTTGTCTTGAATGTGTCATGCAAGTCGACATCTTGCCCTGTTTGATAGGTGACATAAGGGGCCTATTGGAAGTGAGCAGGCTAATGAGACAGCACGATTCAATCCTTACATATGATGCAGCAAAAAACACAGTCCCATCATCCACTTGTCCGTTGACCTCCATTTTGTCTGAAATCCCTGATGGTGACTCGACCTTTGCTTCATGGTAAATTACACCATCTAAGATATTGACGTCGGTACTCCATGTGACAACTTGACTTCTGTTCCCTGAGGCCCATTCTACCGGATGCCGAGTATGGGAATATGGGAACATGGTTCACGAGTGAGATATGAAAGCACATGCCTGCAGAGATGTCCGAATATATTTGTACTTGGTGAAACTGTCCGTCGGCGGATGTTGCCTCAAGAGTCAAATATGAGAACGGTATAGACTGGCGTGACCAATCTGAAGGCTAAATAATGCCAGTCAGCAGCGATGTTTGTCATTGTGTACGAAACTAGTGCCTACTTCGATTGGTGTTAGAAATGTGATGTTCAAATTCATCGGACCTGCTTTCAGATTGAAGATGGTCCGGGTTGGGGTGATATGGAAACTATCTAAGCTAGCAGAATGGACCGTGGCATTGTCACCGAGCCACTGATAAGTGAAGTTATCAACTCTGATGTATCCTGTCCAGCCCAATGCCTGACTTGTATTAGTATGTTTTCTATACCACATGGTAGTAAGGACTCACAGATCCCGACCAAAACATCGGGCCATATTCGAGGGTGTGGGCGCTGCCTGCCATACTCTGCCAGCAGCTGAAATACGGCGAACGGACAGCAAGTGGTACAGCGCTGGGCCAGAAAGCCTGTGTTGTGTTACGGCTCAGACATTGAGCCAATATGCAGCAGCATTCAAATAGGACTAGGAATATCAGCAATTTGCGCAGCATATCCGCATGAAAGAGGGCGGAGTAATGGTCGGTGGGTCTCCTAGAGACGAGTCAAGCACAAGAATTCAGTCTGGGTAGTCGGTAATATATACATGATCGTGGCAGTGGATCACTGATTGTGGACACGAACAACGACATAGCCTTGTATTCGTGGTTAGCCATAGAAGCTGTCTCGATGCTGTGAGATGTGACTTGCCTTATGATACAGCGCAAGAATGGCATTCTCACTGTTAGCGACCATCACTACGACCATCGTATGATCTCCAAGCACTATCAGAGTAAGATACGTGCCCGTCAGTAGAAGGCGTCAATGACAGTGTGGGCGCCCGTCAAGCGCGCCTTTGTTTACGATCAAGATACCAATACAACTTCTACTTTTACTGGCATACATCATGACTACCACACCACTCGCTCGGGTTCATCTTCACAGATGGTCACGCTTTCTGTTTGATCATGGATGCAGTGCTGCAGGAGGCGTGTCAAATCGGTAATGGACAGGCTTCCAAGTTTGTTATCATTCACGAGGTCAAGCGACGACGACAGACGTCAGTGTTAATATAGAAATGTGAATTGGATTGAGACACATAGTGACCATCAAGACGCGAATGGTTGCTGCGCGACGGTGTTAATGACGTGCGAGAGCCTGTAGTCGTTGACGGAAGGTTGACAAGCAGGCGAACATATAGACGCTGTGCTCACGCAAGAATTCTGTGCGTCTCTTCAGATAGTAGTAGGCCAGACATCTATGACGAGTGAGCACAGGTTGCATGCACCGTGGATAGATATATTCTATCACCACATCACAAACGACAGCAGCGCCGAGTCCTGCATAGATAAATGCCAGCGACGTCTCGAATCCAGATACAAACCTATGCATATCATTTTCAGTATCTTAAAGACGCGTAATAATTATCACTGACGGCGGGTGTACAAGGGAAACAGCAAAACTACTTATTTGAAGAATAGAGAAGCAGCATCGTTTTAGCTGCAAGCCAAGCGACTGTAAAATACGTTACACCAAGCAAGTGTTAATAGGACGGGAAGGGAAACACTGGAAAGACTAACAGATATGAGCCACTTTCATGGATTCGCGCATGGAGTACCGCGTACAACGCCGCGAACATCGGCGTGGCAAGATAAAGCCACGGCGGATTTTGGAGGTTAACAACGTCCTCAAAAATCGTCGACGGCGTAGTCCCTGACGAGAACTACCGACATTTCTGTATGGTGTCGACGAAGAACGACCAATACACATCGACCTTGAAATGCGATTTAGTACATGAATTACGAACGAGGTTTCGATCATGCATACCGGACAATCCTGTCATTGCTTCAGTTTAGAAGGACGCGGCAGATACGATACAGGAATGCGTTGAGAGCATCTCTTGTGAGGATCGGCTCCAGAAGCGCGTAGGTGCCGCAGGATGATAGTGTCTATTGCAGACTGGTGGATGACGGAAAGAGGGTCCGGCAGATGCGACAGTGCTGCTACAGATGAGAGATAGTATTGCGGAATGGACCAACTCTACATATGTAGCGCGCATGCGGCCTTCTCCGATATATACGAATGGTACAACGAGCACGGAAGTTGAGAGAAATCCTTCTACGTGCATTGTATAGCACAGCCGGATGTTCCAAGTGAGCATGCTTGGGATACATGCTGTGGAGCGGGATCAAAAACCTGATCACTACAGCAGGAACGAAGGGCATGAAGATCACCAACCCGACCTTGTATTATTGAACGACCGGTCTTGGACGCAATAGGTAGCCTGCTGAGCGTCGGCGAACTCAGGTTTGGTCGTCAGTGGTTCTTGAATCAAAGCAGGTGGCATGGGGCGTCGAATCATTTGCGAACGCAGCCACCGCACGTCATCATCATACGCAATGTGTGAGTCACGGAGAAGTTGGGGCACTTACTGAATAGGAACGTAGTCATGAGCCCCTGCATGGGACGAGTCATATTAGTGCTGCAGAAGATCATGATGTCAAACCCGCATTCTCTGTGACCCAACCAACGCTCACGACTGCTCGCCTTGTCGTGCGAATTGCGTGGAATGAGCGGCCAAATTCGCGTATATCCTTTCTGGATATGGTAACAATCAAATCAGGCGACTGTTAGGCCTCTGCGCCAGAGATGTGTTGACCTCGCAGGCTCGCCCACAAGGCACCCCAGATATGAAACGCGTGATTCTGATAGCATCTAGTGGATTATACAACGTGCTGACGAGGGAGGTTTCGCGACATGACGTGGTAATGGCTTACGTAAGCACGAATGGGGATAGAATCGGAGCCTGTAAAAATTGTAGGAGTCCCTGTCACCAGTCTACATAACCTGCCTCTTGCTTCCATCCCGTCTTTTTGCTGAGCGACTTCGCTCGTATATGACTTTCACGCAGAACACTCGCGACGAGTGAGTGGAATGACGATGATTTATATACCATATTGACAATGCCTTGTTTTTATAGCTACCTCAGCGACCTCGTATTCTCTCTCCTCGCTCATTAAGACAGCGCGCATCATGTTTGCTCATCAACTCTTTCGCGTTCCTCGTTTCTACCGAGGTCTCGCAACCCATGCCAACCACATGCCTAGCCAGCAGCTACCTGCGGTGTTACATCTCAAAACTGGACAGTCTTTCACTGGCAAATCGTTCGGAGCACCTCGCAGCGTCTTTGGAGAGACCGTGTTCTCCACGTCGATTACCTCTTGTGAGTCGGAATTCAGTGCTGTGATTATAGTGCTAATGCACGCACTGGTTGTAGACACAGAGTCGATGACGGACCCTTCCTACCGTGGCCAAATTCTCGTTTTCACCACTCCTCTCATTGGAAACTATGGCGTTCCCCGTAATACTGCGCCCGTAAACTCGCAAGATGTTGGTGTGGTTCTTGAGTCGGAGAGCATCCAGTGCGCTGGCGTGGTCGTCGCCGACGTGGCCGAGCGCTTCTCTCATTACTCTGCCGTCGAAAGCTTGGCATCGTGGTGCGCCCGTAGCGGTGTCCCGGGTATCACAGGTGTCGATACGCGTGCCATCACTCGCCTCCTGCGTGATCAAGGTACAACCCTCGGGCGCCTTGCTGTGGGTGCTGACTCTGCGCTGCCTTCTCCGAAGTCCGAAGAATTCTGGGACCCAACGACCGAGAACCTTGTTGCACAAGTTTCGACTAAAACGCCATACGAGCTCAACTCAACCGGAGACGTCAAGATTGCCGTGCTCGACTTTGGCGCCAAGGCGAACATCCTGCGCTCGCTTGTGCGACGGGGAGCGGCGGTGACCGTGCTGCCCTGGGACTATGACTTCAACACGATCCGCGACCGTTTCGACGGGCTCTTCCTCTCGAATGGGCCGGGTGACCCGAACCACTGTGCGCCGGCTGCAGCTCACCTGCGGCGTACACTCGCAGAGTGGACCAAGCCCGTGTTTGGGATCTGCATGGGACACCAGGTGATCGGTATGGCTGCGGGGCTTGACGCGTACCGGATGACCTTCGGGAACCGTGGACACAATCAGCCTGTACTCGCGCTCGCATCGTCGGGTTCAATCCGCGCTGGGCGTGTATACGTGACGAGTCAGAACCACCAATACGCACTGCGCCTACAGGATCCGTTCCCAGCGGGCTGGGAGCCGTTCTTCATCAACTGCAACGATTCCAGCGTGGAGGGCATCAAGAGCACCACTGAGTCTGGGCGCAGGGTTTGGGGTGTGCAGTTCCATCCCGAGAGCGCAGGCGGGCCGCTCGACACGATCGAGGTATGCGTCTCACAATGTTGATCGTGTCTCCCGCTGACAATGTTGTGAAGATGTTTACAGACTTCCTGGCAGAGTGCCGTGCGATGAAGCTCCATTTGGGTTCGGAAACCAATGATGTCATGGGTGCGAAGGAGGAGATGCCGTTGTTGGCTCGCGAGAAGCCGCAGCGCGTCGCCGTCGCTGCTTGAGGTCAAAAGGCTGTGTCAGCTAATCAGATTCATGTGCTATACGTTTCGTTTCATTTAAGGTGTACCATACTGTATTGAGTCGCTATTGGACAATCTACTAGACTTACACAACGCGAGTGATTTTCGAGGTCCGCAGTCAAGGGTGGGTTCAGCATGAATAAAGTACATGTACAGATGGCGTGAACAAGCAGATCATAAGTTAAGCATGCGTGTAATCTCGACTTCAGGTCTTCATCGCTTCTTTGTTTTGGTCTTCGAACTCGCTTTCGCGCGCGGCTTCTTCGTAGCCTTCGACGGCCCCTCGATGATCTCTATCTCATCGTCGATGTCAGCTGAGGTCGCCTTTCGCTTCCCGCTTACGCCTCCGACGTCAAAGCTATCCACGTCAATGATTTCCGACGTTGCGGATGTTGAGACGGACAGGCGGCTGAGCTGATGTTGCACCGCATGCCCTTGCGCAGGACTCTGCTTTATGGATGCTGTGGAACTGGGTCCTGACGGATGCGCTGACCCGCGACCAGAACGAACGGAAAGCGCGGGCGACGCACGCTGCGAGGATGTGGCGGCGGGCGGATCATCTTCGTGCTCCATACGACCCCTGCCCGCACCTGCGAGCTCGTCCGGAAGCGCAACTCGCGTCTCGCGCCAGTCGCGTATGAACACGCTCTCGCCAGCTGTGCCCTCCTGGAACGTGCGCACTGCGGCGTCAACGCGTGCGTCATCGTATGCAGGCACGAGCGTCTCGCCCGTCATCCGTGCAGCGAAGAGCTCAAGCGCGAGCGATGCGGAGTTGCGTACGGTGGCATGTTCATTGGGCCCGTCTTTATCTTTGTCTGCGGCGGGCGCGGCAGGGTCACCGGGCGAGATGTCGCCGAGGTGTTCGGTCCATTCCCAGGGCCGGTTTTGCACGGGCTGCACGGGGTGCAGCGCGCCAGAGGCATCGCGTGTCGCATATGCAAGGTCCGCTACAGTCTGGTTGAGCGCGACATAGGGGAGGAGCGCGCGCATACGCGAGCGGTGCTCGGGTGGCATGCCGACAGGGAGCTGTGAGAGCTCGAATTCGGGATAGTTCCGGAAGGGATCAAAGGTGGTCGCTTTGGGATCGACTGGCATCTCTGCAAGTAGCTGATCAACAATATGAATGAGATATAAGATGTATACGGACCATCGAGTAGACAGTATAATGTATCAAGAAGGAGCGGGAATGCAACGACATCCAGTCCGGAACCATGGCCATGTAGCTGTCAACCTGCTTAGTTCTGAGCGGCGGAAAGATCGGTAGTACTCACCATGATTAGCTCAATGAATATCTTACACAAGCTCTCCGTCAAGCTCTTCACTTGGGCAGTCCATGCTCCTGGGAAGCCGAGGTCGAATTGCAGGAGACGTGCAAGAAAGATTGCACAGTGCGACGCGTGATGAGTGCGATCTTCGGCAAGAGCTATGGGCTTCTCCTCTGTCAACACATCCTTGACTTGGTTCAACCTAGTGCAGAATGCGTAGACGAATTTGTCTTGGATGTGCGGCATGAGCGGAGGCAGAGCTGCATTTCGAAATCGCTCGACAATCTTCGAGAGTAAACGCAGCACTTCGCCGGTATTTGCTACAAATTCCTCTGCACTGCGACCGTCCGAAAAATTGCAGGGGGCATTGCAAAGATCTACGACGCGCTGCAACCCAGCATTGACGAACTGCAAATACGCGGATATCAAGGTGCGTCGAGCATTGATTAATAACAAGATCTATAATACCTTGCCGGCAACCTCCTGACTGACTTCCGTCATCATCTCCGCAACGAAATCCGCCTCCTCAGGTGTCTTGCATTGTTGGAAGACAAAGGTCGTAAGCCTGTTTAGCGATAATTGGGCAGCGTTGCGAGTAGAGTCCCGAGTCAAACCCTCCCCAAGCTGCTTCAGTGTCAACCGTATTTCAATGGCAGTAGCGGCCAGCTTCCACGGAGTCAAAAGAGACGAGACGGCAACAAATCCATCTTCTTCTGAAACAGCGCCTGGGTGAGGTGTACGTCAAATTTCCCCTACAACGAAAAGCACGTCGACTCACCTTGGCTAGGATCCCGTAGCATCAGACGAAGTGCAGTGATCAGCGGTTCATACATGGTCTCCGGAATGCCGCGATATTCGAGTAGTTTTTCGAAAGCATACTGAACCGCGTCCAAATCCCGATAGACTCCTAGACGGAACACACTGAATTGGCATATCGCCTGTCGAAGTGACATGCATCCCTGCCGCAGATTGTCCACGAGAACGGCATTATGCTCAACCAGAACAAGCGTCGGTATGTTGTCCACCAACGAGGTAAAGTGAGCTTCCCGGAAAACATCCCTCCAGCGTGTTTGAAGGCCATGAGCTTCAAATACATCCTGAGGAGGCAGCCCGGTTGCACATTCGTGTCGGAGCAGAAGGCGCTCAAAGAGAGAGTTAGCAGCAGCCAGAAGAACTTCGAGGTTCTTCGCTTGGTCGCTGGACGTAGCCGTCGCTGCTGCTTGCCAAACCGGGTAAATCAAGCCATGCAGAATCGTTGTGGTGGTGAGAGCGCCGCAGACACACAGATGCAAGAGAACCACCATAACGACATCCCAAGTCTCGGAACATAGAGCGGCAACCTCATTTTTGCCAGCACCGAGGAACCATTCAAGCACATGTTTGTCGAAGCCACGAGGGAGATGCTGATCAATATGCCGTAAGAAGTGAGCATAGCGTAGTGCACAAGCTCTGCGCCCTTCGATATCGGCGACCATAGCAGGAATCTGGCGAAGACTAGCAATGGTATTGTCCCAGACCTTCCAGGCCCAGTCGGAGGCGGTCATGAACTTATACCACAGATTCTTGGCCAGATTTGATGCTGCCTCAGGGTTAAGGTCTGTGGCAAGCAAGAGGATTTCCGGAAGCACGACCGGCACAGTCTCAGGTCGCTGTGAAGTCGGTTGTAGTGCCTGGAGAGACTTATAAATATGCCATTGATCCTCGACAGTTTGCGACACTCACATGTGTGTATATCGAGACATCTGCTAGAACCTGCTGACGTTGTTCTGTTTCCAGAAATCGCTCTTGATCTACCTGCAGTAACATGTGCATGAGGGCACGGCTGTGGACACCTTGAGCTCTCCAGAATTGATGTGCACCATAAAGGGCTGCTGTGACGTCTCGCATCCTGTTCATGCATGCCCAGACTTCCATGTGCTGGCAGAGAGTCTCGATGATAACGGTCAGGAGTTTTGTCGTCTCTGTATGCTCCAGAGTGAATAGAGTGAGCTGAACAGGGACTATTCAGTGAGATGAAGGTTCGTTTATGAATGAGAAGCTTGCCTCGAGAATGGAACTGTAGCACTTTCCATGTGCCATCAGGATTACTGTTAGCGTATACACCCTTAAAATATGACTACTTTCGGCTGCATCTTGCGCTCGCCTATAGACAAATTAAGTTGGCTAATGGCAACTGTGTTGATAAAAAAGACCACTGACTGTTTGATGTGCTTGCGCAAAATAGGTAACAACCATCCATTGACAGTTCGTACCTGCTCGTAGCGAGGCGCATTGAGCAAAGTGGAACAACTTGACCAAAATGTGGTAGTGAGCTGTTCTTCTGTTGTCGACGACCCTAGGAGCCCGAGTTGTTAATATTCGTAGTCCCCACAAGACACAACGGCCGACCTTCGAACACCTCTGGAAGTAAAGCTCGAATTTCTTTCCTGATCTCACGCTCATTGACGTCTTCAGGTGTCTCGCGGGCACGGACGCCATAAAGCGCAACCTTCCTTTGCCTAGTGAGCGATGCATCAGAACTATGGAGTGGTATCCAGCGAAGGAAATCTCGATGACGCGAATGTTCAGCCTGCAGAAATAACGGTAGTGAATAAGTGCGTGGTGGCTAGAAGGCAGGATCTGATCAACTCACTTGAGCGAACGATAGACCGTCTTCTCCCCGCGCAATAAGACGTTGGATGTACGCCTGATATGAGAAGAGCCCGTCCTTCACGAGCTGTCCAAACATCAAAGACACGGCGGGAAGATTCTCCGGCTCCGCAGCGTCTTGCGAGGAATCTAGCCAGTCAAACAGCTGATCTTGAATGTATTCGTCTGGGGATGCGGCCTCATGGCGGATGGCGCGCTCGCCCACCTTGTGTCGCCATGTCCGAAGGAGACCGCCAGCTGCATACGGACGGTGATCACCATACTGCATTGACGTCACGCTCCAGGTGAGTAGGATGTCGAGCTTCCGTGCGAAGGAGGACTGCGAGCCGAGGGTGTCATCGAAGAACACGACAATATCCATGTCTGTCGTTCCGGACAGTGAATTGAGAAGCTGGTTGCACATCGTCAGCAGAGGGAGCTGAGAATCAAACGGGTGATACCGTGCATACTCTGATGTCTGCCAGTGCCGAGGTAAGACTCCCCACGACCCGCGGGGGTAAGTGCCGGAAGAGCATGGCCTCGTTGCGGTGCTGCACATCGGCAAGGCGATCGAGGAATGTCCGATGCAACGCACGGGCATTTCTGTCGCCGACACTGTCGGATAAATCGGTAGCAGGACTTTGTGAAAAGATATCCTCCAATAATTCTCCGTATGTCATCCAAGCCCGCGGGCTGACAAAGGCATCTGACTGAGCAAGAAAACATCGCTGTTGCGCCCGGATTATTTGGTTCGTCTTGACACTTTAGCCAACTGTACGGCACTCACCGACAACAAATCCTTGAGCATATCTTCAAGATTGGCTAGGTGGTCCTTTGCAGATGTCGAGTGGATCTGGGGAACGTCTTAATGATTTCATAGCATAATATGCCAGAGTACGTGCCTCAACAATTCTTGCTAGACATGCTTCCACGAAATGATGGGTCAACGCTCGACTGATTAACATACCATCGAGGTACTCGTCTGCCAGATGAGCAACGAATCCCAGTTGAGCTAGATTGCAAGTGCCCATTTGTTGTACTAGCCATGCCAAGAACGTGCGATTGTCTACGAGGCCCTCCGCGTAAAATGTGTGCAGAAGTTTCAAGCTGCGAAGATGTTGGTCTGCATGCACATCACACCCTTATTCTACTCACCTGTATGTAAAACGAGATATCCAGCGCTCTCGGGCCTCCGTGTCAGCCAGGAAATTCTTGAATGTTTGTTTGATGTTCAATCCGAGACGATGCGCGGTTGGGAGAGCAATGTCAGTTAACTGCTTCTTGAGGTAGCTCGTGACAACGTTCGCCCATTCAACACTGTACTGAGTTGGGTTGTATCCAGGCTTGTTTCGCAGACCTGCCTGAATTATACGCCATCTGAGATACAATGTCGAGACAGTTAGAAGTCGGGACATACTGTTTCGTTGCCGCCAAAAACACGCAGGAACCAAACAGCGCGAGGTATGGCGACGTTTTTGGTGTGCAAAAGATCAAGCAAATCATGTCCCTTAGCACCGTGTGGCACGTTCTTTCCGAGTTTGTAGAGGGGCACGTCAGGGTTCGCCAAATCAGCGAACCATGCTTCTCGCTTTGTATCATTCAGAGTGACTCGCGAAGGCATGCGGAATGAGGTTGAGCTATTCAGATTATTGAGCACATAATATCCGATTTATTCACATGGGAGCATACGGGATCTGCGGGATGCTCTCGGCTTTGCGGACGAATACCTGGTTCAAGAGATCTTCGAGCTCGCTGAGAGCATTCTCTTTGTCGAGGAGGTTACCCTTGATCGTATCTTGAGCGCTATACGACTCAGCCTACGTATAGATATATGTGAGCGTCACTTGCGACATTCCCATTCACAGGAGCACGTACTGGTACAGCATGGTCGAGGATAAGGCCATTCTTGACATTGGTCTCTGTGAGGACTTCTTCCGCGTCATCAGGGCGAGGAGCGAAGAAGCCAACATATCCTTTGAGAAGACATGATTAATACATTGTGTCCCAAATTATACCAATGCTTACCTAGATCTGCAGACGCATGGGCCCTGGGCACCCATTCTGGCGGATGCAATTCGTATATAGGAGGTGGGTCAGGTTGCTTCTCCTCTGCCATAGCACCTAAGCTGTGTCCAGAAGCTGTAAAGCCGTCAGGCAGCCAATCCATGAGTTTGCCTGATGCAACGTACCGGCAAGATAGTGTGTCCACTGCGGAGCGGAATGGGTGATACTAGCGCAACAACTGCTTTCTAATCTAGATGACAATTACTTGCTACAGAAGACAGCACCTATATCTGATGATGATGTAGACTAATGATTTTGTACATGCTTATGACGGTCGAGAGATGGTATGATTGAAGTAATGCCGACTAAACTTGCCACCAAAATGCTCCCGCGGTAACGCTGGCGCTCCGACATAAAGCCTACGGTCACGTATTTGATCCGGTCAGTGTCACGCTAGTTCGAGCGCTAGTCACCGTTGTACTCCACTCATGCAGATACGACATTTGAGTCATTTATGCTCGCAAACTTGATCAATCAAACCAGCGAGACATGGTAACATTCAACAGCATGCGCTTATTCTCATTCATCAGAATAATCACTCTCGAAACATCTGTGTTACTTTCGGCTCCCGTGTCGCCAAGGTCAATGCAGGATCAATCTACATGTTCACATCCGCCGGCCTACAGTTATGTCTACCTTCGAGCACAGGAATCAACCTCATTGTCATTTGCAGCCGTTTGAAGTGGATCGTAAGTAGCTACCTTCGAGGGGTCAAACATCCCGTCCTCTGATATTTGCCTCTCGAGGCAGTATTTCAAGTCCTCCTTTCACCTGCCCAACAGGATTCCTCCGTCTACCTGATTGAAGATGAGTCTACCTTCACAAATGTATCTTGACCTTCACTTACCAGAATTACCGTCCCTGAAATATAGCTACCGGCCCGCGACGCCAGATAAAGTACCGTACCTACTACATCCTCTCCGCTCCCAATCCGGCCGATCGGGATCACATCCCGCCTCTGTGAGATGAAACTCCGCGGATCGTCCGGGTTGTTCATCTCCGACGGCACGTTCGCAGGTGCGATGCTGTTCACGCGCACGCCCAAGCGCGTGAACTTGGACGCGAGGCTCTGCGTCACACTGTGTGCTGCTGCTTTGCTCGCTGCATAGACATGCACCGGCGAAGAGTAATAGAACGCGGACACAGAGGAATTAATAACGATGCACCCGCGTCCGTCGCGCGCGCCGTTATTCTGTTTGGACGCTCGGACGAGGTGCGGGAGAAGGAGAGCCGACATCCACTGGCGGTGATGTCCGAACGTATGTCCGAACGTGAGTCAGCATGCGTGCATATAATATTGATTGTGGAGTAGCACTAACCTGCACAGACGAGACGTTGACAGCGAACTCATGCGCCCAATCCGTGTCGGACGCCTTCAGCAGCGCGTCGCGCACTTGCTCTGGCGTAGCTCCCGGTCCCCACGCTCCTTCCTCGTGCGCGATCCCCGCGTTGTTAAACAGCAAGTCGAGCCTAATGTCTGCCGCATCTATGCCCGCCTTCTTCTCTCCTCCTTCGAATGCTTCGACGATCTTCCTGCATCCTTCGCTCGTACCCACGTCCCCCACGATCGGGATAATCACGTTGGGTGCGGCCTGCGTGGTGGCCTCGACGCCTGCCACGCGCCTGCCAATGATGTAGACACGGGATGCGCCCGTTTCTGCGAGACCTTTGGCGACATACGCACCAATTCCTGAGCCCCCTCCGGTGATGAGCGCGACGCGATTGGAGAAAGAGAACAAGTCGGGAGCCATCGGTATCGTGGTGTGTGGGAGACGCTTGGATGCGAGTTACGCCACGCCCGCATGTCCTTTAATGAGGATGAACTGGTGTCCCGCATGTAGTCCGAGCTCCACTGTGTGTCCGAAGGCCTGACTGCCGGCGCATTGGTCAATATGATCAATCAATGTATAAGATGGGCCCACGGCCTTGCTGCGCGCTCCGCTTTCTCCGAAGTCGTACGAACCTGCGAACAGAATTGTATACGGTGGTCCTTAAAATCTCAGGCCTCAAGCTCAAGACCAATGGTGCTTGTGATATCGAGATATATGTACCATTACATGTATCAATGCAGAGGATATGCGGTGGATATAGTCCGTGGGAATAATGTGATGCTGGGTAAGGCCTTACGGGAGAATACTCCGGGAAAAGCGCAATGAGAAGGTGGTTTTGATTATACATTATACACAGAGGGAACCGAAAATGCAGATCTTCATGATGCGATTATGGGCAAGGCTGGATCTGGATCGCTGCTGCGGAACATGAATGATCAACTATCGTACGGATCAAGTCTTGAATTGCTCACTCAATCGTTCGGGGCAGCTGGTCGATGCATTCCCGAATGACACGCAGGGTCTCCTTCTGGTCGTAAAGCGGCCGGTCACAGGTCACACATCGAGCATCCCAGCACGCTCGCGCCGCAGGCCACTCCAGCAAACCTTTGTTGCACACTGTATCGCCCAGTGGTCGTACATCCATCTCCAGAATGATGGCATACTTGAGCTCGCGCCAGGTATGGTAGTCAACGACATTGCCACAGTTGCTGCATAGTGTATCACCGCCCGCATTGACGAATGGCGGGTCATCAAGCCTGCGACGGAGCGCTTCGCGCCGCCCGCGATGCAATTCGAAGAGGCTGAGAAGCGCAAGCGGTGAGAGCTTCATCAGCTGCATGCGGTGCTCGGGCTCGTGCAAACTGAGTGTAAGCGTGTGCTGTGAGGCCATGCGCGCTTCGTCGGCCCACCCATAGCGACAGGTAACGACGTACAGACGGAGCGGGTCCGCGACGAACGGCGGCGTCGCAATGAGGGCGCGTACGATCGACATTGGACCTGGCATATCATACTTCTCAGCAGCAAGTAGAATAGCCTCTATGACGTCGTACGAGTCCAGTGACGGGATGGGCAGACCACAGGCCAAACGCAGAAGCCCCTCGAGGGTGGTGCTGTCCTCGTCGAGGTAGATGTGGCTCGCGGGCGATTCGGGCTCGCCCCCGGTCGGCAGGGTGAACATGGTGCGGAACCATCCCGAGGTCGTTTTTAGCGTATACGAATGTACGCGGAAGAGGGTACGGTCCTTCGAGCCCAAGACAGTGTCGCCGTCGGATGAAGAGAAGAGGGGGTGGTATGCGGGAGACTGCGTGCCGTCCGATTCTGCTTGCATAAAATTCAACGAAACCTATAATAGTGGAGTCTGTGAGACTTTCTAGGTCGATCATTGGGAAATGAATGCGCACAATTGCAATGGTCGGATTGGTTATGATGGCTAGTAACAAACAGGTAATTAACTCAATCAGATCTTGATCTTAGCGCGTTGACGAGACAGCACGTGATCGTGCCACAATTTGTCTACCAACAACTTTCTGCGGGCCCAGATGCAGGTACAATTGCTGCGTAGCGTCACAACACTCCAAGCCAGGTTCAGCCTCAATTATTCAGCCCTTGACTAGGATGGCTGTTTAACTATGTTGTCTGCATGATCTCTGTCCAAACACCGCGTTCACTTTGTGTAGCGTCCATGATCTATATATGCCACGTACTAGTTGTGCAGCGAAATGAGTTGTTGCTCTCACGGTTGTAACGACAGATTTTCATCTTCCAGGATTTCACCCTCGTCTCCCATACTTCTCAGTGCATTCATATTACGAGTGCAGAAATCCGAGTGCGAAATTTCAAATGTCTGCGAGCTTCTAGGACCAGGTCTCGCCGCAGAAGTTGTACTCAATACGTTCTTCTACGGCACCTGCTTCGTCCAATTCATCCGATGCTATCGGGTTTACCACAAAGGTCAATTGTGCGTATCTTCACCTCCATCAAGACCCTCACCATGCTGAAAATATTTCCAGAGCTGACATGTTGTGGCTATTTGTCGCTGATATGGTGCACACAGCGATCTCCGTTTTACTCTCCTAGACCTACGCGATTGTCAATGTCGGTGATCTCGATGCACTACAGAAACTTTCATTTGCATGCCGTGCAACATCAATGTTTGTGGCCTTCTACGCACATTTTATTGCACCACTCTTCCAACGCAGACCATTGACCCCTCCCTTCGTGGTGCGGCGCATCTCATCCAGCTCTTGTTTATATTTGCCATGAAAATGCTCAATAACTCTTTCAGCACTGCCACACCCATGCTTCTTTCCTGCCAAATGCTCCTTAGGATCACCAATTCCATCATATATTTGGCTCTTTTACAATCAACATCCTCGTGCGCGCATTGGTATATCAGGGAACCAACAGACGCGTACGACAGAGTCATGGCCTTCTAGATGTGCGCCCTAGCCCACGCTTCTATTCATCAACGCAAATTTGGGTCCCGGCGTTAGTTGTGACGCGCTTATAGGGTATGTGCTGAGACTTGTCATAAAGTGGGACGTGCATTCACTCGGCGCAGTTCCAGCTCCTTGATATATCACTGTTTAGGCTTTGTCGCCAGTATCATAAGATTGTGCATCCCATTGTCGTCGATTTCTGCTTTGATATCGCATCCCATGTGCATCAATGCGTGGATGTCGGTCATGACAATAGGTCACACGGTATGTTAGTCCTCTTTGCTCATAACAAGCCCTGGTGCGTCTTCCCGCTTCAAACAACATACCTATACACGTTTGTCGTCTACCACTCGTGATGTGATCTATTCGCTGACAGTCTACAGCACTTTCACAGCTCTGTGTGTGTTTCCATCACTCCACACAAAGAATCAACTCGGTGGTCCAACTGGCATTGGCTGTACAACAATCGTGCGACCATCACTCAAAGAGACACCGAGGTGGCAGACCACAGTACGTCGCATTATGTCCGACCGTAAGTGTTCCGGGACACGAAGATGACTGAGATGCCGAATATACAGCCGCACTTGCCGCCTATCCGCAATAGACCGAGCGACATGCGGTGAGATATAGAAGAAGATAGGATCAAGGAGACACTGAACTTCACAGTCTCAGAATGTTCAACCTTCTTTCTTCCATGGCCAAGCATGACATTTCCGAATGCGAAGTCTCACGCACGTATTCTGCCATTGGTGACTGGATGCGTGTTGGATGTGGTTTGATGTTTCAGAATGAAACCATCAGCTGTGGCTATCGTTCGTTTCATATTCCCAGCCTTCGCTCAAACGTCGCTCAAGCCGTATTTCATCTATGAGCAACGTTCTGCCATGACGCTCTGAGATTACCGTATGATCGCGTGCGAGCGCGCCCGCTGGCACTGCGACTGCCTGTATGGATGGGTTAGGCGTTTTGGTCGGCTCCGTCCTCTCGGTATGAAGAGCCTCAAGGTGGACAATTTGGAGGGCAAGCTGTCCCCAGGAGGGTATAAACCATTACGCATGCCTCATGTTAGCTAAATTAGCACACAGGAATGGCGGAGATGGATGCGTCCCTGAACTTCGCGCTCCATATGGTATCCCAACTTCCAGATCGTGGGGATAGGCGTTTACCAAACAGGTAGGTACGCACAACCATACCCTCCGCTTGGCCCGGGGCTACGGACAAGACACGCCGTGCAATGAAGGGCGGCTTGAATTGACCGAGTTGTGCTCCGCTTGTCCCTGGTAGGCTGAAATACATTGGAGGACGGCGGTATTGGCAGATAGTGGTGGTTCAGACACTATCATCCAATGACCTCTTAAAATGCACGTTCATATGGGCAGCGCGCAACATGTGAGATTGCTGATGCCATTGCCTGGGCCCTTCTCTCGGGCGGACCCAAGATTGTTACACAGAAGCACAATAGACTCCCCCCACCAAACGTCTCTCGTATAGTTGGTTCCTTCCAGAAACATATGTGCGGCCGGAGATTGTTGTGAAAATTGCAAGGCACAGGTCCGACTGTCGCTATGCCCGGCGATTGTATAGAAAGCAGTTGGGAAATGATGAAGGAACCGACACCGTAAGCGCTGTGAGAGGTCTTGTGTGGCTCCTTATTCCCGACCCGCAGGAGACACTTTCTAAGGCGGCTGAACTTAGCTTACCGTACCACCTGGTCTTTGAGAAGCAGTGGTCAGGTGTGCCTCATTAAATTGACAGTATGTCGTGACCACCGACACAAAGCTTATCCTGTACGAAGAGGGCCTAGAGAGATATACCTTGTGCGCCCGCGGTAATTTCGTCGGATCTAACGAAGGTAAAAAATGACAGATTCTCGAAGTGAGTTGAATGACTGCAGAAATTGATAGCACAAATCATATAGATATGCGATCGAGCTTCTACGCACAATAATGACACGCAACGTACATAATTGTCTCGATTTACACTTTCGTTAATGTCGTTGATCCCAGGCTGGGGTTAGGTCACTCTGCTTCACTACACTCATTACTGTATGATCTGCGCCAGCTCTCCTCTATAGCCTGTACGGCTCAATTTCTAATCCTTTACCTTGTAGGTTCCGGACCAGACGCTGACTTAGCGACATGTAAGCCACGGGGGGAGGGTGCGGTGCCCTTCAGAGTGGCGTCACGAGCACAAAAACTAGGACTCCGCCGATGGGCTCCTAACACAGGGCCCGGACGGTTTCCTCATGAGCAATCCGAGAGAAGCTGTGAGTGGATGAGAGCTTCCATTATTCGTGAATGTGACGGCTGACCTTGAACGACGAGGAATCTGCGCAATACAGGTCCAAATCACTGTGGCGCTCTTGGAGACTGACGAGTTCCTTCCAAAAATATGTTTATCTAGGGTCGTAGTGGTCTATCAGTAGCACTTGTGAATTATGCAATCGCTTCGTTCGGATCCAGGTGTTTTTTTTTTCTTTTTCGGTCGTAACCGGATTGCTCACTCGCGATTTTTTATTTTGGAGTACTGCATGCGACAAGTAACAACGAATGTCTCTATCGGCTGGGGCCATATGTACCGAGGAACGACTGTTCACTTTTTTGTAGCCTGCGCGGAAAAATTCCCCCACCATTATTGATTGCGCGAAAGCCAGTGGGCTCCCTTCGCCGTCTGAGAGTATTTCCTATGGTCCACGCTCAGGTTCGGAGCCTGAAGCCGAACCGAACCGAGACGTTAGGTATGTGGGCGGCCTGCACAGCAGATTCTTGAAAGATTCTACTTTTAGTTAGTTGAGCGCCCGGAGATCTCCGTGCGTCCAAAATCTTGGTCACGAAGGAGGAGGTGCATTATCCCTTTTGCTCAAATAGCTTAGGGTTGTTGTGGCGAGGTGCAATCTTTTTAGACCACAGCAGCACAGGCAACCAGCTGGCCCCTGTTCGTGAATTGAGATGGACTCATACACTGCCTCAATACTCGCCACCTTGCAGTGTTCGGGCAACGGAAAGACTCGGGTCAGATGATGATCGCGGACACCAGGACTTAATTTGGATCTCGATCACTGAAAAAGCAACCCTGACCATTGATTTCTTCACGAGACAGCGCCCACAAGCGTTCTGCAATTGGCGTGAAACTTTCCTAGTCTTTCGCGTTTTGAGTTAGACACAGTTACAAGTGGGTCTTCTTGAACGTTTCAGGGTTCCAAAGCCTCGAGACAGGCCGCTGCCGGCGAGAGTTCGCGTGACTATTAACTGAATTGCTGAGGAGGACAGCTGTCAGTCAGCGCACACAACAGTTGCTCTGACCAGACACCACGCCACTGCACAGCGAGTGAGTCACTGTGTTGGGCAGCAGTGCCCGTGTATTACTTTCCACTGGCGGATTTAATACCTCCGAGCATCACGTCTAGCTGCCTCGTTCCTCTGGAAATAATGCACTCCGAGGCGGACGAAGAGAACCTCAGATGTCGTCAAGCCTCGGATCGATCAAGCGCTTCATCTTGCCCGCTTCGAGGAAAGGTGCTGGTAGAATATGGACACTCGTACATATTTGGTATCTGAGCTCGATGCGGCCACTAATCAAAATTTTCTGTTTCCATCTCAGCCACCAATCCCAAGGTTCCATGCAGGAAATTTAAGGCCAATGGCCGACCGAGGGATACGTGCCTGGAAGCGATGAATGTAAGGCGCGCTGGGGCCGACTGTCGCTTCGGCCGGTCTCTACACAGGAAACAGGTGAGAGATTCATAAAGAGTTACGGTAGGGTCAGACGCTCTGAGGTTCTGTGATGTTCAAGAAGCACGAGACAATATATGCGCGGCTAAATCTATGCTCACCGTGCCTTCTAGTCTTCGAGAAGCAGCGGTCAGGTGTGCCCGACCGCCCTGAGCCGATGATGTCTATATAGATGAAAATTGAAGACTTGCAGCTCCCGGAACAGACAGGATTGTATTGCTGTTGTCACGCAGAAGGCCTCGGACGCGCTACGCGCTACATGGAAGTAACAAGTATTATGCGGGAACGGAAATCACATCCCGATTAAGATCTGTGTAGATTATGAATTCCGGAACCCGCTCGCCATGCCGTTACACCGGGTCCCTGATTTTGACCACGTTGACGTCCTATCTTCACGGTGTTGCATCATACGGAAGCGATGTTATGTCATGCTCTCAGCTTATTAAGTTAGTCCGCCCGGCCAGCCATAGCATCATATCTCAGTTAAGTCCGCAACATCGATATGCGCCTAATAATTTCCCTACATTGCGCCCTACCGTAGCGACATTCGTGCTCAGAAGTGGCTACTGTGGTCCATACATATAAATCACAATATGCGAAGAGGTACAAGAGACGTCCGGCAGAATCAAATGATGCAAGTATCCAAGGCTTCTTCTTTAATCGATCGTACATTTGCTTCTCCGCATCGTCCACGGTGCACGTACAAACGTGGCTGTAGAGCCATCCGTCCTCTCTCCGCAACTGAATAATTAATCGTGTGATCGTGTGATACTACCACAAGGCCCGTCAATAGATAACACACGTCGCGCGCCACAGATTGATGATAGCGCGACGTGGCGGATATAACCACGGCGACTTGTTGAAGACACCGTGCGTGCACGCAAGGGCGCTGGCCTCAGCGGTATTCGGCGCCACAATCTCCAATCGCGGTGATGAGATGGCGTCCATTCGACTGCTCGAGCACGGCATCGATCGCAGCGTTGTCCTCTTGCGTCAGCTGGAACGTGAACACCCTGCTGTTGTCGCCGCGGTGCTCCGACACGCCGAGGCGCGCCCCTGCGGTGCTCGTCAGCCGTCGGCGATGGCATGGGGGACGCGTGAGGAACAGGGGAGCGGCGTACCGATGATAACCGCGCCCACGCACGGGTAGTCCAGCACCCAGCGGGTCGCGACGTTGGCGATGCTTACGCCGCCGTGGCGGTCGCCAATCTGGCGCAGGACAACGAGGAGGGATTGGAATAGCGTCCAGTCGCCCCACGCCTTGACGATCATGTCGAGATACTGCCGGGAGCAGAACGGGTTGGGTGTGTGTATTAGATGACACTCGTTCTGGGCGCGGGATGTGGCGCACCTTGCGCTGGGACGGCGTCAGCCTGCCTGAATATGCGTCCGGCTCGGGCTGGCCCAGCCATTGGTCGGCGAGGAAGCCGCCGCACTGGAGACGACAACGCGCGCATCACGGCGCGTACCCCGGTTAGCAGGGCTTGCGAATGCGTGCGAGAGCGCGGCTACCCACCAGCGTGCCGTACGTGAGCAGCCTCACGTTGTGTCTCTGGCACACGTCTGCCATGCCGTGCAGCGGGCGTGTGTCGATGAGGGAAAACTAGGAGCAGAGGAGAAGAATGCACGTCAAGCCACAGACGCGGCGGCACGGGGGAGCGCGCAGACCTGCACTTGGTTCGAGACGATGGAGCCGGGGCCCAGCTGGCAGCATATCTCGTCCGTCCTGATCGCGTCAAAGTTGCACAGCCCGAGCGTCGTGATTCTGCCCTCCTGCTGGAGGTCCTGGAGGTGGCGCAGCGCGGTCAGATAGCCCTTGTCGTTGTAATCTTGCCAGTGGAACTGAGTCGCCGCTGTGAGTGCCGTGTCCGCTAGATTGTTTACAGCGGCTGGGAGGAATACCTGTAGAAGGTCGATGCAGTCTGTCTGCATACGATCAAGCCGTTCTTGCACGGCGGCTTCCACGACCACACGGGTGGGATTTGTCGGCCGGAAGACACACCATTTAGTTGCGCCCACAATGCGCTGTGTGTTCTGACGGCTACGCCGGAATTGGCCCTGTTTGCACGGGTTAGCCTGACAGCAGCCGCACAACAGAGATATGTCGGGTACAAAAATGATTTCTGAGCTTCCATAGTGATCGGCTGAGAACACGGTCAGTACGTTGCAATCCAACGCGGCGTGCGAATAAGACACACCCTTGAAATGGAACAGATATCATCGTGGACACATCAGCACTTTTGCCGAGGGCTGGGACGTAGCTCTTACCATGTCTGCGCACGACCGCGGTCAGCACCAGGCCGTCTGCACGTCGAGCGACTCACCAAACGCGGTGTAGCCCTGCTCGACATACTGGGACATCTGTGCGCGCACCTTGACGATGGGCGCGCTGCCCCAGGCATTGCTGGAGAGCTGCCACAGGCCGTTCCACAGACGAGGGACTCGAAAGGGGCCGAGAGGGAAGGACTCGAGCGTGTTCTCCATGGATCAACTTGTGATCTGCGAGTCGAACTAGATATCAGTGCCAAGGCGCACCTGCAGGACGCGATGTGACTATATAAGTGATACTGTGTGTATCCTACAAGACGCCGGCGGCGGTGCAGCAGTCTGACGCCTAACGACCCATCGTCAGCTTGAAGCCGACCGTTTTGGTTTGTGACGGCCAGGCGACGCACCAAGATATCGGGGACGAAACCACGGATAAACCGAAGACAATGGAGCGGAGTATCAACTCGCTCGATTTTTAGATCCGTTCTTCGCCACTCGGCAGATTCATTGATCGCCGGGCCTGGAGATTCCGTCGGTCCAACAAACCTGAGATTCACGCTCCTCCTACCGCGATCGGTCCCCTCTCCCGTGGCGCTCCCAGCGCATCAGATCTCAAGGCCACCATCCGGCGTTGGTTGGCACACAGGCGTGCATAGCACATCATCATTCATTTCCGGGGTGGGGGTGGGGTTACGGCGACACTATGGACCGGCACGACAGGCCAAGCGCACGTCGGACGGAATAGTATAAATTAGCCGGTGGAAAGATTGAAGACCGACCAACCCAAGGATAACGCTCCAGGAGCCCACGGATACGCAAGTCTAACGCATTCGAACATCACCTGCTTCCTCTTCCCGAAGATCCACGGTCTCGTGCGCACACCCAAGCCGTGTTTTTATTGACAGGCTTCTCCCGAATCCCCAATTTTACGAACATGGCTGCATTTCGGTCTCAGCAGGACGTGCGAGTAGAAGTTGCCAGAAATGCACCGGCTCCTCTTCGCTGTCACACTGGCACAACTCGCCTCATGCAATACGGCATGCACCCGGGGACCCAGGTCCCAGACGAAAAAGCTGTGTATAAATGTGTTTCGTCACGTGAAGGCGACGTGAGCCACCCTGACGGATTAAATGATGACAATTTGCAAACTTACTCCTTCGGCGGTTCCCGAGAATAAGCGCCACATGGGATGGCGCAAAGCAAGACCCTGTACGCGTCCCCTGGGATCGCCGCACTCGAATGTGGTTTGACGTTTGTTAGTCTCCTTAGATCTAGCGCACATCTATCCTGCTCTTAACATGCGCGCACTCGCAGCGGACAACAAATTTCAGTCAGAGGCCTGCTACGGACATCTGAAGCTAAGGAGAACCATACCCACATGACGCTGCTGCTTTTCCCCCCCTCCGGCGTGCAACAAGGCGAGGCGGGCAGCTGCTGGTCTTCACATCGCCGCGCGAGCAAGTAACAGAATTCGCTTACCCGAGCGCCGGCGTCCATTCGAGGAAACAGCTCCCCCTCGCCGCTGATGTTTAAAACGCCGGAGACAGGCCAAGCATGCACTGATGACGAGCGCGCCCTGACGCGGACGCAACCCGCCTCCGTAATGTCTCGGCATCGCGAAGGGAACCGGTAATGATCGAGTGCCCGACCCGCCCACGATCGGCGGCAGCCTAGGGGGCGGCGGCGGGTGTTTCCATCGCGCCCGCGTAATGCATAGGCGATGTCGACGGGGGGCGTGGCGGCGACAGGAGACAGGAGCTGTCGATGGTCGCCGCCACGCGTCCCGAGCGCGCGCAGGATCTGCCAGAACGCGATAGCCACCCGAAGAGGGGCGCGGGGCAGGTGCTCTGATAGCAGGGCGCCGCGACGAGCATGGCACGGGGGGGCGATCGGGCAGGGCACGAACGCACGAAGATGAAGATACGGATCGGCGCGGGCCCGCGAGATGCGATTTGCGGGGTGATTCGCTGCATCAAATATTGAATCGGCATCTCATTCGGCCGCCCGGCACGCGCGTGACCGGGACGAGCGCGCGCGCGTCGTCTGCGATTGGAGATGGCCAAATTAGCCTCGGGCTGGGATCCCTCTTGGCCCCGCGCGGGCTGCCCGGATAACGCTGACTGCCCGGGCCCGCCATATAAGTCCTACCGTCCCGCCTCAGCCAAGCCTCCAATCAAGCCTCCCCTAGCACGATCTGCATTCCCTTCACGCACACACACACGACCACTCCGAACATGCCTGCGCCCGAAACCCCTCATGAGACACGGCCCATCCTCGGACATGTGTATGCACAGGCACCTTGATCGACCCCACCCGCACATACTCACACACATACACAGAAATCTGATGATGGATAGCTTCATCGCAAATGCAGAGGCAGACGAGTAAGTACCCCTTACTTCCCTGCACCCGGTCTGAAGTCTAACGGCATCCCACAGCCTCCGCGCCGTCGTGCGCACACTGCTCGCAACGAGTCCGCACAGCGTAACCGCGACATTCACCGCCGTCGCGCGCCGCAGGCTCGAGAAGATGAACGCCAAGGCGCTCCCGCCCTCCGTCCGCCTCTTCATGAAGGCCGCCGACGGGCTCGCGCGCCCCGGGCCGGACCTCCGCCCTGTGCTCGCCCGCGCCCGCGCCCTATACGGCGCCGGCATGGGCTTCGCCAGCCTCGCCCTGCTCACCGACGTCGCGCGCCACACGCTCGGCCTGCGCTGGGACGAGGAGAGCGAGACCGGCGACGTGCTCGCCGCGATCGACGCCGACATCACGCAGGCGATCCAGAGCGCCAAGGAGGAGCTCGGCGGCGCGCGGGTGGCTGACCTCCCCGGCGCGCGCACGACGGTCGGCGAGCTGTACGGCGTGCTGACGCACTGCGAGCAGGACGCCGCGCGCTGGGGAGGGGTGTTCCCGTTCGAGCGCGCCGCGATGAGCATCCAGTATTGGAAATTCTAGCACGAAGGCTTCGTGCGACTTCGACTTCGACTTACGACTTTGACTTTGCCTTGAGAGACGGACGGAATGGAGGATTGGCCGGATGCATGCAATAACAGCAGCTGTATTACTAACGCACACGCGCGGCCCGCGCGCACTCACCTTATGACGACGTGTGTATGATACTGTATGGAATATGGAATATACCCGGACTCTTCTGTCTGTTTTGGACGCACCTTCTATCTTCGCAAGCAGACAGTGGCGTGCCTTGTCCGCTTCCCCGGGCGCTAAGGAGCAGCGGGTGGCTAACGCCGTGCGAGCGAGTGATGGACGGGTGCAGTCCTTCTTTGCCTGACAGGATCCGTTACGACGCGAGAATTTCGGGGTTCCTCGCCGATAACATCGGAGTATGCGTCGTCTGGAGCATTCATCACGTCGAAGGCATTGTCTGTACGAATTCGCGTGATTGAGGAGGAAACGAACGAATCAGGTCGGACGGGGGTAGCACCGACCAGCTGACTAAGGGTCTGTCATTGGCGATGGGATATGTCGCGAACAGGTGCGCTCGAGCCCGGCTTGTATGTCTCAAACGACGTTGTTGACACGTACGAACGCCATCATACTGAACTGGATTGTGAAACTGGCAGGTTACGCGTACAGGGTGACGCGCAGTCCCAGATTGTCGCCCGTGCGCGTGCACATCCCTCGGAGAAGCGCAGATGCAAGCACGAGGCGAGGGTCGGGTTTATGGAGCGGAACAGCAGAACAAGACCTGCGAAGAGAATAGATGAGGCTCATGCACGCAACGAAGACGAGGACGAAGAGCCTCATCACGGTGACGGCGGCGCACAGTGATGGCGGGTATGGGCGTCTGTCCGCGCAGCAACCGGCTGCCACCGCGCGCAGCTGACTGTGAATGCCAGTCTGCACTGCAATGGCTCCTCCCTCCTTCCCGCGAGCTGCGCCTAGCTCCACTCCAGCCCTCTTTCTTCCCTCCTGCAGCAGCGCTGTCTTTCCTTCATTCCCCCATCTCACATTCTCCTTGTTCTCCCCTTCGCTAGCTTGCAGCTTTTGGTTCTGCTTTCTGCTTTCTGCCTTTCTACTACCTGGATTGCATCCACTTGATCGTCTCCCAGTCTAGATCCTCGGTCTCACGATGATGTTCGCAAGCACGCTTTTCGTCGGTGCCCTCACAGCCGCGGCGGCTATGCATGCAGCTGCCGCTCTTTCGTGAGTCCCGCCTCCTGTGCTCGTCACGCAGCGCACGCTGACCGCACCATAACCCAGTCTCTCGTCCCAATGCCAGCAGACCCTCGCCTCCGTCGTCACCTCCTCCGAGGCAAAGTGCCTTGACGCGCAGGCCCTCATCGGGCTCGTCGTCGCCGGCACCAACTCGTCTGTCGTCGGCCCGCTCAACAACTGGCTCACCGGCATGTGCGCCGCCCCCGCGTGCACGAACGCGACCCTCGCCTCCGTCGTCGGCAACGTTACCGCCGGCTGCGCCAGCGACCTGGCCGCGTACGGCATCGCGAGCGGCGATGCGAGCGAGCTCACGTCCATCGTGCAGACCGCGTACCCAACCGCGCGCAAGGCCGCGTGCCTTTCCGAGTGAGTACCGAGTACCGCGCCGCGCGCATGCGTGGACGCGAGCGCGATAGCTGACCGCACACGGCATAGCACGGCGAACAACCACACGCTCTGCGTCACCGAGACGCTCACGAACGCGCAGGCGATCACGGGCACGCTCACGCTCTCCAAGCTCGCGTCGCTCGTCTCGCAGGTCGCGGCCGGCGGGAGCGCGCCGGCGCTGCCGAGCAACGTCACCTGCACGAGCTGCACGCAGGCCATGTACGACACCGTCGACGCGGCGTTCCCGGGCGCGCTCACGGGCGGCGCGAACAACACCGTCGCGGCGCAGTGCGGCAGCAACTTCACAAGTGCGTCTGATCTGCGTGTGTTTCTGGTGGGGGTTGGGGCTGATCCGCTTGCGAACGTGTAGGCGCTGCGATGCCGTCGTCCATCACGCAGACGGCGAACAACGCCGTCGAGAGCACCGCCGCTGCTGGTGCCGCCGCGCTCGGTGTCTCGGTGCACCCGGCGCTCTCGGTTGCGTTCCCGGCGCTGCTCCTCGTCTCGTCTGCTTTCGTCGTGTTCGCATGATGTCCGTCGCCGTGCCCTACCACATCCCTACGAACGTGCGCTCGGACCTTGGCTCTTGCTTTCGGATGTAGCACTAGCGGACCTTCCGGCTTACTTCCTTACATTCGGACGCTGTAATGCGACTATTATGTGCACTGTGCCTTAACCATGCTGGACAATTGGACATTCCGGATTGCCTCAGAAAGTTTAAACTTTGGCTTCGTGTGATTTCACTGCCAGACGGAGTCGCTCTAAGATGCCGCTGCATTGGCGGATGCGACATCGTGCGTGCGTCCTAGGTTTCGTTTGATGCGATCGGTACGGGATCATTTCGGGAAGCTGTAAACCTGCTTTTTTCATTGCACCCGCGCGGTCATCTTCGGTGGCCCCTGCCATACTAACAGGGCGCGAGATCGCATCAATATGTAGTATGCAGAGAGGTTCGGCGGGCTGTCCATCTCAAACGCAGGTAATCGGGCAGCACGCGTCTGTTCGCTACCACCATCCCATCGCCAGCTTCTGCCGCCCTGGATCGCACACGTTCTCGCACCGTCGATGCTGTCTTCTCTTCCATTCCCCCGCACGCGAAAAGCCTTCTCGCCCGCACGCAGAACCCAGATTCAGCAGGCCTTGCACATGCAGGCACGTGTCCCTCGTCTGCGCGCCTGCTCCTGCTCCTGCGAGCTCCCTTGCCACACCCCTGCCCAGCAGATCTCCGCACCCAATACGCAACGCTCAGCGCCCAGCGCTCAGCACTCGGTGCGCGGGTGGAACGGGAACTTGGGGTGTCCCGACGTGTTGTAGATGCCGTAGCCCGGCTCCATGTTGTCCGAGTAGATGTGCGCGAACCAGCCGACGCCGCCGCCCTCGACCGCCTTGAGGAACTCGCACTTGGAGTCGAGCAGCTCGAAGTATGCCTGTGGGTGCGCGAGCGCGTGAGCGTCTGTGTGTGCGTTTCGCGCGGGTCATGATGCATGATCCACGGGCAGCGGGAGAACACAATGGCGGCGCCATGCGTGTGTGCGGTCGGCAGGCGGAGGAGTGCCGTGCAGCACGGCCCGGCCAAACAAGAACAGTACAGGTAGCCGAACGGAGACACGGGGACTTACGTGCTCGTTCGGGATGTTTGCGACCGCATACGGGCTGTTCGGTTGAACGTTGGGGGACGTCACGGACGGCCATCCGTTCTGCGAATGAGGTCCCGTCGGTGAGCGCCGCCTTGGTGTGCGTGTGCGATAAGGCGGGCCCCATGCTCACCTCGTCAAAATACATCTTCTTCCCGTCCCCGTGCTCGATAAACCAGTCCAGGTTCTTGTCCACCACAATCGGCCAGGACGCGTTCGCTGCGCCGCGCCGCCTCAGCATGCGCGTCTCCGCATCGCACTCGCACAGAGACGCACTCACCCGTCGACGCGTCCTGGTCGAAGAACGGCAGCATGTGGATGTTGATAAAGTCGACCGCGTCGAGCACGTCCTGCGCGCCCCCGCGCTCCTGGTACCCGTACGCGAGCTCGCTCACCGTCACGGGGATGCCGAGGCTCGAGAGGTTCGCCTTAGCGAGCAGGACCTGCTCCGCGAGCACCTGGTGCGGGAGCACGTTGTCGTACAGCGGCTCCGAGCCAAACTGCACGCCGCGCGTGACGAATTTGGCACGCGGGTTCGCGTGCAGTGTCGCGAGCAGCGTGTCGCGCCGCGTCTCCCAGATGTCCCCGCCCGTGAAGCCGAACTGGGAGAGCAGCGTGAGTGGGCCGGATGCAAAGAGGAGAGATCAAGAGCACGTACCCAGATGAGGGCGTGCACGCCTAGCGTGTTAGCCCAGGCGGCGTCGACGATGTCGTCACTAAGCAGAGGACACCCCGCGGTCAGTCGGAAACGAACGATGTATCATCGAGGGACCCACGCACTAGAACCCGTCGCGGTCGCACGCGCCGTACAAGCGCACATAGCGCGAGTCGAAGTGGTAGCGGATGTCTGCGAACTCGCGATGAAGCGTTTCGAGGCTCTGGCCTGCCATCAACATCCAGAGAATTCCCCAGAGGGATGGTCAGCATTCAGTGCAGCAATCGGGCCAAAAATACCACGCACAGGCGGTCACCTCGTAGCTGAACCCGACGAATGCGTACTCCGTGCTCGGGTCGCACCACCAGAGCGTGTCGTCTGGGGGCAGCACGGGCGGCATCACGAATCCCAGCGCGGGGAAGCAGAATGGCGCGGGGAGCGCGACAGAGGCGGCCTCGCGCCCGTCCAAGCTTCCGGGCGATCGTACGTCGATCTCCGTCCCCGCATCTGGTAGGCGCGGGCGCGCGAGGACGGTGGAGACTAGAAGCAGGACTTGCAGCAGACCCATGAGCGGTGTCGAGGCGTGTGTGCTGGGCTCTTCCAGCAGTTGATAGCGGGGCCGCCTGCGGCTACATATACAAACGGCACGATAGGCTCAGGGAGCGCGGGAGCTCGGGATATGCGCCCGGAGAAGCACGTTCGCCAGCACGTCTTCTGGTGGAGAGAGAGGCAGTCATTGCATCCATGGAAGGAGGGGGGCATTGCGGCTGACACGCGAAAACGCCAGTATCGTCCCGGGACACTGGGCGGGCAAGATCACAATGGTCGAGATCAGCCGGGGCCGTAGACCGCGTTCAATGCCACCGTGTGAGGATGATAGCGCGAAACAGGGCCTTGCGCGTATGTGCGAAGGTATGCGAAGGTGTTCTCGGGGGAATGGGACGCGGTGAGACCGCATGGACATACCGCACCCGGGCGCGCGTGGGTCACGCGTCGCGTTCAATTAGGTCACATGAGCGCTCTTACCGCCGTCACCCGGGGAGCTGAATCTTCCTACTGGTGAATAGTTCCATTTGAGGTGTAGACATTGACATTTGAGAGATGGCAGGGATGCGCCTATTGAAATGTTGTCATGATTGAGTGCTCGGCTGTCCATTCCCCATTTAATTGTGGAGCTTATGCTATCTTATTTACTTGTCGAAAGTAAAATAAGTAAAGTCTCCTACTATTTATTATCACTTTTTGCAAGAAAAGTACAGAAAATGTTCATTACAAGCTGAAGACCTTTTTGTTTTACTCGTGAAGAGTAAATAAGACATGATAAGATAGCATAAGTATAACAAATATAAGGACGGGTTTTATCGATGTGAGAGCGTTGCGATTATTCCGCTTGGATTCTCATAGATGCGATACAATATTTCGGAGTCGCTGTTTCGCATTCACTCCACCTCCCGAGGTTTCTCATGCGGTACTCGTGTCTGTAAGGCAGTAGATCAAGTATAAGTCTATCTCTCATTCGCATGCGGTGTGGAGAACATGCATTTCATCACGGCGATCAGCGGATTCGGATAGAACTTTTCGAGAGAAGTAGGTCCATGTTTACGACCTTCACGGCCAGCAACTGACTGGGGGGCGTATCCAGCTTCTTGCCAAAACACTGTCATGGTACTGGACTTGCGATGGGAAACTCATCACTAATTTGTAGCATCTCGGTAGACGAGGAGAGCTGTTCACCATGAGGACTCCAAAATTCATGGTGAGACGTAATGCTTAAGCTTCAGAGGGAATTCATGACCCGTACATGCAAACACCATGGCTACCCTACCTCCTGCCGCCTCCTCGCCCTCAGCTTGGCACAATGTTGAGTCAGCGCGTACGGAACGTTTCGGGTATCCATCATTTTTTACCTTTATCAGATTCATCACTATGTCGAAGCGTTTGTCGTAAAGTAACCACACGCTCACGATGTACCTTTCGACGTGAGTGGGACCACAGTGTTTCTCTACGTTCGGGATGAGCTTAGAGGTATCAATTTCGATGACGTCACCATCATGCCCCCCTCAAAGAGGCGATATCATCATGTTTTGCTCTACAAGAAGGACTATAAGACGTGCTGCGCTGCGTGTCGGGGAGCACTCTCTTATTTAGCGCTATTTTCCGGGATTTCGGCGACCAGTGACGTAGTTAATAGCAGCGGCATGCGGCTATATGTTAGAGCTCCTCCTGATCAATACCCCGCACGATCACTGACGCGTTTCGCTCATGAATCCCATTCGCTGTGTCCTGTATCACTCTTTCTGACTACGTCTCTTCTGCACAGACACACCCTGAGATGGACTATTTCGATTTCAACATGCATTTGCCATTCGACCAACTCGGTGCTACACCACGCGATGGTGATTCCACAGAAAATGCCGCATCGGCAGCGGGCGAGCAGGCGCGCACTCCGGTTAGCATGTCCACTTCTTGTTCTGCCCTGGTTCTCAGCAAATATTGCAGATCGGGACACCTGCAGAACACCCGCGCGCACAATCGAACCAGACCATCTCTGTGTCCACAGCGTTCCACCCAGACGTACACATCGACAACATCTATCCGGACATCATGCTTGTCTCATCTGACCAAGTGTTCTTCCACGTGCACCTTCACCGGCTGCTCAGCGCATCTGACAACGGCTTCAACGCGCTCCTGCCTCCGCCTCCCGATGGCTCCGGTCTTGTCCCTATTGTTGTGCTCCCCGAACCCGCAGAGATTCTCAACATCGCCCTTCATGCCATTTATAATGTCCCCGCCAGCCAGTACGCACCCTCCTTTGAGACGCTCTCAGGCACGCTTGACATGCTCATGCGCTACGGCATCCCGCCCGCTCGAATGGTACTCCCGCCCACGCCGCTTTACGCGCTCCTCCTTTCGCACGCCCCTCTCCGGCCTATTGACACTTACGCCCTTGCCGCCGCACACTCGCTCGAGGACCTTGCCGTAGCTGTCTCCGCACATCTCCTCTCCTTCTCCCTGCCCGCGCTGACCGATGAGCTTGCGGCGCGCATTGGCGCGCACTACCTGAAGCGGCTCTTCCTCCTGCACCACAACCGCTTGACCGCGCTGAAGCAGCTCCTCCTCCAGCCTCCCGCAGCGCACGTGGACACGCCGGCATGCGGCGGCTCAGAGCAACGGCGGCTCACGCGCGCGTGGGCGCTCGCCGCGGCGCACCTTGTATGGGATGCTAGACCGAGTGCGTGTGATCCATTGTTGTCTGCTTGTGAGGGCGGCTGAGCTTAATTGTAGCGGTGTAAATCTCTACGTGTGGCGTGCGGCTGTGGCGGCGTGCTGTACAGATCTGTCAATGAATATGCTCCAAGCGGCGCTACGCCCGCTCGAGCGAGACCTGACGTGTGAGCTGTGTGCATTCGCATTGCGCGATCGGATTGCGGTGCTTATCACGGATTGGTCCGCTGTTAAGGTGCGACGCCCGTTAGCCCTGGTTGACAGCTAACAACTGGTGCATGGTAGAGGACCATCTGATGCGAGATATACCGACGTAAAAAAACGAGTATTGTTCAGGACTCGGAAGCGCTAGGCCCACGCTACACGGTACCTTTGTACGTTACTTTTATTATTAAACTCGTCAATTTGTCTCCAAGCCGGATGGTTGTCCTTACGAGCATCGTGCTGGTATATATACAGCCTGGTGAGTAGAGCTACACTTGTGACGCATGATCATCGTGCATATTTACGCATAAATATCTGACATTTATGGCATTTCCCTTATCCCAGGTAACACGATCTTCCGGGGTCTTTTATTTCTATGACATTAATGATCGTAGGTGATTGGACCGTGAGAGGTGTGGGTAGTGGTCCACTCAGTTTCTAGTTGAGTGGGAGCAGCAAGAGCGCAGCGACCATGCGAAGGCCTCAGTGGGAGATACCCCAATGAGGGCATGCGCAACACAGCAACGACGGCCAGTGTTGACACAGCATGATGAGTGCATAGACGACGCATAGGCGACGCATAGGCGGTCGCGTTGTAGCTGAAACCCGCGAAGTGCCAGTGTACTCGTTGCCTTGGTCGTGCCACAAGTACGCAGCCGACAAGGGCGTAGACGGCGTCCCGAAGCCTAATACTAGGAAATAGGAGGTATAGCGCCCATTTAGCTCGTTGTATATCACGCCATTGTGCTTGGTACACTGTGCCGAATGATCGGCATCCACGATCTCACGAGAAGCTAACGTATACTGAAAGCAACTCTTTGAGGCACAACGAGTACAATCTCAGGTTTGATGACTTCTGCGACCTAGAGGTTGTTAAAGTTCGTCCGAGACCCGAAGCGAGAACGATCAACGAAGATATATCGCGTTTGTCTGAGCTCTGTCAAACGCGTAAGGAACGTACAGGACGGCTCGCGCAAAGTCTGCAAGGTACTACAAACATGGCCAAATACGGTGGCATGCGCTCGCCACAATCTCAAGTTCCAACAGAGGTTCGCTGAGATGATCGCCACCATAGTATAAGTATTGTATAACTTACTAGAATGTGGAATCAGTTATGCACACGACGGGATGTGGAGCATATTACGTCCCTCTGACACACCAGGTAATGTCGTATAGATCGTGCAGATACTAGTCGAGACATGGACTGCGCTACCAGAAGGTGACTCTGTCGTTCATATCCCAGGGCGATCGCCGCCGCCTCACCGACTGTGCGAGACGTCCCGCTGCATAGGAAAATCTCAGACTGTGTTGCGTCCATAAATAGTATACACGGGTTGTGGGGAATAGCAGATGAAAGGTATATACTGAACTTCGAGAGATAATGTACGTACAAGCTTGCTAGTAGAAATACGTGGAAGACGTCGCCGTTATATGAAATCTCGCAGGTCGTAGCCGCGCAGCATAGAAGTAGACATCGTCCATAAATGTTAGATATACACAGCTAGCAGTAGAGCCTGTCCTGGGTCATGGCGACAGAGGCCTCAATCGTCAATGTGGCGCGAGAGCCGGAGTCGGGATAGTTGTCTCCACCTTGACAAATACACCATGCTGAGCAACAGGAGTGCATCTTTCTCATCAAGGGGTCATTAATTCTGCAACATAGCTCGAGTGCTTCTAGAAGTGGACAGCCCAGTGTAAAGACAGTGTGTTCTTGAGCGATTCCTTCAGATCAGGTAAATGATCTACCTGATACAGGGGAATCGCCCAAGAATGCCCTCTTGAGTTACTTAAGTAGCTCATCTCACCACTCCGGTGCTGGATTGCACAGGCTTGGCGAGGCGAACTGCTTGAGTCAGTTAGGAGGGAATTCTTGAGTCTTTTCTGAGTTGCCCGAGATAATTTCTCTGCCTCATCGAGATCCTCCCACTCGATACTGTTGGCAAGACTGAGAGGACCATTCGGTACCCTACCTAGTTTCCTCTTTGTGACACTATATGCTCGCAGTATGGAGACCAGACTCCCCGCGTCACTAATCCTCTTCGGCTTCATGGAGAGTGTTTACGCACTGTCATCGATGTTCATCAGGTCAGTGCCGGTATTGTCCTCGAGTCACTTCAGCGCTTTCATCCACAACGGATTGAGCGCTCGTGTAGCCGCTGGCCGTGCGGCGCTGCCTGGCTCTGGCACGGTGTCGCAGGTGGGGAGGATTCTGAACGTGGGGGATAAGAGGATGGATTCGAGATGAGAATAGGCAGCTATTTAAGGTCGCTCGGAGTATCGTGCATGCTGTACACACGAGGTGGCACAGCCTTCCATAGAAGCATCTACGAGGCGCTCGTTTCCTTGGGCTACTTAGCAATCAGTCGCTAACGAGAGAACAACATTCCTTGAGGCGGTGGCAACACCTCGATAGAATGCATATAAATGGTAGGACAACATAGCCCAGCAACAGCATGCGTTATGTGGACGCAGAATTTTAGGAGCCCCGAGGAGAAACGTAGTCAGCCTCCCGTCATATCAAATGCTATCGAGGAAGGGAAGAAAGCCCCTGCATGTAAAAAGTGGCGAGAAGATGGTTCGATGCAATGCGAATGTGGGCGGCGCTGCAGTACCGCATGGCCACACGTACCGCAATGCGATGCGCTCGCAAATCGTACCACCTGAGCGCACCTGGGCTCAACGCTGGCGATGCGAGTTGTTGTATCGAAGTGCTAGATTCAGCTGCGCACCTGTGAATGTAATAAGGGTAGATGGTTATATTGATGCAAGAAGCGTGAGAAGAATGGATCTACTATCGCATGTCTGAATCATGTTTGGGGTTCAACATCATGGTCAGGGCTTGGCCTGAACGGCGGGACGGTGCTCGCCATTTCAGTAGAACACCCGTTAGTTATCCTATACTGAAGAAGGCTGGATATGAAAGTGTGGTAGTCACAAGCAATAAATCATTTTAAATACATACAGACATATCACGCCAGATCTGAGGTATGAACACCGAGCGGTAGCATAGTGGGATCCTGAGTTACATCTCTCTCCCATGTCGTCTTCCTTATCTACAAATAATGGTTACTGAGGACATTCTCACCTACCTAAAATGCATACGCACCTGTTCCTCAGCTTCAACGGCGGGTATCAAATTCATGTGGTCTGGCACATCTCCACGGTTCTACAGCGAGTGTTAGTCGAAGATTGATGAGAATGTAAGAGGCTACGGCACCAGAAGCAACTCGTCTAGATCGCGAAAATTGAGACGCAGGTCGGTCGGTAATTGCGAAGGTAATATCAAAACATGTATCGTGGGTGGGAACGGCCTTGAGGACGCGGTAACGTCGGACATGTTCTGAACGGGCGCTCAGCGAAGGGTTAGGGCTGAAAGCACATGATATCTTACCGTGGCTACTGACAGGGCTAGTTTGATATCTCGGCGCTTACCCCGAGCGTCACTGCCCACCACGACGAAGAATTCCCAGACACAGTCGACAACGTGGACGAGGGGGTCAATGAATGGATAGTTAGCAAACGAGGGCACTGCCGTGACCTGCCGTAGGCGTCAGGACATCTGCAAATCATAGATAGATACAGGCAACACAGAACTTACGGCAGCGCTTCCTTTCGCGGCGTTGACGGACCAGATCCGCGGGTATACATCTGTTGTGCCTGACCTCCATTTCCAGTAATCGGCATTCGCATAGTCACCGTCGCCGAGTATCATCCAGAACATTTCATCGCTGTCGGTCTCTCCTTCGATAAGCTCCAGCACATTAGAAGAAGGCAACGCAAGTGAGTGCGCGTAATCTTGGGCAGCACGCCGCTCGCTTTGGACAGAACCGCAGCCATGCCACACATAGAAGGTATCAAGGAGGGAAACACAGTAGCTGAATCCGGAGCAAAGGTTCTTGATACTCTGTCGCGAAAATAGCAAGCCGATCAATAAGATGGAGACTTAGCACTGAAGTCTGCGCTTACTAGGTCCACCTCATCGATGAACGTCGATGTCCCGATTGAGCGTACGAGATGCATGGTAGTGTTCTCAGCGGACCAATGCGCCCGGGCGCCCTAAGCTCACTCTGTTGAACAGTCTGACTTACATGTCATACGAGGGAAGCACGCACTTGCCGTGTGATTAGTTGACCGCCTAACACTGCTATCAGGTCTTCCGGCTCGCAATATTGATGGATCATGACCTATGCGATCACGTATGATAGGATTCAGAGAGAAAGCCCAATAGTGCAGGACCAAGCCACTGACCAGAACAGTTCCATAGCGCCTGGCCAGTTCTTGAAGCTTACGCTCTTCCCTTTCGCCGACCGTAGATCGCTTTCCGCACCATGCCCACACTCGGGTCGACGCGAGCCCAGTCGTTCGGGACTTGGCGCGGTGAATGACCGCCAGTACGTCCATGTCATAAAATATGTGCGAGCCGCTGGTGATTTCGGTGGCGGTCGTGCCTACAACGGACATTACGTCAACTGATATAGTTTGTGCATCTGCGTCAAGTGCGTTGACAGGCCTGTCGGCCTTCAGAAGCGCTGCTACGCCGACGTCGGGTAAGGGTTCGTCGGTCAAATCTACAGATCAATGTCGCAAGATGAAATCAGATCGAAAATAGTGTTATAGTTTGTCGGAACGCTGGGGAGAAGCGTGCTTACCGATACGGATGTACTGATCGCTGTCGCCGCTTGAACCGACATCTTCTTCGTCGAGCACGGTCGCTGAGGACACTTCTGTGATAGCTGTCTCAGACGGAGGCGCGTCCGGTGATCGAACCTGTTGAAATGCAGTTGCATTTCGCGCCAGTGTGCCCGCCGGTGACGGAACAGGTGTCTTTTCTTCCACCAGGGGCGGCATCACAATGGCAGAGTACCGCTCGAAGCTAGACTTGCGCTTTTCCGGCAGAGCATCGGGCCTGCCCGCGCCATTTTTCGTGCCCCAGTTTGCGACGAGCGATGTGACATCTAGTTTGCCACCATCTTCCTGATCTTGTTCTGCGGTAGGGCCTATGGCATCGCCCTGTGGAACACTAAGTGGTTCTGCGGACACCGGAGTCAGAGCGGGCTGGTGGATAACGCTCTCCTGAAACACTTGTGCGACATCCATCACCGTGGCCCTGTTCCCCGTGCTCGGGATGCGAGCATGGCGGACGGGAGTTGTCGGTCTCTTCTCCTTGGGCGTGACAGGAGACTTCGGTGGCATGACGGGACTCTTGGGACCACCCGCGAGTACCGCTGTAGTGGCCATCTCCAACTCGGCTAGCTTTGGCGGTTTCTCGGGGACCGACTTGGGCGGAACAGGAGAGAAGTCATCGTCGAATTTTTTCTCCAGCGGCGAAGGAAGCTTGTCTACCACCGCAGACTTGTTAGATGTACTTGGGTCGTCTGACGTGGGTAGAGACACAACAAGCTCTGTAACCTTGGTAGTGGACACGAGATCGGGGAGCGATGCAGCCCTTGACTGCTCAACGTGTGGCTGAGGTTCTTCACTCACAGCAAAATGCACGTGAAGCTCATCCTGCGATCCACTGGGTGCTTGCGCACTCTTCGTCTTCCGCGGCTTCTTCGCCCGGTTCTTCGTAAGCTTGAAGAACACTCATATCAGCACCAGTTCACGATGCAAACAACAAGGAATAGCCAAATGAATGAGATAGTCTCCAAATGAACAAGATGGGTGCGAGCATGTGGGGTATGTCACCAAAAGGAACCTACATGACTGAGCGACTTGCCGGTAGTAGGTATCTCCTCCCGCATCCGTGATGTGTCCCTGCTCTTGGACCTGCTCTTGGATCTGCCCTTAGACCGCCGCCGCCGCCCTAGCTCATCCACCTCTGGCGACGCCGCACGGCTCCGCGACGGGGTCGGCGGTGCAGACGTGGGCGGACGGTCGCCAGTCTTGATGGGTTTAATGTACGAGAGCATCGTGGAGGACGAGCCGAGCCCAGGCGTGCGGCGGCCATCGCGCCCCACATCGCTCGCAGAAGCGGACGGTGCTGATGACGCGCCCGTGTAGTGGATCGAAGGGAGCGAGGGTACGGACCTGAGCGAGCGGCCGGTGTAGTCAGACTTCACGAGCCGCGGGGGCGTAAATTCGGGGGAGTCGGCAGAGGAGTCCGTCGTGCGCGACTTGCGCATTGCAACAGGCTTTGGGGAGATGATCGGCGGGGACGGCGCTGGACTGGAGGTGCTGTTATTTTGCCAGCGGTCGAGAACGGGTGCGACCTTCTTTCCACCGAAGTCTTTCCTCTCGGGAAGGGAAGGGGAACTGGGGGACGCGGCGGTCAACTGGCTTGTAGCTTGCACCATGCTACGCACAAAGCCGCGTCCCTGCAGTCGACTGATACTTGGTGTTGGCTCTTTAGGAGGAGTGGCTTTAAGAAAGGCGGGAGAGGGATTAGACGTTGAAGGAAGCTGGGGACCCAGAGAGAGACGCGGCGAGGGCTGAATAGGGCGCGCAAGAGATGGCGTTGTAATTGATGACTTAGAGGATGAGGATGCTGAGGGGGATAAAGGAGGAGGGCTTCGCGAGGACGTAAATTGGCGCGCCACAGGTGATGGCGATGGTAGTGGTGGTGTGTAGGCCGTAGTGGAAGACAGCGGTGCTGGCCGTGGGGAAGCTGCGCTCATCGGCCTTGCATAGTCCTCACGGGAGGGGGTAGAAGACACAATTCTGTCCACAGGCGTGCCCGTAGGCGTGCTAATGGTTCGCTGCCGCGACGTTTGTGAAGCCCCCGTCTTCTGCGCGATCAAGGCTTCACTTTCGACCTTCTGCACGAAACTTTTGACAGACGAGGGTGTGCTGAACTTGCGATCACGCCCCGTGGGGTGGCTAGACACCGCCGCAGGCGTCTCGCGGTCCTCCAAAGCTGCTACGGAGGATGCAGACGAGGGACTCCGCCCTGCCATACCGGGCATAGCGACGCCTCCTCGACCAAAGATCGGATGAGGTATGCTGACATGCGTCCGCTGCTCGAATTGGGTCGGATCATGCGCGTCCTGCTGGGGAGCGTGCTTGGTCAAGCGTGGACCGGTTGCGCGACCACCGATGAAGGCGGCGAGGGACATGGGCTCAGAGGAGTTGCTCGTCCGCGGCTTTGCGGGCGCAGTGGTCCTAGCCGGGGAGCTGATGCGCCTCTCACCCATCAGTTTGCGCAACGCGTCCTCCTGATTCTGCGCCTTGTCCTGTGTCGAAGCCGGGCTTTCAGACGCCAATGCGTCGGGCTCGTCGTTCTTCAGCGCGCGCACGATGTCGCTGTTAGCTTTAGAGGAGAGAGACTTACCAGTCAGCTGAAGATAATCTGTGTATAACAGTACTCACAGAGGTCAACGCTACCAGCCCGACTACCGTAGCCTGCACTCCTCCGCATGCGCGCAAGCCGTGAAGCTTGTATCTCTTGCTCCAGTCTACGCGTTTCTGCCTCCTCGTCATCGTCCACCTGCTTCTGCATAGCCTTGATCTTGCTGGTCCATTCTGCTAGACCTGCTTCAGGCCTCGCAGGAGAGTCTAAAGTGCGTCTGCGAGCTGCACTTGAGAGTCGATCCATGTTGGTACATCCAGTCCGTAGAGAATCAGCAAAGTGAAATCCAGTCGAGGTATCAGCAGTTATTACAAGAACTCATGCAAGGAGCGTTCTTGAGTTCGTCTCGGCACCAAGCTGCGTGAAGTCCAAGGCTCAGCTGAGGCCACCAGGCGCGAGGCGGATCATATTTCTGGGAAAGGAAGGTATGGGACAGCCTTGGGGTTAGGGTTCATAAGTAACTACTCCGACTTTGCAGAGGTGTCTGAAGATCTCTTCAAAGCAACATGCAGACTAGACTAGAACAATCATGGTAGCTCAAGAGTCAGGCACAATACTTCATCGTTGCAGAGTGTTACTCGCTTCCATTGGATAAGTGCATCCTCGCACACTCAGGTTCCCAACTCAGCTAGAGGTATTCGACGGAGAGCGAGCCTCTAGACGAGGCAGATTATATGAAGAACTCACTAAACTATATAGCAGATACGTGAACAACGTATTGAGGACGAAGTGCTTTGACAGCCTAGAGACTACGAGCACAGGGCTTACGGGGATGATGATGAGGACATTCAGCGACTCCGTTCGAGCAACGTGGGTTTGAGGTTCACGCGTGCGATCGTCCTATGTGCGATCCGATAGATGCAGTGAGTTATTGCAAGCAAGTCCAGAATACAGGTGTCTACGCCAGAATCTGATGTTCCTTGTGCGCGTCGTGTCCGTGTCCATGGCCATGACCTTCCCAAGGATGACTCCAGCCCTGCAGAGACGTCAGCAAGCACTGATAGTATTCGCATACTACTCACGAGAAGCTTTGCACCATCCTTGCTGTACCAGCTGTCAGCATCATATCGTAAACGGTTGAGCCCGGACGTACCGAGCACGGTAGAAGATAAAGAACCACATCGTCGCCCCTAGCGTTGTCGCAAGGAACTTGTGCTTGAACCCAGGCAGATGCGGATGGAATCCCGGAGCTACACTTCAATTCAGACATCGCTGTTTGTTGTCTAAGCAGGCACTGCGCACCGTGCGGTCCTGCCATGTTGGGAGGAAGTAAGGGAACGTATTTGCGCGTGTTGTGGTTTATGGTACCGTATACGGTAGTCGGACGGGCGCTTGCCATGTAAGTTTCTGACCTCTACAACGCGCCTGCGCGCGACTGTCCCTGTCGCGTCTATTCAACCCAGCCTCGCGTGCGCGCACACGGGAGGTCAACAAGATGGTCAATCAAGCTTCTAGCAGCACATATCCCGGTGCGATCGTAACGTTCCACGCACCGAGCGTTGGGAGGACATTCGAGAGGGTGTTCAGAGGTGCGCACATACCTGAACCACTAGCAACCTTCGCTGATGTGTTTCGCATAAAGATGCCTCTCTTTCTGATACCCACTCTGCGATCAAGAAGAAGCTTGGACTGCCTGGCAATACCGCCATCCGCCTAGCACGTGTCGAGAACGGGCGAATGATTGACCTTGAGGATGGTGAGCATGATGATCGAACGTCGTATTCAAACTGCACGTGTATAGTTTATACCTGATAGATGACGACTTCGACGTATTTCATGCGTTGGCACATCAACAATCTCGCCTTGAGGTCTCTATTGCAATTGGAGACTTTGGGTTCGAGCCTGTGCAGCGCGTGGACGAACCCACGATGGGTAACGTAAGTATAGTAATCTGCGCCTTGTGGCATCAGCTAATTGTGTGTAGGCTGTAGCGAAAAAGAAGAAGCGTAAACGTATGTCGTTATCTGACAGCCTCAGCCGACCAAATTCGCCCATTATTACGAACGGCACATCCTTGCGAACCGATCAAGGTAGTGCCAGTCCAGGACAGGGCGCGATGAATGCTCCAGATGCTTCCGTGACGAGCAGCGAGCCAGCGAAGAAGAAGCGGAAGAGGAGCAAAGTCGAAGCTCCTCAGGCAGATGGCGAGCAATCGAATGTTCAGCCGGCTCCGAGTCTTGAGAAGAGTGTGGTACCAGGCATGTCACTTCAATGATTCACCGCAGCCCTGATTACATAGTTTTGCAGAGCATCTTATGCCAGCTGGTCGCACCAACCTGATCGGGCGTCCCGCCAAACCAAGGAAGGGAACGCAGCCGGAGCGGAGTATCATAGAGACAGCTATATCTTCAACGGAAGCAGACTCTCCAACTCTTCCCAAGAAGGAGAAGAAGGCTAAGGAACGGAAAGATAAGCCGTCCGGTGCGCCTCAGGTGAACGAGGCTCCTGTGGCCTCAACATCCAGACTTCTCGCACCCGTTATACCTACTGTCTCAAAGACGACCGAGGAAGTTGTTTCCGATACCCAGGAGTCCACGAAAGCCGTCAAGCGGAAGCGGAAGCACAAGCCGGAGGGCGAATCCAACGCCTTACCTGCGACTGGCACTGAGCCGACTGCTGTCGATACCGACCTACCCTCTGTAACTTCACCCGCGAAGCCTAAGCGTAAGAAGGCAAAGAGGGTTTTTGATGTAGACGACGTCCCTGTGCCCATAAACGATGTATCTGAAGACCGGCTTGCCGCCTCTTCAAGTCGAGAGCAGCGCGTCAACTCTCCGCAATCTGTACTTAATGGGCAGCTACAAGAGACAATTGGTGCTCCGCCCGCCAAGCCGAAGCGCAAAAAGGTGAAGGTTCCGACAGACGCAGAGGTTCTTCGTCCGCCATCGAATGTAGATCCCAATGTGCAAACCCTGTCCACTACAGACATGCTCGAGTCGTCAAAAGCAGAGAAGCAAAAGCGCAAAAAGGGAAAGCAGCCCTCTGTCGACGCTGAGGCTGCTCCCACACCCGTTCCGGAGGTCGACGCCGCTGTAGTTCTCGCCGACAGCGATGCTGTGGAGAACAGGAAGGAAAAGAGGAAGAAAAGGCCTGTTGAGGAGGCGGTCGCAACTGAGGATGCGCGCGCACCGTTGGCGGTTGTCTTTGCTGAGGGTGTTGATGACTCGGCCGCACCAGCTGAGAAGATAGACAAGGGGGCCAAAAAGGAGAAGAAGCGTAAGAAGGGTGCCGAATCTCAAGCAGAAGCATCGCATCAAGACACTACACATAACCCAGACGGTATGCTTCCAATGATTGGAACTGGCTCTCTTGTAAACCGAGGTTGACGAGATCCTTTGCCCTCTAGACCAGCCTGTATCGAAACCAACCGAAGAGCTGGTGCAGTCAGGGTTGAGATCCAACGTCAAGGGGAAAGCCACGCAAAAGAAGGCGGAGTCGTCGAGCACGAAACCTATCGGCGACAAGCAACCAAGGACGTCCATTGGTGAGTACGGGGGATCGCGGCTGTTAGAACACTGAAGCTGAACGTGCTTAGCGCTGTCGGATCCCGACTTGTGGGCGAGTCTCAAGGCTGCCGCTGACGTCATTATGGCGAAGAGAGATACAGACGCTGCTGCTAACAGAGTTTCTAAGTCTTCAAAGGACTCCAGTCGTTCACGCGTAGAGACACAGGCTACGGCCGATCACGCTGAGGTTACGAATTCTCGCGAGAAGAGCAAGAAGTCGAAACGCGGCAAGTCAGGACTTTCAGCGGTCGGCGCTGGAGACACTCAAGCACCCAACTTGGTCGAGCCCGAGCCAAGCACATCTCCGTCCCCTGCTGATCCCGGAGAGCATATCACCATACTGAGTTCGTCCTCGGAACAGGAACAGCCGGAGGATGAGTCCGTCCTAGTCAAGTCTCCCGTTATCCCAACCGGCTCAGAGATTGCGGAGGTCCCGATCGAAGGTCGCGACGAAGGAAGCAGCAACGAGAGTGAGAGCGACGATGAGGGAAGTGAGGACGAAAGCGGCGACGAACGCGACGACGAAAGAGCGCCTCCTACGCTCAACCTTTCGCTTGACATCTCGGCCACTGACATTGATGCCCTCCTTCGTGGGCCTGTCACAAGGAAAAGCCTGCTTGCTGAACTGCCTTCCGACAGCAGCGAAGACGAGGATGATGACAAAGTGGCTGATGACGTTCCGGACGACGAGGAAGAAAAGCTGGACAAGCAGTTCCGTCGCCTGTCGCAGCGGTTACAGCGCGACGAGCTTTCTTCGGATGAGGAGACTGGTGCGAACGACCCCGCTGACGAGGACATTGTTCCTCTCACTATTATGGACACAGATCCCAAGGATGCGGTGGCTCTGGATGTACCGGTGGATACTCGGGCCTCTCAGGCCTCACTCATTAGTGAGGTAAGTCTGTCTACGGCTCGTATAATTACATGTAACCTGATCTCTGTACAGTCACTCGATGGCCAGGATTTGATCTACCTGCCTACAGAAGTCAGCCGGGGGAGCAAAGCAATCGGTGACGCCACCGAATCTGTGAGCCCCGAAAATGATGAGGTACAGCCTGCGTCGACAACAGACAACGCGGATGATGACGTCCCTCTTGCCGCATCTGCAGTGAATAGGGAGGTCGTAAACACGCCTCCTGTGCGTGGTCCATCACCCGAGCAGTCTCAAATCGAGACAGATAAGCCTGCGCGGTCGGGCGATATCCCTCAACGAGACACCGCACCGAACACATCTCTGGATGGCACTGAAGACGCCTTGGGGGAGGTCGAACAAATGATCACATCACCTGCGGATCGGGATGCCACCAGCCCCCCTGCTGCTGAGGGCGCAAATGTCGACGAGATGATTGAAGATTTCCCCACGTCAGATGTGCGTGCGGACGGGATGCGCGAGATTCTTGCTCAGCCCTCCGAGCAAGATCAGCCCGACATTGTGATGGAAGACCGCATTGAGCCTGCGGACGATCTGCTTGAGGGGGAAGCACACAATAGTCCAGAGGACGACCCCATTGAGGATGGTCCCACACCGCCGCGCAGCGAGCGCCAGCTCAGCGTCCCGCCGTCCCTCGCTACACCGCGGCTGGGCACGGCCAGGAGCATGAAGGACCGGCACGGGCAGATCGCCGGGTCGCAGGACGAGCTGCCCGTGCTCGCGTCTGTGATGTTCGAGTCGGTGCCGCAGTCCACTCCAGCGCCGCACACGAGCACACAGCCGGAGACGTGTCCGGACACTGTCGCGCGCCGCACGCGTAACGCCACACGCCGGTCTGGGTCAACAACGGCGATGCTGCCGCCGCCGGTCCCGGCTACCCCGGCGCTTGCCCCACCTCCGGCAGCCGCACTAGCACCCAAGCCGCGCGGTCGGCAGAGGCTGACTGAGGAGGAGAAGGCAAAACGCGCGGCAGAGAAGAAGCGGGTCATGGAAGAGAAGAAGGCGGAGAAGGCGGCGCTGAAGGCGGCGAAGGACGCGGAGAAGGCAGCGGCGAAGGCAGCCAAGGACGCAGAGAAGGCCCGTAAGCAGGGGGAGAAGAAGAAGGCGGGCGGGCCTACCAAGGCCGAAGCCGCAACAGCTGCACCCCACAACGAGGTGATCTCTACCTCAGTGAGTGTGGCAGAGCCTAACGTTGAGGCATCTACTCCTGCTACACATGGATGGACTGTCTTACCGGTCACGGCGACGCCCTCGTTAATGGACCACGGTTCGTCCATAATGGTCGATGAGTTGCAACCGAGCAGTCCTCCACAGAGCCCTCTTGCTCCTTTTTCTTCTCTCGTAGATCAGACATCAGTGCCGACACAAAATGACTTTCTCTCGGCGTCTCCAGGTCCCTCTCAAGCTGGAAGCGTGCCTCACCCAGCAGAGGGACTATCAGCCACGAAGCCAAATGCAAGTCAGTCGGATGAGATTATCCCAGACTCCGACCCTCCTCTGTTCTTCCCCAGCGACAGCCAACATCCAACGCCCTACATCGGCACGCAGCCCCGTCGTGATGCGTTGTCACAGCGCTCGATAGATCATTCTGGCTCGGACAACGAAGCGGACATGACCGTGTCGATGCCAAAGCCCAACCTGCGTCGACGCTGGGCGGCGGCGACGCCCTTCCGGCGCATGTCCGACATAGCCAGTCAGACGCTCTTCGCGTCGCAGTCGATCAACGATAGCATGTCGTTCTCGTCGACGCCGGCACCGAAGCAGTCTAGCCTAGCTACGCCGGCAGGCGAAGGCGAGTCTGACTCGGACGATGACGAGGATAGTGATGATTCAAATGCGGCGAACCGGTCGCACATCCCGCGCGATAGGATGGCTGGTGCGGGGGTACAGAAAAAGAAGAGCGGACTTCTGGCCTTTGCAAAGTGAATGAATCATGGTTTGTATATTCTATGATCTATATGATAATATGCACACACACATACTATCGCATGTGCCTCACTTTACACTCATGGTGTTAATCTTCCACATCACTTCCGGAGTGAGCGAACCGGCGTGGGTGACCTAGCCACTCGGACCCTAAGTTGGCAGGTGGCGAAATGACCACGGAGTGCGTGGCTTGGGCCACGTTATTATGTCCCGATACATTTTGGTGATTTAGCAGCTGTGATTGCACATCGGGCGCGCAGAGTCTCTTAGACTGTGTGCAGCAGTGTAACAGACAAGTTGTTGGGTATGCGAAGCGACCAACGGTGTCGGGCCGCCATGCCATAGATGGGAAATGTCGGGGGACACGTGATCGATGTGTCGAGGTGGTTCGTCCGGTGCCCTTGTCCAGCTTCCGCTTTGACATTGTTTTCTTACCGGTCCCCCATCATCTCTATCATTATCCTCTTTCTCTTCTTGCCACCAATATCACTTCATCATGCCTGCCGCTCGCTCATCGAGGCTTACAAGTCGGCAGCTGTCGGCCGCACCCTATTCTACGTCGAAGCACGCGCCCCCTGATGACGCCGACATCATTATTCTATCTTCAGATGACGAGTCGTCGTCGCACACCCCCAAGAATTCACTACCGAAAAGACACAGGTCAATCACGAAGCAGAAGGGAAAGGCCGTCATTCCCCCCTCCGCAGATATCCTTGAGATATCCTCCTCCGATGAGGCTCTTGCAAAGACCTGCAGAGCGAGCATGTCGAGGGATAGCATTTCCTCGCTGAGGGCGCAGCTTAAGAAGGCTCACGATGTGAGTTGGTCAGATTTGAAATCCGCGCGTTCAACTGACCAAGGACCGTGGCGCTGGCGTCTCTCTCAGGAAATAGCCCGACTAAAGGCGGAAAGCCAAAAGAAGCAAGCCCAACAGACGCGCCCTAGTATTGTACGTATTCATCTCGCCCTGCCGTGTACACATACTGATGTCCTCTTAGTCGCTTTCTGAGCTGGAGGAGCTCGTTACGTGTGAAATTTGCACGCTCAAGATGTGGACACCATATACGTATGTCCCCCATCTCATGTTACTACGCATGCAGCCGACTTCATTCTCCCCAGCCTCCCTTGTGGACATACCTTCTGCCAACCATGCCTCACAGACTGGTTCAATACCACGCTCGCTCAGCATATTACCAACAACCCGCACTACAATCCCGCCGTCGTCGCTGCCTTGCGCGCGACACTGAACGGCCCGAACGTCCCAGCGGGCCTGCGGCGTACGTACGAGGCGCAGATTGCCCTCCTTGAACACCAGCATCCCCCACCCAGCTACACATGCCCCACGTGCCGTACGGTTTGCAGGACAAAGCCCGTTGAGGTCTACACGCTCAAGAGCGTCGTGCGCAATGTCGCTGATGCGCTCAGCGAGACAAGCCCGCAGAAGCGGACATCGACGCCGGCAGCAAGGACGCGGAGCGGGGCTGTGCGCGCACCCGAAGGACCTTGGGACGGATTCTTTCCTCGAGGCTAATCGTATTTGGTTGGCGGTTGGCCGGCATTCAGGGCATGTCCATTGCAGCAGGATCTGCTATCAAGAGTCAAAAAGTGTGTAAGTTACAATCGCAAATAGAGGTCTCCTTGCATAATATTACCCTATGCCGCATTCATGGTTCTCACTGTATTTGGCACTGATATCGCATTCCGTCTGTAGCAATGGACGCTGACTGGGACTACTCGAAACGATGCTCATTTGCTATGCCATTAAGCACGGCGTGATTACAATGAAGAGACCTACTTATAAGCGGTACGTGCTTTTATAATCAAGTCCTCGGCTTGCCAGCTGCAGGGTTGCCACCGGTCGCAGCCTATATACTTTGATGCACCTATGGATATGTTACGACGATATACCCCAACTGTTGCTTATATGAACTGCTGTGATACGATCGTAAATGTACACGTTGGTGCCCACTCAAGAATAGCGATTGGCGGGCATGGCCTTTGTGCACAGTTCGACTTGCACGTTCAAGTTCCTGCTTTGGCATCAATGACATCTAGCTGCTTCTCATCGCAAGAGTACGTAACCCCTTGATCGCCTCTAAACTTGAGCGCACCAATACTTAAAAAAGTATCAGACACTCGACGTCGCATTGCATACCATCGCAACGGAAGTCGATGTCGGGTTGTGCACGACGCATACATGTCAACGTGACGGAAAATTCAGCCGCTGCACACTCAGTTCACTATCGCGAGGTAGAAATAGAGCCCGGCCTCAGCATACGAAGTTTCATTGAGCTACAAAACTTGGGCATTATCAGCACAGGAGGCGGCGGAGTGCCCATCCGTGGGAGCCCTCTATATCTGTGAACGGGATGCGCGATGTGGTCAGAATCGGACGTCCAGCTCACCAAGTGCGCCACGGTTAACCCGTCCTAGCTATACATATATGTACCGGCGGTCAGTTCGTACGTGTTCCCCGTCATGATGGTCACGTCTGCGAAGGTTGGTACGTCAAGTCCGGGCTTGAGCTCTACGTGCTGGTGGCACTAGTTGTTAATGATATAGTCGAATGCAAAACTGGCACCTCCCGGCGCGATCGCGGTGTCCACTGCGGGGCTGGATAGTGTGCCATCTCTTAAGGACTGCTCTTGACCAGGCCGTCCATCTGAAACAGGAACGGGGAGAAGAGCATCGTAGTTGTGTGCAGGTAATGCATCGCGAAGGTGGTGTTCGGTCTCTGGTATTCTCACTTCATTTGCCCTTGCTCATATATCCTTTGTAGGCGGCTCTCTGACTCTTGCTTGTCCCCGATCCCGATGTGGCTCCGATATTAGTGTGCCCGCCCTCTATGTCTGTATGTGGTGTTTTTTAATGCTGCTATATCGGGTCTTCGAACAAGGAAATTGTTCGTCATCTGCAATGATATGAACGCCGTACTGGATTGCATCCAATTGCCAGGTATAATCAGTGGAAACACCCTGAGGCGCATGGTATATCGTACCAGCAAGCCTAGTAACAAATATCCGACTTAGGCCGCTTCAAAGGTGTGTGGTCCGATGAGACTTCATCGCTATCCGTGACACTGCTAACTTAGGCCGCCACGGTATGGCTACAGAAGGGCTGCGGTATATAGAGGGTATCCACTTGCAGTCCATCTGAACGCCGAAGTGCCTTTTCGTTGCGCCTTATGCTCTTCGACATTCTTCCATTGGCAGGATAGAAACATACCGGTATCTAGCATGGCACACCGATTCCAGACTGCAAGCAATTATGTTTCCGTTTTATGGCACCTTTTGAGATATGTCATGAGTTACTGCCCAGGAATCAAGGGTTTGCTTTCTGAGGATAGAATTGGATCGGTCTCGATTTACACTTTCCAAATATATGAGGCCTTAGTACTTGTCGTCACCCTTGGCTATTACCGCGCGCAGCGGAGCTACTTAGTTGTAGTTCAAATCATCCGACGCGCCGACGCGCATCACGTAATGGGGGTACGCGTGGGGAGAGGGAGACCTAGAAGGGGTCGCCAGTGTTCATGAGTTGTGATGTGTTTTTGGAAGGCCCTGCACGCCAAATTCCACTATAAAGTCCTATGAGCAAGGTGATGGAATACTGGCAACGCCATTGTGTTGATGAGCTACTAGTAGTGCCCATGCGTGCGAAGGGGGTTGTACACCGATGCTATGGCGGTATAGGACCTTCTGGCGGCAAATTATCTGGGACTGGGCGTCGCTTGAATAAGTAAATCTATGTTTGAGGGATCCTAGACTCGACGCAGAGAGTTTCTACTGGAAAGAAATGTCGTTGACCTGAAGTAGCTCTAACTTGTCTGAACAGGACCCAACATCAATGTCCGCCGGGAGTGATGCATACTATCATCATTCTCACCTTCCTCGAATACCCCGGCGTACTCGTGATTCACAATTTGCGCCTCCGATGCACTTAGAGAGGGCCCTTCGTCCTCCATTTGGGCCGCACACTGTTGTCTTGCTCCCGCTCGGCCTGGTTGGCTCGCTCAAGGGTGCTCATAAATGCACACTGACATATTGGTCGCGCTGCTCCTTGTAGAACATCTCATCGTACCCTCTTCAGTGGAGGCGCTTGAGCTGTTCCGCCATTCTCCTTGTCGATTGCCAAAGCCTTCCGCTTGCCGCTTCGTGTCACTATGCGTGCCTCGTCTTTGGCGGTAGGTGTGATGTTAGTCGTCAACTTGGACTCTTCCAGGCCGCACGAAGGCAATATCGGCCGGCTTGTCTGGCACAATATTCGTTACTCGAGATGTGGCTTCTGTGGAGTCGTATGCGATGGATGCCGTAGCATTTGTGCCACGCCTGTTGACCTGCCGTGTCAATCTATGGGTTGGCAAGGGGCATGATCTCCTCGCCTGAGGTCAGTGTCAGTCCCAGCTACAGCTTGCGCTGACGAAGTTGCACGAGGTAAGCAGGGCGTTTCAAACACCATATATGGTGCCTTTTACGGCTGCATTCCTGCCTTCGCAAGTCGGACCACTACTGCGTGCTCCCGTGGAGAGAAGTCACGAGGCGCAATCTCAGGCTGCACATCGTCGCGTACTGCCTTGGTTGTACCCTTTCGCTTTCCACAGGCATTCTTCTTTCCACTGGATTCAGAGGTCCTACTCTGTCTGGGGAAGTCCCAGTTTTGATGCTGGTGCAGATGCCACAGCATCACTCTTTCCCCCATCCAGTACATTGGAGGGTCAATCACCTGTGGCCTGGGAGCTGTAATGCTAGCAATGAGCAGAGGCTCGAGGGACATGGATTGGAGCACGTACCAAGCACTCTTTGGACCAGCGCGGTGGTACGGGATTCGACACTTCGCCCCAAAGAGCGGAGTGCGCCAGATGTGAATGGGCATAGAACAGCTTCAGTGCAGCGAGTGCCAGAATGCACTCGCATTCGAGCTGCTCGCCGCTACAAAGGCATTCACCTCCTCGACTTCGCCCAGGCGTGGGACCCCATCAGGATGTCGGAGCCAATGGTTGAATGGCCCTTTGCACTTGGCCATCTCGGTGGTGTATGCGCATGAGAGGCCGTCAAGATATTGGGTGGCGAGCAAGTGGCTTGCCGTCATGAGACGGCCCTGTGCGTGCTCAAGCATAGGCAGATGGGACAGTCTTGAGGACATGTGACTGCTTTGCCGCGGGTTTTTGTGCTGGTTCCGGGAGATCCCTGATCGGCGAGTTTGGGTACCTTACGTAGGACGTAGGGTACTGCATGATATGCTCGACAGGTATAGATGTTGGTCGATATGAACTCCGGAATTTAACATTAGGATGGTAAGAGACGGCACATCAAATCTGTGGCAGGTCGCAGGTTGTGGGGACCAGCTCGACGAGAAAGTGGTAGGAATCAGTGGAAAGGCGGGTATTTTATACTTCCTTGTGGCTGCGCCCTTGAGTATGTGCACGGCCACAGAGATTTCCTTTGTTTCACTCTCGTTCGCCCCTTCCGGAACGACAAGGCCTTCCGATCAAACGAAGGATGCGTGGTCTGACAATCCAATCTCAGCGATCGTACATCCTGCGCAGGCGAAGGTAAATTCAGTACAAAGCAGTTTAGAATGCATGCAGTATAATAACGCCTACACATTTGCACCTGATTGCTCATAGTGAATTGCGGCATGCTCAAGATCGGTCCTGCTCATGAGAAGTGTGATTCTGGATTAGAATATTGTCCCCTAAGTATCAAACATATGCAGCAGTGTCAATATTAGTATACACTAGTTTCATTATCTTGTCCGATAGTACAATTGCGACCGTGTGGAACAGTGAAGTATGTCGGTGCGTGCATTGACCTGACGCAGCAATGATCGAAGGCACATAATTAAGAGGTCGCGGGTCAGCCTCCGTGTCGCCTGCAATCGAATGCGAGGGTTGTCTTTAGGCGTGCGAGTGCCTTGCAGTAGCACCCTTCTGGAGGAAAGCTTGGCAGTCGTTAGATAAGAATAAGTTAAGGCAGCCACGTCGAGGCTAGGCCGCGACTGTGTGCGGGACTGGCGTCGGGAACCGTCAACGTGTCCGACTCTTGGCTGATGGCCGCCTCGCTCTCTTCGTCGGGCGCGCTTCAGCGTCCCCCGCGTGCGACGTCTGCACCTCGGCGTCATCCTGGTCGGCTTCCGCAGCCTTGCGCTTGCGGCTTCGCGTGATCATCTGCACTTTCTCCTCGTCGTCATGCTTCCCCGTTGACGCCTCTTCCACAGCAGTGCTCGATCCCCGACGGTCCGTACGATTGGCTCGCGCGGGGATGACGATTGTGCGCTTTTGGGGAGCCTCTTTGGGACCTGCTATGGGAGGAGTAGCAGAAGAGGAAGACGGCACTGGTGCAGCGGTCTTGCCACGGGTTGTTGACTGCCGCGCCGGTCGACGCGCTGGCGCTGTGCGCGATGCCTCCACCGTGATCACATCTACTTCGGAGGTTTCATCGGCAGCTGGGGCCGCCACGACATTGACGGCGCGCGCGTTCCCTCGACTGGCTGTGTTCTTCGTACGCGGCGCCCTCGCACGGGCGCGGGGCGCCTTCTTTGGTTGCGCAGCCGCTGCTGCCTTGGCCGCCTCCCGAGCAGCAGCCCTTTCTGCCTGGGCCGCCTCCCGAGCAGCAGCCCTTTCTGCCTCGGCGGCTTTCTTTTTGAGCTTTCTAAGGTATGCCTGCGTCGCGGGATGCGCGTCATGTTGCGCGGGGAACGCGTCAGCCTGCCGCCAGTAGAGCTGCACGGTCATCTGATCGGGCCCCGACCAGCCGACCGGGGAGACGATGAGCTGCCTTTTGCGATCTGTGCGCGGGTCGTGAGTATCTCTTCTGCGTGCGAGCGGATAATGGGATACGTACAGAGTAGCTTGCATACCAGGTCGATGGTGCGCTGGTCCATCGGGCGCCCCCACAAAGCAAGATGCGCTGGGTGCGTTGCCTGCGTGTACAGCTTGAGCGCTGCCAATGCGAGGACACACTCGCAATGGGTCTCGTCCAGCTCGGTGCCGATATCGAGCAGCGCGTTGACTCGGCTTACTTCGCCCAGCCGCCTGGCACTCAGAGACTGCACGTGCCAGTAATTTGGTGGCGCGCCGTTCACCTTTCGATATGCCCGCGTGAGGCCGTCGATGTATCTGTCGACATGCGGGTGGCACACGGTGAACGTTCCGTCCGAGAGCACTCCTGGTGAGATCTCTGATACACGCTGTGCGGGGGGTGGGGCAGGGCTGCGCACGCGTTGTGCAGGTTCCCGAGTGCTTGATGAAGGCCTGAGTGAAGATGGACGCGCGGGTATGACGCGGAACAGGGTGTTCCGCACGTAGGATGTCGGGTATTGGAATGTGGGATCCTCAGCGGAGAAGCCGGGTTCTTCGTCCTCTGTGTCGTCTTCGCGTATTGTGCTTTCTCCACGCTCTGTGCGGTCTTTGCGTGCTACGTGCACCAGAATGGGAATGATAGGGCGTGGGCCGGTTGTACCTTCGTAGGGTGTGAAGCTCATTATGTTGTCTTGTCGTTGGTCGTCGGTCGTGGATCCGTGTTCGTCCACAGTAGTTGTGCGGAGAGTATGGCGGGGAGTACGCCTGGTAAGGTATTAAATGAAGACGCTTGTGGTACAATGCGCTGCCGGAGCACGGGGGATAGGGTACGTAGGCGGTTTAGATGATTAGAGGGTAGGTCGGGTGCAGTGGCACACCAAGCACGGGCAAGCATATATGCCACTGCCACTGCATGGCCATGGCCCGTCGATCGATCGTGTCCACCGGACGCCCTTTGTCGCTCTCCTTTGTGTAAGTACAAGTCTATTTGTCCTGCGTCCTAGTACGACGGCGCTTGACAACGGCTGGCCCGGTTCACTGATGAACGTAAGTACAAGGTTGCCAATCGAGCTATGGCCGCATCTGGGGAAGTCAGTATCTTGTGTCCGAAACAGCCATAGTGTGCTTACTCTCCGCACAAGCGCATGTTCGTGTGACTTTCATTCTTCTAGCCTCGACAGCGTGAAGAAAGGACTTGGTTGTCGCGACTTCAAAAGTCAGAGTACAAACAAAGGGTATTAACTGGAGCGCCAGGATGCACAAGAAAGAAAGTAAGGTTCTCTATAATTGTATTCAGCAGCGTGCCAAGCTAGACAAACTAGCTCGTATGCGATGACAATAAAAGACTCGCTTGCTCGACAGCGCGGACAACCGGCCGGGAGCATCGTGATGATCGGCGCATCAATTGTTATGTAAGTGCGATCTGGAGATGTCAGATCTCGCTCGACCCACCCGGCAACTTGCACCAGTTGTCTGGTAGTGAATGCAGCCAGATGCATCGACGAGCCGCGGAAGAGTATTCTGTGCTAACGTGGCAAATCACTAATGTACGCCCTCATAATATATTGTACAGACATCACGATAGCACAGGATATTACTCACACCATTGTGGACACGGGGGATGCAGGTCATTGTACAAGTAGCCCGTCTGCATGCGCGTCGCGCACAGGCGCGCCCACGAACCGCTTTACGAGAGGCTCCCAGCAATCTCGCGCCATGACCATGTGCTCTCCGGCACAGGTCTCGAAGGACACCGCACCGCGCTCATCGAGCGCACGCAGCCCGATCCAGTCCTCGACGTACAGCGGCTGCAGGCGCATTGGCACGATCGTCTTCTCCTTCGAGCCCGTGCCGGGCTCGGCGTACGACCCGAACCAGCTGCTCTCCTTCGGCACGACGGTCTTGTCCTGCAGGAACAACACCAGCACCAGCTTCTCGAGCGAGGCAAGGCGAGGTGCGTACGAGCCGTTGGCAGCATCGGGGATCTCGTTATTGATGTCGGCGAGAAAGAGGTTCGAGGCGAGGTACATCGTGAGGCGCGCGGGGTCGCGGTAGTACTGCGCCTGTCCAGCCTGCGTCAACGGGAACCACCGAGATGGACAAGAGGAAGAGACGCGCCTGCACAAGGTTGTGCTGTGCCCATTCGGTATAGACGCCGCCCATCGCGGCGCGGCGCGCGAGCTGGCAGACGACGTCCCACGGGCGGCAGCCAGGGATGTCGGAGATGCCCATATGCTGCGAGCCAAACGTGACGAGGTTGTAGACGGGCGGGGAGTTGTAGCGCTCGACGTATGCGCGCAAGAACTGGCCGCCTGGTGGACCTGAGCACCAAGATGCTACCACATGCTGACGGATATACCGTACCTTGCGAGAACCCCATGGCGTCAAACCCTCCCGCAAGCTCTGTAATGTTAGCCAGCTGCTCTGAGACGCGTTGCACTTGCTCGTTCACGCTCCCGTACTGCTTGCTGGTCAATTGCCGTTGCACCCCGGGAAGAACAACACGTGGTGGGACATACAAAAGTCGCTTTCTGATCCTCATCCAGGTTCTCGTCCAGGTAAATTGAGTGAACAAAGATGCCAGGGTGTATGTCCTTAATCATGGAGATGAACTCAAGTATCCCAGGCGAGGCATAGGAGTCGCCAAGCCCGTGCCATATCACAAGAGGGCGTGGTTGCGAGACACGCAGTAGAGCCGGCGAGCCCAAGGCGCCAAGAAACACATTCATAAAGAGGAGTATGCAGGTTATAAGTCCTCGCAACATTTTGGAAGCTGCCAAGTGCTGTGCGCGCAGAGAAGTCCGGCTCATGGTAGGCGCCCAGAACGGGAGGCGGGATTTCCAGAAACGGCAAGCGTTAATAGGCGTCTCTTACTATCCAACATGCATCACACCTGCAAACTATAGTTTGAAATGCACTTCCTTGACTGCTACTTGGAGCGCGAAAAACTGTTGCCGACGGCTGCACCTCCATTGGGCTTTTCCACACAACTCAAGCTTTGGACATTGACTTAGTGTATAACGATCCAACGCTCTCACAGCTGCGATGACATGCATTCGTCTCCATCACACAGCTTGTCCACCCCCGCTGTACAGCGCACCATCATTGCGTGTATCCTTGTCCTTGAAACGTGCTTCATCCTGTTGTAGCCGTGGTGCACCCAGCACACACAGAACAGCCGCGCTGTCCTGTCGCTTGCCCACGTTCTTAGGAGAAGATCCGAAGCGCCGATGAGATAGGGAAGTCGAACGTTGAGTATGCTCAAATCAATGCGCTCACGAGTCAGTGCTGGTTCAGCACGTCGAGCTCTTACCGTCTTTAAATGACAGGATCTTGTATTAGCTCCCCACGACTGGGAAGGCTGCCAGACTAGCAGGGTTACATGACACTGTGCCTAGCTACATTGCAGCTAAACATGCGTGAAATCGGACAGTAGCACGACCATATGTCCGGCCGACGACGACAGCATGCATGTATTGCATGTGGCGCAAGCCGAATTTCATTTTGACGTCTGTTGCCAATTTCACACTCATGTCCAAAAGTACCCACGCAAGGCAATATGGGCGTAATGGACGCGTGTCAAGCCTATCATGGAGCATGTAATGAGGACAGAACAGGACCCCCGAATATTGAGGAGGAACCATGATCCCATTCCGGACAAATCTGGGCGATTTTGGACCCTGATCCCTGATCTTTTCCCGGACAAAACCAGTCTGTCGTAACCCTCATCCCTGGTACGATTTCCGGACATACTCCGGCCAATGCCGGAAGCCTGATCCGAAGACGGACAAGCCTGCTCCGCGCTTATGCTTGGCCAGGTTTGAACGTCCGTCATGTGACATGCATGCGGACGATCCCACGACGTCGCGCTCGAGGATAATATATTGAATGTTAGTATTTCTGCAGCCTGCACATGTCTACTTATAGTATCAAAATGTGGGCTCATGAGCGGCCGGTATTCTAAGTGCTCGCATTTCGTCAGATTGAATGTTTTTTGCCATCTATATAGTTCACATCACATAACTACGGACGAGCGCATTCTCAACAATGCCACTTTTTCTGAGCACCCCAAGCTGCCTATCTCGTATCACGGCAGTGAAAATGCTTGGTGCTGCGCGCAAGAAGATAAAGAAAGCGGCCACCTCTAAAATCACACAGGTCCAGGGGACAAAGGTGCTTGAACAGAGTTCATGTTGCGATGCTACATAGCACAAGTCCGAGTGTCCAGTCCGCATTACGACGTCAGAATCGAAGTCGGGGGCGAAATTGTGTCTCTGGGAACCCTGATCCATCATTTCCGGACAAATCACCGATTTTCGACACCCTGGTCCAAAAAGATACAAATTCCGGACATTTTGGCCGAAATCAGGCGGCAGCCTGATTTTTTCCGGACATATCAGGCCGAAAATCGGAAATTTCTGCCGTACAAATCGACCAACTTTTGAGAAATTGGGATCAGGGTTCCCCCCCTATATTCGGGGGTCCTGACAGAACCCGTACTTCTGCCACTAGAACACTCTACTCCGACCGCGCGTGCGTGGGGACAACCCGTCGTCTGGGCGGAAGGGAAGACGCTATTTTGGTTGGGGATATGCGGACCTCGTCTACCAATCATATTCCCTACAAATCAATGACCGCAACGTGAGTGAACTGTATATGACGCCGCATCGAGCTTCGTGATCGTGCCGCTGCCATTGGGCAGTCAGCGTCATTTGCAGGGACTAGAGTTCTGGAGTTGGCGGCGACGATCCTCTGAACATACGTATGTCGTTCCCACCACTGATGGAGTGGGGTACGCGATGGTTTTGGCTCGTGCGTGCGTCGTTTCGACCCCGGGCTATGCGATAATGGTCCTTCGAGGCCACTCTGTATCTGCATTCTCGCGCGTCTAAACCCTTGTCACACCTGCCGTTCAGGTGCGCCTCGATGCGGTCATGATCCACGCACGCTGCATACCCACGTGCCTGCTCTATTTGAATACATACGCACCAAGGCGCATGTGCGCGCGCGTTCTCTCTGGATATCCGCATAGAGGCGCTAAGAATTGCATTGCGGCTAGCTATGTGCAGGCACGCGGCTTGCGTCCCGATCATCCCGCCATGCCTACCAGCTACTACGCATTGCGCATCCGCACCGCGTTGGTGATGAGGAGACTCGGAGACGTCTAAAGTAACAACAACAGACCGCTCAGCGACGACATTCATCTCGCAGAGGATCCTGGACGCTGTGGTGGAGTGGTCGGGCGTTGCATGTATTGGAGTAGGCGCCGAACGCGTTTCCAGGAACCGATCACAACCGAGATCTGACCGGGGTCCGAGCCTGTGGAAGCCGTCGGCAGGCGCTCTCGGAGTCACATCCACGGAGATGTGGGACGAAAAGGCAGTTACTTGCTTGCAGTCAGGGTACTATGCACTACAGCCTCTGGCGGGCACAGCTCTGGTGCGCCAATGCGAGAGTATAAAGCCGAGCAACTTAGGCAGGATGGTCGGGAGTGAGCATGACAGACAGGAGAAGTATCATTTGGATGTCCATGTGGCGCGGTCGAGACCAGAACTCGAGCCTCGGTCCATGATTACATATGTCAATGCGGAGTCTCGGGCAACAAATGGACGAAGCGGGGGGTGGCCGATGGATCCATCAGGTATGTTAGAACACTGGACGGCCATCCCGAGCCGAGGGAAGGTGCGCGTTACGCATCGCTTCAGCGTGACGCTATGTTGGCGGAGGGTGCATAGCCTCCTATGAATGCATCTCGCAAGTTTCAAATCGGCAGTTTTGCACGCCGACCATTCAATCAGTGCTGACGCAGACGGGCTGTCGGTCTGGGCGCAGTTCAGTGCATGTGGTGTACGGGTGCTAATGGGACGCTCGCTACTGGGTGTTAATTTTCGAGTGCATGAAGATGTAGAAATGCATGTAAGGGGTGTGCTCCAGTTGGATGCGGGGGCGTCCGGTATGGAGAATCCAGCCTCGGTCTGCACGTTCCCCGGAAGGCGCATCAGCCGTCTCCGTTCTCATGCCTCCGCACGCACGGTCCATCATTCCGCACCGCATTCTCCCTGCCATCGTTCTCAGCCGCTCCGTCCCTCGTGCTCTGCGCCCGCGCCTGTGCTGCGACGTCCCCCGACCGCGCCGGCGATCCACGCCGGATGCAGCGCGCTCTCTAGAGCTTGCGCCCGTATGTGACGTCGAGTGCGCGCCATGAAATTAACTGAATCGTCCCGCGTCCGGTGCTTCGCACCAGAGAAGCGCTTCCTCTCCATTCGAGGGGCCACCCCCATCGAAGGCTCGTGCGCGCCCAGGCGCCCCCACGTCTGCAGGACAGAATATCTAATGTGTATATGAAGTGCTGCCCGCGCGTCGGCTGACTGTGCTATGCATTCCATGCGCAACACGCTTGGATCATTTGATTCTCTACGGTGTGCGTCGGCACCCGAAATGGATCTCCAGCCACACGCGCGGAGGGTAGTTGCCTTATTGGGTGGAACATATCGTTGACGCCATCGATCCGGGTGCCCCGAGTAGGGACGGGACGGATAGCGCAGGATAGAAAAGCGGGGGGCTGCTGGATGCAAACAGGACGATTGCCAGAGGCTGCTGGGTGTAGCAATTCCATGACTCCAAACCGATGCTCTTGACAGGCATAAAACGCTAGCAATTCTGCTAAATGTCCGTGACGCGTGACACGGAACTTCAAGTAATTCAAACGTAAAGCCTGAACCCGATGCTGGTGGGTACCCTTCCATTATTCCGCTGCAGTCTCCATTCTCGCGCTGAGTACTCGTTGGGTTGTCCGCTAGTACGCCACCAGTGATAGTCACTGGGCATAGGCGCGTAATGCATTATGCGCACTGCACGAACTAAGCTCGGAGAACAAGAGGTACGTGGCGAATACGGCTTGAGCACTCAAAGACTGATGAAGCCTTGTGTAGATCGTAGTATCTTGTGCTCGCTCTTGGTTACGGTTGCGCACAATAGCACATAAATAATGTTAGCGACGGACACCTACCTCTGAGACGCGATGAGAAATGGTTGCGGCGTGTAACAATTGAGGATTAAAGTTCGGACTGAGTGTGACGCGTGACGGGATGGCAGGGGCGATAGCGACAGACCCAAGGTTGTGGGTTGAGCGGCAAGCGCCGGTCGAGCCGGCGTGCACCAGCTGCCCAAGGGCGTTGGCCCTCCGCCGACCGCCATTGTCGCGCACCTCTTTCTCTCCCACCACCATCATCCCCTTCATCATGTCTCGCGACGCGCGCACCGTCCCCGCGTCCTCCTCATCTTCGTCGTCGTCGTCGGCCGATGGCAGACATAAACGGTGAGCACCCCGCCACCACCGCCTCGTGGCCGTCGCTCATCTCTCGACAGGAAGTACCCCCGCGCGCAGCTCCTCAAATGTCTCGAGGTACACTACTTCCCACCCCCTCTCGTTGCTCATCCATTCCTCGATGTACCCCTCTGCTCACATCGCGCATAGATCCTTGGTCCTATCACCCCTCTGCTGCCGCACGAGCTCCCACCATCGCCTCCCGTGTCCCCACCACCGACCACTGGGTCCAAGCGCAAGCACGACTCGCATGACGACGCCCACAACAAGAAGCCGCGAATCAGCGACCCATCGACCAGCCGCCTCCCCCCAGTGCCGCCATTCCCACACCCGCCGCGCCCGGGCCACGAGCCTTCCGAAGATGGCGAGGTCCGCGAAGACCTCCCTGCGTTCCACACATCCCTCGCCGCGGCGTCGAACGTGCCCGTGCGACGGCCACGGCGATGCCCACTGCCTGTGGAGCACTTTCAAGAGCTTTATCATCGGTACATGTACCACGGGCGGCTACTGAAGCACTCGAGCCAGAAACGGCTAGACTCGACGTTCCAACCCTCACATCCTAGCTACAAGCCGCTGGCGGACCCGCCGGCTCCGGGGACGTCGTATCATAAGTACGGGCACCTGTTCTCACGGCTCGAGCGGGTAGAGTCGCTGCTCTGCTTCGCATATGCGTTCTGGGCAAAAGACATCGCGAAGAACGAGTGGGATCAAGAGAGCTGGGAAAGCATGGACAACTTCATAAGCTACGTCAAGGAGGAGTGGCAGCTTTCCAAGGTCACAGACGAACGCGAGAGAACGTTCATCGGCCTTATGTACGCGTCTTCACTTTCCATCTACGCGTTGTGTTTACTGACTTGATACTGTAGATACATGACACAGGCATTCATCGATGGGCGTGCAGTATCTTACTTCGCGAAGCACAACTACTCGGCTGCCGAGTCTGCGATGCAGGTAGCGCTAGGTCAGCTGGATCTCGAGAATGCGCGTAACGGACGGGGGTCAGCTACTCAAGCCGTACATCCGCCGCCGGTGACGTCAATGCTACCGTCCCCGGCCAGCAGCGCTGGTTCGACACCAACCAGCGTGCAAGGGACGCCGAATGCTTCGGCGAGTGGTTCAACCCCCGTCCCCTCCTCCGCTCCTGCTCCGTCGCAGGCTCCTGCCCTTGAATCTTCCTCCAAGAAGAAAAAGCCGGAGCTAGTGCACTTCTACGAATGGAAGAACGTGCCGGATGCCATGAATACATTGGTAAAGACGCAGTCCGTCGCGCAGCTCAGGAACCAGAGCCGGTCGTTGAAGATGGTCGGATACTACATGCAAGAGGCGCAGCGGTATCTGACGCTACCAGCGATGGCGCGCCACTTCCCGCGGACATTCGCGCGGATGATGTACAGCAGTTTGGCTCCAACGGACGAGAAGGAGCCGGATGTCGAGGACGAGGAGGGCGAGCTCTTCTGGCCGGGGAACCCTGCTACGGGCGACGGCCTTGCATGGGTCTGCGCCATGGGCAAGGCGATGGTAAAGGAATTCGGCAAGGCGTATGGCTACAAAGGCATCGACGGCATCGTCGCCGGCCTGAATGTCCCGCCACCACCGCCGATCAGACCGCCCAAGTCCTCTGTACCACGACGGTGACACGCGCCCGCCTCGATCTCGGTTTGTCTTGCCCTACTCTGGAGTCCCCTTGGAGGTCGCTCGTCTTCTGCATGCTAGCATTGGCGATCGCTGCCCATCTGCGCCCTCGCTTTGACTTATCTGCATGGAATCCTCCTTGGATCGCACATCTGGTCGTCTCTGGGGTATCTGTTATCTGCACTCACCCGCAACCTCGCGTTCTGTGGCGGAGTCGACAATACAATCCCCGCATCCCTACCGTCCATCTCGCTCTGGCATCATCGAATCTCCCAAATGTATCACCATGTCGTGCACGGCCGCTCATATGTGCACTCTGTACACTATCTTCTGTAACGCTATCGTCGTCCCCATCGTCACACCGCATCATCAAAAGCCTACGCTCGCCACGCCCCCAGCCATCACCGCCGCTGCATCACACAGCCTAGCGACGCTGTCGCGCCTCGGACCCTGGCGTCGCAGGGGCCATAGTGCACCAGGTGTCTGCCGCGGGCCCGGCGGCGTACCCGCGGCGATCGCGTCGGCGCTGTCTACCCACTGGGGTGTCGCGCAGCATCAGCATCGGTGCGACGTCCTGTACCCCACGTCACGTCTCCCGTTCTTCCCTTCGATGCCCGCTCTCGCTTCCCGGTGTCTCGTCGTATGTCCCGTGTCGTCGCAAACACACATATCCCGTCCGCATTCCGATGTCACATATCATACCCACTATATCCCTAATCTTATCGCCTCCGCACATTATTCTGTCGCATACTTACATTTCGCATCGTTGTTTAGAACTCCCGCCCGCGCACTGCCCGACCACCTTCTTGCATGCTCCGGATCCCACCCGCCCCCATCCCGTTCCTCACTACCCGCGCATCCCCCCATCCCATTCCATCCTTGACGGTCGGACTTTCTTGCGTGCCCGCGTTCGGTGATTGGTTGTGCCTATTTAATCTAGTCTCTCGGATTGGAACATCGGAATACAGAGGAGGCCGCACTTGGCGCGTCTCGCCGTTGGCCGGAAGGAGCTTCCCCTGCGTGCCTGCTGCCATCTGTGTGAGTAAGTATGCCTGGAAGGCATGGGTGTCCGTGAGTTCAGGTAAGTTCACAGAGTGCTTGTTTCGGGGGGCGTAGATCGGCGCCATAAACATTGTTGTGGCCCAGTTGGGGCGCTCGGCGGTAAGGAAGCGCTGCTTTAGCGTCAGGTGGGGCCTCTGCGTTCGTGCCGCCCGTCCCGCGTCATGCATGCACCGACCGGCGCGCGTCCATTCCTTCCTCTCGCGCCGTGTGCACACCGTCACGCAGGGCTTGCGCCGTCCTCCGTCGGCCGTTCGCGCAGCGGCGCGCGTGTGAACTTGAAGCCAGTGCCCGCGGAGTCTGCCGGTGCGTACAGATGCACTTTCCACGTCCGCGTCCAGACACGAAAGCCTCCATCCGGCGTTGATACAGATCTCTGGCTATAGATAGCGCACTCGCTCCGCCGGGCCCGCCAGAGCCAGAGTCTGGGCGCGTCGGGCGCTGTGAGCCCTATGCGAGTGCGACCTTCGCACTGGCGTCGAAGCATGGGTATGGGTGTATTTCGAATGCTTGGAGCGTCGACGGGGCTGGTCAGGCCGTTTGCAGCAGACACGCCGATCAGGAGCGGACCCGCAGGCGCCTTAGCTGACCGTGACATCGTAAGAACAGCAGGAGCGGTGCACCGTGACAAGAGTTCTGTCCCGGTGCACCGCTGCTGCGCGATATCGGCCCCGAGCGCGCATGCGGGATCGATCCGCAGGGTGTATTACACGATGACCTAGACACTATCGTGCCCGTGAGGCCGATCGATGACACCATACGCTTCAGACGCGCTGCGCAGGCGCAATGCGCGATGTGTGTATTATATGTCGGCGGCATGGCGTGTCGTGGGCGGGAGTCGGGCTGACAGAGCAGAAACCCTAAAACCGCCATCCAGGACTACCAGATTGCAAAGCGCGAACGTGACTGGCATCATGCAAGCAGGCAGGGATTGAGTTGCGGGAAAACTGCCCGCGGCAGGCGTCAGGAGATGCAACGTAATGTTCGGTAATCAGAAGATGCACTCAATTCCCCGGCAGGCAAGAGAAGCACAAACAATCACACGGGGACTGGAGGTTGACAGATATCGCGGGGCTGAACAAGCGGGGACCAGGGGATCGCGGAGATGGACGGCGTTGATTGACAAACAGACGTTCGGTTCAACCACTTACACCGTCAAAGCAGATATATGCAGCACCTGTACCAACTGTATTGTGAGACACCAACGACGCACCTATGATATTGTACAATGTGTCTGTGTGGCATGATCGCCTGTCTTCGCTGAAGCATCTCGCGCAGCGCCATAGCATTCATATGGGTAACATGTTGCGTCATGGTCGTAGGTGCAGTAGAGATGGAAAAAAGAGAATGCAAGAGACACCCATATGCGCCGCGTACAGCAGCTCCGCCCCGAGTACCCCGCAGAGGGTGTGTAGAGTCGGCTTTACCGGTTGGACTTTGCGACACGCTCGAGCTCGTCCTTTTTCTGTAAAGCGTGGTATGGATGATCAGAGATCGAAGCAAGGACAACGGCTGTGTTGGGCCCACCTTGATAGCGTACGAGTTGGATGAACCCTTCGCTGCATTGATGAGCTCGTCCGCCAAGCACTCTGCGACGGACTTGACGTTGCGGAACGCCGACTCACGGGTCTGTAGACCATGTGCTCAGCACTTGCGCACAGGCAAAAACAGCGTAAATGATACGTACACCGGTCGTGAGCAGCGAAACCGCCTGGTTGACGCGGCGCAGAGGAGACACATCGACGGCCTGGCGACGGACGGTACCCTGCGAACCGATACGCGTCGAGTCCTCACGGGGACCGGTGTTGACGATGGCGTCGACGAGAACCTGGATGGGGTTCTGGTCCGTGAGGAGGTGGATGATCTCGAACGCGTGCGCGACGATGCGGACGGCGAGGAGCTTCTTGCCGTTGTTGCGGCCCTTCATCATCAGGCTGCGCGGGGGCTCGGTCACGCGGGTCAGTGGGAGGAGGCAGGGGGCGGACGCACCTGTCGACGAGACGCTCGACAACGGGCATCTGCGCCTTCTTGAACTGCTTCTTGGCGTAGCGGCCCGCGGTGTGAGGGAGGTAGACGGCATGGCGGATTTGGATGTAGTCGGTCAGGGAGATGTCCTTCACCTCAACACTGCACAGCCAAATTCGTATCAAACGAAAGAGCGTGCGGGGGTGGAGAGCAGGGCCTCCGGTCAGTATTCCGCTCGCAGGCGTTCAGCGGGCGGGGGCACGCACTCTTGTGTGTCCCACTTGCCGAAGAGCTTGACCTCTTGACCGAGGCTGGAGATGTCCTTGGGGAGAGTTTGTACTGGGCCGGCCATTTTGTCTTGAGGGTGAAGGGTACCTGGCGAACGGAAAGCCGGAGGATGTGAGTGAGAGCGAGGACGATGCCGAAGACGATGAGCACGCACCGACTCGGAGGCTTGTTTGCAGCTGTTGTGGGCGCGGCGGGTAAGGCAAAACAAGGTTCACGCTGCAGCGGAGGATGCCGTGGTACTGTACAGTCTTCAATTCGGGCGCTTGCTGTACGCGGGGTGATGGGCGTCTGCGCGATCGTGCTGCTGCGATGTCGTCACTACTGTATGACCACCGCTCTTCTGCATATGTTGTGTTTTCATGACTTCGTGTTCATCTTGGACCTCGGAGGTTGGTCTCTCTCATTGCATTGTCAACCCGAAACCGATGAGCTGGATGTCCATGACCGACCAGCCTTGTATTGATACCTGTCTCTGGTTTTCGGAATACTTGGCACTTGAAGTGCTCGATGCCAGGCTCTTGTTCGTGCGTGAGGTGACAGCAAATTACAGACCAAGCGCGTACATTGTCATGGCCGTCGTGAAGGTTGAGCTTGAGGTAGAAATGCGTGGAATGCCAGGTTTGAGATGAGCGCAGACGGATGTGTTCGATTGATTGACAGGAGCGAAGGTGGATATGACGTGCGTCTACGCTACGTCCGTCGATCGTCCTTCTCTTTCACGACGCGTCTGTCTCCCAATATGGCTATCCATAAAGCCCGCCGTGTCTGCTCTCGACGCCGCCCTCCCCTCTGTCCCCAGCCCATATGTTCAACGACCGCATTCTCCGTGTCGTCTACATCGAGTCTGCCCTCTCAGAACGCAAGATATATGATACATTCGCCGCGTGCGGTAAAATGTGAGGCGTCGCTACCTCTTGCATGCTGGCCCCGTACTAAATGCACGCATATACCCACCAGACAAGCGATCCACGCCTCCGACTCATACTTCCTAGAGTTTGCCTACGAATTCAGTATGAGACAAGCGCTTTCCATGAATGTGCCTGGGACAACCGTCGCTGCCGTCGCCTCTTCCCCTGCGTTGATAACACGCTTCAACGACATCCTACCTCCTGCGCGCTCCACACTTCCTCTCTTCTTTCCTTCACCATCTCCCGGTCCCTCCCCAGTCCCTAGCACTAGCTCCAGCGCACAGCCGGCACCGACTACGCGAGAGCCAGGACGTTCAGCGCAGCCGCGTGAGCCTCTCGTGCTTCCCGAGCGACCCTCCTATGACCAGAAAATCGGTGAGTCCGACGACTCTGTTGCTACCGAAGCCGCTCTTAAGAGGCGTCAAACCCGCCGTGCAGGCAAGCGTGTCACAGCTAAAAGGCAGGCGTCACGATTGACGCAAGTACATACGGGCCCATCGTCATCCATATCCTCCGCATATAGTCAGTCGGAAGCCCAATCGACGCAGTCTAGTGGCGTCCTGCGGCCATCGAGGACCGCGGCCGAGCATGGGAATGCAGAGAGGAGAATCCCTGTCTCGCAGATGAATGCAACGCCTGTGGCTGCTTCCACGGCAGTGTTCCCCTTCCCTGCTGGGCAGCTGTCTACCGCCTACTCTCATTTGCACAGTATCTCCCCTTCTGCGTCACCGCTTGTTCCAGCGTCATCTTCCGTCCCGAGTACAGGTTATAATACCACAGGATCCTTTGCCCCTCAAACATATGGGCCCACACGTCGTCAAAATGCGGATGCCATGGATATCGATGGAGACAAGGAGAACCTCACTATATCTGAAATCCCTAATCCCTTGCTGCGAACTGGGAAGGACATAATGGCTATCTCATATCCGTCTCCCTCGAGCACGTTATCTGCACCCCTTTCCCGTGGTAACAATACACCATCGCTTGGCAATCAATCGACTAATTGCAGTACGACGCTATCCACGACCACTGTTCCGCAGCCTGCTGTCCCACCGACCCCTTCGCCCTACATTACGCTCATTTTCCGCGGCTCACAAGTGAATGTGGACCTGAGTACACTCGAAGACGATCCTACGGGTATTATTACTGTATTGCATACGACTGCAGCGAGCGCGCTCGAACGTGACAAGTGGATGATCGTTGCGGCGACCTATCGTGGCAGTGGGCGGCTGCAGGCAGCGCTCGCGGTAGGTGAAGAGATGGTGAACGGTGCGTATCTAGGTTCTTTCGAATCCCTGTCCCTGCTATGGCCATAGTTACGACTTTGTTGGTTGTATATATGCAAACCGATGTGTGTGCTGACGCGCAGACTTCTTATAGTGATGACGGCGCCGCCAGTAGCTTTGCCCATCACAGACCTCAAGCCCATTCTGCTGATGATGTCGACCTGCCACCGCGACCTTGCCAAGCAGATGCAGGCAATGGATCCCGAGAAGAGCGCAGAACATACGCGTCGGGCAGTGAGATGTCTACAAAGCGTATATGGCCTTGATGTCCCTCGAGAACAGGCCTGCGCGACCCCGCTTCCCGCTTCGCAGAGCGAGAAAGAGGGGCGTCACTCCTTAGCAAATACCACGAACTTGCCCCCGCACGCGCCAATACCTGTCTCTATTCCCATTCCTCACACTGGCGCCGACAAGGCTGGCGGCGTTCAGGAGGTCGTTGGGCTCGTGGAACTTCGTTCGGCGAAGCGACGCCTGGAGGAGGAGTTGCGCACGGAGCGGGTTGTCCGCCAGCGGCTAGAGGGAGAGCTGAGCGATTGCGAGGCCGCTCGAGTGCGCGCGGAGGCGGAGAAAACAAAGGCGGAGAAAGGGAAGGAGCTGGCGGAGGCAGCGCGTGCGGAGGCGGACGGGCGCGCGAGGGAGGCGCAGGAAGGAGAGCGTCGGGCGCGTGAGTGTTTCGCGAGACTGGGAGCGTTGTTCACGCGTGCAGCAGGGGGAGAGGTGGCGGTGAATGGCGATGGTGACGCGGGGAGGTCGTTGTGGAGAGGTGCGTTCGGAGTGGGAGTTGCGGTGGATAAGGATGCATAGGTACGGTGCCATTTCCGTTCCCTTGCCTATCCATCCCATGGCCTCCGCAATAGCACCCGCACCCGCATCCGTTTCATTGCCATGACATAGATGCAGTATCATACATTTATCACTTGCACGTCCCTCTGGACATCCCTTTCTCCATTTTGCATGACGGACGCTTTAGCATGCGTGTACCGTTACCTTTTCCGCATCTGTATCATGGATTGCATTCTAAATCTGTATTGTACTCGTCTGACGCTGTCGCCGCGCATTTCGGAATCTATACCATCCGGGTTCCTTGCGGCGATGAGCCTTGTTCACATGCCAAGCATAGCAAGTTCGGCACCTCGAGTGCATGATTGCGAGGAATGTCGACATGATCTGGCAGTAATGCATGGATGTGCGAGTCATTGACTGGTTAGCTACTGAAGTAATGACCATTCATGCGACATGACTTGAAGATTTGAATGTCCAGTCTGGTGTCTTTGCCGTTTTTGGGTGAGGTCTCGACCACCGCCGAGGACCCGGGGCTTAAGCGCTTACCTCGGAGTCATAACCCTCCTAGGGCCAATGGCAAGTCAACGGTCAATGTCTACTATATCCAATGATCGGGGACATCGACTGTACATCATTGCCCACTGGTCAATATTCACAAGCCATGGAGACGTGGAGATTCGGTGTTGATTAATGATGTTTGGATCATCTATCCATCAATCTAGGCACGACGCTCTGATTTGGCGAATATGCATGGAGGCGTCGACGCTGAATTTCATATCCGTTGTGGCGAGGCCAGCGCCGCATTTCTGCGTTTACGGACAGCGTGCGTTGTGACCATGGCTAGCATTCTGCTTCTCGCTGGTATGTCGGTCGCACTCGGTTTACCGCTCAAATAAATTAGACCTACTATCATTTGCGACTAGGTTTGGAGTATCACACGTCCGGATTTAGCATTGCCCTGTCTCGAGGGAACGAACACCTTCCGCAGCGCTCAGCATAGCAAGCATGGCATCTGCGATATGTCTGTCGCATGACCTATCAGATCCGGGGTTCTGCCCCGCCAACCATTGTCGTATATAAGACGGTATGGAGGAGATGCACCTCAGCCTGGTCTCCTCGGAATCGCTCACCCATCTTCGTCGCGCAGTCTCAGAACTGGTTTCTTGAGCGATGGTAGGCTACTTTGAGACGTCTGTCCATTAGCTCCTGTTCTCTCCTTGTCGGGCGCTGAGCGAACCGACACTTGTGCAGACCTCCTATCCAAGCCTATGGTCCTTTCGCGATCACAAGTACGTGCTCATTTCGTGCCAAATGGTATCATAATTAGTGATTTTTTTGCGATCACCGTTTTTGAGCCCTGATACTCTATGAGCATCTGTTGGTTCTGCCCCGGGAGATCGAGCTCATCTGGCTCAAGAAAAGAAGAGGACCTGCGGCGATCTTGTATCATCTCAACCGCCTGGTTCTGGTAATCTGGCTTGTAGCCTACAACTCTAGGATCCGCGCGACCGATCAAACACATACCGTGAGCTGCTACTCAAATCGTGAACTATTTATGGTTTTAATAAAGACGTTGTTGAAGTTGTCTGTATTGCTCTCCGCTTTGGAGCACGGATTCAATCTGATGTTCATGGCAGATGCACTATTTGGGGTATCACAGTCGAGGTCATGACAGTGTTGCTGTTCTTGATATCCGCAGGTCAGTTGAGGTTGGGCTTATACATTGAGTGCTACATTATGCACTTCCGTATAGTGTTTGCAGCTATCAGAGTATATGCTGTTAGCGGGAAAGGGTATATTCCTACTGGTATCACTTTGGTGTTTGGTATCATACCTATCATCCCTGAATTTGTAAGTTCCCCCTCCTCCCCCCTCGATAAATTTATTCAATGAGCTGGGAATTATCATTGGTAGGACATCATCGTCAAGACAAGATATGCTGTTGTAGATTCACCAATGTTGAATGGTGTATGCTATCAAAGCAATCCTTGTGATGGTTTGCTTTGCGGGTAGGTGGTTTTGTTCAAGAGCCATGCATGGGCAGATGAGGCTGACTATTACCAACAGATGTACGATAGGAGTTCATTTCACAATTACTTCCTCTGCTGACCTGTCATACTGTGATTAGTTGCAGCGACTCTTTTCCCCCGCATTTGTGTCATGATCTCTGACTTCATAGTCCTATACATGACATGGTATTCGACTAGAAGACTAGGAGTGATTCAAGGAAATACTCTGGGGAGATTTCTCCGTAAAGAGGGTGTGACATACTTTGTGTAAGCCCATGTTGCATATCAATAAATCAATCAATGATCTTATCATATAACCTCCAGAATGTTGGCCATGATCAACATTATGTATGTAATAAACAGTGCAATCCTCGTGAGTGCCCAGGTTGATTGCGGACTTATGTATGCTAATATTGAATGCAGGCACTTGCTACAAGTCTTATTACTGCAGTTGTGGCGTAAGTAACAATATATCCATGGGTTGTCAGCCATCTCATGGTTGTGTAATTCTCAAGGCTCTCGTCCATATTAGTATCCCGTTGTATACTGCACCTCTATGAACATGTGGAGAGCCAAATCACCAGCACTTCCGTGGACACAACGTCAGTTATGTTCGCGCCTCCGCGACAATCTATGCTGCACGGCCCGCAATTCACCTTCCCGAGGGGTCCCAACGGAACTACAGAATATTCAGGTTAGTTGCACATAGCTCTATTAGCACGAAATTGATGTTGCCGTAGAAACAACGAACCCACCCTCTCCGGTTTTGAGGAATGAGAACGGAGATGAGAATGTGTGACATCCGGTCCGGTTAGTTGATAATGCCATCATGACAAATGTAACCAATGCTTGTATATTGTGCGCCCTACGTGCATGAGATTTGGAGTTCGATATTTCCCGCGCAGTGAATGGCGATCGGATTACGAACAGCGCAACACAGAGAGGCAAGGAGGGTGTCTAGCAGTATGGAGCAGCTGCAACTTCTCGCTGACAACAGCGGTGAGATTCCAAATGTAACCAACGGCTCACACATATCTCATCATTTCCCCGATCGGGACTCTCGTACTCATGCTTTCTAGCAATACAAGAGTCATACGCGTTCGTAGTACCTGTACGAGTAAATTGGGCTGCACATGCTTGTCTATCGACGATCGTGACGTTGTGCCCGTCGAAACCTGCACCGGAGGGCATATCATTGTACGGGAATGCTGGAGCCGGTTCGTGGGTGCACCTGCGCAGAACGTGCGTGCGCGCACTGGCGGGCTGGTTGTACATATAATGATGCCTTCGAGTCCTCCTAGTACGAATCAAGGCCTTGTACTACATCGAGGAGCCCTCGACGCTCATTGTAGACTGATTCGGGTGGGACCTTCCCCTGAGTATGATGCTTACCGCCGGTTGACTTCAAGTTGAAATTAGGAGGGCAAGATCTAATCTCGTTTACGTAATAATTGATGCGTCGATCACGGCGAGGTTACTGGCGTCTCTTTCAGTTTGCGTTGTCTGGCACTGCCAACTATACTGAATGCAATCAGTACCGTGATATTGCTTTGTTTTGGTATAATTTAATGCGCCTGCAACGTTCTTTATCTCTGTCCGCAGTCATCAGGCCACATTTTGTGAGGATGCAAGAGTCAGAGACACCCGAAGATGGACCCATGCGTAGGCAGTGAGTGTACTTTAGTCTCCCGTCAAGTTCCTGACCTCAACAGGCAGAGCTATCGCTCTATTTATAGCCTTGTGCTTGTATTCATCGGCAAGATCAGGCCAGCCTTCGACGATTATCCTTGCACTAGAGTTCCCGACACATAGGATTGTACTTACACAAGGGGAAGTAACAAAGCTATGCACCTCCCAATGGACTCGATTGACAATGTATGTCCGCTCAGTGGCAAGGTCGTATGTTACTTTCTAGCTTGTAAATATAGATACCACATCCCCCATTCACAGGAAGCGCGAAGTTAGACCACAAGCATACTCCACTTGGCCTCCTCCCATTTTTTCGCAACATATACTTAGGCGGACACGAAGCTATGAACATCGACATCGTATGAAGCTTGACACTCGCGAAGGAATAACTAGCCCACGTCGTATCGACATTCCGATGTACATCGCACACGGAACGTACACAGCCTATGGTGAGCCGAGCATAGTGCATGAAGGGCGCGTGGAAAATAAAAAGCACCCATCCTGGATGGAGAGGACGAAGAAAATAAATCCCCATTCTAGCTGCTGACTTTTCTCTTCGTCTGGAACACCCGATTAGGCGATATACCCGTACGTCCATCCTGGCATAAGTGCTCTTCGAACGCTCAGAAGCCTGCACAACGCGCGTGTAGCCTTCTCCCACTCCCCTTACAGCAGCTGATGGTGATCGCACTGGGAGTGCTCTCGGACGGAACCTCCCCTAAGCGTGCTCAGGAAATCGAAAAAACGGTTACTATTCGAAGCCGGGGTTACGGGAACGGGAACACCACTACGTTCCTTCGCAACATAGTATATACAACTATTGTTGAAGATGTCTGATATATTCGCATGCACACTACACTCACATGCACTGAGCTGGGACAAGATCAAGTGCGAGTGCTTCCTCGCATTGGCAGCCCTAAAGCTATACACGCAACAAAGGCACACAGCCCATCTTGCTTTGTGGGGTGCCCAATGGCCTGGTGTGCAGGGTGCTCTGTGGGTATCACGTCAATTATTAGCATCCAGATAAGCTTACTGTTCATGTACAGCGTACAAATCGCCAGTCGCTTGCAGATGGTGGAAGGGAGGAACATCCTGTACAAGTCGTGGCAGTCCTGGTCGCGGTTGATGGAGGGTCCGACATAGACCTGATCACGGTGGAGGCATAGTACACAGGGTCAGCGCGTCGATCGGTACGGTATTCAATAATGCGCAGTAAGACTGCTACACCTTCATCCTCTTCCGATACTCCTCTCGCAACAGGGAGACTTCCGGACTGCCCACAACCATTCCCGCGCGATGCAATCATACGGACCGCCGCGGATCGAATACTGCTGTGGAAGATGTGTCAACGGGAAAGCATGACGACGAAGAAAAAGCGCAAGGCGGCAGAGGTCGACGAGGACAACGCTGGGGTGCAGGTGTTACAGGCGGAGGTCGCTGAAGCGCATCCGACAAAGAGAGTGAGGCGGCAGGCGGCCAAGAGCAGGAGGCGTTGACTGTGTCGACGCCAGTTCTACATGACTTAAGGTCAGTCTCGCAGTCGCGCCCTGAGGGCCTCGTTATATCAGTTATAATTTATTTGTGATATAAGAACTGCCAGGCGTTCCTTCAAAAGGAGCGTTGCTGCAAGGCACGCTCTACGCCTGACGACAACTCTTGCCATTCGATTACAAGACACACGGAGGTGGCCTACAACATTTGGATTACGTGACCCTGATTATCTCCAGCCACTGATACGTCGGGGTCCATGGACGCATCGACACACTTCCGCGTCCCACGGTCTATGCAGTCGCAGTTGTCCTATTATTGGACAAGATAATGTATACGAATATTGTCATTGCTGCACATGTTCGCTCATTCGCGGAAACCATTCTAGCTCCCATGAGTAGCGCCATTGTGGACCCCCGCATTTCACTTCAATGGCAAGGGTCTCACAGTCAGATGCGAATGTGTAGGCGTCATTATAATGACTGCGTTTTAATCTGCCTTGTACTGAATTTACCTCCGCCCACGCAGGATGTACGGTCGTTGAGGCCGAATCGAGAGAGCGCGTATTCTTCGCTTAATCGGGAGGCCTTGTAGTTCCGGAAGCGGCAAACGGGAATGAAACAAAGGAAAGCTCTGTGGCCGTGCACGTGCTCAAGGCCTCAGGAAGTATAAAGTACCTGCCTTTCCACAGATTCCTACCACTTTCTCGTCAGACCAATCTTCGCAAGCTGTGACCTGCACAGATTTGCTGGTCCATCTCTTGCCGCTCGGAAGAATCTGCTCCCAGAACTCATCTATCATACCATGGAATTCCCTACGTCCTACACACGGCACCCAAACCCGCTGGTCAGAGACCCACCACCACCACCACAAATGCCTGCGCACGGCCAAAGTTCCACAAGACCGTCCCGCCTACCAACGCATGAGCGAAGCGTACAGGACCGTCGAATGAACGCGGATCATCCACTCGTCGCAAAATATATTGACGGCCTCGAATGCGCTTATAACACCGAGATGGCCAAGTGCAAGGGGCCATTCAACCATCGGCTCCCACAGCCTCGTAGGGTCTCACAGCTTGGGAGAATTGAAGAGGTCAACAGGTTGGTGGCGGCCGGCCGAACTCTCGAGCCACTCGAATGCGAGTGCATCCTAGCACTCGCCGCGTTGAAGCTGTTCTATAAACAGCTACATCCCGCTCACTTCGCTCTGTGGGGGCGAAGTGTCGAAGCCCGTACAGTCGCGCAGATTCACAAGATGCTTGGTACGTTCTCTTATTCGAAGCCATTTGACTAGCTGCTTACTGCAATCGTTCTGGCAGCTCAAAAGCCACAAATGATAGACCCGCCGATGTACTGGATGGGAAAGACAGAAATGCTGTGGCATTTACACAGGCATCAAGGTTGGACCTTTCCCAGGGTAAAGAATTCAAACGAGGCAGGCTCAAGCAAGAATACCCGTGAGAAGCGCAAATGTACAGCCAATGCGGTATGCGCTGCACCGGTGGCGAACGACGACGTGCCCCAACGGAACCGTCCAAGAGTGGTCCGAGTCGCGGAGGCAGGCAGCTCGCCGAGGGTGGCGCCGTCTATTGTCTACGATACGCCTGTCGCCCCTCACGCATCCACATCGGCGCCGGAAACAAACAGGTATAATGGCCATGTCATGACGCCGTCGATGGAGAAGTCGCGCGCTCTACCGACGCGCCGATCAACGCGACAAGCCAACAAGCGTAACGCATTGGCAACTGTACCTGGCTCCGCAACAGCCGCACCTCAGACGGCGGATGTTGTGCTTACTCGTCCCACCGACACTGTTTTGCCGCGACCCACGAGGGAATCGAATTCGGCTGTGGTAGCGGCGCCTACAGACAAGAACGAGATGCACATGGTGACGCGCAGTGGCAAGCGGAAGGCTTCTGGGATTGAAAAGGAGAACGGACCCATAGAGGGGACGGCACACCCATCGAAAAGAAGGCGGCGGACATGACGAAGAGCAGGGCATAGTGAAGACTACCATGCTACGAGTCCACGATGGAGTTGTCCAGGTCATGGCCACGACTTGTCTTCAGAATCGCAATATTATTATTATTATTTATATCATCATTTCTGTAACCGTACCGCTACTGAGCAGTGGTACATCCACCTGCAATGCAATCGCCTTGCTTTGTGTCATTTGTGTAGTCCCACATCCCGAGAGCCATTGGTCAAACATGGTAGTGGCGTCAAGGGTAGCACTTCTCATCCATCAATTCGCAGGATTGTACGACATGCTGAGCGCATCTGCGTTTTTGCGTAGCAAATATATGATGTCGACTAAAAGAACTGGAACGATGTCGAAAGCGACTAGGCACATGTACAACAGTAAGTATAGCAACACTCGTAGATCCGTTCCACATTTGATTTAACTGGCAAGAGTTACGTGTGCGTCCACGGCTATAGATAACCAGTTGGCTTCACCAATTGATTGGCGAAAATTAAATCAATCTTGAGCGATGAGTCTGTCTGTGGTTGGAGTATGTCAGTTTTAGCTGCTCGACGTTCTGGAGCGATGTGATATGTTGCCTATCAGAGCACGGCGTTAGTCTACGCTGTTCAAACCGTACCTCGAGGACAGAATGCGAGGACTGATCATGCCGCATCACTAGCTACCCGAGAACATCATGCTTATGCATGTCTCACCTACTAACCTGATCAGAAGAATCGTCCATACTTGCTGACTTGCTGACTCTTCCGTGTATTATATCGATAGCCAGAATAAATGCAGCGTACATACTACAAACACAAATACTTTACTTCCCATGATCTGGAGGCTTTATTCGTCGAAGAATTCGCTCATGAATCGCCCTCGCTACAACCTTGACGACAGACCCATCACAAATGACCCCCATGTCGATAGGAGCGATCTGACCATGCGTGCCCTTGGACGTGACGTCTTTGACAGCGTCGACGACCATCATAGCAAAGTCAGGAATTGGCTGCAGAAGAGAACCGCTCTCGGAGCCCCGAGACTTCTTCGCATGGAATACCGACGGTAGCTTCTGCGGAGAGTTGGACAACGGGGCCTGCCCGTCGGCGAGGAAGAGTGAATGAGAGCCATCGAGAATGATGATGCGAGCCCCAGACATTAATCGGAAGTCGAGGGCATGTCTAAAAGGTGGCGCCTCGTTATGATCATCCGAAGGACTGAGACAAAATTTGTCACTTGCCTGAAGTCGCCATACAATATTCTAAACCAACCGGCCGCCTTCGGGAACACATCGATATTCTGTCCAGTCTTGAAAGCCGTTGAGCGTATGTCCTCCAACTCCACGACGACGGGTAGCGTATCCCTCAAGAAGCGAACCAGTCTTTGTAGCCGCTGCGCCAGTGGGCCATGCCGCAGCGAATCATGTAGATATGATTCTATTTCTTCATGAGGGTTGTACAGATCGTCGTCGTCTTGACCTTGCTCCTCTCTTTGCTCATCACAGATGCGCGAAAAGAAGAGGTTATACGAACCGCCAGTAGGGGAGAGTTGGTCGGTACAGTTGATGGATAGCGTGTAACCACCCGCGTACGCAAACTCAACTGTTTGGAGATCGAAAGAGAGCAGGCGCACGTCTGTCCAGTGATTGTGTCGCGACATCTGGGCCACTGTGATATAGACGCTGTGAGAAGACGATAAGCCAATGGGGAAAGAAAGCCGACCTTCTCTTGCAATGACTACCATTTTTGAGACGCGTGCCCATTCTTCAGAGAACTCATCCACACATTTGTCAACGTCTTCCGACAAGAAGGAAACGATCGCCTCCGCCTTGTCATAGATGATGCGCTTGGATGGTCGTATGACGTTACTACTACCAGCTCTCTTGCCGACTGGCTGCTGCACATACTTGAGCTTCACACATGTGACGACCTACAAGACCGAATCAGCAATGAGAAAAGGAATTGAACGCGTCTCTGCTGACTTGTGCTTGTTGTTCTGACCACCAATTCAAAGGAATGACGCGAATATTGGGCATGGCGGCTTCTGCAGCCGGAGCACCTTGCAGCAGATCCAAGGATTGAACGCAGAGCGCCGGAATTGAGCGAGCGATCGATGACTGGAGGTGCCCGAGCTCAGGTATGTGAGCGACATTCGTAGAGTTCACGGCAGTGTACGGAATGTTGCGGAGCTTGAACTGTTGTTCAATCTTGTAGTACGCCACTCGCGCGCTAGACGAGTCAGCCGTTAATTAAGAAATGTGGGCGCAATGCGACTGCACGCACCAGCAATACGCATACAACTCCCGAAGAACTTGAGTCTCAAGATTGAACCTGCACCGACGTTCTCAATAAGCCATATAAGCACACCGCGAGGCGATTGAAGGCTTACCGAGGGGTATACTGCTCCCCAATATCCACATGTTCCATACTCTCGACGATATCGCGCTTCCGCTTTTGGCCCACTTTGGGGTCCACGCCAACTGCATGGTCCTTGACGACAATCTCATCGCCATGTACCCGCCGCACATCGAGCCACCCGATATCTTTCATGACCATGTCGTGTAACACGGAGTCGCGGACCACCTCGACCGAAATGAGAGCGTAGCGGAAGTCCTCTTCGGTGATGACTAAAACAAGATAGTGGGAAGGATACTTTGCGAGCTGAATGTAAAGCATCGACCACGCGGGGGATCCGAGCTTGGCGCGTTCTGAGCGACGATGGTCAATGGCCCGCAAACCGCCATGTAGATTTTGCACTAACCTTCTGGAGAGAAATTGCGAGTACGATAGCTCTGCAGACCGAGATAGCTGGCCTTTTGTTCTGCCAAGTCCACAATTGTCTATATCATAGGCAGTTTCAGATTCCATCATCACCATAATGATGTGGCGCACGTACCCCGAACTTGAGCCTCACGAAAGCGTCTGGCAAGAAGCCAGGGTTTTCGTTCAACCTGTCGGTGAGTTGCGCGTAGCGTCGCCCTCGGCCCGCAGCCGCGAGGTCGCCAGTATCCCGCAAGTTCAAGCGTCCTGTTCTGGGATCGATAGTAACGACGACGACCTCATCCGCACATAGATGTGTACGCAGCGCATGGATCCCGCCTAGTCGGCCGTCAGGTGCTGATCAGACCTCAAAGACGACTGTACTTGCCTTCAATGACGAGTGTCACCTCACCCGGCTGAGAGAACATACTGCGGGTGGTTGATCCGTGTTGTAGTTGAGCCTTGATGACTTTCAAGATCTCTTCTATATGCTTGGTGATGACTTTGCGCAACAGCGCCTCTATGTCCAGGTTATCTGGATCCTAGAAGACACCAAAACTTGAGCAATACTCTATGTACTCGTGCCACAGATAACTTACTACGACAAGCTCACGCAGTGGAAGTCGTATGTCCTGTGGCGGGACATCGACACCCAGCGCCTCCTTCTGCGGCTCCCATTTGACCTCAAAGCGGAGAGGTTCGACCTCATCAGACGGACGCGCGCCTTGCAGTTTTGATTTCTCCTGCAGTTCGGCGAGCACACGGTCCTTTGGCGAACGATTCGCCTTGTTCTTCGGGGAAGGCTCCACGCGCACGATGGATATTGTTAATTTACCACCGAGAGGGGGGAGCTTTGACCGTGGCGGAGGCCTTCCAGGCACAATTGCTGGAGGATGTCGTCTAAATCACATGCATCAGGAAGCCTGGGCGAGTTGAGAGATATACAATACTGACACCCAGTATGATATGGTCAACGTTTGACGATTGTTGGTCATCATGACTGACAAAAAGTCCGCCCAGCCGAGTGAGCGCAACCGCTCTGTCTTCATTGCCCGCTCAGATGACCCACTTCTAAACACCACGTTAAGCGCGTACCTGGTACCACAAAATCTCAAGCTGGTACGACAAAGACATCATTTCTTGGAGAAGTCACTATATAGGTAACAACCGGAGAATTTTGAGACTTACGAAGGAAGTTGAAAACACGAACAAGTGGAGCATCCATTACACCTTGAGGTAAATGCGGTCGTGGGGGTATCTCGACATCCGGTGGGGGTATATGATCGGGCGGTAGAGGGAGGTAGAATGCGAGACGTGCATCTGCCTCGTCGGTAATGTGTCTTTTTAACAGCCCCGTGGGCTTGCGGGGGAACTCTAGTTATGTTGAGCGGTCAAACGTAGTAATCTATGCTGATGAAGTTTTACCTTGCACGCCAGTGCGGTCCCCACCGACTGTGAAGAGGAATTCAACATTCACGAAGAACCAGCCATCGTCCTTCTGCGCTCCTCTGACGCACAGAGAAGCCTCGAACAGTTTCGGCGCGAGAAAACAAACGCGTCCGTCGGCTATTTTTGACCAAGACTTGAGATAATTTTGTAGACAGCAAGCAAGGCGCAGCTCACATATGCGATATTTTGACATTTCTCGTGGAATAATTTCGGTCATTCTGAGCCGGAACCGGATCGAGTCCTCGACATCAGCTAATGTCCTCGCCACCTCCTCATCAGACAATGGTATTGGTGGAACAATGATTTTCTATCATTGCAGGCATTAGCCACAAGAACAACAAAGTGCGATGAGTGGAAACCTTAATGGCTGTTGGTAGTCGCCTGTACGACCCACTCGTCAAGACATCTAGAGAGGTAAGCAAGTCGTGGTTTCGCAATCTAAACTTCATGCGTTAAAGCTTGAGAGACGATATGTGCCTCATGATCAACGCACCTCGCAGGATCAAGGCTGTCCCTTGCATACTTGAGCCCATTAATTGCGTCTTCAAATTGGCGGTTCTGGTCCATGAGAAAAGCTGTTACATTCTGTGGAGACAATTAGCATAGAAGAACATTTCCCCGTGCCTCGGTGCAAATGTACCATCGCTTTCTGCACGACGTCTGCGTCTCGCGCCCATTTCACGACTGCATACAGCTTAACCACCTGTTTCTTGGTTTGTACAACCCAATCCGCTAGCGTCCGCTTTCGCGCAGTGTCTGACATGTTTGGTAGACTGGGATGTCGTTGCAGATCACGTACTCCTGTATAGTGAGAGGGATACTCACGTTTCTGACAGTTCTGACAGTTGGGCATAGATCGCTTGTACTGTCCTCGAGACCAACTCCTGCAAGGGAACCTGGCCATCCATCACGACAGGTAGCTCACGCTCGAGATCCTCAGCCGTTGGCTCATGGAATCCGTTCGTATATGGCTGCCCGCCAGGCAGGCTCGTATAGCCATGTCCATTGACGCCACTGCCGTTTTCCATCTGGCCGCAGAGCGAATGCAAGAGGTACAGTGACACGTCACGGTAGCAGGTGATGGCACAGGTCGAAAAGACACAGGGTTTTACTCAGGTCAATAGCCCAGATATGATGATATGAGAGAGGGTGGCGCAACAAGAAGGGACAATCCTGAAGTTCAGTAGCGCCCTTCCCTTGTGCACTGTACATTACGTCAACATTAGAAAAGGAAACATGCATATTTGTAAGGTTCATAAATGGGAAGTCCAACAGATCGTCCTCGTGACGTTTACGTAATTCTATCATGCGCCAAATCGCGAGAGCACCGCGTCTAAGCGCGCATGTGGCTGAAGTGCAATCCTTCGCTATGCTCAGGCAGTGGCTGACTGTGGCCGCAGATCCCAATGATTCTGTATCGAGAGCGCCTGCATGATATATATCGGATTGCAATAGTGCAATATGAGGGGTATAGCGACCTGGCAAGAACCAAGCCCTTAGATACACTGTCACTGTACCGTTTCCCAAATTCCATGTCTCGCAGCACATTCCTATAAATCGTGACCCGGAGATATTTGGGTATTATCCACAAATTAATTTATATCTCTCGTATGGCTGGAATGTACGGATATCTTTGAAATTGCAAGACGGTGTTTCAATAACTATAAGGATCTGCTACAACAATCTGTTGCACTATGTGAAATGATGATTTCCATCCCTCATACTATGATCGTGACTGTAATGTGTAAGCCGGAAACAGGAAACGGTGCGGACGACTGGGTTACTTTTCCGCACGCAGTCTTCGTCATGTGATTATGAAAGTCGCGGACGTTGCACCCAACATGAAGCGCGCGCAGGTTGAGGGAAGTGCATTACGTTCTGCTCACAGGAGGCTCATTTGCTACTCGGACACTGAGGTGATTTTGGAGTCTAGACTCACAGTACGTATCTTTCACTCTTGTCTCAAAAACTCTAACAGCTGCGAGTGCAGCTGTTGTCATATTCACCTTGCCTTATATCCTCATCGCGCAGCCGGACACAGTCAATACCGCCCGCCTCTTGCTTAGGTTGATCTAGTTATGGACTACCTGAGGACACTAGGCTCTGCCGCGGTGTCCTCTCTCGTACAAAAGTCAGGTCTGACTCTCCCGTTCTCCCTGGGTGCACGTGTAACGTCATTCGACAATCACTCAATATGGAACCTGTATGATGGGACGAAACGGGTAGGCCGAACTAATACCTCGATGTGTCCATCGTCTTCATTATTCGGCGCATAGGACGATGGATCCCCGGTGTCTGTATTCGAATTCGATGCGGGCTCTCCGGGAAAGAGAAACGTTCTAGGGCTCGCGAAAAATGCGCTCAGGAAACTGCGGACCATCCGCCATCCGGACGTTCTGAAGTTCATGGATGGGGTAGAGACGGATTCCACCGTCTATATAATGACCGAGCGAGTCCGCCCGTTATCTGCAGCACTGTCGGAGTGGTCTTCCAAAGAAGCACAAGAACGCGAAGACTGGCTCATCTGGGGTCTGCACAGAGTGTCGGTCCGTAGTAACTCCACTTTGGTCCCTACCGAGCTTGTTGTGACTGACGTCTAGGTCGCCTTGGCGTTCCTGAATGACCCTTGCTCTTCATCGCATGGCAACGTGCGCGTAGACTCCGTTTTCATTTCTGCATCCGGCGAGTGGAAGCTGGGCGGATTTGATGTGTTGAGCACGCCAAAAGATGAGGCTGCTGTTCTCTATGTACGTAGCACAATACTTGGAACGAAAACCAACCAATATATCTCTTCCCTTTCCTAGACCATGGGCGGTCTTCTGCCAGACTCTGCGGCGCATTCCTCCCCAGAAGTGAAGAAGGGCGGCTGGTCCGTGCTCAAAGAGTGATTGTCCACTGCATCGAGCTTAGCCCTCACTAAACTTTGCGCCAGGCACAATCCTGCCGTGGCAGATGCGTATGCACTCGGGCTCCTCATACACGCCGTCTTCAATCCTACGCTCCCACCGCCAGCTACAACACATCCACCTCACCCACCGCCGACAGCCGCTTCCCGCGCCTTGATACCCAATGTCTTGTTTTCTCCCTTCAAGCGGCTTCTCAACCCCAACCCCAAGGCTCGGCTGACACCGAAGGACTTCCTTGAGATAGGCATGGCCCAGACAGCTGGAGAAGGCTCTGGCTTTTTCGCCAATAACCGACTCGTGAAGGTGTGCTCAGGCTTGGACAACTTCAGCTTGGGCAGCGAAGGCGAGAAGACAACTCTCCTACGGTCGCTGTATTTCCTTTCCACGTTGGTCATGTTTACTGAACCTCGCGATCCGCAGAACTCTCAAGGAATCCTCATCATCTTTTCCTACCGAATTCATATCCTTCCGCGTGTTGCCGTCCCTTGTGTCTGCACTCCAATATGGCGGCGCTTCTGCACCAGCTATTCTTCCGCTTGTCCTGCAGATGGGTAAGAGCGTGGCACCGCAAGATTACTCTTCCGTTATTCTTGTGCATTTGGTGAAGCTATATGCGAGCCCCGATCGTGGTACACGACTCGCGCTGCTCGAGCACCTGTCCGAGTACGCAGACAAGCTGGACAAAAAGACAGTCGGCGAGAAGATATGGCCACATCTAGTACGCTTTTTGCTCGTTATTGTTGTTTTCTCGTGGCACTATGCTCACTTGCAATATTTAGCAAACTGGCTTTTCTGACACGGTTGCGATTATCCGTGAGGCCACCGTCAAGTCTATCATCCTATTGTCTGATAAGGTGCGAGGATACTTGTTTCCTTTCAATTCTCAGGCTACTAACTTTCACTGCGGGTGCCAGTTTGGTGACCGTATACTGAACAACGACCTCCTGCGCTTCCTCGCCAAGATGCAAGGCGATCCCGAGGCATCCATCCGTACCAATACGTGCATTCTTATCGGCCGGCTGGGGCCATCGCTTGGCTACAACACGAAGCGCAAGGTGCTCGTGCCCGCATTCACGCGTGCACTCAAGGATCCGTTCGTGCATGCGCGCGTAGCAGGACTAATGGCGTTTATGGCGACTGTAGACTGCTACGACGTGGAGGAGCTTGCCACGAAAGTAATCCCCAACATGACATTTGCCACGATTGACAAGGAGAAGTATGTACAACGCGCATATGGCTGGCCAAACCGTGCTCATGATCTCTGACATCATAGGCTCGTCCGCGATCAGGCGTTCAAAGCCATGGAACTGTTTGTGAAGAAGCTAGAAGAACATGCTGCGTCTATGGTTCGTTGCCCCGTTATCCTCGCATCAGCTCCTTCCGCTAATGTGGGACATTATCACCCTGCAGCCGGAGACCGCGATCCCAGAGAATGATGCTATGCCGCCTGGCTTCCTCCCGCCAACATCGCCAGGGTCGAACACACTGGTCAGCAGCGCAGCAGGAGCAGCCGGTGCCCTCGCAGGCTGGGCTATTTCCTCTCTAGGCAAGAAGGTACGATTGCAGTTGTTGCTCTCATTGCCGATTCACCATTTATGGGACTACAGCTTGCTGCGGGTGAGCTCCAGAGCAGCATGGAAACGAGCGTGGATCGACCGAGCTCCGCGCCTCCTCCTTCTGCTAGCACGAATGGATCTGTCAAGCCTCCACGCGTCGGCGCTACATTGTCGTCGCCTGCGGTTCCCGTGCGCCCCGCGAGCTTCGCTGCCCCTGGGAATGCATCCAAGGCAAAGGGTATGCATCTGGGCGCAAACAAGGTACCTGCGGGTGTGCAGGCGTCAAGCTCTGTGCCGGATTGGGCCCAAGAAGCGGCAGCAGAGATCGACGCAGGGCAAGGTAATCCTTGGGGGAACGACGATCTGATGGATGTCAATGCCGATCAGGACGACTGGAGTGCGTTCTTCGGCAAGCTGTATGTGCTTCTTCACTGAATCTTTCCCTAGGTGCGTTTGAGACTGCGCCGGTAGCTCCAGTAGTGGGCCTGGGATTCGGAGACGTGCTCGCACCAAATGGCGGTATGTCAGATTCGCACAATGGGATTGTCGTCGTGTACATATTCACAATCTTCGCAGGCGACGACCCGTGGGCAAACACAGGCTCGCCTCCCAGGACATCATTATCAAACGACTGGGGCGCTATTTCTCCTGCGGCTACGATCCCTATTCACCAACCAAAGGGAAGGGTCCCGAGCAGGGCGCTTTCTCCGTCTTCTAATAGGTTGTCGACATTCTCCGCACGGTCACCAACGCCGTCGGATAGCGGGCGAGCGAGTCCGGCAGTGCCGGAAAAGACGACATCTCCACCACAACACAGTACTGTGGGGATGTCTAAAGAGGAGAAGGCCGCTGAGATGGCAAGAAGGAAGGAGGAGAGGAAGCAGGTAAGTCGAACAGCTGGCTGACCATGTTGTGCACTCATGTCGCGTGGGACTGCAGCGTATCGCAGCATTGAAGGAGCAGAAGAAGAATGCTGGGGCAGCCAAGGGCTGAGGTACATACATTATCAGATACAGATACCTATGATCGGGATACTATTGACCTACATATCGCTTATTTTGTGGCACGAGCTCTTCAAGTCGGACTTTTGATAATGATGCCTATGTTGACCTCTCGTCTGTCGATCGTAATCCCTCGACAGGCACGCGTACGAGACGCTCTCCAGTGGCTGGAGGCTGGGCCTCGGGGTTGTTAGATTGCCCTTCACGCGTCGACACTACACCAAACAATCGGTGCCTTGACAACGAGCGATCCGGACAAGGTACTCACAGAACAAGCTCAGGATTCTGAACATATTAGGCCACTGCTCGAGGACCTGGCCATGTACTGCATGAAGACGCGTGAACACATGCTCAAACACGTAAATTTATTAAAACGTACCTGTTCCTGCGTCCGCCATGACATCGAAATCATTACTCAGCTCCTCTAACCGCTTCACAAACTGTGCACTGGCTCTATCTAGCGCAGCGACCATCTCATATTCCTTCTTCTTCTCAAGCAGTCGCGCTGCTGCCGCGGCGTTCGCCGCAGGGTTCGGCACCTGGGATTGCCGCGCAGACGTGGCTACAGATTGACGCATTTCACGGTTTCCAATAGGTTAACAACGCAGACAATCTCCAAGGGCGTTCGCGATGCGGTTACGTTCTCAATAGCCACACAGAACAAGGCAAGAGCGGAAGCGACTTGAGGTCTTGCCTGATTTGGCAAGTGGTTGTTTTTTTGCGGACCCACAAAGCGAACGCGACCACGTGGCGTTTGTAGTCCCGTGGCCAGCACAAGCCTGAACGAGCGCACGGACTCCCCCGCACGGTCGAGTTGCAATTGTCCTCATTGTTGCCGCCATTCCCGCCGTCGCCGTTGTCGACGGGCGGAGGCCTCTTTCTACTCTCTACGCTATGGATACCTCTCCTATCCTTCCTGTCCCTCGTCTCAGGCTCACCCGGTATTCTCACGCGTACGCAGATAACCACACGCCTGTTGCGGGGCCGTCGCGGTTATCACCTCAGCATGAAAGCAGTGAAGACGAAGGCGACGCTGAATCTACACCGCGCATGCCCCCCGTACCTATCGAGCAAGACTCGCCACGGCCCACAGCACAGTCTGCCCCGATGGATACGCCTGCTGCGCGTCTTCGTGCGCTGCTCGCTCGCGTACCCAACTCGAACTCATCTGCGACCCCCCGCGCGTCCAACGAACGCGTCTCTGGATATCAAACACCGTCAGAAGCCGACTCCGACCTTGACCCGCCTTATTCCACGCTAGCAACGCCGAGTATCGCGCGGGAGAGCTTGAGGGAGCTGTTCTCGCATGTGCTGCGTGATCCCGGAAACACTCCACGGAAAGGTAGGCTCCGCAGAAATAGCATCGGCGGCAACGAAGTCGACCCAAGCCCACGCGTGGCGCGGATTGAGGAGGAACGGTCGCAGAACAAGGGCAAGCGACGGAGCATGAGCGACGAGGAGGCTGAGCATCTGTCGAGTGGGTATCTGTCTCGCAGATAGTCCGAGGGCGATAGACCATCCCTTGCCAGCAGCCTCGATGGAGGTTCTGCGGCACGTCACTACGGCTCATTGTGCGCTCGGAGCAATTTGACTGCTCGCAGCTATCATGTCTTCCCGATGTGCCTCAGGCAGGTTGTTTGCCATGAAGTACGCATGCGCAACGTGTCTGCTGCATTTTAATCCCTGCCTAGCCCAGTGGGCGAGCGGTGAATGCTGTCTTAAGACGCTTGCTTTGGCTGACAAACAAACCTGCCTGGTGCGTATCTGGCACACGACTGATTCATCTCCGGCTCGCAGTTCGTTACGTCCCCTTACATATCACAGTGGAATTATGTGCATCTCCATTGGATTCTCACTTCTTGCAGACAAGCATAGAAGTCGAGCTTGACGCAATCGAGTGCGTCATCGTGGGACGCGATACATTTGCTCCGGAAAGTTGTTGGGAGCATTTGTGATAGTGGCGACGCTGCTTACGTTCAGGCTGGATGCTAGTTTCAATCCTTTAGCATCGTGATGTGCCTCAACATCGTTGATGTAGGGCAGGGTGGTCAAACCGTTCTCTTATCCAAGAAGTCGCGTTTTGTCTCGACCTGCGTTCACATTTCTCATGGTGTTTTTCTTAGATGTATCCCGACGGTCTGACGAGTCCGCCCGATCGACGACGGCAGCAACATTCGATGCGCTTCGGGAGCGACTCGCCAAGTCGCGTTCGCTCTTCCCCACTATTCCCCGCGATCGTACGTGCTTGTCTTGATCTCCAACGCACATTGCTAACCATTCTTCAGAAACGGCGGTCATGGACATGTCGATGCCGCCCTCAATGCCACCATCAGACACTGCGGAAGATCATGCGAATATGCTACGAGAGCTGGACAAGTCTGAGGCGGCTCCTCCACCAGTGGCGGAAACACCCGCACGTACCTTCCAGCTGTCAGAGCACATGCAAACTGAGTCGAGTGCGTTACCCATGTCAATATCGAGAGTGTAATTGCCAACGTTTGTTGTAGATCTGCTAGACGGTGATTCTGAGATGCAGAAGGCACTTCGGACTATGGACAGCTCTGAGCTAGAGTCATTGCCTAATGGACGTCAACGTCAGTAATTTTGTTCATCTACAATGGATGTATGCCTGACTGCGAATAGTCCCCTTCCCTCCATCTCGTCCAAGTAATGTACCGACGTCACATGGACATGGAAGGCCACTCTCGTGGAGTTCACACTCGAAATCGCACTCTGCGCATAATATGCCCCCCTTGCGGCGAGCGAGTGCAGAGTTGGACAGTTCCAGTAAGCATTCGCGATATCCTGTGTAGATTTCTCTGACTCGCTCTACAGCATCCCGGGCAAGCTCTTCTCAGTCAGGTATGAATTGTATACTCGTTTGAACTTTCTTGAAGAATGATTGCTTACACTATGCTATTCATAAAGACCGCGGAGATGGTCTCCACGAGCGCGAACGCCGGTGGAATCATCCGTCCCTCTCGAAATCTCCCATGAATGCCGGTATACCTCCGTATGCTCGAGACAATGGTCGAAGCAGCCCCACCCGCATGACTTCCAGGAGGAGTAGTGGGGCTGCCCAGTTCAGCTTTGACGACGGAAGCTCATCGCGCACAAGTTCTCTGATGTCACGATCAGAATGTAAGCGATTTGTGCATCTGCATTGAGGTGCCCCACTGACATCCGTCTGCTGCAGATCAAGAACGCACCAGAGAGCTCGAACAAGAGCGACAGCGAGAGCGCGAACGCGAGTGGAACAAGCCAAAACCGTCGCTTTCGCGCTCAACTTCGAGTCTCGACAACAACGATCCTAGTCGGTCACGCACGAATAGCCAGCCTACCCGCCCAGACTCTGCCCAGTCCTTCCTGACGCCTGATAATGCACGCTCACGACATGTCTCGCTGGACTCTATGCCAAACTCGAGCCGCGCAGCTTCTCCAGCGGAGTCGGTCTCTGGGCGAGAGCCCGAGCCTGAGGAGGCGCAGGCGCGCGAGCGGAACTGGAACTCGCCGCGGCCAAAGTGGTCATCGAGCAGCAGCAGTGGCCGTACGCCGTCGCCTATACCAATGTCAGCATCCAAAACGCCGCCGTACACGAAGAGCTCTCGATACCCATCGCACATCCGCAGCAGAGCAAATAGCACCGCATCTCAGCGAGGCGACAAGAGTCAATCTCCCGGATTTCTTGACCGATCTTCCCCGAGGGAAAAGCTTCCAATGCGATCGAAGTCGCCTTTACTGCCATCTGATGCGGGGAATCGATCATCGCATCTGCCAGATCATGAAAGATCCCCTTCTCGGGGTAATGGGGATGACAGCCACTTGTCCAGCCTCCGGTCGAAGTTCGGTTGGTCGTTCCCGCAGAATCGCACGCAGCTACCGCCCCTGGAGCTCGAGGGAGATTCTTCTGAGCGAGCGAAACCTGTCGTGTCGCGGCCATCCAGCCAACTATCGGTGTCCTCAAGCGAGAGTCGAATTCCGGTGCGTTCGCCCAGGAAGAGCGACGCTGCGTCGAAGATGCCTTCGCGCACTGAGGAATCGCCTTCACGTCGTCGGGGACATAGGCGTAGTTTCACAGAATTCAGTCAACCTAGAGTCGCTGTCTCGTCCCGGAGTATTGAGGCTGAACCGCAGCCCTCACATATACATCCTATCGGGTCTGATGAATCTGTCTTCGGTAAGCCGACTCTGTCGTCTCCCACTTTGATGTCTGTCTTAACTATTCCACAGCGACAGATGAAGAGTCACATCTTGTGACCAGTACTCCTACGGCGCGGCCTACAGCTCTGCCACCTCCGGACGCCAAAACTTCGCCGCCTTCGTCACCTACAAGCTCGAAAAACCTTAATAACAATGCCTCCAGCCTGCCCACAACCATTGCGAAACCTGAGTCACCCCCACCAACTCCTCAAGACCGAATACAGCGGGCTTTCTCCTTGCAGACACCACCACGCCCTTCATTTTCTAGTATCTCGAAGATAGAGTTCCAGACGCCATCACCTCCAAGAAACATGCCTGATCTGCCTGAACCGCCCTCATTCATGGAGGATGGGGTCGAAGAGAATGAGCATACCCCGATCAACGTGCAGCCTCCAGTAGGGAACCTCACCATGATGAAGACGCCCAGGCCTCCAGGCGCGTGGCTACAGACTCCTGGTCCACGACAGGTCACCCAGGACCCATTTGTTCGACCGCAATCAACGCCTCCCGGAAACGGTGAGGTTCCACATGGGAACGAGCTGGAAACTCCCGTGTCGACATGGCCTAGGGCAAATTCTGCCCCTACCCAGACACCTGCGCCCCCTGGAGCATGGATGCCGACTCCTGGCACATCCGTAAGGAGGAAGAGCATCCTCAAGGTTCGCTTCGACGTGGAATCGGAGACGACTGTCTCAGATGTCGGTGAACATCCATCCGGGGAGCAGCCGAGTACTTCTGATGCAGGCACATGGGACACAGGCAAACAGCAGTTCATGGAGAGGCTGGCCGCTGCGAAGGCAGACCCCGATGCCTCAGGTCCTCCGCCGATCATGCAGGCAAATCCGCTCGACCCTCCGTCAACGCCCCCGTCGCTACCCGTTCGAGCACCTCGTAAGTCGCCCAAAGTACGGGTAGTCGACGCCTATGGTCGTGAAACATCAGACGCCGGCCCCGACGACCAATCCACCAGGAATCTGCGCAACGGTGGTGTCGTAGAAGCCCGCAAGGCACCTACAACACCGCGGAATACAAGTAGGGTGAAGATCGTCGATGCGATGGGGCGAGAAATCGAAGACGCCGTTGAGGAGCAGGCTTTTGAGGGCGACACACCATTATCACATAATGAAGCCCTGGCTCGCGTTCGCGAAACTGTTGCTCACATGGCTGAGGATTTGAGCGAAGCTGACAGGCAAGTCCAGTTCCAGTGTAGTCCGGTACTGCTCGTACTGAGTGTCAATCATAGATCTCGTGATGCTTTAGTCGTCGACGAGGACCGCGTCGAAGTCCTTGAGGACGCATCGAAGGCTGCCCGCACTGCTAGACAGCACATATCGAAATCACTGCAGGTCGTTAAGGGTGTGGGGGGTGATATGAAGTCCAAATATGGACCTCTGCGAGAGAGCATGAGGAAGAGCCGATTCCTTGTATGTAGGAATCGCACTATTGTGGTCCATCACTAATCGATTTAAACCGCAGCCAACCGCTATTGTCGAACGACGAGTACAATGGAATGCTTCCTTGATATGCGCTCTTATACTAATTCAGTTGGTCTTATTGCTTATGATGTACCGGTGTGTTAGATTTCACAGCCCTCGGAACACCTGTCTGATATTCTTTTCGCAGTTATTCGAATATTCGCGCCAGGCGTACCTTCCTCACGACGTACTATGACCCATTCTACGCGGACCTTCACCTCTACACCACCCGAGATACCTTCGACCGCTCGATACCCTCACATCCCACCTGGTCCTTGTCCTACATCCCTGATACTATTGCTCGCGCTGGCTGGACTGGCGCTATTATAGAGGTATGGGGAAACGCGACAGCCTTTCTCAGCCAGTCCTCAGAGGTATGGCGCACGCAGTCCCGCGGGCAGGCACCATTATCGTGGCCGCCCACATGAACTACCGAGCACGTTATGCACTCCCATAGCTTACAGCATGTTGTATAAGTTAAGCTGTCTTGCTTATTGCTCCGTGCGTTCTCATGTGTTGTATACAGTATAGCATGCTGGACGAAGTAACGACTACGTTCCTGAGGTGACATACTCGTGGTGTTCCGAATGGTGGTACTCCTGCCATTAGTGTGCAAAGTTATGAAATGTCTAAGTGGCGTTCTGCACGCCTTCGGGTCAGTTCATTCTGACCTCTATCAGCTCTTGCTTGGCGTCTCGAATCTTGCATTGTTCGACCTCGTTCTCGCATCCTGTGCTTTGCTTTGGGGCCGATTCTATGTCTGCACCAAAATGGCTTTTGCTTGATACAGTGCTCGTGATCCCAGTCGAACCGCGTATAGACGCTTCAATGATACATATTGCGAAATTTATTTCCTCGCCATATTCTGCCCGTCTTGTGAGTGACCTCCTTAATTCGAACTGGAGCTAATTGTTAAGACATCTTGGAAGCTGTTTGCGCCTTTTCCTGGCGAACCTGCAGCCCTTCGCGTGAACATTTCCGAATCCAATAACTCCTCTTGGCCCGAACACAAGGTGCCCGTAAAAAAACAAAAATGCACCTCCAAAGTCGTGTAGCGAATCTGTGGTACCAAGGCGAGACCGGTGCAGCACGATTGGTCTCAAGGGTAAAACTCCTGATTGCCCTCCCCATCAAACTTCAGGTTGGTCCTAGCAGCAGATCCCGGCTATCTCTGCCGATGCACCCCGCGGTACTGACGTCTCGTAACGCAGTATAGCAATCGTCGCAATCACTCATACACATGCTTTGTTCGGAGCGCCACTTCATCATTCCTATATGCGCTTCTCGCGTGGGGCCATCGCCGTTCTTGTTCTTGGCATGTTTACCTCCATGTATATGCTACACACGAGTATATCTGCCGGTACCCTCCTACAATTGATCCTCTATTGGGCAATGTCCGGTTAAGCGATCTTTGTGTACGTGACGAACTTGCTTCAGAGCTTCTGGCGCGTCCAATGACGAGCTGTATCCTGCCACCATGCTGTCTCAAGGAGGGCCTTCATGTGATATTCAACTCTTTGGAAAGTCCCAACGAGTTGTCATATATGTTGGAGACAAGTCAAGATTTTCTCTGAATGATGTATAGCGATCACTGATCCTTCGAGTATGGGTGTCAATCTTACGGATGAGGCATTCACTGCGTGGATATGCGTGTTCAAAATCCTCGACGAAGTGTCGCTTAGAACCAGATAGTTGAGTATCCGTCGTTCGCGCACGGTCTCATGGAAACTAACATCACTTCACTAGTATCGGTAATGCACTTCCATCACATATTTTAATACTCCAGCTGCGCATGCGAAAACACTATAGCATTAGCCTCCAGGTCTCATTTTATGACATCTTCTGAACACACGTCCCGTGTCGTGACCATTATGCAAACATATCGGTCTAAGGCCGTTTGGCAGCTGACTTGTACATTCAGGACATCTCTTGAACGACGTGCGCATTTTCAAACTCGTGATCTGAGAGGCGAAGTGGCGGTCCGATCAAGTTCCCAAGATGCCGATCTCGAAGGGGTCCAGGCTACCATCAACGTCGGATCCTAAATGGTGTGTCGTCCGCTTTCTTCACAAGCTATCAATTTTGCTTACCAAGCAACAAGGGAGATCTGAGAACAATTATTTTCTGCCGTTCTCCAGAGGCTCACTCATAACATATACCTGTGTTTGGGAGTTGGAAGACCTCTGTCCCCTTTTGAAAGGTACCATCCTGCACACGACAGCTGCCAGGCACCTGGCTGTAGTGAAGCGGTGCATATACACTAATTGATGGTGACACCGTCACATTTGGCAATTGATGCGTCGGGCTTTATCAACGCGACAACTGCAAGCGGACAGGCAAGGCAAACGGCGGCTCCATTAGATACCAAATTACTTCTTGAGCAAATGCCATCATTGTCGTTCGACATGGAGCGGCTAGCAGACGGTTATCAAAACGTGGACATCCTATCATCCCTGGCAGTCTCGAGGAAACGTCGGTCGAGCCTCGAGAAACCACGATCGAACAGACATTTACCGATTCATATATATGACAGTAGGAACCCAGCTTTACGCATCCTCTCCCACAGCTAGACACGTCTACCTTCATCGTCAGTACCAATTATGACCCAGGTATAGTCTCACTGTCCTTTTCTTATTACTCCACAAACGTATTCACGACAATAGGTCACAACGTTCGAGGCAGGACCCATTGCCTCGACATCGACGTCTCCTTGTCGCCGCGCGTCAGAACCCTCTATCCTCGACGACTCATTGACCTCTGGCGATGCGCACCGTCCGTATGGCACTGCGCGTCAGAAAACGTTATCAATTCAACCTGCTCCCTTTATACGCGCTTATTCTGCACCGTCCTCGCCGCTGCCACGCCCCTTGCCAGTGCCGCCGACAAACGCCCTGAGAAGCCTCGGTCAACGTCCAGTATCTGAAATCTTCTCACCGGCGGCCTACGGAGGCTCGAGGCCATTGCATCCTCGGCCTCTGCCCTTGCCGACGCGCAAGCTACGCCCCTTGCCGGTTCCTTCCCAGACGGCATCATCATCCACATCGTCTCTTGACAGCCCATCGCTCCAAGCGCCACGTCCACGGCCATTGCCGTCTCCGGCACGAGCTCTTTTTCTTGATATCCCTCCCTCACGTCCCAGCATTCCAGGACTGGAGGACGAGCCCTCCAGCAGTCATGATACTTCAGACATCCGGTCACCGATGGTATTCCAACCTCGCGGGGATCAACTCCAATGGACCGCCATGGATGCCGACATGGCCTCTAGTGTTTCAAGCCTTGCGTCGATACCGTGCTCTGCGTCTGTCAGCCCTTCGCCCGATCCCGTCCGTATCAGAACTTCCATAGACGAGAGCGCAGGGCTTCCACCCTGCGTCAGCTCTGAACAAGCGAGGCGCTACACTGAGCAAGTGCCGCTGTGCGAGTCACCGTTCCGCCGGCGAGAATGGGTGCTAGAGAAAAAAGGCAAGAAGATGACAGAGACGTCGGCTGACTTCGAAGTCGTGTTGAATGCTCTCCGAAAGCTGTAAATAACTGGTATGCCCTTGATCCTCAGTGGTGCCTACATTGTTCACAATTGTGGACAGTAGTTATTACCACATGCTGGCAATCGCTATAATCTCTTGATTACTTCATCGCGTGCCACAAATACTGCTCAGTGCGCTAGGTATGCTGCGTCCACATTTGCCGCTGACTGAATTACGAGCCGGCTGCCGGAACTGATTGTGTGCCCGTGATTTTCTCCTGTTCACCGTCAAGGCACGTGTGCTCCTTATTTGTCGGCAAGCAGGCAAGAAAGTACCGGGACGAGGCGACAATGTGTATGTAGCTGCCAACAGTCTCTAATCACGACCCGGAACGTACTCATACATTGGCCAATCGAGGAGGACCGTTCGCTTGATCCACTCTGGCAAGGGTCGGTAAATCGCCGGGGGGAGTGGAATCAAGATCGACGTTTGCGCCCGGTATTCCGCATAGTTCTTCCAAGCATCGGAGGCCGGTTGGCGTGCCGGTTCGTTGACCGTCTCACCTTGAATGCCGCCTTCGACGTCGGGAACGTTGAGGTTGTCCGTTGACGGATTATCTCCCGACTTCTGAGGAGGATATGAGAGCTCGAAGAATTTCTTCGCCGAAGGCTTCTCGGCCGTGGGCACACCCGAGGCGAACATGAGCAGCCTGTTGAAGAATAGCGTCGTTATCTTACTTGCGAGGCTCGACGTACACATCGACTTACAGCGTAGTGAAGATAGGCGAGACAATTGCGGCATATTGTGCTCCCTTCGATGATGCATCCAGGTGGCCATTCGTTGCAGGTGAGATACTCAGACACCATATCCCCCACCAGCAGAGCATCCTAAGGGCGATCGTCAAACTCACTGGGGTGCCTTTGAATGAAATAGATGGCACGTACTCGCCGAAGTACGGAGGATGACGTGACCATCCCCAGAGGCCAGCCTGTGTAGCGGGGAACTGAGCACATGTGAACACGATAGATGGTTAATACCGACGTTCAGAGGTTTGTCTTTCGGCCAACCAGAGGATTTGTAGTAGTACTGTGGTTTGTCTGTGAGAAGAGCAGAACATGCGGGCTTCGAGTGCGGTGTTATCACCTTCTGCACATCCGCTACACTCTCGACGATCCAGCCAACGGCCCATAATATGACGCCTACGATGTCTGCTGCCGTACCGAAGCCGATATCCGATCCGACGGAGATTGCAGGCGAATTTAAGATGGTGAGTGGAAGAGAGACTGTCCACACCTGTACGGCGTCAGTGGGCAAGTTGACTCTCGAAATGTGATGTATGCGGCGTACCCAGATAATTTGACCTAGGAATCATAACGGATGGAAGACATGTCTGTCATCTGATGTTCTGTTCGTTCTGCAAGACTGTTGCTTACCGATCCAGAATGCTGAGGATTGAGATATATCAGATCATGTCAAGGCACAACCATGGAGGACGCATTGCTGCTTACCGAGGAATTTGAGGAAATGAGATCTGATGTCGTCAAACCTCGAGTCGCTACCTCTCTTGAGTACGCGAAATAGGAGGAACCCTAACCACGATATAAGGATTTGACTTCAAATCAGGACTCGGAGAAATGCGACGTACCAGCAAGGCGGGCAGCCCATACCATCACAAATACACTGACTACGACGTTACGAGCGTGGAACGTCTGACCGGCTAAGAGGGTTATCAAGGCTAGGGACGTCGATGAATACCGCACGCCACAACTCATGATGGGGTAAAAGTTGAAACACCTAAAATGAAAAAGTTCGACCCTAATATAAGCAAGGTCAGCCTGCATATACTTGTGACGTTTTTCACTGTACACACCTCCAGTGAAGTCGGTCAGCTTGTCGAACTACATGCAAGTGTTACCGGGCTGACACAGTACATCCTACGCATCGCCCAGCTTACCTGGAACGTCCAGGCAAGAGCAAAGCCTAGAAGTTGCCATCCGACAGTAATAAGGAGGGTGATGGACAAGTAAAACCGGTCAAGGACGTTTGTGGGAGCCATGCTTGGGTCAATCCAGAAGTAACACGGTAAGAATGCTCAGCCCAGCGGGCAAAGCCTAGGAAACTCAGGGATGACGAGGTGTTTAGTCTCGAACCAGAGGATGACAGGCCGGTCTGGAACAACTGTGGGACCGCCTAGGCCGTTGGTAGCTTTAAGTCCTGCTGGGGAAATAGCCACTACGGCCAGTACTGAACGTTTGACGGACAGTAGTGGATCTATGATCGTTGTGATGGACTACGTCCGGCTTGAAAGAAACCTAATCAACCGCGTTCCCCACGCCTTGCAACATCAGGAAGTTGAGCAGCGGTTTGGAGACACTTCGGATTAAATAATATCAGGAGTCAGGAGCTTGCGGCTTGATCTGGTGTACTGATGCGACGCCCGAACGCAAGTTGAGATGGCCAGTGGTATCACGCAGGCGCGTCTGTGGCGGATGTCAATCATAACATGTGATCGTGCCGATGGTGGCGTCAAGGCTGTTGCCCGCTCGTTATCGACGATCGTCCAGCACAACTTTGTATCATTCAGTTTTGAGTGATAGATGCAATGTTATGTCAGTACACAGGTCACTTCTTTATATTCTGCATCTAATCTCTAGCTTCGGTGCCCTCGGACCACGATTCGAAATTGTCGACATCCTGCAACAGCTTCGCGGTCTTACGTCGTACGCCAGAAATGCAATCCTTTCCAAGTGGGAAACGCAGAGGTGGGTCAGGGTAGGACGCAAGTCGATGGAATACCCCGGCTGCCTTGCTGGCATCCCCAGGCATGACTGGGTTACTCTCGAGATATTGGCGGAACATGACTACTTGCGTATCGGGGTTGTTGTATGCAGGATGCGCAGGGATGAGCTGCATGCTGCTACTTGTTATCTTTGTTCGAAACCCTCCTGGTTCTATTATCGTCACCTAAGATCAGGTAGGGTGAATATAGTGATTACCGGTGACCTGAGAAGCGCGGTACCTTGATATTCCATGCTGGATCGACTTCCGCAGCAATCGCTTCGCTCAATCCTTCTAAAGCTGCATGTCAAGTCAGTTATAAACCATGCCTGTAGAAAGCATGTACTTGCCGAACTTCGCTGCAGCATAGTATCCAAGAGTAGGCTGCGCTTCGATCCCTGAGAGTGAGGACATCTGTAATAACCGTCCTCCAGCAGGTTTGTTCACATCGCGGAAGAACCTCACAGCCTCTCGGCTGACCGCTGCAGCGCCCCAGAAGTTTACTTCAAACATCCCGCGAGCCACCTCCTCTGGGGTCCCTTCAACTTCAGCCAGCACACCGTACCCAGCATTGTTGAATACAACGTCGATACGGCCAAACTTCTCCTCCGCCTCAGCGAAGGCCGACACAATCTCCGAGGGGTTGGTCACATCAAGTTTCAGAACGAGTAGCTGAGACAAAGGGTACGTCGAAGACAGGTCAGCGAGGGCTTCCGGTTTGCGCAGCGTGGCAACAGCAATGTCGCCGTTCTTTAGTACAAACTCGGTTAATTCGCGGCCAAAGCCGGATGAAGAGCCCGTGACTAGGTACAAGGACGTTAGCACGTCGATATGGGAGATGCGCAGCAAGCACAGACGAGACTTACTCAACCAAACTTTTGGGTCCGACATGATGGTAGATTTTGCTGACTGCTACGGATGTCTATGAGGAAGTGATCTAAGGCTCATATACATGCTGCAATTGCCGCACATACGCGTCTTTTCGGCCCCGGTGAGGCGTCTGACACATTCTTGATCACTTCGAGATTATCCGAAGACCAATCATCCCATTGTTGTATAAGAGTTGGTGACGCAGACCAGAAGATTGACCGGAGGCATGTATCGTACCACAATAGCATCTGTTTCGTGGTTAGGATCCGATGTATCAGAATGTATCAGGATGGGCCAACGTCGTCTTGCCATGTTGATGGGACAGACAAGTCTGAAGCGGGATCTTCTAACATGTCCGTACAATGTATGGTATAGTACGTCAATCGTCCAGGAATAAATTCTGCAAATGTCGTGAGCACGTATCTCATATGTTATATCACGTCGCCAACAGGACGGTCACACTTACAGGATATAGAGTACACTAGGTACCTGACGGTCGCTCTGCTAGCCACGCCCCGATTGTCCTTGAACCTTCAGGGTATTGTCGCCCTTCGGTTACAAGACTACTTCGCAACAAGACCCTTGGTTCATGATACGTAACACGTTTTTTTCCCATATCCCTGGCCATCTTGTCACGGAGTGTCCGACACATACCCACAAAGCGCTCAGCCCGCCCAACGCTGATGAATGTCCTCGGGAAACCTACAAACGACGCGTGCACGTATCGCGAAGCAGGGGATAGGTACGGATTTCTGTCTGTCGCAGAAAAGCCTAGGGGGTCTCCGTATGCCTGTCGTGCGGCCGCGAAGACCCCCGTCTGCAAGTCCGCGAGGAAGTCGTAGGAATGGACGAGCGATCCCGATCCAGGCGTATCGTGTGACGTTCCGAGATCGCACCACGGCGAGAGTAGGATCATCTCGTAGTCCGGGCATGCAGAAGGCATGTTGCGCATGACGCGCGAAAGCTCCGCGGTGTTCTGCGCGATGTAGCGTGCGAGCGCTAGCGCGAGATTGCCTCCAGCAGACTCGCCGAGGAGGATGATGTTTGCCGGGTCAACGCCGACGTCATCGACGAGGTAACGATATCCTGCGATGGCGTCAAGGAGCGCAGCAGGGAACGGATTGGAGTAGACAGGTGAAAGGTTGCAGAAACGGTATTCCACCGCGAACGCCCGACGCGCGGAGGGACATTGTGAGAGGACAGCATAGGGCAGGTGCACCAGGTTAGCGTAGCCTCGTGCGGGCTCGCCGGTCAATTCACCGCCATGGAAGAAGACTACGATTTTCTCATCAGGCCCGGCTGTTGCACCGGCCGCCGTGTCGTGTCCAGGTTTATCGATCCAGTACCCAGGGGTGCGCTCTGGTTGGACATTCAACTCCCGTGCCCATTTCTTGATCTCGCCCACCACGGTCTTCGGTACCGGTTCAAGCCAGACGCCCTTCGCGTCAGTGTTATCCTGGATGGCGCAATGTGGCGGCCACAAGAGCCGAGGAGGTCTGCTCGACAAACTCAGATTTAGATTGCCAGGAGAAGTGATCGACGCTGCCGTCGATCGCTCGACGTCGTACCTTTCATGGATCGGGCTATCCTCTGAGTACTGTCGCGACCCAGAATTTGTTATGTTTTTGCGAGCCATTGACGATATGAGCCGCAATCGCATCGATCGTGGCAGACCTCTCATACATCCACGCGAAGGTCGCGCTACGAAAGACTTCGCGACCTCCAAGGCGAAGCTGTGTGAGCAAAGGGACCACGAACATAGCTGCTGCATGCTGGCACTCCCAGCTGGCACGGATGCGGGGGAGCTATTGATAGCACGGCTATTCTGTACTATCGCTATATGATGCCCGGTCTCAGTTGGTATAAGCGGTTCGACCCGGCGGACTTTGAGCGGAGATACACTATCGGTTTAGTTCGGGTTCTGTGAGGGGCCTAAAAAAAGAGAAACAAACGATATAGATCCAAGAAGTGAACTTACAGGCTGCGAGACGAAGCGAATCACCACCTGATAAATCGACTCTTCTGAAAGTGCTGATTCTAGGAGGATAGACGACCAAGCACGCAAGCCAAGCACACTTGCGCGAGAGAAGGCGTGAGCAACACCGCCATGGACCTCATACATATAGGCACGATGAGCAAAAGCGCCATGTACGGGGCCGGCAGGAAGACACCGGGGGCAACGTCCAAAGGGGGCTGGAGAACACCACTCCACAGGTGCCGATGACTTTCTTCGCACCCCGCATTACCCCAGATGGACATCAGTGAGACAAGTATAGTAGTTAGTGTGCACCTGTACAATTTCCGCCGCGAAGTTCGCGGAATCATTCGGGTCGTGAGGACCAGCTACCCAGCATCTCGTGTAAAACAGATGGATTCCGACCTCGGCGATGTGTTCTCGACCTTTGTTAAAGGCGCCGTGAACATGAGTCGTCTTCCGACATCCGCAGATAAAATGAGGCCGCCTGTGTAAGTAACTTCCCACTAATACGTAGATGATACCTGTGGAATGGCTACACAGAGGTAGCGCTATTTTGTAGGTTCTCGTCGGAATGGCCTTGATGCGATCAGCGGATGTCAGTCGAGCGGATGTCAGTCGCGCTCACCTCGTTTATCGGACACCCACCGACCGCTTGCTTTGCGGTGTTGATGTCATGAACAGGACATTGACCGATATCCTCATCGATCCGAGATAGGCCGAATGTCAGGGTAACAGCGGGCGAGACGCACGGCGACGTGCATTCGGAATTCGAGTACGTCGACTGCGGCGTGAGCTCCTCGCGGACATCAGGAGACAAGCGATAAGCACAGCTTCGACATTGAGTCGTGTCATGCTGTACTTCTCATTGGCTAGTAAACGGATTCATGGTAACCCAGCGGGCCGTGAACGCTGTTATGGACTGCGAGTTGTGGAACGGACTTGACACTACATATACACCTGAGGTTCGGTTGTGATGAGTGTGGACAAGACATCATGATGTCAATAAAATGATCCAAGAAGGGCATACCTCGAGTCCTTACTGTTATCACACGCAGCGCAAGATTTCTAGTGGTACTTTGATGTATCGAAGAGGTTCGAACACCTATGTTGAGGCATGACCTCTCAATACGAGCACGGCCCTCATACATAGAAATCATCAAAATACAGCTCGAAGAATCAGAATCGAGAGGCCAGTGCTTGAAGATGCAGAGTGGAATATCGTAATGGTGAGACCTTGTGTCACGCTCAAAGGAAGCGAGACGGCGGGCTGCCATATTTGGGCTGTGTGGCGGACGAATGCAAGTCGAGGTTAGGCTGCGTTTCAGTCACGGTATGTATCCGCACGCTAGGCTAGTAGTACATACACTTGCAAGTACATACACTTGCAATGTAAATGTAGCCTCCAGAATCTCACTCCCAATCGCTTTCCTCTTCCTCTTCTTCTGCTTTCGTGTCCTGCCTTGGCTTAGCTGCCGCCACTTCCTCCTCGTTATCTTCCTCGTCGTCTTCCTCTTCATCAGCTTCTTCCTTGTCACCGCTCTCCACTCCACTAGTGCTCCCACCACGACTGACTTGCGACGACACAACGTCGTAGCTCTCTTCACTGCTTGGTCGTCGACTTGCACTCGTCGGCGTCGAGACGCGCGATCGCTCTGTCGGAGTAGCCAATTTCGCGACTGTCGGTGTGGGCGCTGGCTTAGCGGTCGCCGGTGTCACAGGAGCTGAGGGTGTGGTGGCGTCGGGTTTGGCGGCGGTTGGAGAGGTTGCCTCATCATCGTCGTCTTCCCAACTGAAGTCTTCTTCGTTCTCCGTGGTACCTAGAGTATCACATATGAGAAACATGAATATAGATACTTTGAGCTGAGAACGTACGCTGCAGTAGTGCCTTCCGCCTCTCCTCTTCGCGCTCGACCTGGTGGACGCGGAAGAAATAGCGAGTCCAAAATGTTGACTCGTTCACCTCTTCTGGGACTGCAAGCTGTTCAGAATGAATGCAATATATAGTATCTTCTGCGCTCACCCAATGCCTCAAGGAGAGCCGTGAGCTCTGGCCGCTCGTCCAACTCCTTCTCCCGTCTTGCCAGCCATGTCTCGCTCTCAATACCCTCCGCACCCAGCTCTGCCACCCACTCCCCAAACGCTTCGCCCTCAGCAGCAGGGTCCGCCCGCAGAACCTTGGGGTCATGCCTCAGCTGCGCAAGCATGGCCTCAGCGCGCGTCGTCGCTGCTCGCACACTGTCCATAGACTGGCGACCAGAGCCCGTCCCCGAGCCCGTGCTCTGCGACCGCTCACGTTCCTTGCCCTTCGCGCGTGTGCTCGCGGGCTCCTCCGCGTACGTTGGGATCATCCACACGTCCGTGCCGTCCCACACAACGGCCGTACTAGCATTGCTTCCGCCCTCCTCGGGTGGCACGACGCGCACCGCTTCCTTGAGGAATTCGCCCGCCTCGCGGAGCAGCTCTTCCCCACCGCCCTGCACGCGCTGGAGGAGGTCGCCTCCGCTGCCCTGCATGCGTTGGAGGAGGCCCTCGCCGCGTTGGAGGAGCTCGCCGCTGCTTCCTTGCACGCGCTGCAGTTCCGATGTCAGCGTGCTGCGGAGCGCAGCGAGGTCGGGTGCCGTGAGCGACAGCCCGCGTGCATGTCTGATAGAATCTGGTATATTCTCCTGGACGGCGGAGACGATGTGCGGTGGTAGGGAGGCTTGGAGGCGGGAGAAGAGGGTCGAGGACTGCTGTTCTTGGTCGGTAGCGTCGGGTGGAAAGATGGTAGACGTGCTCGACGAGGCCTCTCCTGAAGGTGTCGAATCAGCGTCACTGTCCTTCTCTTTCTCAAGGTCGGTCTCGGCAGATGAGTCTGTCTCTGTCGAGCCAGATGGGGCAATGGTGCTTGTGGAAGCCTCGGACGGCTCAGTGAGCTTGCTGAGCTCTTTCTGCGCCTGAGAGACGACCTCTCCGAGATCTTTGCGAGCAGCCTCTAGCACAGTTTGACTCTGGCATGACCGCCATGTCCTGAGCCTGTACGGTCCATGTAATTGACACAGAACGCACCTGTTTCCGGAAGCCACCCCAGAAACGCGAGAGCTGGCCGACGACCTGCGAGACCTCTTCATTCAGGCTTGGTTCAGGCTGCTGCCCTGCAGGCGGCGTTGGGGGGCTTGTGATCTCGTAACCATCCAGGAAATTCATGCCGACACGATCGTTGCAGCACTCATGCAGCGAAGTAGTGTATTGGAGACCCGTTAGGTTCGGGTAAACGCCCAAATGATCGCACACTATATCCGGTTATAAGCAGTAATGATAGAATATAGACTGTTTGTGGCTAAATACATAGCATGTTCCCGATACTATACACTCTCTAAATAACAGGAGAAAGGGCATAACATAGCAGGAAGATCAAAGGAGACTGCCATGATTGCTGCACTCAAGCAAACATATAGCTATTTAGCTTGGGCGATTCCGAACATAACTTGTTCTGCGAGTTTGAGCTGTCTTACTATACCGTGACTGTGCTCTACGATTCCCAACGCCGTTCGTCTAGAGTGCGTCGCTTTCGCCGGGCTCACTCTGTCCTATAGCTTGGCGTCGGCTGCTAAATAATGCTACTAACTCTGTAGAAACGGGTTGGTTATGGACTTGATCATGAGAGAATGCGCATACCCTGCAGCCGAGCTTCTTTCTTCTGACGCTGAGTCTCCTTGTTCTTGATACTAGAGAAGGCCTGTGGACGCTCAACATTTTGAAACAGCCAGCGGTTGAAAATCTTTATCTCACCTGTTCTACAAGCCTCTTCTTCTTGTCTTGGATGTCTATGACCTTAGATTCTACAGTGTCCTCAGCGATCAGCTGGTATACGTGCACGGGCTTCGTTTGACCAATACTTTGAGATGAACATAAGCGAGCGGCTCGTTTGACAGCCATCCTTGACTTACCGGTTGCATCTGTCGATCGCCTGCAGCTCGATACCTTCCTACACAGACAATCAGCCATGAACGTTTGCATAGTACTTCGCACATACCTGCCACCACCTATCAAGTTTGGAAATACATGAGTATTGTCATTGGCTGAATAAGCCACATACTTACGGATCCATCCTGGCGCAGATTGTTTCAGTAATTGCACCGCAATTAGGATAAACATACTTACAAGTAGACATTATTTGCAACGGTCAAGTTGAGCCCCAGAGCTCCGGCTTTCAGCGAGATGAGCATGACCTTCGGATTCACCTCGTTGCCGAAAGCAGACCCATCCAGGTAGTTGGATTCCGATGGCGGAGCAGTACTAATTCGAACCCTCTTGCCCTTGCCTTTAGCCTTAGCCTTTGCTTTCTTGGATTTGCCCTTGGGTCTTGGAGCATCGTCAGCATCTTCATCGTCAATGAAGTCGCTATCTTCCCCATCATCAGCCGGTGCAAAGTCTGCGTCGCCGTCATCATCGACAGCTGCCGCATCGCCGTCAAAGATTCGAACATTGCTCGCCCGAGCACGTCGACGGGCAGAGCGCCCGGACGATGATGGCTCCTGACTCTGTGGAAACCAGACAGTCGGAGATGATTCATCAAGGGGGACGGAGAAGCGAGCAATTGTTTCCTGACGCCGACGAGCTGACATCTTCCCGTCAAAACGTACGTATGGGATGCTGTGCCCGTTTGTCAAGACAAGAGAGGAGAAACCATACAAAAACGTACCCTTCCTTTTCCAGAGTCTCGGCAATCTGTTCCGTAGTCAAACACCCTGATCAGTAGGTCAGAACAAGCACATACCTTGTCCAAGAAAGATGTGAACTGAGAGAACACAAGCGATTTCTCTGTGTCGGGTGTCAGTTTCAGGAGGTGGACTAACTGGTCGATCTTCGCGGAAGATCCCGAACGGAGACCATTTTCTTCCTCAGGCTCATCATCATCTCTGACAGGGGCTTGGGTGAACATCGTAGGTGGAGGGGGCTCTACGAAATCACCCATTCCCAGAGGTCGCCGATCCTAAAGTATATTACATGGTGTGTGAGCATTCCCTCCGATTGATTGCGCTTGTGGATGAACATACCATTGGACACTTAGAATCGCGGGATAAGACCTCCGAAATGCTGGTAGTATCGCTTGAGATCAGCACGTTGAATAGTAACAACACCGTGAGGATAACACACCAGGCGAGGCAGAACATATGCGAACAACTCGTGATGCGAGGCTCATTTAGTATACCAAAACAAATTGGGCATTCTTCGTTGTCTTCTATGGCCTGGGCGAGGATGCTTTGCAGTCGAATTTTGTTCTCAGGTGTCAATTGGACAGGCGAAAGGGAGTCCTCTTCCTTCTCTGCGGCCTGGAGTTGTTGAATATAGTTTGCCGGGACAAGTCCTGGGTGGAGCGCAAGCTGACGCAGACGGGTCACCATACTGAGCACGTTGGAATGTACCTAAGGATGACAAATGAGGATGGATGATACTAATTAGTACAATAATACTCACCGCAGCAGAGTGAAGGCCGCCATGTTGTCCAATTAAGTTGTCCAACCGCTGCTTCGACAACGCCTCAATGGCATCGTACATTTCCTTCGGGGAGGGGGGTTAGAATCGAGTCGAAATAATCACATACTGACTTACTCTCGCTTCCTTGGTGAGCGTGACAGGAATGAGTGTAGTGTCCACCTGGAAGCTACTGTGAGTTGTTGCAGATCTTTCACACACCAGATAACATACCGGTGGCAGGGGCACGAGATGATTCCCTTCGCTATCTTGCATCTAGACATGAAGTCAGCATTAATCATGCGTGTCATCTGTGTGAGGAGGACTGACTTCTTTCGTACGTCGGATGCAAATGTGGCTCATCAATCCCTGCATGATAGTAAAATATACGGCATCCGAAGCAGCCACGCAGCCTACGTACCCGAAACAACTCTGCGCCAGCTGGATCACCATCCTTGAGCGGCCGCAAGACCATGCGTTTGTAGAAGTCTTCGTCATCCAATGGCCGACAAATCTGCAGGAATGTCAATATCGAGCCAAGGTCCTGCAATCAATGACGTGAGTGCGGGATGCGCGGGTCCTGAATTTTGACTGCGAACCCTAGGGGAGTTGATCTGATAAGATGTGGATTAGACAATAGCTGATAAGTTGGGTATAGGTAGCGATTCGCGCACAATCGGAGTTCCAGTCAGGATCCAGCGTCGCTGCGCGTTCAGTGCGCAAACGGCTTTTGCCATCTTTGTTCGCGGATTGCGAATGTTATGACCTTCGTCAAGGATGATTCGCTTCCATGGAACGGCGAAGAGAGCGTTCGCAGACTTCCTCTTTCTCTTGACCGGTTCCTCACCAATGACCTTTGTCACGGAAGCATCACCGTGCTCACCAGCGACGGTCTGGTATGTTGTGATAACAATATCATAATTCTTCAACTCCTCTGGCGTCATAGAACGACTAGCACCATAGTAGACACAGTACGTGAGCGCCCCCTCCTGTATGTGATCTTGAATTTGCTTTTCCCAGTTGGACAGAATCGAAAGAGGGGCGACTACACAGCCACGGTTCAGTTAGCATGCCCCGTAGGGTCCGATGCATAAGCTTACCTATCAGCGTGGACTTGGAGAACTCAGTCGGTATGTCTGCCTTCGTGGCGATGACGAGCGCCAACATTGTCAATGTTTTACCCTGACAATGAAGTTAAAAGACACTGTAACCTCGAAGAGAAATATACTGACTAGTCCCATACTATCCGCGCATAGAGCTCCACGGCCGAGTGGAGGAGGTTGAGTTTGAGGTGTTTTGGTTGCAACTAAGAGTATTCACGTAAGCCATACTACTGACAAGTATCATTGAATGGCATATTCACTGTTGTAATAAAAGGTCTATGCAATGCTCATCAGCAGTCAACACTGAATAGTCGGAATATTCGCCGTACCTTCCCACCAGCGCTCCTCAGCTGCCAGAACTGAACCGGTTTGTCTTCCTCTTTCTTTGGAAGCGCAGGGTATTCATGTTGTATACACCACTGCAGCGCTTGACTCTATAGACCATGATTGAGCGATTGTCGTGCACCATGAAGTCCCAACCTACCTGATGCTTCAGCAGATCCACTTTCAGATCCCCATTAGCGATCCCGGGAGGGCTAGGGTGCAGGGGCAAACCAAGCACGTCCTCTACCACACACAGGGTATCGAGCAGCGAGCTACGGCGGCCTTCGTCATCGACCTTCTCAAGGCTGTTCAGCACTTGCCGCAGCTCTGCGGCCTTGGCGAGGGCCTCCTGCTGTTTTCGTGCTGCCTCTTGCTGTTTTCGCGCTGCTTCCTGCTGGGCAGCGGTCATCCCAGTGGCGCGCTGCGAGCTCGACGGGTATGCTGAGCCCTGTGAGGAGGGGTAACCTTTGGACGCTAATGGGTAGCTCTGGGAGGCGGGAGGTCGCGAGGGAGTGACATGCGGAGGTGGACGTGGAGCAGGTAATCCAGGTACAGGTGTATTGACCCCATTACGGGGCGGGAATCCACGCTGTCCAGGTGTTGCCCACATAAGACGAGGTTCTAGTAGAGCGCGCTTGTCGGAGGCACCATACATCTTCAACGACCTGAGGGCACGGTGAGTACACGATTCTCGCCAATGCGTGACACACTTACATGGACAGCGAATAAGCGAAGCCCCTGACTGATATGTATGTCAGTAGAGTGTGCGCGCCAATTGGTGTGATACTCACGGTTCCCCTCATGCATAACACCTTCGACCGTAACGAGACCTTGGTCCATCAGAGGGGCAAGTTTTCCGGCAACATTTCTTGGAAGATGGCCGACCTGTGTGCCACCAATGTTCATAACTTGAATTGCATTTCTGTCGTGCTGGTTCTGCGGCTCCCGGACGAGCCTGACTTCCTCTCCTGGACCAACAAGACCTGGGCAATAAACATTTGGACATTGCTTCGACATGCTCACTGGGTATGTGCGCACTCACCTTTGTAATACTGTATACCGACAATGCTGGTCTTCAGCACGACATATAGCTCGTCTTTGATCTCCTCCACTTCGTTTACTTCGTCTTCTTCTTCTTCAAACCTACGATAGCCTTCTGGCCGAATTACATGGCGTAGGGGCTGGGATGGACCAGGCCGAGAGGAACTCGGCTGCGAGGAGTTAGAAGCCATGATTGCTGCAGCCTTTCTCTTCTTCTGACTAGGACCCGGTGTTGATGGAGGTGACGTTGCAATGTCGCTCCCAGGTCGGTGAGTCTTGGCTGTTTCTGGAATGTCCGCAGGGGCAATGCGACGAAGGCCAACGGCCATTCTAATCTTTGCCTGGTCATCTGATCTTTACATGCATCAAACGCGTGTTGGTAGCACTCCTGTGAATTACTATCATCCTACCTGAGATCTTTGAAGCCAGGGACGCGTTCGAGTTTTGTCGACGCGAGCCTACCGAGTATCTCGGGTGTCACACATCCCCTGCTCAAGTCAATATCACGGCCAAAGACGTCAGATAAAACCAAACATACCAATGGCGCCATTCAACTGTCTCTCCATATTGTCCGAAGCTCACTTCTCCGTACCTCAAGACTCCTAGTTGAACTGGCGAGCCCTTGCAGGGCGGTGGTCCGTGACACACTGCACGACTGCTTTTGCTATACTAAATATACGGGAAGGATGAGTGATTAATGAATTGCCTTCTACTGTAACCATGAACAGCATTTACCTCAAAGATATGCGACGTCGCCATGGTGTGGCGGTCGTCGTTGTCCAAGGTGAAAGGCGGTCAATGCCACTTACCAAGAATGGCATTACCGACGCGTCGCGTCACGCGCAGGACGCATGTGACAATTCGTATTGGCGGGTCACACATCTAATGCTCGACGACCAAGAATGGGCGGCATCCTCTCTATTTGCATCTCGCTCTGTGATTTCACGCACTCATTGCGTAGGCGGATCGTCCATCTGCACGTCGACCACGTCAGCCTGGACAGTATCAATATCGGCGAAATAGACGCGTGATGGGAGCACTGCCATACCTGCGCTTATTATTGTGAAGTTGCTTCGGCAGTCTGCTCTTCGCAACCGGCGTTGTACCCAACCTCTGCTGAACCTGCGCTTGCTACTTTGCTACGCCGGCTTATAGCATTCCAACATGGCTCTGAGCAGACCTAGGAGGCTTTTCATGGGCCAACCCTATGGTTTCATCCAGCATGTGGTACAGATTATGTGGGTTGGACTGATCTCATTCAACGAAATGGGAGCTTTTCGAAACCGTGTTTCGAAGTGTGCATGGCCGGACGCTAGCCTGGAACTGTCAGTAGAATGCTCTAATCGGATTTTACACACGGGCCTCATGTTTGGTTTAGCTCGTCCCCGGACGGTCTCCAAATGCCTACCCACGTCCTGGTACTTGCAGACCCACAAATTCTAGATTCACAATCCTACCCAGGGAGACTCCCGTTGCTCTTATGGTTGACCCGGGTGTTGGTCGACGGCTACCTCCGCAAGAGCTGGAATGCAGCAATGAGACTAAAGCCGGACATGGTGATATTTCTCGGCGACATGATGGATGGCGGGCGGTACGCCCTGTCCGATGAGCAGTGAGTCTCACGCCTAGAACGACCGTTCCTCCATGCCCCCTCAGATGTTTACATAGCAAGACGCTATGTCCATAGTTACCGTATGAAAGCAAGCTGATTATTCGTCTACCTTGTTCGAAGGTACGAGGAGTACTATCAGCGCTTCCGGCGAATCTTCAGAACGGATCCCGCGCATTCGCTGCCCACATACTATATACCAGGGAATCATGACGTTGGGTATGTGAAAATGTTACGCCTGTCTTGGTACACACAAATGACGTGATATGCACGCCAGTCTAGGGCAATCATCAAGATCCTCAGACCGTGCTGTGGCACGATACACGTCCCACTTCGGACCGCTGAACCAGGTTGTCGAAGTAGGACAGCATACTTTCATACTCGTTGATGCCCCTGGGCTAGTCGAGGAAGAAGTCCAGCGTGCTCGCAGTGGTCACCTGTATGACGGATGGGCTGAACGAAACCCCAGTGGGACTATTGCCTTCGTTCACGACCTGGCTTCAAGTGCGTACAATACTATTCCTGCATCGCGCAACATGACCGTTTACTTGCATGTTACAAAAGGACGAACAGGTCAAAACGTTCTCTTCACTCACATACCTCTAGCACGTCCGGAAGGCGCAGCTTGCGGGCCATTCCGTGAACATGATACTATACGTGAGGGCTGGGGTAGCGGCTACCAGAACACGCTCTCTGCGCAGACTTCACAATTCCTCCTGCAAAATACACAACCCTTGCTCGCCATGAGGTGTGTGCAACTCGTATACAACTGTCAATTCTACTCACCATCTGTCTAATTGGTGTAGTGGAGATGATCACGATTACTGCGAGTTCTGGCACACGTACGGCACACCAGACGACTTCACCGGCAGCCCTACAAAGTCTGTTATGGAAGTGACCGTCAAGTCCTTCTCAATGGTCATGGGTGTCCGTAATCCCGGCTTTCAGCTCCTCTCGCTCTCGCCTATTCGAAGCACAGGGGAGACACTAGCCACATCGCCTTGCCTGCTACCTGATCAGCTCGGGACCTACTTGTCTATATACCTCCCGGCGCTACTCCTGAGCGTGCTCGTCCTCATGGTCTCGAACGTCCACCGTGTGCGCACAAACAACCGCTGGACAGAACATGTGCCTATTCCTGAGTGCATGCAGTGGATGCGCTTCGAGCGTACTATAGTGATCCGCGGGCGGGCACTGCGAGTCGTGTTCCCTTTCCAAAGTGCTAAGATTCCGCGAGCGGACGACAGTCTGACCGACATCAAAAGCGATTGGAAAGACGGGCATCCTTATCCTGGTGTGTGGCGGGGCTTCCTCGGAGACGTGGTGGGAGTAGCCTGGTGGCCAGTGTTGACGTTCGCGGGCATCGTCTGGTGGGCGACTTAGCTTTAATATTGTTGTGTTGTTGCGCTTTCATGTCTGTACAACTTCAGGGGCTGTACATCTTACTTTAAACTTATGTGCTCATTTGCAGCTCAGTGACTAGACACTCGAACACGATGTAGGCCGATGTCCTGCCGCTGTGCCCTGCTGTGCTGTATGCACCCTCCGGCCTGATCTGCAGGCGTGAGGGGTGCACGCAAGTGACGGCGAAGATGCGGCGTGAGCTGGAGAGGTTGGGGGAACCTTGACGTTAGCCGGGGTCGGACGCGGGGTAGACAAGCCGCCGGGTGAGCGAGAAACTGCTACGCGGTTTGCTCACGCGCAGGTCGCCATGTGCACACTGCTTTCCGATAGAAAAACCAACACGGGAGGAGATGTATTATGGGAGACAGCATACATGTAGAAATCACACGGCGGTTAACAACGGGACAGTATTTACGGAGACAGCACAGAAGACTACGAGCAAAGCTGCCTAGGGTGAGTGATAAAGAGGCGGCGACGCGATTTTGAGGACGCGATCCGCTAGGGGAAGTGTGAGCGTGCGTACGCGGGGGCCGGACGAACCCTAGCGCAGCCGGGAGAGTCCGGCCCCTGTGCTACGAATTGGCACGCAGTCCAATCATCAGCACCCCGACTATTTCGGAGTGGACCATATCAAGGAAATATCAGGCGCTGTGAATTTCCAGGTTTTGCGGTGACTATGGAGCATTCCTCAAGTCGATCAGTACGTCAGCACCTTTCGACTGTGCTCATTCCACGCTCACCATGTCCCCAAACACTCCAGTCGTTGTTGTCACCGGTTGCTCGAAAGGGGGCATAGGCTTTGCATTGTAGGTTATGCAACGGTGTACATCAATGATTGAAGTGACGCCTATGATTGGCAGATGCCAGGAATTCGCAGCCAATGGGTGCAAGGTCTACGCAACGGCCCGCCGCGTCGAGGCCATGGAGGGCTTCACGCACGAGGCCATTGAAAAGCTCAGGCTTGACGTTACCGACGACGGGAACATCGAAGAGGCTATCAAGTCAATCATTGATCGCGAAGGGCGCATAGATGTGCTCGTGAACAACGCAGGCGCCCCTTGTTTTGGTAAGATCATTACTCAGACTCGTGAACTCACCGTTGGACTGACAATATGCAGGCCCGCTTGCCGAGATGCCCATCGAGCGCATCAAGAGCACTTTCGATGTGAATACCTTTGCGATCCTACGTCTAGTCAACGCCGTCTTCCCCCACATGGCATCGCGGAAACGGGGGACCATCGTCAACATCGGCTCTATTGTTGGTGAAATGTGCGTTTCCCCTCCATTTCTGCGTTGCGCCCAGAAGTTGAACCAACTACCCTCGTGCCTAGCCCGACAGCCTGGGGTGGCACCTACTCCGCGAGCAAGGCCGCCGTGCGCTCCATCTCCGAGTCGCTCTACATGGAGTGCGCGCCATTCGGCATCAACGTCGTGCACGTCTCGCCGGGTGGCATCCGCTCGAACATCTCGACGAACAGCCGCGCCGAGTTCCGCTTGTCGTCGGACACTCTATACACGCCCTTCCTCGACTCTATGTTGCGGCGCATGGGCATGAGCCAGCAAAACGCGCTGTCTGCGGAGGAGTTCTCACGGCGTGTCGTGCGCCAGGTCCTCAGCAAGCGCCCGCCACGGTATATGACACTGGGCAAGGCGTCGAGGATTTTCGTGATTTGCTCCTGGCTCCCGCGCGCACTCGTTCTGTGGCTGATGTGGAATACGTTGGTTGGTAAGCGTACCATAAAGACATCATAGAGCAAGGGACAAAGTGTACCTGGACGCTCTTGGCATGTATACTACGATAAATCATCGGCGGGATACCGGGAACAATCTGATTTCTGATGTGCTTCTGGTCCTTGTCTATGGATCCTCGTATTCTTACCGTGCGAGGCGTGCGAGGGCCATATATCGTGTGGCGGGGGTTTCTTTCGGAGGCTCCCAAGTACTCATTTCATTAATTTGGAGCCCGTCGATGCAAGGTCTGCAATTCACAAACTGTAAGAAACGTGGTGTTATTTTGCGTCTTCGAGACTCAGACTTACCCGAACTGGACAGAGGACTTCCATGGAATACAGGGGAGGAGGGCAGGGATGGTCACGGTCGCCGCGTTGGCTTGCGCTTGGTCCGTGCTTGCGGTTCCTGCTCGGGTACGCGTCTTAGAAAGTTGTAGCATTGCTTCCGGAACACTGTCGCTATTCGCCTCCACAGTCGACCACCGTAGACGCTCAGCGCCTGCAGCCATGGACTACAATCATCATACAGACGTTGAGCTTTCTCTAATCCGGACTGTTGTCTGTACATGGACTTCCTCATCGACATTCAAGGTCTCATCTTGCGCTTCATTCTCATGAGTCTTGCCCGTACCTATCTGATTACTATCGGCTAAGCCTGCATCGCGAGAAATATTCATGAGACTCATGCACAGGCGAAATTGATGCGGAGGTTTCACTCAGGGATGTAGCAGGACTCGACACGTTGAGTCCCAGTATTTAGTTATGTCGCGAAACGATGTCACTTTGGAAGGTAGATTACTCGTTTTGGGCATGTTTAAGATCACACAGACGACCGATCACTCTTCACAACGGCTCTTGAGATATAATATTGCGTCCTACTTTGCGTCATAGCTGTCAAACGGTACACTGTGCGTATAAATACGACCGCGATGCCAAACAAATCGTCTTTCTCTCTTTCCCTAGACCTTCATCCCCGTGTCTTTCAAAGGACGAGCGTCGCCGTCACGTGGCTCACGCATATATCGGCCCGTCAGATTGTATGTAGTGAAAGCCTCTCTCGCTCTCGTCCTTCGTTGTCTGATGACCTCGCGAACGCTCTCGTCGTTCCCATGGTGTAAGGACAGGCCGATGACAACTCGCACGTACAAGGCGTCGATTATTATGGTTGGCCATAGTCGTGGGTTGCTTCGATCGGGCGCGTGCACTGCCTGATGCCCGTCTGTCAATCCTCTCTTATGTAACGCCATCGTCGCCGGCGACGTAGGTCGTCAGCCGTTCCCACCACCCCTCGCCTCTCAGTTGTTGTGCACGGGCTGAACAACTGCTATGTCGTCAAACTCCCCAGTAGTCATTGTCACCGGCTGCTCCAAGGGAGGCATCGGGTTTGCCCTGTACGTACCGCCGTTGCGTCGCCGTTCTCTGCTCGCTGACCTATGCGTCTGTGGTGTACAGATGCGAGGAGTTTGCGGCCAAGGGCTGCAAGGTCTACGCGACTGCGCGCCGCCTTGAGGCCATGGAGGGCTTCACACGTGAGGGTATCGAGCGACTGAAGCTGGATGTCACGGACGACGCGAACGTCGAGGATGTCATCAGGACAGTGCTCGACCAGGAGGGAAGAATAGATGTACTTGTGAACAATGCGGCTGCGCCATGCATTGGTGAGTGTGTTGCTGTTTGACGTCATGAGTTCACTGATGGTATGGCTGTAGCTCCTCTCGCCGAGATGCCCCTCGACCGCGTCAAGAACATATTCGATACGAACGTGTTCGCCGTCCTGCGCACGGTGAAGGCGGTCTTCCCTCATATGGCGTCTCGCAAACGCGGTGTCATCGTGAATGTCGGGTCCACCGCTGGCGACATGTATGTACGAACCAAATTTCAGTCGTCTCAGCTAATCAATTAATATACACGCAGCCCGACACCATGGAACGGCCTGTACTCGGCCACTAAAGCAAGCATGCGTTCCGTATCAGAAAGCCTTTACATGGAGTGTGCACCATTCGGGATCCACGTCGTGCATCTCAATCCGGGCGGCATCCGTTCAAACATTGCGAACAACATACGCTCTTCATTCGACCTGCCAGATGGCAGTCTATATAAGCCCTTCCTTGACCCCATGATCAAGCTAATTGACATGAGCCAGAATGGCGCGATGCCCTCGGAGGAGTTTGCGCGGCGCGTCGTCAAGGCCGCACTGCGTCAGAAGCCGCCGAGGTACATGTCGATGGGAGCAGCGTCAGGAATTTTCGCGTTCTTCATGTGGCTGCCACGGACGTTTGTTCTTTGGTTGCTCTGGAAGATTCTCGTCGGAAAAGTCGATGTCGATTCTGCATAGCATACTCCGGTCTTTTATCCGGTGCGGGACGAATACCCTCACGCGATGTTGTCAATAAGTCTGTTCGCGCCGATCAGCGCTGCGGTTTAAATGCTAAATGGACCCGACGTTGAGACCCGTGCACAATGATCCAGGCCTGTAACGCCTTAGTCCCCGTCATCGCGGATTTGCCTGTTAAAGGGAGCATATGTACTGATCGCAGCGTTATGAAATGGATGAACGACGATTGCAAGTGGCCCATCCCGGCCCTTGTCTTGGTCAGATCCCTCAAGTGCATCGACCTTCTTATGCAGCAGACAGTGATTCCTCTATGCTCGGCCATAAGCTCCCTCGGAGTCTAACTTTAAGGTGCGAGATGTAATTTTCCTGCTCTTTTAAAAACACTTGTCAACCACAGTCAAGACTGCCCGCTCTCCCACGAGGGCTGCATCCGTACGGCATATAGGCTCTGCATCGAATCACATCAGGCTGCCTGGGCTCGTCGGTTCTACTTGCATGGAACCCTTGAATCATATCTGCCTGAATCGAGAGGTCTGGTCTGGTCTTTGCTCACGCACAGCTCCGCATAACCTCCCTCAGCTGGCCGCTAGTCGTATCTCCCCTTTAGTGAATCGTTCGGGACCGTCGCTCTCAAAGGGATCTGACACGCATACCCGTACGCCGTCCGTCGATATTGCTAGAAGTCGGAGTTTGGGCACGCGAGCGCTCGTGCTCTGTCACAACGCGATTTCTGCCTTCCATTCATGTGTAGTGGTTCGAATGACCAGGATGCTGATGGCACGACCACGACTTGCCATTCTTGGACTGTCGTGACGCTTATGTCGTTCGCTGCTTTACAACGTGGAGCTTCTAGCGAGTGCTTGGAATGCTCCATGACAGGTGTCATCGTCACTTCCATGTCCGGACAAGGTACGTCTATATTCGCTGTTCACCGTCAGTGTCGAGAAACATATCAGTGATTTGTCCGTCTTATGCCCTACCTCCCAACAGATCTTTGGAAATTGTCAGGATGGTCCAACTTTCTCGAGCCAATAGCACGACTTGTCAGCGTCACGGCATTCCGTGGGGCGTACATGCAGGGTCCTTGCTTACCGCCTCTCTCTCTAGCATACAACGCGAAGTGTGGCCAATCGAGCTCGGTGACAAATATGCAATTGGGGTGATTGGTGACGGCCAGCCTACTACACACCTCGCTAGGAGATGAAAGGTGTGCATGACATCAATGCCTGTGAAGCTGTAGTTGTGATTTCGTCGGACAGCGGTTTGAGCGCTTTCCGCCTATATAACTCACGATATCTCCTTGAGCAGCACCAATCTACGTCGCTCGCTGCTAGCGAAATACTTTCGCCATGACCTACGACTTCCCCAACAAACCACGCACCGCCTCCGCCGAAGATGTCAAACCTCCGCAGTTCCCCTCTATGTCGGCCATGGCCGAGACCATCTTGACCACTAGCCGACCACTGGGCCAAGCTGAACTCTGGTTTCTGTCGCGTCGTCAGTCGCGCGGACTCCTCGACGTCCATAACATCTTAACGCTCCAGACCAGTGGCGGCTATTCCATCACAGAGCGCGATGTCGGGCTAGCATTCGCTGTGACCTGTCTTCGACGCCCTATCCTCACGACGCGTGTGTCGTTCACCAGCAGCCCTCCAGCCTTCGTCTGCGCCACACCCCTCACGGCGAAGCATGCTCTCAAAGCGTCTAGGAGCCTGATCGACTTCGACACATTCCAGGACGTGCGGGAGGCAGCGTCTGCCATACACGACGCTTGGTCCAGCAGCGATGGCGAACATGCGATCGACGTGCGCGATGCCACCTGCACCGTGTGGTGGTCCAAGGGCATCGGCCGTGCGGAAGGCCAATACCTCTTCGGCCTGCAGATGGCTCACTTCGCTGCTGACGGGCGCGGGCGGATGAATGTGATGCGCCATTTCTTGGAGCTCCTTGCTTCCCCGGACATGGCTCGGGCAGAGCTGTCATGCTTCTATGCAGACATCGCACGACCCCTGCGCATACCAGAGAGCTTGGAAGAGTTGCTTCCAGACGTATCCTCTCTCAGCTCAGACGACATCACGAAAGGCAAGGAGACATACGAAGAGTATGCGCGGTGGCACTCAAAGGTAACGTCCGCTTCCACTATAGCGCCTCTTGCCCTCAATTCCGTCGTTTCAGCCCATGGTCGGACTGCGACTCGATAGGACGGACGACACGGAGAACATTGACCCTCGTATGTGTGTCCACGTGTGGTCGCAGTCGAAGTCCTCCGGCATCTTGCACGCCTGCAAAGCTCGAGGCGTCACCGTCACACATCTCGCTATCGCCGCTATGGCACTCGCCGCCCTCTACGACAACCAGTATGGGGAGCAAGCTGCCGGCGACGAGGGTTCATACTACTTCACGGCCTGGTCGGTGTTAGACCTGTCGCCGCGCTTGCAGCCGCCCACCGACGGATACGAGCCGGGAACGACCACTCGCGCCGTTGCGTTCCCCGTGTTCCTCCATCTCTCGCAGCCGGAGGCCGCCGAGCCCGCGCCGCTGTGGTCGCTGGCCGTGCAGTGCAGGGACCAGTTTGCGTCCTTCACCAAATCGCCCCACTTCTGGCAGCTCATACATCGCGTCCGGCCCCTCCTCGTGCAGAACCACATCGACCGCATGTCCGGCCGGCCTACGCTGCCCTTCATGAGCAGTGTGGGCGACTGCACCAAGGTCCTGCCAGTCTCTTTGCCAGGCACTAAAGAGAGTACGGATCAGTCCCCCAAAATCACAGTCACGGATTTGTCGTATGGCATCAGGAGCGACGCGACATCATTTGGCCTCCATCTGATCACGTACGACAACAGGCTGTCTCTCCGCTTCGTGTACAACGGCTTGCGCGCCGATCCCGCAGCTATGGACGCATACTTTGGTCGTATCATCGAGATCGTCTCCAGGGCTGGACCGGGTCTGCCGTCTTTGTGAGTACGCTTCGCCTGACTTGCATTTTTACAGAAGTACGTATTTGTGGCGGCGAGCATGTTGTATTCTATGCATGGCCCTATTCAAAGGGCACAGATATCTCCCGATATTGATGCGGTGACGCCGTGGCTGCTGTTGTAGATGATTACTTCGGGGCATTGATCATGATGTACCCGCTGAGCCTCGAATGACATCACACGCACATACACCCATGAGAAGACGGACATAACCCTGCATCGAAAAATGGACAATGCTATCTCCGATCGCAAATCGGTCAAATGGAGAACATCGCCGGTCAATCGAACCTGTCCCCACTTTTACTTACAAGGCGAGGTCAATATACACTTCCAGAACGGGCGGAATTGTGGCTCGATCAGGACCTGCCGAAGTATTCGGTGATGTTGCAGACAACGGGGCTTATCAGAAACTTATGCCATTCACTCATGCAGTTGGAGACTTGAAACGTAACATATCGCACATTATAAACCTGCTATCAACACAAGGTACGATTGCTTTCGACCGCCTGCTACACTATTCGAGTCCGTGCTATGCCGCCCGTCTATGACTGAGGATGAGAGACCAAACCGCTATGGAGACTGAGTACTGAGGATCGTAGATGGGACACTTCATGATGTCCGTCATGGTGAGTATATGTGTGCGTATCCGGATGTGCCGCGGGTATGACATCGCCCCGCGTGCGCGGAAGGATGGGGAGAGGCGGTGCGGCGTTCGCGGTGGGTATGTAGGGCGAGCTTATAGCTCGATCATGTTAAGGTTGCCCGAGAGCAGTCCTGCGTCGGCATCCCCGTCAGCCCACCAGCGTTGCGAACTGGTATAAGTACTCACGGTTCTCGAGGATGCATCCGTCGGGGATATGAATGCTCTGTCCCTCGTTCGCAACGACTGCACCATCACCGTAAGCAACCGCATGTTCTCACACAATCCATCACGATCGACTCACTGATGACCGTCCCCCGAAGCGTCACGTTGCGCCCAAAGTACACATCGCCCGTCACCGTCAGATGGTCGAGCTCGATGATCTTCGGGATCTTCTTGAACCGCTTCTGGAACTGCGCGATCTTCTTGAAGTGGTCGCCCAGCTTGATCACCGGCGTCGTCTCGAACATGCGGTTCTCGTTGATGACGAGCTGCCCGTGCTCGAGAGAGTAGATGTCGGACTTGATGAGCAGCAGATCGGAGCAGCTCTTGACGGGCAGGAAGCGCGAGCGCGGGACGTTGACGCCGTGTGCGTTGCGGAAGTGCTTGATCGCGGCACCAGCAGCAGTTTCGAGCTGTAGGAAAGATCTTTGAGCTGAGAGAAGGCGGCGAAATAGTGGGACACTAACCTGGATGACAGCCTGACCATCATCCGTGGTCTTGGGGTTGACGATGATCTCGAGCTCCATCTCGCTACTCTCCATGATCTGCTTCAACGCTGCGATACCTCACCAATCAGTACATCATATCCGAGAATAGAACGCGACCAGGCAAGGCAACGCACCGCGCAGGTTGATCCACAGGTTGTTCGTGTTGAAGATCTTGAACTTGCGCACAGACTTGAAGTCCTCAACGTGCTCCGACGTGACCTGGGCGACCTCGAGCAGGCGGATCTGGCCCTCATAGTCGATCAGCGTGCCGCCCTTGACGTCCGCCTTGGTCTTGTCCGTGACTTCCATGATGAACTCCGCCTGCGAATCGATCATGTGCTGCAAGATCCGCTCGTCGACGACCGCGCCAAGGTTGTCCGAGTTGGACACAAACAAATACTCCTTGCCCTCCGCAAGTAGCTGGTCGAGGACTCCGCTCTGGTACAGCGCATTGTACAAGTCACCGTGGCCCGGGGGGTACCAGTGCTTCTTGTCGTCGTCTGCCGCCTTCGGGCACGGCAGTAGGGTCTCCTTGTAGATACGCGGGTACCGGCTCTGGTTGAATGTCGTGATGCGCAGCTGCTGGTTCGCGTACTTCTTGATGATCCGAAGTGTGTCCTCATGCGTGTTGAAGGATGTCATGAGGATGAGCGGCACGTCGACGCGGGACGTGGTGTTGAGGTGCTCGATCTGGCGCACGGTGAGATCGAGGAAGGTCATGTCGTCCTTGACCTCGAGCGCAGACTTTGCACCCGTCATACCCATAGACGTACCAAGGCCACCGTTGACCTTGAGAACGGCAAGCTTGTTCAGGTTTTTCGCATCGCCGGTGGGGAGCTTGGCGTACGGGACGATCTTGTCCTCTTCAGGAGACCTGATCTTCTCCCAATCACTACAAGCATTGCGTCAGTATATACTCGAGCGGCCATAACGTGCGATGCCTGTTCGGCGCCGGCTGCCGCGCATACTGCACGAATATTCTCGGCGCAGGTAGCCACCCTCATGCGCGCGTTAGGCGTCTATCGATCATGACGTCGGTGATCACGGGCGCCAATCGAGCGCGTCGCGGGCGGGCGGGCATAGCTAGCAGCAGGGCACAGCGGAAACATACAGTGCGGCGCGATCGCATATATGCGCACGGGGAATGGGTAGACGGGCACTCACAGTTCCTGACTCCTAGCGCGCTCGGAGAGATAGCGCGTGAAGAGGAAGAAGAACGACTGCATCTCGATGTCGAACGCCTATGCATCCGAATGGTGAGCAGGGGGTACAGAAGCATGACATAGCAGGAGGGGAAGGCGGGGTCAGGGGGTGGGGGGAAGGAAGAGGAGAACTCACGCGTTTGGTATCGGGATCCTGGACAGATTTGACGAGATTGCTGATCTCGTTGCGCATGGCCTTTGCGGCGACGCCAGTGGTGGCGGTCTTGAAGTCTATGTGGGAGGCGCCGCGGACGCGGGCGTTGAAGGACTCGCTCCTGGGCATGAGGGAGTCGGAGGGCATGGCGGCGGCGCTGTGGGGGATGGTGAGCAGAGGGGATGGAGGGGGGGCGATGCGGGGGACATGCCTTGGGTTGATGTGGATGGGGACGGTGGTGGCAGTGGAGATGAGGGAGGGGGCAGAGTTTGTGCGGGGTGGGGGCGGACGGGGCCTGTGGTGGCGTTTATAAGGGAGGGGGAGATCGGGGGGAGGGGCGACGTGCGTCGGTGTCGCTTCCGGGTCCTCGCGGATGGGCTCGCAGATCGATCGTCTTGGGACGTCCCCCCCCAGCGGCCGTGCGTGCGAGAACGTCCGCACCCTGCTCGGCCCTGCCGCCGTCAGCACTGGGCCCCCCGACGTCGGCGACGACGGCGACGACCACGACCGCCCCTGCCCCCGCGCGTCCTGCCCCGCGGCGCGCACATGCAGGCGCGGGGGCTCCTCCAGTGAGCACGTCAAACGTGCGTGCATGCCGGCGAGCGTAACACCAGGATCGTCCCCGCACGCGCACGCCCTTATGTACGCAGAGTATGCCCGTCGTCCGTGTCGCCCGTCCTGCACACGCAGCCTGCCTATCGCGGGCATGCCAAGCCCCGCTTCTAGACCCAGATCCGCGCTCTCCCCTTCAGATCCGCCATGACTGAGCACCCAGCCACCCTTAGGCTGCTCCCTCCCCTGTGCGTCCCCCGCCTGCCACCACCTGCCCTTATCGGCCCAGCCCTGATCTCTCCGCCCGTGCCTCGACCACGCTCCCGATAGCAAGCATTCCGACTCTGCAGTACTGGTGCACATTTCTTGCCCGCGCTACGGCCATCGCTGTCCGTCCACGCCGTAGTGTGCCACGTTTTGCCATCATGTTCTGCTGCGCGCCGTCGTCACGCCATCTGCCACCGCCATGCGCCCCTACGCGAGCCCGACAATCACCTCGCAGAACGCGCGAAGCACAGCGTCGCCACCCTCTTCCTGCCGCTGGCTTCCAACGCGCTCCACCGTCATCAGCTCGCCAGCCCGCGCCGCACAACCGATGCGGAACCTCGCCAGAGAACCCCACTAGTGCCGCTGTCGTCAGATTCCGCGGAACGCAGTCTATTGCACCCGTTCTTCCTCCGCGATAGAAATACTGCACAGTCGCTTCCGGCCCAGGGCGGCTGTACCTTTGCCTCGTCTGCAGGGACATTCTCCTCTCGTGGTGATTCCCAAGGCTGTTCTATTTTCTGCATGAAACGCGCCCAGGGTTCGTCCGCCCATAAACGCCAACGCCAACACGTCACGTCAGAGGGCTCGGAGATTCCACCAGGGCCGACGCAGCCCGCCGGCGGTGGTCGTGTCGACAAGATGCTACTGCACGCGCACCGGTACCGCACTGCAGCCGTTTCGACAGGAGACTCGGAACCACGCCAATTGTTTGGTGTATTGCTCCGCCGGTGCGTTCGTGCGCGGTATGGCTACTTCGCTGCCGTTTCCGTAGAAGAGCCCGAGTCTCGAATGCGTAAACTGCCGCGGCGCATTCCTTGCGGCCGGACTCAGGCATTGCGTCGACGGACCCCCACGATCGGTACCTGGGCGTCTCCCCATGGCAGAAAACGCCGCGCTTGGACAGATGGCCCTCTGCGTCGGTCTCGGCGCACTCGCGCGGTACAAGTACATGCCATGGCATGGACGCGAACTTCGTGTCCTATATCACTCAGGCACTATACAGACATGGCGGCTTCAATTCACCGCGCACCGTGCCTAGGGCTCTAGACTTTGACGTCCTTGAACATACCATGTCATGTGTGCGCGCACTGCGCCCGTCGAAAGGCCTTGGGCCTTAGACATCAATCGCGCAATACGAAGTATGCTTCTCCAGTGCTGATAGATATCAACACTGAGTACTGAGGTGCGGTTTGAACGTTGTGTGCCTCGCGTGACTCAACGCCTCAGGCACTGCAGGCGCGGGCGCCCTGCACAGTCGTGTCTGCGCGGGCCGGGTGGACTCTCCTCCACTCTCCTCCTCCTCCTCTATCCCTCTACCACCCGGTATGACCGTGAGCGCGCCCGGCTGCGCTCGGGGTCTGCGCCTGGGTGAATCCCAGACGATCCCGAAGAACGTCCGTCCAAGGACGATCGCGCGGCAAATTAACTGCGTGCGTCACGGGTAGTGCACCAACCAACCCGGTACGCATTTACTCAACGCTTGAGCCAATCGCCGATCTCGCGAGCGTAAGCTTGAGCGTTGACGATCGCACGGTGATTTAGATATCGTGTTGCACGGCTCGATGGACTGTGTACATATGCGCGCACGATGGTCATCCGGATCGGCGGTATCGGAGATGAGCTTCATGTGTCCAGATAATATAAGCACGGAAGCGTGTCCGGCATTTCCGTCGCGCCTTCGTGCTATTTACGGCCCTTCGTCTCTCCACTTGTACCCTGGGCACAGTCTGGTAGATGGCCCAGCGGTTGTGACGAGAGTCAACTTGAATAACGTCAGGAAATCCTTGAGGACGGCACTGACGCGTGCATGTATGGTGCGGCGTGTCTGCGCGCGAACGCGTAGCGGCAAACGTACGCGTACTCCGTATGGGGACGGGAATGAGCGGTGCCCTGACACAAGTTCAAGTGCGCAACGTATAGTCATGACCTGATGTGTTCGGGGCCTCTTAGCAGCTACATGAATAGCAACTTAATTACTCATCGGCCCCACGCCTCTCAAACGCGTTGCTGTTCAAGAACGCCCCATTCGAGATCCAGGCGATGTAGGAGCACGTATGTTTCCCAGTGAGAGACAGTATCTCCCTCTCGGGTATAACTGCACGATCTTGGCCGTGCGCAATTCATGCAGCTTTGAGTTTCGGCTCTCCACCAAGGCAACGCCACAACAGCCAGAAAACAAACCGGCGCGGGAGCCATTGCAGGACCGCAAACATCCCCGCGCCCATCTACCTCGGCGGCTTCGGCCTGAGCACCGAGCTCACCGTCCGTCTCGCGAACTCCTCCAGGGTCATGGCGCCGCCCTGGGTCATGTCACCGCGGGCGATGATCGCGCCTAGGTAGGACGTGTACAGGCTATTCTCGGGGAGGCCGAATGAAGGGGCGCTGTTTGCTGCGAGGTTGGACTGGATGGCGCCCGGCGCGGCGTGCACGACGGTGATCCCGAACGGCGCACACTCCATGTAGAGGGCTTGGAGATGGAGCGCACGCTGGCCTCCGTAACAGCATACACGCCGCCTCAGGGTATCGGGCTACAGGCGGTTCGCCATTCAGAAGGTGTGGTTAGCGAGGTCAGTGGCACTCACATCCCTCCGACGACCGAGCCGATGTTGACGATAGTGCCGCTCTTGCGGGACGCCATGTGGGAGAAGACGGCCTTCGCCATGCACAGGATGGAGAAGACATTTGTGTCGAACATCGCGACGATGCGTTCTATGGGCACCTCGGCGAGCGGACCTGATCTTGACGGTCAGCATGTATAGATGCGTATGGGCATCACCCTCACTTGTGCTTCCAGGACCTGCATTTCGGTTGGTTTCTAGCGGATTTTAGCTTTGGTCGCTGAGCAATACACTGCGGTACTCCGCAAACAACGGAGTTGTTGAGTGCTGATCAATCGAGGCGCTTGCGAGGCGAACATTGATTGTGAGTTCCGAGAAACACGGAGTACGCTGTGCGAAGAGCTCAAAGAATCGTGGATAGTGCACAGTTGACCTCCATGACTATCCTCTGAATGCTGTGGTAGGTTTCCGTCGAGCTCTGCAATGTTACTGCGGCGTTCCGGGAAAAGCTCCCCGAGAATGTATGGTAGATGGCAGAATGGATTTAGGGACGGCAGAAGGTGGCAAGTGTACTTCCTAATATGATATAGATCGGCTGTAGTCTCCAGGGTGTCTCTTGGACCATAATCTGAGGACACCATATTTAGGAACATCCGGGCGTGGCCATTGAGTTGCTGCAAAACTGCAAAAATTATGTTGTCACCAGAATTTGCTGTGAAACAGTGTCATCACGTCCACAAGCTCCTCCTAAAATCTGCAAGTTCTGCCACAGGTGGCAATTGCAGTGATGTGCGGTCAGTGTCTATGGTCATCCGGCATAGTCACTGACCGCTGCCACTGACCCTGGGAAAGTCATGACTCCGAGGGTAAGCCCGGGGTCCTCTAACACAATGGTGGTCGAGGTCATATTTCCTCTTATGATATCTCAGGATCGCCAGATGCTAGTCTACGTTACTCACTATATACGGACACGGATTCCGCGAGCACACATATGCGTGCCGGCTTCCTCACGTACCGATTCATTCCTGCCAAGATCTGGATCTATATCTCTGTCTCCCATACGTATAGGCATGCTCTATGTCCCTGGTGGTGGTGAGGAATTCGTACTATTTCAGCAGAATAGACGCCAGTCACTATCGGCGCTACCAGGCGCTACCTCCTTTCGATCGAGACTTACTTCTAGACGACCATCATGTCCCTCCATTCACACGACTCTTGATAACATGGGACGTAGCGCAAAATTTCACAAGAGACCCGTGAGCCTAACATTATCTTGCTGTCGTCGTGAGTGTACTGACCGAAAACCGTCCAATTGGTAGAAGAAAATCTCTGGAGCATCTTCGGGTGCGTCGGCCACACAAGCGGCTGCGAAACCAGCCACAACAAGCGCTGCACCAACGCCACAGGAGCAGAAGAAGCATGCTGGTCTGAAGGCAAAGGCTATAAAACGCCGCCAGGATGGTGCCGAAGGGCCTGTGCTAGGAGGAGCGGATTATGTCAACCTCATGTTTGGCAGCAGGCGGAAAGCAATGGAGGAAGCCACAAAGTTGCCACGGGACGATTAAATACATGTGCAGGTACTATTTGAGTCATCATAATCGGAACTGTCCCCGTCTACTTGACGACCTCTGATCAGGATCTTTGAGCCTCCCCGAAGGCCCTACTCGCCTCCTCAGTCTCCCGAGTCGTAAGCAATATGAAATCACCCACAAGTACATGCATTATATCCTTTGGTGTTTGCTGAAAAGCCTAATGCAGCTGAAAAGGTAGTCTGCGTTGCGCGCGCCAAATGCTCGCGTATCATTGACAGGGCGATTGCAAACCTCGGCTTGATGTCCGAACATATCTTCTTGTGTCAATCTCTTAGCCGATCCGGCGAGAAATCAGTGTTTTACTGTCATAAGGGAAATAAGGATCGTGTCATAAAAATCTTGTTACGTGAATCTAAGGACAGAGGCTAGTTCTCCAGTCCGCAACAGTTAGTTACTAAATTGAGTGAGTCGTTTGTGTACATTCTTATGAGATTGATGACTCATAAATGTCTTTTCAATTTTGGTTAAGCTTGTTCGGCTGTTGAATAATCCCAAAGATTCAGACTGAACAATACATGCTCACTGACCCGCCTGGTTCTACAGGTCAGGTAGTTACACCCGTCCAGTCTTGTTTTCCAACACTCAAAACGTGAAGGTGCGGTGATTTGTAGTCACAGGAATTACGATGCTGACACGCGAAACCATGTAGATCATGAGCTTCACAAACTGTGTGGATCGCTAATCATCTTCAATATTCAGTATTTCTGATGATCATGTAGCTGAAACAGTCAAGGATTTACTTGCTGAGCATGTCTGCCGTCGGATGCGTTACCCGCCTACATTGGAATCCCCGCGGCGTCCTGGAGCGTCGTGGCTCCCGCACGCTACACTTAATCAGCAAATCGCACATGTCGAATTCGTTTCTTGCTCATGCCGCGTGGCGGCCACTCGCGGCTTTGTTCGTGGCCTGAGATATCATCTCGTCTACTCATCTCAGCGTGACTAAACACCACGATGGGTCATAGCATTTGCGCACGCGTCGTAACTCCGTTTTTTCAATCGCGTGATATGTCCTATCATACCTAAGATCTCGGCCAGGGCGGCGAAACCTCCAGCTGTATACAGTCGTAATGGCAGACGCTGAACAAATGTGGTCTCGTACCTAGACGTCTAAATCCCGCACCTCACCACCGTGGAGAGACCCCCGGTGTGAGGCTAAGCTAATGTTGTGTTCAGTGACCCTGGTCCCCATGGATTCTGTGCATTTGTGTTACTGACACCGGCGGACTTGCATATTCGATAGTCAGCGACAGACCTCAGACTTTCTGTGAGCGCCAATCCATGCTTTCCTTGCCCCATTGCTGAACCCATTGTCACGAGAGAGGATCTCTCAGATCTGTCAATCATGGCGATCGATCGAGCGGAAGTACCATCTACGATCATGCAGCTAAGTTCATGCATGTACAGTGAGATTCATCACTCAAAAGAAAACAGCCCAAAGTCGCTCGGCATATCGTGGCATCAATGTGAGTTTTTACAAGAGCGCTGGGTCGAGGAGCCCGCACCGAGGCTCTGATGGTTCGAATAATGCCGTGTTTCAGGCATGGCGCCACACCTGGACCGGCGGGCTCATTCACAGCCAAGGAGGGGCGCTGGTTCTCACACATCTACTGACTCATGAAGTATATGACATGCACATTGCAGAACAGTGTTTTTGACTAATTTGGTATTAAACAGTCCAGGCGGCAATGATCTTGTGATCGCTAAGCGTCAAACTTCACAAGCTTGTCACTCGCTCATGATAGAATCTGGAAAGCAGTTCGCAGCATCCCACAGTCTTGTATGCATCGCCGCGTAGTACACCTCCATTTGCAGGTAGTGCACATGTCTGTTCAGAAAGCCGTGATACAATCAGAGCACCATTCGTTCCGACGTGATGACGGCCTCGACTATTCAAGTTGGGAGCGTCGCCTAGGCATCAGTCGGAGGGTATAAAGGGTGTCTCTTCTCGTATATTGTCCCAGCAATCCACTCGAACTACCACCAAACATGTTCGCTGTCAGATTGGTCACGGGAGCTACCTTTGCCCTGCTTTGCACTTGGTCCGTGCTTGCTGCTCCTGCTCCGGTACGCATTTTGAAACATTATAGCATTGCTGAAGTATTGTCGCTAATTGCCTCCACAGACGACCACCGTGAGCCTACAGTTCCCACAGCCATGGACATCAACAACAACAGAGACGGAGTACATCATTGCGCCTACCACCACGGGTCCCTACGAGACTACAACGTTCACCGAGACGGGGTGGAACTACCCACTCACAACAACAACAGAAGTCATGACGTACACCTACTCGGGGCCCATCTGGTCCGGCTCTCCCACCTATTCAACGGCAACAGTGGACTACACCAGCACTTACACTGAGGTGGAAATATATTCCAAGTGGTATGGGACATGGCCGACCGCCTGCAACTACCCGTGAGGTGAGTCTTGCATTTTATGGAATGTGGGTGTGATGCTTAGATTGATGGAATTGGCAGTAGTCAGTGTACGACGTCTAGAATAATAGCTGGGCCGTCATGGCGGCAATGGAGTGCAATACATGGGGCCTCTCAACTAGGATTTTGTTAGCAATATAACGACTATCAGCTGCTTGTTGTCGAGTACGTGCGTGACGCCTTTGGGTAATTCGATAATGCGCGGGCGAAGTCGTAGGTGTGGCTGGTTCGAATTGTCGACGCTCAGAGCGCGTACCCTTGTTCATGTTTGCAACATGCGTGAGATTCAAGCTGTCTCCGATGCTACACGGTGCTTCGGCGATTTGAATGAATATCAGTTTGTAAGATCAGCACAATGCAGTCCGACCGCACAGCCGGCATCTAGCCTCCCTTCATCTCTCTCGCTTTCAAGCCTCTGACGCAGCGTGCGGCATGCGAGAACAGTACGCGTTTCACGCACTTGGTGGTGCAAACCTTGTCCGCCTGAAAGCCGTAGGGCAACGACGCATTGCGCTGGGCTCATTGTTGAGTGTCGCGCTGTGGGTGCAAAACGAGAACGAGGTGACTTGTCCTCGCCGAATCAACGGTATCCTTTGTTCGCGGATCTCTTCCGTCTCCTCGCTCACTCCCGACAGCTCGATGTCCGGGCCGTTACACCTGACTGGATAAGCGTTCGCACATTGTTGCCCATCCGTACTATTGTGGTTATGCCTTGCATTTGTCTGGTACTGGGTGCGATACGTTAGCTGAGGTCGCGATATACGAAGCCCCGGTTTTGCGGCGGAAATGGGGCTTTTGCGCGGGCTAAACCCCCTGTTTAGCGTCGATGTGCTTTGAATGAGTGGCTTCGCCTAGAGTTATGTACATACAAAATCCTGCCCGACGTTTTGACAAGGTCAATGACATGTCAGAACCCCCCTTTTCGAGAATCCAAGGAGTTTTCCCGGAACAGTTTTCTACATACCTACTATCAGCATATACAATTGTATATCATTGCCACCCTTGAGAATACACTACGACGCTTCCGAGCCATCAGGTTGGCATTGAAATATGCCAACCTGTGAGGTCACTAATTACAGTTCTTGGCAAGGCCATTGCGCCTCAACGCTATCGAGCATTGTGAACAATCCTTGGTCTATTATACACTACAATTGTTAAAATCAGACAGCATCGAACGATGTGCGTTTGCGACAGCTGGCCTGCCACAGAACCAATACAATAGATGACACACGTTCGCAAAGCCTGTATGCCTATCCCATTCTGGCCTTCTTTCTGGCGTGCCCACTTCCCGCGCCTGCTGCGCCTCCGCTCAGACTTGCAAAGCTCGCAACGCTTCCCCGACTGGGCGGGTGCGATCCTGCGAGCTGTGCTTGTGCTTGTGCTTGTACCTGCGCGAGCTGTGCCTGCACATGTGTTTGCGCCTGTGACGTCGCAGTGGGCAGTGGAATCATCGACGGCGCGTCGTCATGCGTGATGCGCCGCTGCGGCGGGATATGCTGTAATGGAATGTTCTGAAATGCGCTACAAAGGTACGTCAGCTCGGAAAGATACGGGGAACACAAACAGTCGACGCACTTTTCTGTCGGTACTGGCGCCACTCGGAACCATTTGTGTTGCAAGGCTTCCTGGCAGGTCAGCCGATTATCTGGATCGTATGCAAATAGCTGCCGCATGAGATCATAGGCGTCCGGATCGCCTGCCATGCGATGAGCAGCACACCACTGGCTCAAGCGGTTGGGGTAGCTGTTATTGCGCATGAGACCGAACACGGAGCTAAATCAAGTGGTATATACGCACACGTCAAGGCGCTTCAGGTTCGGGTACTCGGGGAGGTCTTTGAGACCTGGCCATTCGCGCTCTACAACCACCACTTGTTACAATAACGCTCGGGGCTGATGCGGGTCGCAATATTCACCGTCTGGTGTGCCCAACCAATCCATGATTTTCAACAGCTGATCTTTCTGGAACGGAACGTTCTTCTTGGAATCCAGCTTCGCCTCCTCTCCTTTGAAGAGCGGCCGCAGAGCTACTAACTCTGCGATAACGCACCCGACTGCCCATACATCGACTGCCTTGTTGTAGTGTTTTGCGCCGAGCAGGAGTTCCGGTGCACGGTACCATATTGTGACCACGACCTTGTCGCCGACAAAGAGAGGCTGTAATGGCTGATACGTCAGGCGTGCGAGACCCAGATCTCCAATCTTGACGACTCCGCTAGACGTGATGAGGATGTTCGCGGGCTTTAGGTCCCGGTGAATTATATGCGCGTTGTGCAGATACAGTAAGCCATTGAAAAGCTGATACGTCAGAGATTTTAAGACATTAGTAAGAATATTCTGACGGAGCGTCTGTGCATGATGATGAATGAGTTGCTGTAAGAGGTGTGAGTATCAAATAAAACATGGTCCAGAGAACACTGTGCGCACGAGGAAGTCGTGCTCCGCATACTCAAAAACCATGTATATAGACTTGTCTTCCAATATAACTTCCTTGAGTTCGACTACATTCTCGTGAGAGATGTCCCGATTGAGCTAGTTCCGAGTCAGCTATGGCCGATGCACCCTGCGGAATCGCCGCACTCACAGCAATCTCGCGGATGGCACTCTGACTAATGCCAGTATAGGTGATTACGTCTCCCTCTTTGTCCGGTTTAAATTTCTTGATTGCATGGATTCTTCCGTCGCCATCCCTGCTTTTTGCCTTGTACACTCTGCCATATGTCCCAGACGAAATGAAGCCCTCGATGGAGTACTTGTCTGTAACACGCCTTCGCGTTGCATCCCTCTTGGCGCGGTACATCCGCATTGGATCAGTCAAGAGGATGTTCGATGACCGTTCTTCGAGCATAACGGGCCACAAGGTAAGAAGACTATTAGATAGGCTTGTTACCCGTTCTTTTCCAGGCCAGCGGCACTTTGTAAGGATTGAAGACTATTGATAGCCTAGGTCAGAACATGTTAATGTTCACGTAGACCAACTCATACAGATCTTGCCAATCACCAACCAACTGTTGACCTTGACAAACTGTCAGACCGTCAACACTGTCTGGAATGCAGTTGCCATGTACACTTCCAGTACTGCAAGTCACAGTACCTGCTATTGAGATGCAGGACTGCAGGTCGGAATGTCACTAACCGCTCAGCGAGCGCCGGCTACGCGTTATGTCACGCGTCAAATCATGTCACGCACGCGTGCACAGCAGCGCCAGACCTGAAGTTTCGACTCTCGGAGATTTTCTTGCATTAGATGCCGGGCTGTGCAGTCAGACTGCATTGTGCTGATCTTACAAGTTTATATATTTAAATCGCTGATGAACCGTATAGACAGCATCGAGAACAACCTCACTCCTGTTGTGGACAGAGTGAACAAGGGTACGTGCTATGAGCGTCGACAATCCGAATCAGGGTAAGTCAAAGGTCTAGCCACACCTACGACCTCGCCCGCTCGTCATCGAGTTACCCAAGGCGTCACTCACGCACTCAACAACAAGCAGCCGATAGTCGTTATATTGCGAACAATAACCTAGTTGAGAGGCCCCATGTATTGCACTCCATTGCCGCCACGACTGCCCAGCTATTATTGTAAACGCCGTATACTGACCACATCCAACTCCGTTAATCTAAGTAACACACTCACACTCCATTAAATTCAAGACCCACCTCACGGGTAGTTGCAGTTGCTCGGGAATGTCCCGTAGTAGTTGGAATATGTAAACACCTCAGTGTAAGTGCTGGTGTAGTCCACTGTTACCGTTGAGTAAGTAGGAGAGCCGGACCAGATGGGCCCCGAGTAGGTGTACGTCCCGATCTCCGTTGACGTTGTGAGTGGGTAGTTCCACCCCGTCTCGGTGAACGTTGTAGTCTTGAAGGGACCCGTAGTGGTAGGCGCGATGATGCTCAACGTCTGTGTGTATGTTGTAGTCCATGGCTGTGGGCACTGAGAGTCTACGGTGGAAGTCTGTAGAGACGATTAGCGACAACTTTACAGAAGCGTTTAGAAATGCGTACCGGAGCAGGAACCGCAAGCACGGACCAAGCGTAAAGCAGGGCAAAGGTAGCTCCCGTGGCCACTCTGACAGCGAACATGTTTGGTGGTAGTTCGAGCGGATTGCTGGGACAATATACGAGAAGAGACACCCTTTATACCCTCCGACTGATGCCTAGGCGACGCTCCCAATAGTCGAGGCCGTCATCACGTCGGTACGAATGGTGCCCCGATGTCTCACGACTTTCTAAACAAACATGCGTACTACCTGCAAATGGAGATGTACTACGCGGCAATGCATACGAGACTGCAGGATGCTGCGAACTGCTTTCCAGATTCTATCATGAGCGAGTGGCGAGCTTGTGAGTTGTTTGATGCTTGGCGATCATAAGGTCATTGCCGCCTGGACTGTTTCATACCAATTTAGTCGAAGACGCTGATCTGCAATGTGCATGCTATACACTTCATGATTCAGCAGATGTATAAGAACCAGCGCCCCTCCTTGCATGTGAATGAGCTCGCTGGTCCAGATGCGGCACCAAGCCTGAAACACGGCATTATTCGATCCATCAGAGCTTCGGTGCGGGTGCCTCGACCCAGCGCTCTTGTGCAAACGCAGATCGAGGTCACGATGTGTTGCAGAGACTTTGAGCTACCTTCCTCTGAGTGATGAAACTCGTTGTACATGCATGAAATGAGGCTGGGGGAACACGAACGTACTGTCTCAGGCAGCTGCACGTTCGTAGATTGGAAACACGCCGGTACTTCTGCCCGATCGATCGCCACGACTGACAGGCGTGACGATATCTGAGAGATCCTCTCTCGTGACAACGGGTTCAGCAGTGGGGCAAGTAAAACATGGATATCGAACTCACAGCAAGTCTGAGGTCTGTCGCTTACCATAGAACCCATGAGTACTCCACCGGTGTCAGTAACGCAAATGCATCGAATCCATGCTATAGGTGGGGATCAGGGTCGACAAACACAACATTAGTTTGGTCTCATACCGGGGCGTCTCTGCACGGTGGTGAGGTGCGGGATTTAAAAGTCTGGGTACGAGGCCACATTAGTTCAGCGTCTGTAATTGCGACTGTATACAGCTGGAGGTTTTGCTGCCCTGATCGAGATCTTTGATCTAGGTCATAGTATCGCGCAATTGAAAAGACAGAGTTACGACGCAGGTGGAAATGCCACGACCCATCGTGACGTTTAGTCACGTTGAGATGAGTAGACGAGATGACATCTCGGGCCGCAAACAAAGCGGCGAATAACCGCTCCGTGGCATGAGCAAGGTGACAACCTCGTCATGAGCAACCCGCTGATTAAGTGTTGCGGGTATCATGATGTTTTAGGACGTTGCAGGGATTTCAATATAGGCGGGCAGTGCATCCGATAACAAGCATGCTCAGCAAGCAGATTCCTTGGCCGTTTCAACTATATGATCGTCAGGAACACTGAATGTTGGAAGTTAGCGACCCTCACGGTTTGAGAAGCTTTACTTCTTGTCTTCAGTGTTGGAAGACAAGACTGAACGGGTACGACTACCTGGCCTGTAGAACCAGGCGGGTCAGTGAGCATGTATTGTTCAGTCTGAATCTTTGGGATTATTCAACAGCCGAACAAGCTTAAACAAAACCGAAAAGACAGTTGTGAGTCATTAATCTCATAAGAATGAACACAAACGACTCACTCAATTTAGTAACTAACTGTTGCGGACTGGAGAGCTTGCCTCTGTCCTTAACAATCCACGTAACAAGATTTTTAAGACACGATAGACTGAGGAGGCGAGTAGGGCCTTCGGGGAGGCTCAAAGATCCTGATCAGAGGTCGTCAAGTAGACGGGGACAGTTCCGATTATGATGACTCAAATAGTACCTGCACATGTATTTAATCATCCCGTGACAACTTTGTGGCTTCCTCCATTGCTTTCCGCCTGCTGCCAAACATGAGGTTGACATAATCCGCTCCTCCTAGCACAGGCCCTTCGGCACCATCCTGGCGGCGTTTTATAGCCTTTGCCTTCAGACCAGCATGCTTCTTCTGCTCCTGTGGCGTTGGTGCAGCGCTTGTTGTGGCTGGTTTCGCAGCCGCTTGTGTGGCCGACGCACCCGAAGATGCTCCAGAGATTTTCTTCTACCAATTGGACGGTTTTCGGTCAGTACACTCACAATGACAGCAAGATAATGTTAGGCTCACGGGTCTCTTGTGAAATTTTGCGCTACGACCCATGTTATCAAGAGTCGTGTGAATGGAGGGACATGATGGTCGTCTAGAAGTAAGTCTCGATCGAAAGGAGGTAGCGCCTGGTAGCGCCGATAGTGACTGGCGTCTATTCTGCTGAAATAGTACGAATTCCTCACCACCAGTCGACTCGTCTCGCATCTACAACGCGGGAACGTTGTACAGCATATGCTCTGATATTTCCTCTGTGTATTACTGTGCGAATCATGCCGCAACAAGTCAAACATGCTCGGCCAGTGAGGATGGCCTCCGTTGGGCCACAAATGGTTTCGCAGAAGCTCAGACTGGCTGGCAGGTTAGCAGGGCGCGTTTCTAGTGTTATAGACGTGCGGTCTTACTGGAGTCTAAGGATCATTGCCTATGATGCCAAGGCGGCAATGGTATTGATTGTTGATGGCCAGAACGCTCTCTTCGTGGACATATCGCTCTGTCTGGACCCCTCTCGCGGGATGCCTTGGTTGTGTGAGATCAACAGCATGGTCATCATCATCGGCTATCTCGAAGAACTACAGGTGAGTACTTTTTGAGATACTCCTTTGGAGTAGCACAACTATTGAGACTAAGATATCTATGTAGTATGCGCTACCTCTTCCTGCTCTTCCCCAACACGCTCATGAAATAGAGGTCGACCTGCGTCTGGTTGTATCGGCTCTCTTAATCTCAGAAACCTCCACACTCGATATGGACCTCTGGAACCGCGCAATCGCTGATCGAGAAGAGCTCGCTAATAGACAGACGGGCTGAGCACACGGATAGCCAAGGTCCTTAGTTTTTTCTTCCTGCGATACTTAGATTTCTGACCATATAATTTGGTTGGTCGACGATACAATAGACATAACGTTTGTATTATCCTTATTGTCCACTTGCCACTTCCATACCTAACGTCCAGCAGTCTGAATGCATATCCGAAACAGGGGATTTGTGGGATAACATTCTCAAGGATGACGCTCGAGGGACTACACGACGGCGACAATCCCGTGATTCTCTCTCTCAGGCTGGTCATGAACAGTGTTCGTCTAAACCCCCGCATTTCAGCTTTGGGTGCTGCCCCAGTTTGCGAAGCAGAAATACTACGTCCTGAAGGCAATCGAAAACCCCGTCGCCAGTGTCCCGAGATTAGCCAATCTGGCAAGGGAGCATGGTCGAGCCCGTCTCCGTCTGTATCACCACTTTGTGAATGCTGCTGCGATGCGCTAGCCACTCTTTTTCCGTAGTGACCGGTGGAAAGGCCTCGTCAACCGTGTCCACGGTGGTCCCATGGGACCACTGCCATCGGTAAGCTTCCTTTCCTACGCTGAGCTTGCCAATACGGCATCATATATGCGGCTGTGCGCCCTATATATGCGCCTCGCGCTTGTGATTACGATATGATCCAATTAATCCTGACGTATGAGAGCGCGGCGAGCGACATCCACGTCGTTCTCCCCGCTATACGGGCTGACACGCCCGCGAAACTTCGCGAAACGTAGGCTGTACTCGGTGCATGCTACGGGAGCATGACGAAGGGATAGATAATCTAACACTGCTGGAGTCATTTCGAAACGTATCGCTTCCAGGTGAGTAGCCTTGCGGGTGCGTTCGAGCGAAGGAGTATTGCAGGCTAAGGATTTTCTGTTGGGGCGGGGGTTCATTGTGATGCTTTATGCTCCTTGTTCGCGTGCAATATCTGAGCCGACAAGATCTGCGTGCTTAGATTCCGGCACAGGAAGTATCTTGCAATCGGACGGGTCATTGTCTGATCAAGTACAATCGTTCATCCTAGAGCGTCGTACTGGCACTGCAGCCTGCACGTACCTTGCATGGTCCACACAGAGACCCTTTTGCGTGCCCCTTATGCCAGAGTGCATATACAATGTATCAGAGAAAGACCTCGCGACATCTACATGGCTTTTCATTGGTCACAGGCAGACTATGATTGTTGAAGCTCAAGAATATAGCTCAGACAGCCTCCATCTGACCGAGTCGAGGCATCGGGTAAACAAGGCTTTAGATATTACACGAAATTTTCCTGAACTTCTGCTGTCTATATTGCTTCGGTATGTGTGATGCTAGTGCCAATACATGAAGACGCATTGTGCGAGTTCGCATTGCCACCATGCAATAAGTGTATATGCGCAACTCCAGTCCGATCTGCTGTAATCCGGAAACCCAAAATATCGTTCTAATACAACGCGGTTGTATCATGAAGGGATACGCAGTGTCCACGCAGGGTATATAGGTTTAGATATTGAAGACGCAGAGCTTGTAACGCGCGTTGCGACGTTTACAGTTCCTAGAAGGGAACATGAGTAGAGGGGTGGAGGATAAACCCAAGGCAACTCACGGTCATGGTCAAGTTTCCGGAGAGCAACCCTACGCCCATTTATCAGCATTCCTGTCGGGTCAACGTCCACAAATTCACTCACTGTTCTCCAACACACAGCCATCTGGAATGTCGATACGCTGGCCTTCGTTTGCGACAACTGCGCACATCGTTAGCCGTTAAATCGATACCACTACTCACGAGACGGGCCACCCACCGATTACAGTCCCCCGGAGAGTGACGTTGCGTCCAAAGTACACATCGCCCGTCACCGTCAGATGGTCCAATTCAATGATCTTCGGGATCTTCTTGAACCGCTTCTGGAACTGCGCGATCTTCTTGAAGTGGTCGCCCAGCTTGATCACCGGTGTAGTCCCGAACATGCGATTCTCGTTGATGACGAGCTCCCCATGCTCGAGTGAGTAGATGTCGGACTTGATGAGCAGCAGGTCGGAGCAGCTCTTGACGGGCAGGAAGCGCGAGCGCGGGACGTTGACGCCGTGTGCGTTGCGGAAGTGCTTGATCGCGGCACCAGCCGCGGTCTCGAGCTGAACGACGGCCTGTCCGTCGTCTGTCGTCTTGGGATTGACAATGATCTCGAGCTCCATGCCCTCGGTCTCCATGATGCGTTTGAGCGCTAGGTAGCCGCCATCAGTTTCTTGCGCCGCTTTGAGTCGGAATACACCCACCCTTGAGGTTGATCCACAAGTTGTTCGTGTTGAAGATCTTGAACTTCCGCACAGACTTGAAATCCTCGACGTGCTCTGACGGCACCTGCGCGATTTCGAGCAGCTGGATGTTGCCCTCGTAGTCGATGAGTGTACCACCCTGGACGTCCGGAAGGCGTCAGTTATAATCGCTTACGCGCCATTCAAAGCCCATACCTTGACGTCGGCTTTCGTCTTATCCGTGACTTCCATGATGAACTCTGCCTGCGAATCCACCATGTGCTGGAGGATGTTCTGGTCAACACTGCGAACGCGTCAGAACCGCGGCTTCGACTTGCAGCGTCGAGCACCTACACAGCACCGAGATTGTCCGAATTGGACACGAACAAGTACTCCTTGCCCTCCGCGAGTAGCTGGTCAAGGACACCCGAATGCAGGAGCGCGTTGTACAGGTCACCGTGACCGGGCGGGTACCAGTGCTTCTTGTCGTCGTTCGCGTTCTTCGGGCACGGCATCAGCGTCTCCTTGTAAATACGCGGGTACCGACTCTGGTTGAATGTCGTGATGCGCAGCTGCTGGTTCGCATACTTCTTGATAATTCGCAGTGTGTCCTCGTGCGTGTTGAAGGACGTCATGAGGATGAGCGGCACGTCGATGCGGTGCGTGGTGTTGAGGTGCTCGATCTGGCGCACGGTAAGATCGAGGAAGGTCATGTCGTCCTTGACCTCGAGCGCGGACTTTGCGCCGGTCATACCTGCATGGGTCTCAGAGTCAGTATGCGTTCTGCACCCACCAGGCAAGGCACGACGCGAGGTATCCTACGTGCTAGCGCATCATGGCCACATTGCAGACCCCGCACGCAGAGATGACGGCATGCTATATCGACATTGCACAGGGACCGACTTACCCATGGAGGTACCGAGACCGCCATTGACCTTCAGCACGGCAAGCTTGTTCAGCAGCTTCGGGTCGATCTCCTGCGGCAGCTGGTCGTACGGGACGATCTGGTCTGCGCCAGGGGACTTGATGCGATCCCAGTCGCTGGAATGCGTCGCCCGTAAGCGTTCCGAGTGAGATTAATTGTGGGGGACACGCACAGCTCCTTGCTCTGCGCCTTCTCTGCGAGATAGCGCGTGAAGAGATAGAAGAACGACTGCATCTCGGTGTCGAAGGCCTGCGCGCGATTATAAATAGATTGACCGCGTCATTCTCGCCATCTCGCGTACCTTCTTTGTCGCATGGTCTGAGACGGTGTTCACGAGCCGATTCAGCTCGTTGCGCATGTTCTTGGTCGCGACGCCTGTCGTCGCGCTCTTGAAGTGCTGTTTGCGGCGGCGGCGGCACGCGTTGCGGATCACGGCGGTCAGTCGAGTCATTATCACACAGATGAGGGGGGGTACGCAGAGATATGAAAGCGGAGAGTGGCATGGTGCGGTGCGCAGGCGGGCCAGGAGGAGACATACATACCATGGCAGACACGCCCCTCGTGCGAGGCGTTTTCTCGTTCGGCGCGACGAGCGTCGCGTCCGACTTGTTGACACCGGTCATGCCGAACGTGTTCAGGAAGGAGGACATGGCGAGCTGCGCGTTCGTGCGGGCTGTGGAAGAGGGGGACACCGTACGCGATACTTGACTCGCGGCGGGCATATATCCACCCCGCGAACGCGTGCGCTTAGCGCGGCGTGCCCATCGATTGGTTCACACCAAGGCTTCCCGTGGCCATCTTACAACCGACAGTCGCGAGCGGGCTGGAACGCGGTGGGGGACTTGGGTTGCAGCCAAGGCACAACAGACAAATGATTCATGCAAGTATGTTTATTCGGAAGAACTATGGGCGTATTACAGGCGATCATGACATACAGCGACAGGACATGCCAATCGAATCGTCCCGCGCAGGTTTATTCAGGTCCAACGCGGTCGAGAAAAGAAACATACTCAGGAACCAGAGACTTACAAAGAAAATGGCGGGAAAACTATCCCCAGAAGACAGCCGGCGCCCTGTCGATTACTGTCAAGGTCGGACCGAGAGGGGCAAGGAGGACGTCGATGCTTCAGATCGAGTCTGCGATACTCACGCAAAGTGGCCAGGCCAAGTCCCTTGTCCTTCTTCCCGTCCACACGGATCGATTCTGCATGTCGATGCGAAGCCACCAAAGTAATCACCGCCAGGACACGGACTAGAACGGAGCAACGGATTGCCAGAGCAGCGGTCGCAAGGCGGGTGGGTGTTACAGACCGCCGCGGCGGAGAAGATAGCCTGAGGTAATGCATTCGCTGCACACAACACTCTGGGTTACCAAGCAGTGCAAGCAGCAGAAAGATTATGAAATACACGTGGAAACAAGGGAGAATGTCCTGGTAACCTGCCATATTAAATGTAGTCGAGTAGTCGCGGCGAGATCCAGGCGCGGTCCAGTGGACACGGATCGTCTCGACGCCCGCGTGGGACTGGGATCTGTTGCGAGGATATTTGTGTGGCCGACTGATGGGTGGCCAGAGCGGCGGCTGTGAGTGGAGTCGGTCCTTGTTACAAACCTCGAGAGCAGACGAGACAAGGGTGAGAAGAAGTCTGTGCAGCCGTTCCATACACCGTCGTGAAAAGCGGATCAAGATGGTACCTTCGTGTCAGACGAGTCCCACACTGGCAACAACAGCATCGGGGTGGTCTCACAGCGAGCTCATACCGAAACAGCGTATGAAGATCGTCGCTAGATCAAGGGCAGTGCAGCGTCCCTTCATGAAAATATAAGAGGGTTCATTTCGGAGCTTGGCGAGCCGGCGCCACGACAAAGCGACGAAGCTGAAGTTTTCAGAGCACTAGGCAGAGCATAAACGCCAGGACATAGAGTTAGATCCGGGGACACCGTCTGCGTCTAGAGGCTGTTCAGGCGAGTCGCCACAGGGTGCACAACATCTGTCGGAAGCGTATCATGTCCGTTGTAATGGTTTCCTCACTGGCAGATGTATGGAGCGCAGGACAGGATTTGCTGTCAGGGGGTACCGAAGCTGATTGGGCTTGCTCAGGACACTGAGTGTCGGGAAAACTGGAACATAGCGACGAACAGCTCGTTGTCCGCGATGCGGTCAAGGACTGACGCTACGAATGCAGTGGCGCGCCAGTGGCTGAGTGGCGGGACGACCGGTCGGACCCCAAATGCGATCAAACCTTATTCTAGAACTGTAATCACACACATCCACGGGTCTGTAGTGCCTTCGGTGCCCCAGCCTCAAGCCTCAAGACAACGACATGGGTCAGTGCTGCTCGTATTTTCTATGATAATAAATGTGTTGCTAACGGACCTGTCTCTTCTTCCGCCCAACCGTTACTTGTCATTGAATGTTGACACTGTATCGTTGCGTTTCGTTGATTTGGGCGTACAAATACTCGGCGACATGCAGGTATCTCCCGTAGTTCTCGGCACAAACGCTCCGCCACGGGGGCCCAGCGCCCCCACTACCGCAAGAAGAGAAAATTCGAGCTCGGCCGTCAGCCCGCAAGCACGAAGCTGGGCCCGAAGCGCATCCACACCGTGCGCGTGCGTGGAGGCAACCTCAAGTACCGTGCACTCCGTCTCGACTCCGGCAACTTCGCATGGGGCAGCGAGCATGTGACACGGAAGACGAGGATCATCGGTGTCGTGAGTATATAGGGTATACTCAATCTGAAAGCAGCGCATGCTGAGCGACGCGGATAGGTGTACAATGCGTCGAACAACGAGCTTGTACGAACGAACACCCTCGTGAAGAGCGCCATCATCCAGATTGATGCGACGCCCTTCCGCCAGTGGTATGAGTCTCACGTACGTCCCTGCATTTTTCAGGAGATACAACAAATCTGACCTGGAACAATATGTCCATTCTGGGTTATAGTACGCGCAGCCTGTGACGAAGCGCGGAGCGAAGAAGGATGTTGCCCCTGAGACGGCAGAGGAGAAAAAGCTCTCGAACCATGTCCAGCGCAAGCTCGAGGAGCGTAAGAAGGGTCAGTAGTGGCGGTGCCCTGTGCCTATGAGTGTGTCAGGCTAACTCATCGTTGGTATGCCCAGATGCGAAGGTCGACACGCTGCTGGATACGCAGTTCGCGGCCGGGCGATTGTACGCCGTCATCAGCAGCCGGCCGGGACAGTCGGGGCGCGCAGACGGATACGTGCTGGAGGGCAAGGAGTTGGAGGTGAGTTGCCTATCTGGGTGTTCTTTGGTATTGCAGTGGCTGATCAAGCGACGGGTACAGTTTTACTTGAGGAAGCTCAGGAGCGGCAAGCAGAAGCACGCACATGGAGCGTAGAGAGAGGCGCTTTGGTATGCTGTATCTGCAGCGAGCGGTGGCGGGTGGGAGCGCACGCATGGGAGACACGAAAACTACTGCACTATGCCCGTCTCGATTCCGATGCTTTTTGTGTTGTGTATGACCAAGTATGAGCTTGCCCATGTGAATGTGATGCGCGTGCAGTGTGAAAGGCGGTGGCCGCGGTGGCGACGCTGAGAGGGGAAACAAATGGCGAGCGCCAGCAACAGTGGTCCTGTGATGTCAGAGACCAAAGCAGGCAAGCACAGCAGGCCACACGGCCTCAGCGGTGGCACCCAAACGGCGTCTGTCCGTATAAAACCCGCCGGCACGCGACAGGGGTCGTTCAAGACGCGTGCTCCCAGCGCTACAGCGTCTCCCTCGCGTCTCCTCTCTTCTGCCGTTCCGCTTATTCCTTCGTCACGCTCCGCGACGTTCACAGTGTGCCCCCGCCGCTGTACTTTCCTGCTCTCTGCACGCGCCGATACGTGCTGAGCTCAATGCCACAGGCAGCCGCGAGCGCCAGCTCGTCGTCCCGCCACCAGGTATGGCGCCCCACCAAGGTTATGAACATGCGCGACCTTTCGCGCGACGACGACTTCCTCTCCCACCTACTCGTCGAGAAACTCGGTACCGGCGCTGCACCCCTCGTCGTCCATAAGATGGACGCCGGCCGCACCATCCCCAAGGCCAACCCCGACTCGCTGATGCAGATCGTCAGAACAGTGAGCACCCCTTTCCGCGCCGGCGACGCTCGCGGAGCGTGCTTGGACTGACGGATCCCGCGATGCACAGCTGGTCACTGCCAAGGGGCCCCCGCAGGCCGCGATACGCGTCGCAGTCGACGAACTTCTCACGTATGTCGCCATTGTCTTCTATTCGTTACGTATTCGCTCACCGCGTATTCAGCCTCCCCGCCGTACGATACTACCTTAAGGGATACGACCAGAAACAAGTTAATGCGTTTGCCACGTATGCGCGTTCGTTATATCGATGCACTGCCACTCATATATGCGCCGTTTCAGGCATGCCTCGCGTTATTTCGAATTATATCTCCCCACAGGCTCTATTGAGATCGCGCATACATCGCGCTATTCACACAAGACTGGAAAATCCGAACTATGCATCCTCGCGACGCGCCCGCTCAACACAGGCACTGTCATTACAGAGTTGAAAGGGTCGATGGCCGACCTGACCGATGAGGAAGACATGGAACTAAAACGCATCGACGCGACGTGTGTCGATGGTGTGCAGATCCGAAGAGACTTCAGCGTCATTCATTCAAAGCAATTGAAGAAAAACCATCTTTTTTTAGGCCCGGCGCGGTTCGTCAACGTGAGTCTCTTTCTCGGTTCATTTGCCCTAGCTCCACTTGTGCTCTTCCGGGATGCGAAGATATCCGACTTACGTCCTTCCTTGCTTCTGTGACGTGACAGCACGACTGCGACCACAATGTCGAGCTCTTCCGTGAAGGGCGGTACATCACTTTCCGAGTCATCAAGCCCATCGGAGTTGGGGAGGAAGTCACCGCGCACTACGGAGATGGCTACTGTAAGTGTTCCGTCCACTTGGCTTCCTGATGCGTGCATGGAACTGACACTGCCTGATCCCGCAGTCGGCCGGGACAATCGACATTGTCTCTGTGAGACGTGCGAAAAGCTCGGGCGGGGCGGATACGCTACTGACGCCGAAGACGACGAGGCCTCCGATTCTGGCCCAGGGTCGCCGTTGCAGCCCCGCGGACGTCGCGCTGCCCCCAGTGTTGACTCGGACTCAGACTCGGAGGAAGAAGAGGCTGTGGTCGTTAACGTGAACGCACGCAGTACGCGGCGCGGGGTGTATGCGGTCGTGAAGGACAAGGAACGCATCAAGGGAAAGGGCAAAGAGAAGGCCGCGGCGTCTGAGCTCGTGGAAGGTGCGGAGATCGAGCTCGAGGCGGAGGTCGAGCAGGACATCTCGTCGGACCTGACGTCGCTCCCCCCGTCGCGTTCATCGGCGCCCGTTCCCCCCTCGAAAGGCAACGGACTTATGACACCAGAACCGGATCCTCAACTACAGGAATGGCTTCGTGGCGTTGGCGCAGAAGGCGCATCTGTTCCGTCCACGCCGACGAAAGGTGGAATGCGCGGAGCGAGTACGAGCACGAGCGTGCTGTCGACCCCGACAAGCTTCCGTTCCGTGATCGCGACGCGCGCACAGAAAGCAAAAAAGGCCGCGACCGCTGAGGATGATGTTGCGGAGGACGAATTACCGGATGCCAGTGCCAGTGTCAATGTCAGTGTCAGTGCAAGGGGCTCTGGACGTGGACGAGGCCGGAGGGGCAGAGGCAGAGGATTCCGTGGACGAGGCCGTGGTGGACGCTCACGAGCGGACATGGATCAGCCCCGCCAGCTTGAGACGCCACCATTGACGGCGGAGTCGGCGTCGGTGTCCGTGGCGACGAGTATTCGGTCAAGCTCGCGCATACGCTCTCGCGGCGGGGACGTCACAAACCTCTCGCGCCTGACCACGCCTGTGCCAGTCAGCTCGTCCCTGTCTAGAGCGGTCGAGCCTACTGGGCGGAAAGACAAGGGCAAGGAGCGCGCGAGCGAAGAGTCCGAGTCTGAATCTGTTTCCGAAGATGGAGAGGACGAGCCGGAGCCGGAGCCTGAGATGCGGACATTGCGCCCGCGCGCGTCGCTTCACGGGCACCTGCTCGCAGCGCATGGATTGGAGCACCCGGTGATGGAGCGAGCAGAGGCGCCGCGGGGCGAGGATGGGAAGCTACTGCCGACATGCATAACGTGCCGGAACGTGCTACCAGTGATACATGTAGAAGGCAAGCCAGTGTGGGGGCTCGTGCTGGGACGGACGGGCAAGCGGGGTCGACCTAAAAAGAACATCGAGGCGGAGTGCCCTAGGTGCGTTGTTTTCCTCGATATATGCTGTCCCTATTGATTTTCTTCTTTGCAGGTGCCTGCGCCATAGTGAGATATACGGTCTCAAATGGCCAGAGCGTCGTCCTGGTGACAGGAGCAGTGCATTCCTTCCTACACCACGGGAGACGCGCAATTCCACCCCCATTACCCATTCCGCTCTTGCTGCTCTTGACCGCAAGTTGGCATTCGCAAAGCATGGATATGCAATGCCCAAGCGGCCTTACAAGCGCCGCAGGGAAGTTGAAGAGACTGAGGACGGCCCACCTGCCAAACGCGCCAAACCCATCGATAAGCCTGCGGCGACGAGCACAGGACGCCCGCGCGGCCGCCCTCCAAAACATCGAGTCGGAATGTCGACGAAGGCGAAACAATTACTCAAAGTCGACACACTCAAGGTTATACCCAAGGCTTCCCCTATTAAGGCTAAGGCGGCACCGGTTGCAAAGGCTAGCGCTAGCACTAACAGCGGCCGGCGCAGTGGACGCACGCGGGTTCCGAGCATCAAGCTGCGAGAGAGCGTACCCCCCAGATTGCGGTCGCAGTCGCGGGCTGGGCATAGCGCGAGTCGCCCGCCGACTTCCTCTTCGACGTCTGCGAGCGGTTCATCCTCCTCTTTGTCGGGGCCGGAGACTGAAAGTGTGGTGGGCAGCCTCATGGAGCCACCTAGTACTCCTGTGAAGCGAAAACGAGAAGGAGAAGGCGAAGAGGACAGCCCGAAGGTCATGACTCCTAAGTCGCTTGCTGTGGCGGCCCAGCCCCGAGAGTCGAACGGCCGCTTCGGGAAGAAGTCGCATACGAACGGGCGGTTCAAGCGGAATAATTCTGCGCTATCTGGTGCTGGCAGGCGCTCTCGACAGCAAAGGGCGCTGATGCGTCTGCGTCGACTCACCAAGAAAAACATCAGTACACCGAGATGTGACAACGAAATTCATCCTGGATCTGAAGGCAGCTCTTCAGACTTGGTTACTTCGGGAACGTCAGACGAGGCGAGCAGTCTGTCACGCAAGCGGCCCATAGAGGATGAAGGGGAAGACGAAGACATGGCTGAGTTGTCTGCCAAGAGGATTCGTATTGGCGAAGATCTCGAGGATCTTGATCTCGATGCTGTCTCCGATGGAGATCAAGATGAGGAAGAGGATGACGCTATGGGCGATTCAGAACCCGAGTATATGTTCCGTCCAGCATTGTTCTCGTCTCGAGGCAACTCTGGTGCAGGTCTTCTTTGTGCGCCAAATCCCATGTCCTTCGCGCGCCGCAAATGGTCCGTTACCCCCATCATCTCGCAGAACTCCGTCGATGGCGGACAGTCTTCAACAGACGATAATGACACCGACCTGCCTCCCACGCCTGAGGACGACCAGGATGCGCCCGTCGTCAACGCAGAAGAACTCGCGGAGCAGCTGGAATGCGCTGAGGATGAGGATGGAGACAGTGAACATACCATGTCTGTGTCTTATTCACGTCCTATCTTGTCCGCGCCTGCGTTGGGAGGCAAGTTGCTGAAACCTTCTCCTCACAACCTTGCTAGGCGCCGTTGGGCGCCGCCGCCGCCGCCAAAGGTTCAAGAAGAGAGAGCCAATGGGCTCCTCAATCGTTTTGGTGATTTGGAATATCCGTATACTTCCGACGAGGAGGACAACGATATAAGAGGTCCCGCGGAGGGGCTATTGGAACTTGCTAGGTCGCCGAAGTCTCCTATACTTGCTGCAAGGTCAAGTCGTGCGTCGACCATCTCCGATCTTAGTGCTCCTGCTGCACTGTTGGAGCTGTCGAGGACACCGAAGCCCACAGGCCCATCCTCGAATTCCCGCGGAATTTCCCTTGGATCAACAGGGTCCACCGGCAGCTCAGAGTTGGTTGTCGAACAACTAGTGAGCATGTCTCCTTCGCCGCGCCCTGCATCTTTAGGTTCGCCTTGGTCAGGGTCTCCTCGATCGATTGGCGGTACGCCAACGATCCAGCAGTCACCAAGCCTGCCATGGAAGCAGATTTCCATCCGGGAGGCTGACATTCCTTATCTGAAGGACCGCTCTCGTTCATTCTCCGCCAACCTACACAGCTCCCCTGTGACTTTCGAGCGTGCACGATGGTGTGATCCATCGTCTGAATCGGACTCTTCATGAAGTGAAGTCGAACCAAGATGTATTCCTAAGTATCCATAAACCCGAACGATGGGACTGACCGGTGGATGATGCTCTGCCATGTACTTCTTATTGATTCCTTATTGTACTATCACGATGTTCGACGTCCTACCTTATTCCCCACTCGTAGTTCTCCTTTGTATGTTACGTAGTGCTTCGCTCTTGGTGGCGACATGTAATCGCTAAACAGTCGGTATAGCCCAGAAAACAGAGGATTTTACATGCATTCAAGTCGATACCCATGTTGTCATCATGATCAGCATTATGATAGTTGAAATTATCGATACACTTCATGCTCTGCTTCTACTGCTGTCCTTCAGGCTTCAATGAACTGCGTCCTGCTCGGAGAATCTCATCCGTCGACAGTAGGTTGACTGCGATCACAGAACTAGAAGAAGCACCGGAATGAGCATCTTGAGTGATGGAAATGCAAAACACGAGCACATACCAAGAGTGCAACATTTGCCTTTTCACGCGGTAATTATCCCAAATGCCTTCTACGGTCGGATCGACTGGCTCGCCCGACTGCAGATCCAGGCCGACGACGTTGCCTTCTGCTTGCTCTTCCTGATATCCAAATCATCATCGTCAGAGCGGCACGGTCGACGAGCGCATATACACACCTGCAGTGCCACGACGACATCCTGGACATCAAACCCTCCGTTCGCCGCGAGAGTCTTGGGGATAACGAGCAACGCCTCCGCGAACGCCTGCACGCCCATCTTCACGCGGCCCTTCGCGCTCTTCTTTACGGGACCTGTGAGGTGCGCCGCGCACGCAACCTCGAACGCACCTGCGCCGGGAATGAGCGCCTCGTCCTCAACCGCGTTCTTGACCGCGCGTAGGCCATCGCGCAGTGCGTCCTGCGTCTGCTGGATCGTGTGCGGGTTCGGGCCCTTGATGAGCAGTGTGACGCTCTTCGGGTCCTTCACTTCCTCGATAAATGTGAACTTCTCTTCGCCAAGCGTGTGCTCGTATACGAGACCCGCCCACCCGAGGACGTCGGGTGTCAGGTCATCAACCGAGTTCTGCGCCGCACCGCCGCAGACGAGCTGCAGCCTGCGAGCACGAGATTTAGCGTTCATGAATATTAGCTACTAACGTGGTGCGCACCGCTCCATATTGCGCCGCTTGGCACGGCGGAGCGCAAAAATGCCGTTCTTCGCGAGGATGTCCAGGCTCAGCGGGTCAATGCCCTTTTGGTTGACGATGACGAAGTTCTTTTTCTTCTCATTCGAATCCACGGCTTGGTCGCACACAAGATTCTTCAACTCAACGACCTTCTTGACCTTTGCGTCCGTGAACCGTCGCTCCGACTCGACGAGCTTCTCTCGCTGTTCCGCAGACGAGTAGAAGAAGCCAGAGTTGACTTCACTGAAAGTACGGATGCACATCAGTCGGCGAGCGTTCAAATTGGGTAATCACGCACGTCTTCTCATATTCAAGACTGACGTTCAGGGTGAGGATGAAGGCATTCTCGATGCGTTTTGGCATATCGGGGTGCCTTGCGCCATGGTCGAGGACTAGACCGCGGACGAGCTGCGTTTCGGAAGCTGTTCGGTGCTGCATTTTCATGATCTCGATCATGTGCAGATCGATGGGTTCGCGGAACAGGCTGACGGAGTCTAGCCGGAACATCAGCACGGGATGAGCGTAACAGAGCGGTTTAATTCGCACCTGCGGATGGAGGTGGTGGCCGGATGGTCAGGACAGCATCAACAACGTCTGCGGCGAGCTGCTTAGCGAGCGCTGGGTGCAGTTTTGTTGCAAGAGAAGTGTGCGCGACATTGATAAGAGTCGCGCGATCGAGTTTTGACGGTCGCTTGAAGCTGTCCAGGAACTGCACAACACAGTTCAGCGAGAAGGATGCAAATAAAAGAGCATGAGCACGCACTACCAACGCCTCCTTCTTCGCAAGGTCGAAGCCCTCCGCGATCACAGTCGGATGTACGCCTTCCGAGATAAAACGGTCCGCTTGCTTTAGGAGTTCTCCGACTAGAAGAACTACCGAAGTCGTCCCGTCTCCAACTTGGTCGTCTTGTGCGACTGCCGTACGTGCGATCATGGCAGCTGTGGGGTTTTGAATCTGCATCTCGGAGAGCAGCACCTTGCCGTCCTTGGTCATTTTGATCTGCCCGGCACCGTCCACCAGCATCTTCAATGTTCCTCTTGGCCCTGCACATCTATTAATATCAGACATTTACGGACGCGGCAAAGTTTCGCGACGCACCAAGATTGCCTTTGACCACGTTCGCGAGCCCCATTGCGCCGGTGGTGTTCACCTGCCCTACGTATTCGTGACATTGCAAATGACAAATATACACTCACTTACCTGCAGCGCCGCGGCGCGGCGCACGCTCTCCGCCTTCGGATTGATGAGCTCGATGCTGGACGACATGAAAAGTATCGGAAGATGCACGCGTTGTGCATCTCTCTCTAAAACGAGGCGCCCATGCAGAGGCAATTACGTAATAATGCGGGTCACGCGTGTACGCGACGCGACGGCGATCGCAAGTGGCGGGACTGTGCTCTGAACGTGAACCACGACGCGGTCGCGTTTTGTTGCCCTGCGGACCGTTTTCTTGTGCTGTATGAATCGCAGGCGGGATTTCTGTCAAATAACTGCATACTCACATAAGTTTACGCAAGACAGTCGAAGAGAGTGAGCTTAGCAAACGTGAGTGTTTCTCGCTCACTTCACCACATCCAATTGGTCTCCACTAACATAGGCAACACGCAGGCTCTCCCATTTTTGCGACTCCTTGGGCGCAGAATGCAGCGATGTCAGTCCATTCCAGTCACCATCAATCCACATACAGCGTCCTCAGCACAACGCTACCTCCTTCGCACATCTCCCTCAAAACAAGATAAACTACCCGAGCAGAACGAGTCCGATCTCCTCAAGGCCATCCGTGCAACATTGCGAGGCAGTCGTGGCAGCTCCGACTCCATCATAAACTCAGTACGCTACCCCTCCAGCGACGACAGCAATGGGCACCGACATCCAACAAGTCCCGAGACTGTCACCGAAGACGAGCTCATGTGGGACACATTTACGGTGGTACTGAGCTCAGGAGGGATTATGCGCAAGAAATGGAGCTTTGAGGAAGAGGGGCAGCCGGTGCAGTGGGCATGCATGGGCTGGTTCGAGCAGCCAAGCGCAATGTCAGGATCGTCTTCGCTGCGGCCGGCGCACTACACGTACGACTATCATGAACAGTCAACTCCTGCAGCGGACTCCTCTGGTCGACCAGCCTTTGGCCCCTTTACTCGAGCCCAACAAGAACATAAGCGTGACCAGGAGCCCGCGACACGCGCGCGTGCCGTATTCATCTTTCTACGCAGCATCGGCAGGGTGTTCCTGCTAAACGGTGTGGACTATACTTTCCACCTCCCGTTCATTGTGCGCAGGGCATGGCCACTGAGTCCGCACGGCGTCATTATTCAACGGATACTGGACGCCTCTGAGCTTGAGGAAGCCAAGGCCTCTGGCGACACTCCGCTGCCCACTATCTTCACATTCCTTAATCCATTTGCAGAGCCCGGCGCTATGGGCCTCACAGAGAAGATAACGGGAGGCTTCCACTCACTGCGTCCCTCGGTCACACAGGACGAGTCGAACAAGTCGCTGAAGACGATCCCCGCGGAGGAACACATCCTCTTTGTATCGCAGCGCGGGCCAGACTCATCCGACGACATTGTAGTCACCATAGATGTGGGCAAGCGGCAGTTTTCTGTATGGCGCTACGCATTCATCAAGCCGAAGGATGTCGCCAGTCAGACGGGCAAGGTCGGCGCAGAGCCTGCGGTAGGCAAACGGATGCCCTCAACCGCGTCGCCTGTGCAGCACCGCCGAGTCACGAGCGCTGCCATCGGGACGGCCGAACAGCCCATGCGACCAGCGGCGCCTGCGCCCGCGCAGGGCCCACCTGCCGCGCATAATGTGCAACCAAACCTGACTGCGCCGAAGTCGATGGCTGCCGTAGTCGGTGCCGGTGCGATTGCCGTGGCGGACACGGACTCAGACTGGGGTGTGCAGGGCCGGGACCGGCGGAACTCGCTCAATCGGCACGAGCTGAGCCTGACGATGGACCGGATGCCACTACCTGGCGGACGGACCGATAGAGATATCGCAACTGACCCGGTCGACAGTGTACGGATGCAGGCCGCGTATTGGATGGAGAGACTGTACACGCAAGAGGTCTCGGAAGAGAAGTACGCCTGCAGTCTTTCCCCCTCACCCCAGCCGCTAACGGGAAGTGTAGTGCCAAAGCGTTCAAGGTAATATCATGCGGGCTATTTGACCAACGCTGGGATGGTAAGGAGAACCGCTCCCTGCTCGGTATCTGTACCGCCGCCACCCAGACGCTATACATCATTCGTATGGCGAAGCAGGGCGACAGGATGGTTGCAAGGAGCGAAAAAAACCTGGCAGCAATAAGCGTTGCCTCCGTCCGCGCAACACGCGAAGCTATTCGCGACCTGCTGATTGTCATTCCAGACGGTTCGCTAGGCATCCTGACACACGGTCTACAGTGGCTCCCCTTGGTGCTGGTACGACCATCGGAAGATAATCCACATGCAGCCTTCGATTATAATGTCCCGCAACAGCGCCCTCCCAAGCCTCAGCAGCCCCCCAGCAACAGGGTCGTTGCAGTCCTGGAAGTCGTGGACTCGTCTGGAACGCTCCTGTTCGCGGATAAGTCCAAAGCGCGCGTCACAATCGATCTTATGCCCCGGGACTTACTCACTCGCCAATGTCTCTGGATGCTAGCCATGGCTGTCCCATCGCCAGTCTTCTTTGCGCTGCATGCTATGTATCTGGATAAGTGGTCCCGCCGTGGCCGTGAAGCCTCTGTGGATGCGTCCTTCTCCGCATTCTCGGAGGCCCTGTTTGAGTTGTTCAGGAAGGATCCTCTAGATAAGGCGTCCGACACCGCAAACGCGAGCGACGTACCCAGCGACGTATGGCAAGTGCTCTCAAAGACTGCGTCGTCTTCTCGATTCCGTGAAGACTCTGTCTTGAGGAAGTTGCAGCTTCCTCCGGCTGTTCGCGCTGCAGCGCCGCCAAGATTGGCAGATAAATCGAACCTGTTCTTAGGACAGATTCTCGTGGCCCTACATCACGTAGCAGAAGACATGCGGCTCATGGTTCATAGGTATCACGAACTCCTCAGGCTAGTCCCGGTACTATACCAGATTGCTGTGACTGTCCGCCCCGAGTGGGCGGATTATTGGAAACGCTTATGCCCGACCGCCATCGAGACTTGGCCGTCGCCAAGCGAGACCCGTAAGTCCTCGTGAATACCGTTCTGTCTCGCCCTATCTAACGAACGCAGTTATGGACTACGTGACTGACCGCCTACCTGTGTGGCCGCCGGACGCTTCTGCCATTCTCTACGGACGCATCAACAACCCCGACTGGAACGCGGTCCTCATCGATAGCCACCATATTGCGCACGCGCCAGGCTCTGACAGCCCGTCCTTTGCCTTTGGCAGCTCTGAGCCGTTGACGCTCATGCGCCAATTGACCGAAGTATACAAATGTTTGACAGATAGCAAGGTTGCGGAGGGGCGGAAACGCGCTGAGAATGCTCTTAATGCTATGGTGAAGGCGCAAATTGGGCTTGATGTGATACAGCTACTGCCGCTTGGTGTTGCCGCCCCTTTGCGGGAGGCATGCAGGACCTGTCAGCTGGCGCCAAGCGGAGATTGGCCGATCTTCGCGTACAATCTCATCGGCCGTAATGACCTTGCGGAGGTCATGAGCCACTCCGCTGGAATAGTGCATAGCCGCGGATATCGCCCCGCAAGGGACTTCGTGGTGAGTAACCCTTCCGACAAGCAGTTGTCTATGACGGTCTCACTCCGCCCTTAGTACCCTTCCGTTATTCGCAAATCTATACACCAGCACATCGTGGACACCCAGAAAGCGATCACCGGCGAGCTTAGCGTCGTATCCGGCGTTGAGCTCGACCTCGACGACTTCACTCAAATACGGTTCGGCCAAGACAAACGTTTAGAGGAAGTTGGCCGCATGCTCTGCTCATCCACGGTACCAACAATTCGAGCGCTTGACCGGGCGGACCTTAGGTCAGTCCTCTCGACTCGTCTGCTTCTGCATCATACTGATCGGACACGATTATGTTTATAGTGAACATGAACAGGCGAAGGAGCATCAGCACCAGGTCATCCGCCTCGCGGAACGAACTCTGGCGCTACCCCTGGGTAGGGCACTCTTCACCTTTGGCTCCGTGCCCACCGTAACCCGTGAAGCATACGCAATACCCAACATTGAATATTCTGTTCGGCTGCAGCCGATGAACACCCTGATGACCCCAGAGTCTGGCAAGATCCCCTACGAATGTACTAGCTGGGGTGAGTTCCACAACGGCGTTGCTGCTGGGCTACGCATATCGTCTCAGTCAAGCACGGTGGAGAGTAGCTGGATCAAATTCAACAAGCCATCAGAGTTGACACCAGAACATGCGGGCTTCCTATATGCTCTGGGACTTACGGGCCACCTGCGCGAGATGCTGACTTGGCACACGTTCGGCTACTTAACCCCGAAACACGATATGACATCGATAGGTGTTCTCCTTGGACTATCCGCAGCCAACGTTGGAACTAGTAACAAACATGTCACGAAGTTACTCGCGGTACACACCCCTGCGCTCCTGCCAACTCCCAACGTCGACCTGAATGTACCCCTAATCACTCAGACCGCGGGTCTGATGGGCATCGGCCTTCTATACATGGGCACGAAGAACCGACGTATGGCTGAGGTCTGTCTAAATCAGATCAGCCGCAAGGATCTTTACCAGCCCGACCTCAGCAACGAATATCGTGAGGCGTATACTCTCTCAGCTGCCTTGGCATGTGGAATGGTCATGCTGGGCAAGGGCACGGCTATCCCAGCGGATTTGGCCATTCTTTCGCGCCTTCGTGTCCTCATTCACGGCGAAGGACACTCTTCTCTCAGTAGTCAGCATGTTCGTCCAACATTCGACATCAATCTGACTTCTCCTGCTGCGACGATTACCCTTGGGCTTATGTTCCTGAAGACAGGACGTCGAGATGTCGCTGATATTCTGACAATTCCAGACACGCTTCTAGCTCTGAACAGTATCCAACCAAGCTTCTTACTCCTGCGTATCATTGCCAGATGTCTTATCCTATGGGATACGATGACTCCGACGAAAGAATGGTTTTACGCACAAATCCCTCCTGCCATCCTGACCGCAGTCCACGCAGGCGCACAGGGAAAAGCTGTCGACGACGCATACGAATTGGCGTACTACAACATCTTAGCAGGACTCTGTTTCGCAATTGCCCTGAAGTATGCTGGAACCGCTAGAGAAGAGGCGTACATCCTGATCATCCAACACTACGACGTATTTAGTCAGATAGCGTACACGAACAGTAAGTTCTCGTCATGAGTAGATATGGATCAGACCTCTAAGTGGGCTCCTACAGGTGCCGCTTTCGACCAGAGAATCAAACGTGCAGCCATTCGTGATGGACTCAACCTGATCTCAATATCCCTTAACATGGTCATGGCCGGAACGGGTGAGATCAACTGTCTACGCCGACTCAGGTATTCTTACGGGATGTATAATCAACCCATCCGCTATGGCACCCATCTCGCAACACATATGTCTCTGGGTCTACTATTTCTGGGCGGTGGTCGCTTTACTCTCGGCACGTCGGATGCTGCAATTGCATGCATGGTCATCGCTTTCTTCCCACGGTTCGCTCATGTCTCTTCTGACAACAAGAGCTATCTCCAAGCATTCCGTCACTTGTGGGTGTTGGCGGTCGAGCCAAGGTGTCTCATTGCGCGTGATGTGGATACCAAAGAGGTCGTCTACCTTCCTGTCAAAATCAAGGTCAAGGACGGCAAAGATGTCGGAACCACACAACTCATCTCCCCGACTCTAATTCCTGACCTTGACAGATTGCTGTCCATCAGGGTTGACACACCTCGCTACTGGCCCTTCTATTTGGACATTGCGAATTATCCACGACACAAGGAATCCCTCTTGCGCAATCAGACGCTCTTCGTGAAACGACGGACAGCCTTTCTCAGTTACAGGGAGGACCCCAAGGGTAGCCGAAGTCTCTTCGTCCGGTCAGGCTCCTCTACAGGCGATGCAGCGACCCTCGACTTTCCGCAGTTGACGGACGCAAAGGCGCACCCTGCCAGTGATCTCCATCACTTCATCTCGTCATTCTCCAATGATGTCTTGTTCCTGGCATTCGCTGACCGTTTCTGCCGGGACGATGGCGAGACCAACCAAGAGCGATTGCTGCATGCTTACTGTCATGCTAGTCTCATGGACAGCATCTTACAGGATAAGGCACAGACCATACAAGCCCACCTCACGATACACCGTTTCCGCACGATGTCTTCTGGCTCGCAATACTTCAATTTGCGGATGCAGGATCTTCGCTTCGCTACGGACTTCTACAGCAAGATCTTCGATAGACGGTTCAGCGGGAGAGCAGAGAACAACCCGCGACCACCACTCATCCGCGAAGGGTCCTTGTCTGGTGCAATGTTCGCCCTCGATAGCCAGTTGAACGCTATTCGGGATAGCCCAGCCTTTCTGGCGCTTCTCGCTCGGTACGCGAATGGAGAAACAATACCAGCGTTTCCGGCAGGGTCACCCGAAGAGACCATGTGCCGTCACTTGGCATGGTACCTGCAACGCAACAGCGTGCCTGTATCTTACATTCTCCTTGTCCTCAAAAGACTGGCTAACCGGGCGCACGAACAATGCCTCGGACCACCACCCCCAGAGGGCACGTCGAATGCTGCAATTCTCGATCTTGGAATCAAAGAGGTCCTACATGCTACCGGCACTCAGATGACGACAGCAATGGGATCAGGATGGTCGATCCGCTCTCTCGACGAAATCATTGCATCATGGAACAGCACGCGTTAATCAAAATGTTACTCTCGCCGGACTCACTGTGTACTCGTCTGCTAACACTAGGAAATTTGTCTCTTGCATTACCTGTAGCCATACCCATTTGTATTGATACCTCCGGCTTTGCTGAGATTCGTACTGCGAAAATCTCCTGACTGCGAGAAGCATGACGTCCACCGTTATTCAAACCGTACTAGAGTGCGCCACAGTGACATAGTGTTCATTCATTAGTGCTGGGAGGTCATCAAGATGCGGTAGCTTGTGTGAACTATCCTATGCCTGCTCTCGGGGTTTAGGCCTTTAGGACTTGTGCCCGTTGTATAACTAGATACGAGAGTCAGGCCAGGCTCTTAAAACCAGCCGTCCGTGAGTTCACGCTCCTACATTTTAAAGCGCAACTTCATGTGAGGGAATGGTAACTAGTGTAATTATGTATACCGTGATGAATGGTACTTACCATATATTATGTTTAGGATGGACAGCTACCTATGTTGGCTTGCCTTCGAGTCAAGGTTGCCGGATGGTGATTGAGCTCCTGTTACTTCCACAGCGGTAGGAAGGAGTCTGGGCTCACATGCGCGCGCAGAAGAGCACGGATGAGAACGTATAGGGGGTAGATCGCTAACTGCGGGAAGTCCAGCTTTTCTGGTCTAGTCCGCGCTCTTGGGTTGTGGAGCTGCTTTCGACAGATCAATTCAGTGCGCATGAACGCCGACCTGCTCAGACGTAATTTCCGCTGGTCGCATGATCATTTGACGACTCTTTTCAGGCTCGGAGGTTGTGGTCAGCCGTGTTACCGAGGGTATTCCATTGAGATGTTGCGTCCAACTACAGGTGTATCAATTCGACTTTGAAAGGATAAGTCATTTTTTCGTGCATTCCCTGCATCCCTGGTTTCATATATGTCAGACGGCCATATATCAATTCCGTTGGCCCTGGAGTGCGTCTGAATATAAATACCATGGTTCTCATGGCTGCAACGTATCGCATCTCAACGAGTCCCTCATCTCTCGCCGGTTTATACGTTGTACTCAACGAAACACCAAGACCGCTGCCTCCAGTCGCGCGCCTAGCTCCACCGTAATTGTGCGTTATAGTCGGCGATGAATCGTAAACTGACCCGTTACCGCACACAGTCCCTCCGAATTCCACAGTAACCGCTAAACGTTCTCCTGTTCGTATATTTCCCGGTGAGTCTTAGGCTTCTCGCATTTGCAGACAATACAATGACACCCAAGCGCTCTATCCCGCCGTATGTCACTGGCTTCATTAATCCAAGGTCGTCTGGTGACGAGGTGTACATCTTCAAAGACGATAAATATGTCTTGATCCATTTCCATACGTCCACTTTGAGGGACACTCTTCTGTCTGGACCTCATTGCATCACAGACGATTGGGTGTCGTTGAAGCATGTAGGCTTCTCCTGCATCGACGCGGCCATCCCCAATCCGAGCACCCCTAACCAGGTCTTCTTCTTCTTCCAGGACCGCTACGTCCTCGTAGAGGTCTGTTCCAAACCTGGCGCCCACGACGACAAACTCATCGACGGACCGAAGAACACCCTCATCGAGTTCGCCAACCTCCAGGGGCCCCAGTTCGGGACTCCGGATGTCACGTTGCAGATCGCCTGGCCGGCTGACGACGGCTACTACTGGGTGTACTTCTTCAAAGACACCGAGTGGCTTCAATTTAAGTTCAAACCTGGCGCGGACGGTCATGGCGTGAGCGTCGGGGAGAACGCGTCGGGCGCGAAGGACATCGATAACATTTGGCCATCACTGAAGAAGTCCGGGTTCGAGACGGTCGACATGGCGTTTCCCAAGCCGGGAGGCGACGGACACGAGGTCTACTTCTTCAGTGGGACACAATATGCAAGGATCTGGTATCAGTCTGGTGAGTCACCGACATACAGCACAAATGCCACCTACTGACTCTTTCTCCGTCGAAAGGCCAATATAATGACGAAGTCAAATCAGGCCCACACGACATTGGAAGCTGGTGGCCTTCGCTTCGCCAGGCAGGCTTGTACTAGAAGAAGAGTTGGTCTCTTTCTTGCCCTCACGCGATAGCCTTGTATCACCTCACGCTCATCTGGCCGCGGTGAACCGCATGCGCTGGAGAAGTTAGCTACGTCATGTACCGAGATTGGTTGTAATATATTGCCATGCTACCATGTCCATCTTCTCTATATGCGCAGGATTTGTCGGATGCTCTACCATGACCACAATCTTCTGGCCCTTTATGTGAGGCCCAAGCGGATGCGAAGCGATTTTCCCTCCGCCGTGATATGCAGCTTGCCTCCGCAGCCTGGCAGTTCATCGGTGTCCCACTGCCAGTATTTGAAGTAACCGAAGCCTTGGACCTCTTGGTAGTGTTTATGATCCAATGCGAGGGGCTACTTTATGTACGCTTCACTGGATTTGAATACGATGGCGATGAGGAATTGGTAGTAGCGGGCAGCGCGAAGGACGACGGTGTAGACGTGGACGACGGCGTTGTGGACGAAGTTGCCTGTGAGGAAGGGGGGAGGACCCGTCCGCGATTACAGTCGCACTGGTAGGACTCTGCCCAGCACAGTTTCGTCATGTGCGGCCATACATTTTGTTACTGAATAATATGGCTTGTAAGGCCAAAGCACAAAAGAGAATGTTGTGGCATTGGCACGTGTATGCGCTGCTCACTCACCTGTGCGGGTATCTTACGACTTTGCGCAGCTCGTCTCCAACGAGCTTCCCTTGAGGGATTGTCAGGTCCGCTATGCACTATGAAACTGGACGTGTGGAGGGTGTGCCTCGAGGGCCTACACGATGCGTAGTAGGCCTTGAGGCTTGCTGAGAGTGCGTCGGAGAGCTTTGCGTCTGTCTGGTAGTCGGTGGACGCGATCATGCCTCGTCTACCGCTGGAAGATGCGTATCTCCCGTGCGCACCTCCGTCAAACGTGTCGGTCTTGCTCTTCCCAAGGTGCCCACCGACTGCTACACTTATCTGTAGCCTTCCACTCCTATTTTGTGAATGTGTAGCGGAGAGACCAGATTGTCGCCGCATCTACGGGGTAGCCTACTTTCCAGGGAAAGAGCACACCACCAGAGCCACCGCGGCGTCTCCAACAGCCACAATCTTAGCCACAAAATATGGGCGGCAATCATTTGATGCACTGTCAAGGTCTCACATAAGCACAAACGTTCTGACTGGTAATCAAATTGACTGGTGCCCAAATAACAGGTTATTTGGAAAAGTTCGAGCAGCGTAAATACTAGTGCTGTCTGCCTACGTCTCCAGAGCCTGGAAGAACATCATTGAAGTCATGGGAAGAGTCCGTGACCTGGCGTATGGGTGCCACGAGTCGCACATATACAGGATAGACAATACACGGTTCTCACCACATTCGCAGCGTTCTCAACCTTCTTACCGATCATCATTGGTCGAATTAGAGTCAAGCATCTGACGGGCTTGAATTCCTCCAGACCTTCACCGTCCCGTCGGCACTTGCAGTGACGAGCTCGCCTGGCTCTACTGGATGGTGCTCTACCCAAGTAATCACCTTATCATGCACTCGTGGCGGAGGGTTCGGCTGCATCGGCGCGGCCTGGACACGCCAATTCAAAGGTCAGAGATCCGACAAGACGAGGAATGAAGAGTAGACACACGTCGAGCAGGTCCCATGCCCACACCGTCCCCTTCTCATCGCCGCACACGACGCTCGCCTCGCCGTGTCCGAAGCACGCGCGGCAGCGATACGACGAGACGGCATGCCCAGTGAAGTCGTTCAACATTTTTCCCGTGGACATGTCCATCAGGCGCACGTGAGAATCAAGCGTAGAGACCAAGTACGTCTGGCCGTCCTGCGAAGGCACGACGGAAGTTACTGGATCTGCTGGAATGTGAGGCAAGAGGCAACACGAGCGCGGCAAGAGGGAACACACGTCCAATGAAATCTGCGCGCAGCTCGCCCATGCGTAAGTCGTAGGTACGCACATGGCCGTCGACGGACCCGGTGAGGATGTAGGTGGGTCCGACATGGAGCGTCTGCACGGAGTCACGCGCGTCTTCGAGAACTTGGATAGCCTGTCGGTTTTGAGAGCTGCGAAAGCGAAAATGAGGAATCCTTATGCCGAAAGGTCAAGTAAATCACGTACCGGAGGTCCCACAATCTGACTGTGGAGTCATAAGAGCCTGTTGACGGGCCGGTGTTTCAAAAACCGTCGGAAGAACTGAGGTAGGGCAAGGACGAACCGCTCGCCACGATGCTGGCATCCTGGTTAAATTCAACCGTGAAGATTTTGCTCATGTGCCCTGCTATCCGCCTTATGGTCGTGCCCGTCACGACATCCCACAGAAACACAGACCGATCGCCTCCCGAAGAGGCGAGCTTACTGTTGTCGTGCGACCTATCCAGCCATCAGCTCTCGACCATGACACGGTCATAGGAGCCAAATCTCGCACTCACACACTGATGGACAGGACCTCATAGCCATGTGCAGCGTACTTTTTGATTTCCGTCCCCAACTCGGGGTTCCACAGGCGGACGGTGCGGTCCTGGCCTCCAGTGAGGACATACTTCGCTGTGCCCTTTGCATATCGGACAACGTGAACCGGCCCTTTATGTCTGTCGAGCGTGAAGTGGAGGTTGCGCGCTACGGTCGTCGGTCCGCGCGACGGCGCCATGGTGGTCGGTGACCAAGTTCAGCATCGGCGCTACATCTGCAGGTAGCGCCGTGACGCACCTTGCTCCTAATGCGGCAAGTGAATGGGAACAAAACCTCTGGGGGGCGGTATACTCATTGCAGTTCATACGAAGGTCAATTCCAAAGAGAAAACGTAGTAACAGTTACATGTAATGGTACACGGATTATACAACGAACAGAACAAACTCTACAGTCATCTATGCAACGAATATCCATAAATCACACATCGAACCGCCACACCCGCACGCCTCCGGCGTCCGCACTAATAATCCTCCTCTCGTCGAAAACAATGCTACCCTTTGTCGACAGCGCACCCCGCACCCCTAGGCTCTCGATTTCCTCTTCTTGACTCGCCTCAAAGTCACTCGATGCCTCTGCACCTGTCCCGCCCTCGAGGTCCCACACCCACATGCCGCCGTCCACTCCGAGGCTGACACAGCGCCCGTCCGCAAGTGCAAGTGCGGACACAGGACCAACGTGTCCATGCAGATTGCGTACGAACGTCAATTTCGGCGCTGATGCGACGGACGCGGATGATGGGAAGTATAGGCGGTACAGCTGCAATGAAGTCGCCGTGTGGAGACTCGACGAGGCGTACTGCGGCGTGCCCGATGGGCTCGGAGGAGCAGATGGGGCGTCGGAAGCGAGTAGCTTGTCGCTTCCTAAACGAGTCAACAGGGGGTCGCCGGGCGCAAGCACGACCCACTTGCCGTCCGTTTGCGTGTCGGCGACCCGCGCGACCTTGCGGTCCCACTGCTCGCGCACCAGACTCATCTTCGTCTCGTCCATCCAACCTTGCGGAATATCAATCGCGCGCGTGGTGCGCGTGCCCGTGACGGTCATGCGATCTGGGGCGCGCCCGGAGATCATAAGCTCGGTCGCGCCGACGCTCCAGTGTGATGGGTAGACCGGTATCGCGTACGCAACGATAAGCTTGTAAATTGACGGGGACAGCACCGACAGCACGAGAGAACTGGGCGGGTACGACGTGAATGACATGAGCGTCTGCGTGTGCGCGACAGTGTCATTCTGGAGGTCATATAACGAGAGACGGAACGATGACGACAGCGTCACGAGAAGCGGGTGGTGGTATACTGCCTGAATGATGGGCGATGCGCGCTGGTTCCTACCAGTGGGTACGTAGGTGAGAATCTGTGACGAAAGCGAGGGCGTGTGGTGGTTGACAGAGAATATTGCAAATTCTCCGATTTCCAAGAATGATATCAGTCGTATAGTATGGGCAGATGATGGGGGCGACTGGTCAAGTGCGAGAGTTGTGATCCGCGTTGAGACTGTGGGGTTCCTGGGTGGACAGCGGAGAGTGTATGTCTGGTGGGTCGGCAAAGAGAGCGATATGACCGGACATGTCGAAAGACAAGTACGCGCCGAGATGGTCAGGCTGCCAGCGAGAAGTAAACATGTACCATTATCGGCATCGCTAGCATCCTGCTCTGGAAGAGGTGCTTTCGCAAGTGGCCGTTCGATCGAGGCGTCAAGGGGCGCTACGGAGCAGCGGCCTGTAGGAGATCTCAGAGTACGACATCTACACATGGTCATAATACACACCTGTGCGCCAGTTAGAGCTGATCCGGAACATCCACTTCCAGTCCTTCACTTCCTCCGACTTAGCTCTGCCAGGCAGCGGACGGACCTCTCGTCCGTCCATGCGCCCGATGAAGCCCCTGACGCCACGGAGCCTCGTGCGGCCATACTCCTTCAGATACAGCGCTTTCCACAGCTATCCGGGGCGTTCGAGCATGAATTCTGCGACATGCATGCGGGTGAAGAGTGTGTATGTACCTGATTGTCGAGCGAGAGCCGCGCCCAGTTGCGGTTCGTCGACTGAATAGAGCAAAGGTCTGTCCAGGGGAGGTAGGAGAAGATGGAAAGGATGATTTCATCGTAGAACAAAGTATCGAATGTCGGTCGCGGATTGTGATCAGAGGGGCTTGAAGACAAGGCACCGTGCAGGCGCTTCGAGGGTGGTAGGGAGGCAGGAGATAAAGGTCGTTTCGAATGCATGCTAGCTTCCTCTACCTGGCTTCTAGGACTTGAATTTCCTGGATAAGGACGACTGGGTAGTTCCCAGTTCAGCGTGGAGGAAAGGCTCAAGAGAAATATGCCCTGTGAGTCGGCGACGTTGCCTCAGAACGGCAAGATTTGTCAGCTAGTGACTCAAATCTTCCTCGACGGCACGTAACGCAAAAGCAGGATCTCGCAAAGGGCTTCTGAGCTAGACGGCGTAGTCATTCAGGATTGCGTCCCGGGAAATATTGAGACTGCAGCAGTTAGAGTAGAATGGTAATAATCATCATTATTGATCGCAAGGAGCCAACTAAATGATCGAGCTTCGAATGTGGCAACATTGGGCGCCTATTAAATGCATAGTGGTACTAAGTACACAGTACTTTGAACGTACTGCAGCTATGTAACTGCACAAGCATACATCATATTTCTTATGTGGCACATACGAGAACCCGGGGAGCCGCACAATGACATGAGCCAACTTAACAGTATACTTGCACAAAGAGGGCAGGGCAGGTACTTACTCAGGCCGTCATTGCACAATACAACTAACAAGAACACTGTATCCTAGTGCCTAACACAGTGAAGACGTGTCAACTCTCAAACCACAGAAACTTAGACCCAGAGCGAGGCAGTTCATTTCGCGCATGCTCCACCAGCGTGAGTCGCGTATGCGAGACCGCTTCTCGTAGAACTCGACCTTGCTAGTGGTAGAAAGCCTGCATCAATCGGACACAGGATGCTGGAGCGCCAGGCGCCATATAATTCCAGGCAGATGTCGCGTACGCTCGACCACGACCAGATACTCGCCGACGGCACCAGCGCCCTTCTCCTTGTGTATTGACATCGCCACGCGGTGATACCGTGACGTCTCACGCGCCCGGTATCGATATTGGGAGCACCCACGGAGATATCGGCTGGGATTGGATTACCTTCATCATATCCAGCGCGTCTGGGTGTTTCGTGGGTGCGCACCATGCGAGGTTAGGTCGTGAACGTTCCAGCGCTTTTACTTTGACGCAATGTGTGATAGCCGATATGCTCTACACTTGACGGTCATCGTTGTATAAATAGTCATTGCACGAGAGATATCCTCATCTTGAGCGGTGGCGAACAAAGAAGCCGAGTTTCCTCTTGCAGAGACCGCAAGCCATGAATTGGGACCCTCTGCTTTGGACCGAGCATCGCAGTTCTCGCGGCACTACGCCGACCACGAGCACTGTCACATGCTCCAGAAACCGTGCGGTCGCGAAGTTCATTGTATGCACGGAATCCGGAAGATCGCGGACGCCCGCCTTCGTGTTAGCTTCTGAATATTAATAACTTCGCTGTGTCCTTCTGTGACGTCGTGGCGGGAACTTACGCAGAGTTAAGTCGGCGGGCCTTGAGCGAGTTTGTCTCCTTGTGGCCGTAAGGTCGAGGGTCCGAGACTTCGAAGCAAATCCAAGTGCATTACTGTGCGTAAATTCACATTGCCGGTGAATGTTCCGAATTGAAGTCGGTGAGCACGAAGTCAATGCGCGATTCCAGACGTTCGCGTGTGAATCAAGCCTGTGTAAAGATCAAGTGGGCAGCAGGGACAATGGCAAAGTCGAACTGCGTAAGACATGCAGATATAACCGAATAACAGGAGGTTGAGGATACGTATCCTGGACACAAGCGCACATATGAGCCACGGCTCAGATGTGCGCTTCCTCGAGACGAGCAAAAGCAAAAGCATGCCTTGTCCGAGATACACGATGTTCGTATAACTGTGTACACATCTTGACACCCATAGCAGACAACGCAACGTGCCTATTGGATTACTCAGGCAGTTATCGGACTGCCTATATAACCTGGCACTAAATATGTCATTCTGATTGAACCATGATGGGCAGACGATCTTACATGCGCCTTGTTAGTTCTCTCCTGACAACACCTTGATATTTCTGAAGCTGTTCGATGGTGGTTCAAAATCTGATTGTTTGGAAGGTTTGAAGCTCAAGGTTATTTTCCATTTCAGGTCAGCCGTTTGATGATGATCAACTTAATTGATCCGCCTGAATCGGGAAAGCCGTTACCCGTTTCTATCCGTCACTCTGACCTCCATGCGTGCGATGCCCGTCTTGCTCACGACTATACACCTTCGACAAAACTCTGATAACCAGCCCAACGAGTTGCAGTGAAAGACCCACGCTGCTCGATACCTAGACCTGCACAACGAGGCTCACAGGATGACGTGAAATTGACTTCTAAGCGGACGTTTGCGCCGTTCGGCGAACACTCATTCGTATGTTGGTAGACCCGGTGCCGATGACAAACCGTACCCATAGCTTCAGGACCAAGCCTTGGCTTGATTATCCTTGCATGACAGTTGAGGCTGTGCTGTTGCCAGTGCTACGCGGGTGGGAACTGCAGCCTTACACATTGCATCGTGCAGGAGCACCTCATGGATACAACGACATCGGGAAGAACCCCACTCCGCAAAAACATGAGTGGACACTCCATTCTGGCACCACATCTTACGAGCATTTTGCGCCTCCGTCTTCCCACCGTATGTCTTCCATATGTCTTATCTCCCCATCTCGAGGATATGGTGGACATAGGGGGGCGCGCCTTGCCTCCCGGGGATCCCATGAGAGGGTTCCAATCTAGCCAGCATCGAAGGAATTCAGCCGATTAATGCCCCGAGGCGAGGTTACTTGGAGATTGGTCGGCGGAGCTGCTGGTCACCTCAACGCCCACTCTCGCCTCCGGATACGAGGACCTTGTCCGCTAAATTCGGGCATTCCAAGTGTCACTGGAACATCAATGGAGAACGCTTGCTCTCTATAGGTTCACTCGAGCGTCGACATCACCGTTTAGCTGCGATGTCATGCCAGTGTTTTGGTGTGTTCATGAGATCTTCCCAGGCCTTCCCAGATCACTGCTCCAGACGACTGACTCGTTCCCAGCCTGGAAGTAAGCTTATCGCAGAAGTACACGTAACGTCTGGACCGCGTCCAAAGATCTTGATCGCGGTGATACGCTGCTGTGAGGTAAAATGGTCTTGTGCCAGTGGATGTCATAGATTTGCGAGGTCTATTGCGGAGCCGTACGCATGGGGACGGTGTCCTCGATTCTCACATCGATGGTGAGTCTGTGAGCGGCTACAGTTGAACACGCCCCGTCCCGGAGGCGCGAGGTTATTCTGCTGCACCTTATGAGAAGCGGCTGGATGTATGATGCAGCTTTCGGACGCGTTCTGCATCCGAGTCCCGTGTCTATTATTGGATGTCCATTCCGTCCATATTTCAGAATTCTTCTGCGGATGTAAGTCGGTTGTCTAGCTGGTGAGTGCCTTACGCGGGCCGAAAATCTCCTTTGTCATCACCTGGGTTTCGACAGAATTTGTATGATACTGACTGCACAGCTCCACAGGAACATGGGCGAACATCGGACGGGCGAAGCATAGCCCATCGTACGAGTGACGTTCTCGACATATCGAAGGATACACGATAAGGGCCTGTTCGGTGGCCAAGATCGAGCTTAGCTAAGGCAGCTACGCACGGGTAAAAGCCGCTTCAAAACCTGGGAACCACCAAGGCCCGAGTAGACCGTCGCAGACTGCTTTCCTTTACACGAACATTCAATCTTTACGAGCCCTCATGTTTCCAGTGTCGTACGCCTTGATCGCCGCATCGCTTCTGGTGCTCTTCTTGTACAGGAGGTCCAATCCAGTATGTGCTAGCTCTCCCGCGAGACTTTTAAGCGTTGTCGCTGACCTCATTGTCAGCTGTATCGGATTCCTGCTGTCGGGTATTCAGCTCCCTTGTTGTCATACATTGGGGCGATACAGTTTATGAGGCATGGCCGAGAAATCCTTCAGGAGGGATATGCGAAGGTATGTTGCCGTGGCCCTTCGTGGAGTCCAAGACTAAAAACCCCGACATTAGCACAAGGGATCGGCATTCAGAATTACAATGCTGGACACTTGGGTCGTTATCCTGTGCGGTGCCAAGTTGAACGAGGAACTTCGCAAGCTCCCCGACGATCAAATGTCATTCATACATGCCATTGAAGAGGTAAGGCTCCTCCCCTGATCAAGGAGCAAGCTTTCATCTGATGTGCGCGCTTCAGCTGGTGCAAACCAAATACACTATTGCTCCGAATGTCATCGACATGCCGATCCATATTGCGGTTATTAAGGGCCCACTGACCCGCAACATTGCGAGTCTTCTGCCAGATGTCGTTGACGAGATTCGCGTTGCCACAGAGGACTCGATTCCCATTCACGGGGATGGTGCGTGCAGAGCGCCAGCAGCGAATATGCACTCGTCCGCTGACCAGTCGCTAGAATGGACTAGCGTCCCCGCACTCGATACGATGATGCAAATCGTTTGTCGTGCTAGCAATCGTGCCTTCGTTGGCCTACCAATGTGTGAGCGTCAACTTCGACGTGCGCCTATCTTTTTCGCGGCGCTAAGCGATATCACAGGCAGGAACTCTGAATTCCTCAAGACGGTGCTTGAGTTTCCTCGCAATGTGGGGTTGGCGAGATTCACCCTTGGGCTTGTCCCTTCGATCTTCAAGCCGTGAGTATTCAAATCACAGTCTACGGGGCGGCATGGAAATAACAGATCTTGCGCTTGTAGGTTGGTTGGACCATGGCTGCCCTGGCCTCGACGGTCGCTCCGCAAGTTCTCAGCATTGATGGAGCCCGTCGTAGAAGAGCGGCTCCGGCTGCTGCGAGACCATGGCAACGACTGGTCCGAGAAGCCTGTGAGTATTGAAATTGAACACGTCGGGGCCGGAAATGACGGTATTCTAACATCCAATTCGACTTCTTCGTAGAACGACTATTTGACTTGGCTGATCGAGGAATCCCGATCCATCGGGCAACCACTCGACCTTATCGTCAATGCGATGCTAACGTCGAACTTCGTTGCCGTGCACACGTCGTCTACCGTATGTCTATTAGTGGTAATGCTGTTCCCTCGGTGATAGACAATTTTGCAGAGCATCACGCACGCTTTGTACCATCTAGCAGCCAATCCGGGGTACATACATCCCCTCCGGGAAGAGGTTGAGAGCATTGTTCGGACTGATGGCTGGACTAAGCCAGCCGTGAGCAGGATGATGAAGCTGGACAGCTTCTTGAGAGAGTCTCAGAGAATGAACGGGATTAGCGGAGGTATGTCGCTCTTCGAACGTTTGCGTGCTCTTGTGGATGATTGACCACGAGCTTTTAGTCGGGGTCATTCGCAAGGCAATGAAGGACGTCATCCTATCTGACGGTACCGTCATACCTGCTGGTACTCTCTGTGGAGTGGCTGCAGAGTGCACACATCTTGATGAAGACAGCTACGATGACGCGGCCGTATTCAAACCATTCCGATTCGCGGATATGAGGGAGGACGAAAGCGAGCGTATCAAGTATCAGTACGTCAATACGTCCCCGGAGTATGTTGCGTTCGGTCACGGGAAACACGCATGGTTCGTGCTCTCGAAAGTCTCTTCTTCGGGTCGAGCTCACGCACTATCCATAAGCCCGGGGCGCTTCTTTGCGGCGTATGAGCTGAAGGTTGTTCTTGCTATACTGCTCATCAAGTACGATGTCAAGCTTGAGGGCGACTCTGGACGACCCTCAAATCAATGGCGTGGCGCGTCCATCCTTCCTAACCAGAGCGCGAATGTCATGTTTAGAAGACGTCAAGGACTCCAGTCGGCTTTGTGACAGGCAAGCTGCAGCTTTACAGTGCTTTTCCTAGATTTTAGGTGTATACATAGTGTATATAGAGTGAACTGATGTATTCCGTGATCAGGACGATTTTTGGTGGTCTGGCAATGTATGATAACTACCGGAGTGCATCATTGATGTCCATGTCGTCGGTCTGCTCGGGCCAGCAAGATGCAACGTTCATCTTTGATTTAGCTCAATAGCTAGTCTCCGTACCTCGGATGATGACATCCTTGAGCAGCGGATAAGGACTATCTTTATAGCAGCGGTAATAGACAATACAGTACAGTCAAGACAACCGATGGCCTGTCGCTGGAAATACTGCCCAAGTTCGGTACTATAAGCCCGCTTCGCAGCCATCGGTGGCAGTGGCGAGCATCCACGCACAAGCTTTCAGAAGGTAAGATAGATGACATAGCACGCAGGAACCATCAACACGATGGCTAGGTATAAAACAGTAGCAAAGACAGTGGAAGTGCGTGGAATTTCTTCCCATGAACCCCTCATATCCAAGGCGAATCGACGCCGTCTAGCATCTCGTTGTCAAGCGCTTGAACACCTAATACTCGACGAGGGGATCCGCATCAGGCGCGCCTACTTGGGCCAGTCCCTGGGAGGGAACAGTTGACTAGTGTTGGTGACCATCGCCCCTTTCGAATTTGTATCAGCCGCTGCTATCCGCCGTAGCACGATGTGCCATACTGTGCCGCCCTGTTCACGTCTAGTTGTGCTCTTTGAGACGAATAGCAAACATTTCACAGCGGAATACGGGCCAAATTTGCTGTCTAATCGCCTCATCGCCTCGTTATGACCGGTTGAAACCTCGGACATCCCATCATCAATGAACGTGCTTGGACCGCACCTTTCATTTTCACCCGAATTTGCCGCTTGCGAGAATAAACTTCTGTTGTATACATGGGGGTAACCGGTAGCATGTTCCACTAGAGTGGGCCTCATTGCTTGTTGTGCTGACTGGCGCATCCCAGCAGGTGCTGTCTTTCCATCACCTGTATTTCCTATGACCCATGCTCGGGGGAATGGAACAACTGTAGGACGCGTAGGAAACCGGATAAACTGAGGGCAACAGGTGGCGTGACGCTCGGATTATTGCCTTTACGACCCGCACGACCCGCGGGATTTTGTCTTGCGATTAGTCGCATCCGAAGTTGGAACAGACAGAGCGGTCTTGCCACACCAAACCACCCCATCAAACGCAGATAAAGACACCTTAGACACGGGAAATATGGGTGTTTGGTGGATGCAACCCTAGCAACATCTCCAGCACAGCGGGGCCTCAAGCAATTGTAGCTTGTTGTAGCTTATGACCTGGGAGCGGCAGACGATCAGACACAGATTTGGCTAGGAAGAAACAATATGCACCAGTCGATCCGATTCTCCTTTCGCTGAGCACTGCGCCACGACCCCACAGCGCAAAATGCCTGTGTTGAACCGGTACCTTGAGTGACGCGAGGGAAAATGTGAGAAAAGCATCCTTTTTCTCTGAAGGAGTGACCGCCGTGTGTGATCGATTCACGGCGCAAAACCGTTAACCAAGTGGGAGAGACAAAAGTCAATTTAGGGAAGTGAGACAAGCAGATGTCAGAACAGTAACATTATATATATGACCTCCCGAGTCGCCGTGACTAGGTTTATTTGTTTGTTTCCTCGTACCTTTGTATTCATTCATCACCAGAGGGACATTACTCATCTCCGATGGCTAGCATTTTTCGTAGACGCGAAGTTAGAATGATAGACGGTAAATAAAGGAAAGTTACCAGTGGTGTGTGTGTCCTCTATTGTCTTCAGGGCCGCGTTCGTAAGCATGGATCTTCAAGTGAAATCTGAACCACGCTAGGTGGATTGGGTACAAGCTTGCATACCGCATCAGACAAAGAGTTCTCAATGGATACTACTTAACGATCAAGATGGTACTAGCGCTCATGAGTATGAAGGAGTGCTCGCGCAAGTCCGAGTCGGCTGTGACAAGTGCCCGTCCACTATTCAAGCTCACACAGAGATTGCATCTCCAGAATGCTCTATGCGCCGCAGACAGCGAGTTAAATCAGTAATACAACCCGTATAACAGCTCGCACAGACAGCGACGGATGCACTGCTTAGTACTTACTTCCGCCGAGCATCGGCTACATGATTGGCTTACGTAATCTATCGACGCGCCACGCCACACAGGGCCACAGGCCACATCTTGATCGGGCTCTCAGACTCTGCAGCGGGCATTGATCGTACTCATGAGTATATATGGCCGGTCAAGTTCTGATTATTTTATATTCGAACATTCATGTGAGCACGAGTTTTGATCCGCTAGACTCAAAATACAATTACTAATAAGTTACGAGATCGGAGAGATCGTGTCTGAAAGTTGCTCGTCGCATCAGCTCGACGCTGGGCGAGCCGCAGGGGCAAAACATACCTGAGGGGTATGATATTGGCTGGACGCACGCCACTGAGGAGAGGATATGTCCATCGAAAGCCGGAGGTCGAGCTCGAAGGGGCGTCGCTTGGTGGGGTGGCGGTCGTCGACTCGTATGCTGGAGCCTTCAGCGTAATCTGATTTTTGCTGGCGCTCGGCGTACTCTCTTTGACGAGCGGACCTCGTTTTTCTTTCCGCTTTGTGCCTCACAGAGGGGGCCTTTCGCCTCTTCCACGTCCGTAGCCTTACGCTTCTTGCCGCGCAACCCCATCCGAGATGCACCACTTGGTGCCACCATATCATTTACGGCCGTGCTTGACCCAAGGCCCGATGGGTTTGTCGTTCCCGTACCTTGTTTGGCTGCTTGCCGACACGATCTGCGCACAGGCACCGGACGCCCATCGACTGTTACAACGTGCGCTTCATCATTTCCAGCCATTGTTGATAGCGCTGGAGTGGAGGCATGCAGCTTTCCATGAGCAGTGACCGGAATTCCAAGCTCTGGGGAGCTGCCGGCTTTGATGATGCGCCGAACGCCGCGGGGAATGGTGGCCCGCTGGGCGGCGGCTTCAGCCACCGCCTTGCGCGCCTGGAGCCTGTCCTCTTCATCATCGTTTTTTGGATGTGCCCGATTTTGCAGCGGGAACTCGAATGCTTGTTGACGATGAAGGTGGTACAGCATTTGTTCGTTCCCCATCCAATACGTTGGGGAGGTAATGAGTGGTATCTGGTGGTCTGAGATTGAGATGATGAGAGCGGGGACGAACGCAGAGAAAGATGGCACTCACGTATCATCTCATACACCACCTGTGCGGAGCGCTTATCAGTCGGGCGCCCCCACAGCGCGAAATGTGCGGGATGGCGGGGGTTCTCGAATACCCTGAGCGCTGCCAACGCGAGGATACGGGCGCTTTGGGTCTTGTCGAGCTCCATCTCGAGTAGCCCGCTGACGCCTTCCACTGACCCTAGGCGCTGGATTGTCTTGGGTTGTGGTGACCAGTAGTAGGTCGGCCGATCCTTCTCGTTCTTCATGATTGCCTCGTAATATGCACGGGCGAGGGCGTCGAGATATTGGCTAACCCATGGATGTTTAACCGTGAAGGTGCCATCCGAGAGCACCCCCATGGAGATTTCTCGTGGTGTCGAGCTAGGTAAGTTGGCCGAGGCGCAATCCTTGCAGCCGTACCAACACCGTGCGTTCATTTCTACCTGGTAAATATCAGATCGAGTAACAGGATTTGTGGCTGAATTTGGTGGATATGTAGTGGCGATGATAGAGCCAGACGAGTAGGCGCAAAATGCTTTTGAGGAGAAAGCCAGCGAGGTCCACTCAAGTGCAGGAGCGGTCGCAGAGAAGCTGTGAACGGAGGGCGGATCGAACACAGGCGGGTCTTTTGTATGCACCCACGAAGTGTGGGGAAAGTCCTGGATCACGCACGACCACATGTCGCGTGTTTCCTTTGTACTTCTCTTTGTGCGCTTCATTATTGATCCCCTACTCCATAAAGTACAAGGTCTTTGATGGGGGTCGGGCCTAACTGAGATGTAGTGTGGCTTCGCCTGCACGCTGACCTAATATCATCGACTAAAATGACGACGACGATGACGGGAAAATCACCTTCGAGACACATTGCTCCTCGTTTATGTCTACCTAAGAAATACTGAATCAAGAACGTATTGTCGGTTTGATTCTCAAACATCAATCCAAGCTATTATCCACAGCATGGATGCAAAAAGAGCACAGCGAGAGGACGTTATGGTACATTGTCTTTCTATGAGTTGAGATGGATATGACTGCACTTAGATAACAGCAGGATGCCCGAAGGATCACGGATGGACGGTGGCGACATGAGAGATGGATCATCCTCCGGCATGTAGACGGACACTTTGCGGATGCGATTACCATTCCGTTCTTCAAACATTTATGTGATAACAAGTCACAACCACAGACACGCTAGGATACGAATAGTTATAGCAATCAGTCACAGGAGGCTGTTTACAAAGTTGTGCGTCGCATCAGTATCGACGCCGCGCTCCCCGCAGAAGGACACCTCAAGGCGACATGATATCAGCTGATCGAGTTCATTAGGGATGTACGCTGCAAAGAATACCCCATCTAAACCAGACGCGGCGCGGGAGCTCGAGCTCGAGGTGACGTCGCTCGAGGGGCGCTCGGCGAGTGGCAATCCGATGCCACAGCATCCAAAGTGCTCTATGCTTCGCTAGCGACCAGCGTGTTCTTTTTGAGGAACGCGTCTCATTCTGCTCTCCACTCGGTAACACTCGTCTCCTCGATCTCCGCGACCTTTTGCACCTTCCTCTTCGCACTTGCTACTCACAGCTCGGCGCAGCCTCCGCTGCAGCCGCGATGTCTATGGCCATGGTACTCTATCCTCGGCTCGATGTGCCAGCCGGCTCCCCGCTGCGCTTGACTGCCTGCTGAGATGACAGATGTGGCTCCCCGGTGGTTCCCGTGTCCACTTCATCTGTTCAGCGTGGCGTTGATGTGGATCCAGGCGGCACATCCAGTGAAACGGATACAATGGGAATCCCGAAGTAAAGTGGAATTTCAGCTTTGAGAATGCACCAACCGCCACGCGGGATGGTGAGCCCAGCCTCTTGAGCAGCCACCTCCGCTGAGCGCCATAAGCCTATCCTCATTATTGACATGACTGTTCTATGCGCTCGCTTATGGAGTGGAAACGCAAAGGCCTGCTCCATTCCCTGTCTGATGCACAGGGGAGGTTATTGGTGGCTTTTGGCCGTCTTGAATGAATGGTGAAAATCACAAAGATGTTGAAGAGACGCCACACTTATTAATAATATCATTTGCCATTTGCGCCGAGCAATTTTCAGTCGGTCTCTCCCACAGCGCGAAATGCGCTGAATTGCTAAGGATCTCACAGATCTCCAAGCGGCCGTCACTGGCACATGATAAGAGTATCCAGGTAGCGGGTAACCCACGGATGCTTGATTATGAAGGCACCGTCTGAGTACACCTCCCCAGTCGAGTTGGAGGATTGAGCTGAGGCACAGTCCTTGCAACCGTGCAAGCATCTTGAGTCCATTTTGACCTGTCATGTGTGAGATCGAGGATGAGGTGTGTGGCCCACGCTAGAGAAATCGAGGACATAGACCGACTCACACAGGCAAAGTAAAGTCTTAAACGCCCCTGCAGAGCAGAAGTAGATGTCAGACAACCAGTCGTGAGCCTAGCGATCATTGTGTGTAATGCCTCGAGATGGTTCAGATTTAAATATAAATAAGTTACAACAGATGAGGAGATGGCTTCGGTGCCAATCCCGCGGCCAGAAAGACGGAGCGTTCAACGCGTCCCGGTTCTCGTAGATGGACGACGTGCTCTCCTTGTCGGGCGCACCTCATCACGTTCTCTCTGTGACTCATCTTCACAGCCATGTTCTTCTTCGGCTTCTTCTCTCCCTCGCTTTTGCATGCGCCGCGTCTTGCTCTGCGGCTCACCACTCGACTGCGCCTCCACAGGCGTATTGCTCACAGCAGTATTAGACCCCCTGCTCCTTTGTGCCCGGTTGCACTTTATCGCCTGCCGGAGTGATCTGCGTGCTGTCGTGGAACCGGTCGCCTCCAGCAAGACCACGTCGACTTCTTCATTTTCGTCCGACATGGAGGATGACGAAGGCGATGCAGCGACGGGAATACCATGCTTCGGCGGAGTCCCAGCTTTCACGACGCGCCGAACGCCGGCCGGGACGATAGACTCGCCACCCTCAGCTTCCCGCGCCCAGTATGCCTCCACTTCCCTGCGTGCCTCGTCCCTGTCCTCCTCATCTTCATTCTTGGGGTTTGCGGCGTTTTCAACGGGAAAGGCGAAAGAATGGTGTCTGTGGAGCAGGCGCAACATCTCCTGGTTTCCCATCCAGTAGAATGGGGACTCGATGAGCTGTGGCTGGTGGTCTGGACAGATGATTAGAGTCAAGTCACTATGAATGAGGAACAAGGCACGTACATAACACCTCGTACACCACCTTCGCCGAGCGCATGTCTGTCGGCCTTCCCCACAGCGCGAAGTGGGCCGCATGATTGATGCTCCCGAAGACTTTCAGGGCCGCGAGCGCGAGCACACATGAGCTCCGAGTCTCGTCAAGCTCCTCATTGATGTTGAGCAACTTGTTGACTCCTTCGATGGTGCCCAGTTTTTGAATGGCCCTTGACTGCTGCGCCCAGTAGAACATAGGCTTGACGATCTTCTGGTATTCGCGACCAAGGGCGTCCAGATACTGGCTCACCCAAGGGTGTCTGATGGTCATCGTGCCGTCAGAGAGTACCCCGGGTTGGACTTCCCATCTGTTCTTGGGCTCTGTCGGGGTGGTACGCTTTGAGATACACCAGTGAGAAGGATACTTTGCCGGTTTGTATTCCATGATGTGTGAGGATTGTGGGGGTGACTTGCGAATGTTCGAAAACGGGGGAGTTGGTAAATGCACGACAGGTGTGTGGCGAGTAGGCGAACAGCGTGATAGCATGAGAGCGTTGAATAAGGAGATCAGAGCAGAAGTGGGGATTATATACCGCTCGCCACTGGTTGTGGCGAAATGGCCCAACACCACGTGTTCCCGCTTTGTACTTCCCATTATATTCTGCATCATTCATTTGCCTCTCGCATGAGTACAAAAGCCTCTGATGGTGCTCCGGTAGTTGTCATCCGAAACCAAGAATACAAATAGCAGACGTGCGGAAAAGGCACTGAGAATCCTACCATCTCGCTATAACAGACGCACCGCGTTTCTCGCCAAGCATCTGTGAGCGATGTGGAGAGATGATCTAGCGTAATGGCAGGCTAAAGCCCTTGTTCTCGACTGACAAGTCATTGACTGCACGCGCAGGGATTGTGACGACTTCATTATCAGGGCCAACCCGTTGATGATAATGTTCTAAATGGATATAAGGTACTCAGCGGGTAAGCTCGTACTCTGTCTCTGGACTTCCCCGATACTTGGCACGGAAGACGGCGAGCATTACCGTGGCGGGTCCGCGATCTCACCTGAGCTTGGATCATGAAGATTCTTCTCTTGATGCACAATACCAGCAATGACAGCATTGCCACTGTGGCCGATACCACCGTCGCCTTTGGGCTGAAGAAACGTCGTTGTCGTTGACACGAACGGATTGACATGGGAGATTGCTGTACAACGCATGGCATGTTGTCCGCGCGTGCGCACTGCGGAGGACGGTAGTGATCGCACTGGCGCATCAAATTATGTAATCAAGATCTGTTTCCTCCGACCTCTTCGACCTCGCAGTACGCGACGTAGCCTTTCAAATCTAATGCAACGCCTACAGTACTACTACGCATACCACGAGGCCCAGGCTAAGCTACCGCTGCACGACTTCTGATACGATCTTGCGGAGTAACTGTAAAAACAGTACTTCGAGCCCAGGGTTCGTCCACCGCCCTTTGACGAACCTGTCAGCGGTAGTTTTCACGTCCCTGAACATTGCCACGCTCCGCTCAACTACGACTAGAAGCGTATTGTGGCTCGTCCCTCAAGCCGTCCTCGTCCCATCCCATGCCTGTACTTTCCTCGTGTCTTCCTGCAATCCTGACCGCCGAACGGTCACTCAGGGTCATATTTGACTGTTGGCCCTGCGATCGGAATACTCGGTGCTTTGACGCTGACCATTCCGAAAAATAAAAACGCTCCTCTGACAGTGCGGGCTCGGAGATCGCGCAATGCATGTACGACTTTAAGAGAGCGTCTCAAATTGAGTGCGCGGGCTCTCGGACTCCCCCAAGACGGGCTTGATGTCCTGCTCCACGGATGTTCGTAGAATGGTCGTTGAGTCTCGTGTGGATTCGTGTTCACCATGACTTTTGTCCCTGCCATTCGGAGGTGACATCGGCAGAGGTAGCAGCATGGGCTCGTCGCGAACGGAAGATAGAGGGAATTGGAATATCGTGTTCGCCATTTCTAGCTCCACCACAGAAGATGCTTTAATCATTGTGGCCAGCGGAGTGAGATGTAACAAGCAGAAATCGCAATAGAAGCATCGCTTTTGGTATGGGAAGTTCATATGGCCTCGATTAGTTCGAGTATAAGACAGGGATTTGACGGTAAATGGAGGTCTGACGGCTAGGATTTATCAAGCAAGGAGATGGGTGCAACAGCCTGACAGGATCCCTTGTTTATGGATTGTTGCTACACGTTCATGTTTCTCCTCACTTCTGCCCCAAAGTGCGTGGGATGGCGAGTTCTCCGTCGCACCCTCGAAGTAGATAGTGAGCAAGTACAATCACCAGTGACAATGTGCCTCTCGCATGTACTATAGCCACAGACAAATGTACAGAAAATCATACCCCGAGTCAAATCATTAAGGATGCGTTTCTCTCCTGTATTTTGATTCTTCCGTAACATGCCCAAGGATAACTGAAAGTGAGGTGTATCAGCTACTAAATCTCGAGGACAGGGGCAGGAGGAAGGCATTCTTATATTGAGTTTTTTTATACTTCAGGTTCGTTGTCACCATGGCGAAAGAACTCGAGAAACAAGAGTAACGCTCAATGTTCGAAATGTCACACAATGCAGAAACTCATTCCGACAAAGACGACTGACGGCACTTATGCACCCAATGGTGAGCTCTTCACGGTGCCTTGTTCGTGGCAATGGCAACAATGAAATTCTGAAGCAACAATGTCATCGCAGCGTCCATGCACCCAGTGTACACCGGAGACGCGGCATGGGTGATCATCAATACAACCATCGGGACCCTGCGCCCGCTACGCAAGGCTGGCAATCTCACATATGTTGTTTCAATGTTCGCTAAATGAGAAAGACTAAGAGCCTCGAGGTCTGCGAAGCCAGTAGTTCTTGAATGATTGGATCTGTGCACCATGTATTTGGCGCTGAGACTACTAGCGATTCAACGAATCAAGTCCGGAGGCACAGGATTTCCCGCTGAAGAACGGATGAAGCTCTATACGTGTCTATTGCCATTTTGGATTTGAATGCAATAGAGTAAATGAAACCAATGCATTCATTTGATAGGGCCCATACTACGTGGTCATAGACCTGCTGCAGTCTTCAGTTTCGCATAGTCCGGGGTCCCCCACCCAGTGACCTTGTTGACACCGTAATTTCAGAACGTGACGGGAATGATGTAGGCACAGCGGACTCACCGGGTCCCAGCCAGCTATCGCATAGAATCCATCCGTCCCACAACCGGGATTGTTTCCTTCGGTGATGTCATTGAATGCTGTTGACGCCGTCGAGTACAGCCACGGATTCAAGAAGCCGAGAGGCGATTTGCCCGCAGATATGAGTTCGTTGTTGAGCAGCGCAACGACGGATGCAAACGTAGGGCTCGAGCAGCTTGTTCCACTGACGGCATAGAACTCCTGGTCGATCACGACGGTGAAGTTGATGCCCTGAGTCGCGACGTCTGGGAACGCACGCCCAGAGGCGTTGTACAGACCCTGGTACGTATCGCCGAGGTAGTTGAAGTAGGCCGTGACGGCAGCATCCTGATACGAAGGACGAGCATAGTAGTTCGAGAACCCGCCTGATGAGAAGAAAGCACCGATCTCAGGACTGATGCCTGTGGTGGACCCAACGTTTGTCATGCTACGGCGGTCTGTAAGAACAGGAGTAGGAATCGTGTAAGGAATCACTCACAAGGGGCACCCATCAGGGAAGGGTACCACGAATTCGGTGCAGTTACTCGATTGCGTACCCGAGACGCCTCCATCTCCGGAAGCAAACAACACAGAGACACCACGAGCACCCAATTGAGCATACGCATTACAGAGATTGCTGCACGACCGTTTGTATTTCGCGCAACTGGGGTGTCAGACAATCAGGATACGCACTATGATAGGCCAATTGGCACGTCATCCTCGTTTGGACCATAGCTGGTCGTAAATGCCTGTGGAGGCGAGTCCTCATTTAGCAGGAGATCGGCCATATCCAGGAAGCCGTCGAGATCGCCATCATGGTTATCGTATCCGGCTGAGACGAATAAAGTTGGAACGTCAGTAGCGATACCAACGGTATATTGTATGTCCAGGTTCTACAAGGGAAGGCTCAGTAGTATCAGGCTCGACATAAAGGAGGATCTAGATCTCACAGCCTCCACGCCAGCATCAGCTGGGGTTTGATTGTTTGATCCACCGTCCAGGTCCTGCAGCGTGAACGTTGTAGTATCTGACATATCCGGTCGGTACGTCTTCAGGAAAGTCTGTTCGCGCCAGGCTCAGCGTGGCCAGTTTGCCTCAGCATTTTCATGATGACTGACCATCAGATCGGCCTCGTTGGCCCACTGATCGTCAAAACCAGCCACGGCGATTCTGCTAGATTTCTCCGTAGCAGGGGTGGTAGGGATTCCGTAGAGGGCCTGCAGGCACGATAGTGTTATTGTATTGATACATGAGGGATTGACTGTTGCATCGTCAGCTTGCCCTAATGACTTGGGGAAGGAGTACGACGCCGAGAATGTAGGCAACTTGTTTCTCGTAGTGGGGAATCTACGAATGGTATGTTTACGGAGTATGAAGGCCACATATTGACGTACGTTGTCGTTGGATACACCACGCTGAGATGACCCTCTAGCTCTTGGGGGATCGAGTAAGACAATGTTCTTATGGTTTCCTTCCCTGCGCCTTCGTGTGTGTAAACGCTGTACGCAGCATCGAAGAGCTCGTTTGCTTTGCCGACAGGTATCTGAAAGCCAAGCCAATCACCAGCCGGAGTTAAGGCTGTTGCACTGATGTCGTTCTGTTCCAGCCACGCATTGATAACCGTTTGCGTCTCAGGGGAAGGGGCGACATAACTTGCAGCCTACCGTGACTGAGCTGAGCTAGATCTCTTCGCAAAGGTCTGACAAGATGAACATACCTCGTCCTTGGTCAAGAACTGGCCATAGTTCGGACTCGTGGGAGTGCTGACGTCATAGAGAGCTTCTTCTAACCCGGCAGGGTTACTTTGTACAAGCGCAATGCGAAGCTTGAGCAGAGTGTCAGGAGACGCAGGTCTAGTCAAGGTATAGCCAGCCGGCGGTGTGTCTCTCCTCGCAAGAACCTTCCTATTGTCAGACAGTGGAGTACCCGAGGCGAGCAAGCACAGTGAGAATGCGAAGACGCCAAGTCCGAACATCTTGCCGTCACTTGTACCGGGGACGAGCTCGTGAGAGCAAGAGGGCCAAAATCACCGGTGTTATATAGCAGCACCGCAGATAGCCCAGAATAGCACCATTATGAGAGCAGCGGCCCAGGAACATCGATGGTCAATGTGGATGGCAGATAGCCCGTCGCCTTGCATCCAGTCCTGATGACGGGACTCACATTCCGCTTTCGGTCGTACACAACAATGGGGAAAATGAGCATGATCCGTATTGCACATGGAAGATGGTGAGAAGTCTGAGATACTTCGTCCCTGTGCCATGACGGGTTTCGGGGGGAACGTCGGACGACCACCGAGTTTCGCGTTTTTTGCGAATCGAGACGACATCGAGATCAAAGTGACTGAAACGCAGGATGTGGCTCTTGAGATAGTGATGACCATCTTGATCGTCTCGAAAGCCGGGCGTTAGCACCAAACAATAATGGGCCGCCGGTTGACAAGCCGGCCAGAGCAAATCCAGGGGAACAAAAGCTGCACAGAGATGAGAGTGTATCCAGGAAATCAGAATTCCCGTGCCTCAATCACGCGGTGGCTATCGACGTACAGCATGAGGGAGTTCTCGACGACGGTCTTCTGCCTGGAAGTCCACAGTCACGATAAGTGTCTGAGTGGTTGCCAAGCAGAACCAGCGCACGGAGTAAATTTGTATTGGGCTGACTTACAGGATAACAAGCAAGCCGAGCAGAAGGTCGCTTAGAGAAGTCTTCTCTATTGCAAGGGATTTAGACATATGGGGTACCTTCACTTCTAGTATCCGCTGGTGTCTTGGAGCCGTTGACAGCAACTGCACGCAATAGGTATGAATCGAAAGGTGTGATTATCGAGCAACTACGCAAGGTCTATACATAGAGGCGGAAGCTAGAATGGGCTTACTGGGGCATGGCTCTGGCGGGCAGTGGCTAAGGTGTGAGAGGGCGAGACACGTCACGATGCTGGCGACACGGTACACGTGACCTCCCGTGATCGTGTTCGCCGGTGTATGGGAATGGTCATGGTAGAACTAGATTAATAATGTATTCGTATTATCTATGGTTAATTACCGAAGATGTTGGTACCGTATGGAAGTAGATGTACACGATGATTTAGTACAACAGCGGCCATAAATAAGGTCTGCTACACTGGTGTTAGTACATGGATGATCCGGCTCCAAGTCCTTAGCGTGTGGAAGAAAACATTTCCCTGTCCAGACTAATGGCGCGGGAGTGACCTGCACTACAGAGCTGGCCGAAGGATATGAATACACCGAGATGATCGACGGCTCAACCGCCTTTAATTGGTCTTACATCTCTTGACAGATTTCCTTGCCACAGTGTCATACTCCTTGCTCTTTGCAGTTTGTCGGCGGATCCTCTTCGGCCGTGTCGCCTTCGGCTCTTCGCCGGCTTCAGGCTCCCCGCCGACCTCGACCTTCACGGTATCCTGCTCGAATTCATCTGCACTTCTCTTCTTGCCACGCGGCTCCACAACGTCTACAGCAGTATCTTCAGACGCGTCACTCACGGCTGTGCTCGATTCTCGGCTAGGCGGAGTGGCATCAGGGCTTGGTCGCGCAGGTAGGGTGAACCTGAGCCCTGTCTGCGCCGGCGTAGATGTACCAGATGATACCCTTGTCGCATCTAGACTCGCTACGTCGCCCGTCTCTGTTCTTTGCGTCGATCGACGTGCGGACTTTCGCTGTGGACGCTTCGTGTGGATGTGATGAGTGGGCGGTGCGGAGGCGGGTGCGCGAATGATGCCGGACGCGACCTCGGTGAGCAGAGAGGCCTGGAGTACCTCAGACGGCTCGCTCCCCTCCTGTGTGACGTGAACGAAGCGTGCGCGGGCGCGCGGGGGCTTATCTGGGCCAATGTGCCCCGCACACTGTGACGATGCAGTCTTTCGTTGACGCAGGGTCATCTTGGTAGGTTCCTCGCTGCGCTGTATCCGGTCCTTGGGGAATGCAAGCCCCTGGTGACGACGAAGATGCCAGATGGCCTCCGAGCCGCCGAACCAGCCAGTTGGGAGCTCGATGAGAGCCGGCTTGTGGTCTATCGGGCGAGTTAGCACGCCGCTGAGTCGTATCGTAAGCAATGTACTTACAAGCGATCTTTGTTACAAGTGCCTCCGTCCGCTCATCAATGCTGCGCCCCCACAACGCGAAATGCGCAGGGTGGGACGGGTTATTGTAGGTCTTGAGAGCGGCCAGAGCGAGGATACACTCGCACTGCTGTTGGTCAAGATCGGATCCTGCGCCGAGCATTGCATTCACCGATTCAACTTTCCCCAGTTTACAGACCGCCGGAGACTGCTTGGAGAAGCGGGAGGTAGAAGGGCCCAGCTTCTCCATGTGGGCATGATATGCGCGGGCGAGAGAATCGAGATATCGCGCGACGTTGGGATGATCCGCTGTCAACATATGGGACGCGCATTTGTCGCCGCGTAATGCTGTTGGAGATGTCGGGGTGCCCTGCGATGACCGTGAAGAAGAGCATGAAGAAGAGACTGGCAGTGAGTGGCGCTGAGGGGAAGATGGACGCGGGTGTAGCGGATCGTCTCTCACAGACGATGTTGGATACTGTATCGTGAGTCCCGCGGAGCAGTACGATGCAGAAACAAACAATGTGGGAATGGCTGCTCGTCCATGGCACGAGTGAAAGCTCATTGTCGCAAGTATGATCAAAGCAGACGTGTAGAACAATGAACTAGGTCGATGTATGCGCTGCAGTTGGGAGGGGGATAGGATGTGAGCGGAGGATGCGCGGAGGGAACAGGAAGCAGAGAAAGGGAGAGTGCGCTTCATAGCCTGCACTTTATGAGGCACAATCCATAGCTGGGCTGACCGGCCTGCGATCGGCCACATCTGGAAACGTGCGCGCGACAGCTGCCAGATCCACGCGCGGGCCTCATCTTCTTATTCTCCGCCCTATTTGAGCATTCAACTCTTATGTTCCTTATGGATTGCGTCGATAGTCCATGTGGATTCGTAGGGTAACGAGCTGCTGATTGGAGAAACAGGAATAAAGCAACAGAATACAAAGACCATCATTTGCCGATGGAAGTATTTCTCAGATCTGTTCCCGATTTGCTACATCTAATTGCCCGATCCCTCGGTCCGCGGCACTTTCGCGCGCGTCTTCCATGCGCTTGACACGATAGGTCTGCGCATTCGGTGCGCGATGATGGTCGTACCCTATCCGCCCCTCTGGAGATTGCGAAATGAGATTCAAGTTATTATGGCTGCAACATTCACAAGCATCGTATACCGGAACATTATTCTCTTTCACGATCACTGATCATTATCCTCTGAGCTCCCAACCCTGCAACTCTGAGAAGCCGGGATTACAATTTAAGACACAAGTTATATCAATCGCGATTGTCATCTCCTACTAGGACTACACTGAAGTCGACCAAAGAGATGTTTCGAACACGCAGAGTTTCCCATTCTCCAGGGCAACAGTTTACTAGTCGCTGTTGTCCAGTTCTTTCTTCCACTCAGCCCTAGTCTTCGAGGCGAATTTCTGAACCTGGGAGATTGGTCCAGTCAGATTAGTTTAATTATTCGCTGTCTAACATTATCACCATATTGTGGACCTTCAGCGCATGTTGACCTAAATAGACTAATGAGATATGGCACATTTCGCGTTGTGTGAGACGTACCACTATCATCGTTGTATTCCATGGTCGCATGCAAATCCAGCTATACCGAGTGATCATCGTGAGTACAGATTGGGGGGCATAATGCGACGCGAACGCTTACCGGATTGTCCGTGTCTGGAGTGAGCAGAATGCCGTAGAGAATTTGAAGAACAGTGCTTGCACCAAACGAGATGAACTTTTACCCGCCGTTAGAGCAGATATAGCACCTACCTCATGGATATATCGACCAACCAACTCTTGTCCAAAGCTGCGTGACAGACTTTACCGTGGCGATTGATGTTCGGATGCAGTATTGGCGTGATGAAACGGCTACGAAAAAAATGTGACATCAAGAACACGCGAGCCGCTGACGTTATGCTTACACTTCAGGTGCTGCTTGCGGATAGTCCTTTCCGAAGTCGTAGTAGGCTAGGAATGTGCCTCCTTCATAAGGAGACTAATGAAGCGTTATTAATGTGTATGACTCAAAAGGCGTCACCCTCACCCCTCGAGGTGCTTCGATCACAATCTTGACACGTGCAAATCAATACCTCTGAGCCAGCTGACATGTAAAAGACCTACTTTCCAGAATGCTAGGTCATCACCGGTATACACATCGATGAATGCTAAAACGAAAGACCACTGTAAGCCCAAGTGTACGCCACACGGGATTCGTTGCGAAATGCTCACGATGAGGATGATTCACGATGTTGCGGACTTCTTGCATCAATCGACGCTGCTTGTCAGTACTGAGGAGAGCATCACGGGCAGCAGCTTTCTGCACTGATAACAAACGCTCGTGCAGGCGCTAAGCGAGAAATGACACCATCAGCTGTGGCTGAATTTTGAAGGAAGCTATTAGCTCACCACATGCGGCTTGCGACCTGGGCACTCCTCTGACGTGACAACATCCAGCTTGGTTCATTGCGTCAGAATGACTGCACCAGTGTGACCAGCACTCAGACGCACAGGATATGTTGACAGGTCGTTATAGCGCGACAGATGCCAAGGGTACCGTCTGCACGAGAGGTCTCCGCGGCTAAACTTCCATCAACAAAGGAAATTTGGGACATGTCCATGTCAACGCTTACTCGTCCCACGCAATCCTTAGAGCGAAGGACTGTCTCAAGTTCCACAATGTTCAGTGCTTGCTCCACCTGCCATCCAAATCGTTATGATCAATGGTGTCGTATCCTAGGTCTTATCACGTACTGTGTCGACTTTGAATGAGTATCCGCCCGTTGCGACGGCGATGGGATGGATGGCGTTCACCAAGGCACTCGTCTGCACTACGATGGAATCCAAGATGATGCCAGACCGCTGAAGCTGTGCCGCGACTGCTGCTGCGGTCACCCGAGAACCAACGTCTTCACCTGCGGAGGTCAGACGGTTCAGCGAGGGATGTGTGGCTTACTTCGGAATCGAAATTCATATCTTACCATCTGTCAAACAGATAATTCTTAGGGCGGCCGAGGGGTTCTTCTCCATCGGATCAGTGAGATCGGTAAGAAGCAAGATTTGATATGAACTTGCCTGTGCCTTGAAGCGCTCCAACATCGATCGACCTACTACGAGACTGTCGTATAATGGGGTGTCGCCATCCGTCTGTGCCCCTATGAGTGATATGATTACAATTTTGAACTGAAGGCTGAAACCCCACCCCGACGGTCTGCAGAGCATGACGGAACTTTCTCTTCAAAAGAGTCACTCCCTATCAATGTAGCCACAACTAAGTGCTGCGCGGATGATTGGCAAAATGGTACGAACCTGGACTTCGCGGACCTCTCTCCCAAACGTAACAAGCCCTGCAGCATTCTGTAAGTATGGCGGCATGACACGTGAAGTCGTCGATATCACCTATTCCTACTGGGTGGTCGAAAGCCTCGGACTTGTTCACAAGACTGAATAGGCAATGTTCACGAAGTGATTTCAACGATTAGAAACACGATCAACGTACGCCTCAAAAGCCTGCTTCGCCACGTCGAGCCTGTATACTTGTGAGACATAGTGAAAGCTAGACGCTTATATCCGCAACTGACCGACTCATCGACCTCGACTTGAGACGCTGTCGATAATTCCATCCTATGAATGGGGTTATATTTCTGTTGATCAGATTGGGACGGACGTACTGCGAGACGCAAGTTCTAGTTTGTTGAATTGAAATACTCCGATCTGTGTTGAGTTGGTTGGTAATTCATGGAATAACAGGTTCGGGTCAAGTGGCGTTCCGTGCATGGTCCCATCTCCGGAGTGTGTCAGTCCTAAAAGATAGTACGAGACGAGTGATCGGCTGTGTTTTTAATACTGCCAGAGCATACCATGCCAGAAACGTTGAGTTGATGGTTGGCGCTGTGAATCGAACATCCATTGATCTATGAGTATAGACAATACTGTGACGGCCCCGGGAAGAGGTACGTATTCATGTTGCACACTGAATACGCCGGGATACTCGATGAGCAATGGTTTTTTGGTGGGGTTGAACCATGCGCGAGGTCTTCCGTTTAGGAACCTGACAATCAGACTGCTCAGGTTTTGGACTAGAATCAGGTTCCGCTCTAGATCCAGCTCGATTGTAGGATCTATTGGTGAATGCCCGTGTGCGTTCTGCCAGGCCTCTATCCACCTGCGTTCGTATACATAACCTGAGGCATGTCAGTATCCGTGAGTGGTTAAGAAAATTAAGAACGGCTGCACATACCATCGCTCGCTCTTACAGGATCAACGAAAATCTCTCCGCTAAATGGATCAACAAAACGCTAGAATGATGACCTGTTACATCCAGCACTATGAAGGACGAAAGCTGAATGAACGCGCCATGGGAACCCCGTTCGGAATCTTGAAGTCTGCCCCTTGATCGTTGGCGTCAATGTACTCTAGCAGGTAGTCAACAAGCTGAGAATTTGAGGCTTGGTCACTTGCAATTGCAACTATGTCTTCCCATCGCCGTCTGCCAAATTCGACTGTTGGTTCTCTCGAGGCTCTCCATTAGCGTTCACTCACTTGTCCCTCCAATCTGTACGTCCTCGTTGAAGCTGCCCCCAATGGAGGCGACTGTATATTGCCTTGAGTTCCCGAACCACTTCTTGCGCTCTAGTCTTTCTATTCCGAAGTCGTGTTTGAGTATTCTCACTGAAAAGTCGTTTGACACTGATTTGGCCATAACTTTCTCGAGTGATATATCGAACGACGCTAGGTATGAAATCCAGTGTGACAATAAAGGATTTCACTTCGAGAGTTCAGAAGCAGATACAAGTGGTCGAAAAACACATACGCAAACATACCACTCTGTAGAGCATCAATCATGGTAATGCCACGTTTGCCGAAGTGCTCTAGACAAGTCTCGGCGGCAATAACGTCGGGATCCCTCGTGATGTCATCGTCGGGGGGATTGAAATCTTGCTGCATGGATCTGGATGGATCTGATGTGACGACTGTATCGCCCTTCAGCAGCCATCCGATGAACGTGATGTAGTACGTCCATACCAATAGCTTCTTCAATGATTCTAGTATCGACCTTGTCGGTCCTAGTGGTACCGAATGCGTCGTAATCCCATTCTCCAGCTCGCTTCCTTGCTTCAATGATAGGTTGCAGCTCCATTGCGACCTAAACCTCGTAATTAGCATGCAGAATCGAGCGACAAGCTATGGAACCCCACAATATTGACGTCGACTCTCACTTCTCCGTGACACGGTCTCAACAGCGAGATGTCCTGACCTGCAGGGGCACATACGTCGCGCGATATGTACACAGCCACATGTCCTTGTGCATCCAAGGTGAGAGCGGGCGTAACGGTTTGTTGGAGGCTGAGTGGTGCATGTATCTGTAGCTCGATATTCGCCATGTCAATAGCTTTCACCCAAGGTGATGGGCCGAGACTCTGAGTAAGAAGACGAAGACCGGAGGCTGTCCCGTATAAAAGGATCAGCTGCGAAGTCCTCGATGCAGTGCGTCGTATTAAGGACAAAGTCTCGCCAGGGGCGGGTTCTATCGCGGGATTTTCCAAGGATGGATCGAATAGGGAGTTCCCTTTTTGACGTATAACTGCTGCGGCGCGTTCGACCATGAATTTACCACTGAAAAAGCACAGGATCAATAAGAGGCTCTCTAGATAGCTCACTACGAGATGTCATAATTCAGTGAGTCCACGAAGTGCAAACAGGTCGTTGCACTTGCCAAGAAAGAGATGCAATCCTGAACAGACTTTGTCTTGAGACTGTTTGATCCAATGCCGGTAACACGAATGGACCCTTCAAGCGTTCAATGAGCACACCGAACAAGATACGCGCCCCTTCAAAATTTCGGGCCAGATCTCCTTTCGTGACGTGCGGATGTACTACGTCGAGAGCGAGTAGGTAGATAGTCTCACTGAGTGCTCTCATCTCTTCGAAATGTAGACTCTCATTGACCGTCAGAATGTGGAGAGAGCGGACAAAATATATATCGAGACAAAGACCTACCAGGAGGGAACTCTGTGAGCGCTAGCAAATGATGATATACCCGGTATTGTAGATTCTTGTCTTCGGAGTTCTTTCCAACGACACTTCATTGAGAATGAATTTAGTAGGTATGTAGATCGATACGTCACGGATTCTTACGACAGATAATGCGCAAACGCCATTAGCGATGATAGGAAAGCGGCCATCCCTCGATCAGTCTGCCGCACGACAGGATGCTGTTGTAAGTGGCCCTGGTGAGTAATCACGCCGACAGATCGTGAACTATGCATACCCATTCGTCACAAGCAGTATACAGGGCAGATTTCCCCACCCTCCTCGGCTCTCCGAGCTTGAGATTGGACCTCTTCACTACGTAGAGTGTGACTTCACTTTCATCCCCTGTGTCGTTGAACAACCCGAGTTCTTCAAGGGTGATATTAGGAGAATCGTTAAAGATTGGCGACTGGGCCGTGTGAATGTCGATGCCGGATCTCGATGCGAAAGGTGGTTGAACTGGGCCATTGATTTCGAGACGTACGATACCATCCACATTATGACGAGTCGTAGAGCAAATTGATACAATCGTCGAGTGGCGGAAACGAACGCTCCTAGGATTCTTAAGCATGACTATAGGGTCACAGAAAGGAGAGAAGCTTACCCAGTGTTGGCACGGTCATACTGAACAATCAAAAGAGGTTGGGAAGTTTCAAGATAAGAATACCTGCCCGATGCTCACCATTCTGACCGAGAGTCCTGAGCCGAGACCACAGTATCTGGTCCTTAAAATTTCGACAACTAACGGAGAATGTTTCGCCCCATTCTCACTTGTAAATGATTACTCAGGCTTACCATCGGAGTCCTTAATCTCATGCATGACGTCTCTCCTCGTTAAGTACGACGGGGGAACTGGGACTTTCTCGATGACTGAGCCAGAATGTACTAACACAAGGTGTGGCTCTGTAGAGTAACCTCATTACCTGATGAAAATGTGAATACACAGAACATGCCTTGACTATCAAATGGAACCGCTTTAGCAGACACCGAAGCTACTGGACATCCAGAAGGGCATCCTTGTGCAGAGAATGCATGAGAAAAATAGCAATGCGCATGGAATATGTGACCACAACTGGTGTACCGTATTAATGGTTGATAAGTGTGTTCGCCAAAAGTCGTACAATGACAACATACCCTGCATTCTGTGAGATGGTGTTCGGTTAGCGAATTTTTACAGAAAAGTGCAACAACGTACCTGAACAAGAGGACAATGCTTGATCTCTTCCGCACCAGTAGTGACGTTGCAATCAGCCTGCTTTAAACACTTCTCGCATGGAAATCCTACAAGCATGGTCAGCTTTGATTTCATTTGTGCATGTTTTTGACAAAGAGCATACCAAAGAACTCGTAACAAATTTTGCATTCTACATGGCCAGAAGATACTTTAGCCTACGTTTGAACGGCCTGCAGATGCCCGGGGGACAAATGTCAAGTTTGCACCCCGGTCAAAATTGCTTGATCCTCGTGCAAATCTATCGATTTGACCTACGGCTGGCATGCACGGGTGACCAGCAGCTATCCATATCGCAGTTTAACCCGTGGGCAAACACTGCATATCATGTGACTTGCACAAGACACGACAAGGCATGCGCGACAAATCTGAGAAGTTTTTCATCTTGCCCACGTCTCAAATGTCTCAATATTGTCTTGCATGTATTTTGAGCCCCGTGCTCCTGGTGAATGTACCAGTACCCTGATCTTATGATCAGGAGCCTGTTATTCTGACCTTTTCTGCCTTAGATCCATATGCCAGCTCGCCTTCTGCTTCATTCTGAACCATCTGCAGAGTTCGGTGAGTTACTTGTTATTTTTGTATTGCTTTCTCTTAGAAGCTACAGTCTGGTATCTTAGGAGTTGAATGTATATGTACATAATTAAGCAATTACATCTGCGACTAGCCATTCTCTGTATGTTCTCGCGCGACAATATGGTCAATGGGACCCTGGGAGACCGCGCTTGTATCACGTGAGCAGAAATCTGCTTTGCACGGGGGTTGAACGAATTTGCCCGCGGGGCAAGCGTGTGAGTGGTTGCACCAGGCATAAACTGTCGTGGTTTGCACAGGGCACAAAGTGCTTTGACCAACGTGCAGCTTGTCAGCGGTTAAACCCAGTTTATACGGATCTTCTGGCCGTGTAGACTTTGCAGATCAGAAGGGGCACCGGTCAAAACACCGGAGCCTATGGTTATGATGATTATGATGTTCATTTGGGCATTGTTTGACACTAGCTAACGTACCTAGAGAAGCGTGGGAGTAACAACATTCAGTGTCTTGGCATCTCAAACCATTGATTTCCTTCGCGCAGTGGAGCTGTTCGAAACGCCCCTCTGGTATAGCATAAATAGAGATGCGTGCGCGATAGTACAATGACTCACTGGCATGTATCTGGTTTGCTACAGTACACGCGCAGCTTTCGTAGGGCTTTGATTCGGCCAGTGCCTGCTGTCTCTCGACACCAAAAACATTTGAGTTTGAGTCGTCGAGCCAGCCCAATGTACGAGCGATCTCCCGGCAGATTTCGCCCTAACCTCACGATTTATTGAGAAGTCGGATCACAGACAGACGATAAATTCGTACCATGGATAGCTGGACGCTAACAGCACTCCCATCAAATGCCATGCGCCGTCTCAATCCTCCTGAGGAATTGCTTCTTGCGAGCTCAGGTGTTACCAAGGCAATACGTACGCGTTTCATAACACCACTACCCGTAGCGAGTGGAGTTGAGAATTTAGAAATATCTCGTGGGCCTGCCCCTTTGCGAACTGTGTGTTTTGAACAACGTCCCCTGCCGGCCGGTGTGGACGATGCTGGCCTCTGCTGCGCCACCCGACCTCCTCCGCTATTCGGTGCAGGCGCGGAGGCAGATGAAGGAGTAGTGACAACTGGAGAGCTTGTAATAGGTCTCAAGCGAACATGGACGATGTCATCTTCCCGTATGACATCACCTACTTCGTCCTCATGGAACAGCTCGGAGCCGTCAGCGAGGAACAAAGTCAGCTTATCAGAGTCCTCCTGACTGAAGTGGCGGCGACGAGCAACTGACGCCGCGAGCTCCGCGATAGTCTGCGTCGGCAATATGGGAACGACCAGTCGAGACTGCGGTTCCTCGTTGCGCATATACACCTCGACAATGACCCTTATCTTTGGGCCGTTCATGGCGGGACTCCTGATCTTGATGTATGATGAGTAGTCCTAAGTAGCGGGGAATGGGCAAAATGAGGCGCTAAGGATTGACGCTCTCGTTTTAAGATTCTGTCTTGGTTGAGCAGTCTTCGCAGCCAATTAAGGAAAACCTCAGACCTGCTTACCAGGGGGATTGCTTCTAGAGAATCGTCCCGTTGGGTTTTATGGCATATAGACTGGCTGGGCTGTTCACTGAGTTTAAGAAGATATACCGGCGGCGGTCCTAATAGGACGCAGCGACTTCGACGTTGAGCCTGCGAGGTAGCTCGTACTCTCGCATGTTTGTACCCCTGCCACGACGAAGCCACCATAAAATTTTCTTCCTCGTCGCCCGCTGCCAATCTACTCCAACGGAGGTTATTTTTCGGCGGAGAGAGTATGCATATCGAAGTCAAGACTTTGCGGGTCTGACATAGAGCTTGCAGGGCGTGGGACAAAATCGACACACATATCGTTGCGGCCGCTGGTCAGCGCTTACGAGTGTGTACCGTCCAATTCTGTGCTGGCAGGGCTGCTTGCTCAGAATGTGATGGTAGGGGCTCATCCCGGGCAGATGAGGTCGGGTATTGGAATGAGCAAGTACGATGCAAGAAAAACAATGCGATGCATGAATACAAAACATAATACCGGCATCGTGCGCAAGCTCAGATGCTGATCCGTGCCACACTATAAGTGGTTGTTTGGCGACAAAACGCTCACCGGATATCTATGCGTGTCCACGTCAGTATGGCCCGAGTAATCATCTTCAAGGTTGTGACTACTTTGCATGTGAGGGGATATGCACGCTGACAGAGCTTCCGGAATATTTCCATACTCCTCCTTGCACAATTACTTGACACCTCGAGAGCAAGGGCAATACAGACCCGCTCTGATCTGCGCGACCTGCGCCGTACACCCACAAACGCGCTGTTCCAAAAAGGAAACAACGCGTTCAACCTCCACCAATGGACGCAGCTGATGCAGTCCCTATCACAACCTGAGGCCTGAGGCGCAAACCCTTTCATATTTTCCATGGTTCATGTTAGCGTCGCGTAGGCTTTCACTGACGCCACTCGGACTTAGATGCATTTGTTCGCGTCATGCAAGATCTCATCCCCTCTCAAAGTCGAGATCTATCTCCTCGTCTCGGAATGCCCTGCCGACACCTTATACACAAGAAAACAATAACTATATTCTCTACATTCTGTCGACGACTATTTCTTGGACATATTCTTCCCGAAAAGCGATATACGAGTGTTGTTGTACTTAGCCAGGATGTCCTTTCAATAATGAAGTTTAAGTGTCACCACTTGACGTCGTGTCTCCATCATAGGTGGAGCCATACGTAGAGCCATCGGAATCGGTCAGCTTCGCTATATAGCCCACTGCCTCGCTCCCGACAGCCCCTCCGTCTTCACTCTGAAACTAAATCAGTGCACCATGATAGCTCACACCATCTCACGTCGCGCTCTCCCGCAAATGCGCTATGCGCGGCACGCTCTGTCTACGTCCGCCCCCAGATATACCACCCAGTCCCAGACTCATCCATTTTCCTTCCTCCCAGCCAACTCACTTGACCCAAAGCCGCGGACCAAGGGACTAACCGAAATCCGCGGACCATACTACGCGCCCGTGACGGAGACCTACCTCAACGAGCTACTGAACGATTGGGGAGATTATGTCGATGGTATCAAATTTGCAGGGGGTGCCTTCACGCTTATGCCGGAGGAGCGGCTGAAGGGACTGATCGAAACGGCTCACAAGCACAGTGAGTCATGCATGATACATGCGCTCGAATGTGGGCTCCTGACACAAAGAACAGACTGCTATGTTAGCACAGGTGGATACATTGAGCGCGTCATCTCTGCGTCAGGAGGAAGCAAGAGCACTATTTCCAAGTATCTCACGACATGCAAGAACCTGGGGTAAATGTTACGATTACCCATATTTATAGGAGCTCACATTGTTTCTAGGTTTGACGTTCTCGAGATATCTTCAGGCTTCCTCTCCATCCCTACCGACGACTGGGCAGCCCTCGTCGAATTCACTGCCACCCATGGGTTGAAACCGAAGCCCGAGGTCGGCATCCAGTGGGGCGCGGGCGGTGACGCGTCGGTGGAAGAACTCGAGTCCGCAGGAACCCGTGACCCAAAGTGGCTGATTGATCGCGCTAAGACATTCCTCGAAGCAGGAGCATACGTGAGTACTCAAGTGCTCATCCGAACTTAGTGATTCCATCGAGACGTCTTCGCGTAGATGATAATGATCGAGAGCGAGGGCATCACAGAGAACGTCAAGAACTGGCGGACAGACGTCATTTCTGCGGTTACCTCGGCGCTGCCGAGCGACAAGATCATGTTCGAGGCAGCGGAACCGGATGTGTTTGCGTACCACATCCAGAATCAGGGCGCGCGCGCCAACCTCTTCATTGACCATTCGCAGATTGTGCAGCTTGCATGCTTGCGCCGTGGCATCTGGGGCACTGGTAGCACCTTCAACCGAGTCGTTACATTCGAGGGAGCTCAAGAGGGGCGGGCGAAACACAACTATTGAGCCTGTGGATTGCCGACGACATCAGCTGTAGTATGGATACTGTATGTACAATTATGAAGACAAACCCGACTATTTCCCGAGGAATATACTTAGGAGCATAGGCAGGCTCTTCTGGTGAGGCATGTTCGTGAGGGAAGTTGAAGCCAATCGAGGCGGAACTGTAGAGGTGCTAGTCTCCGATTCAACCTCGGATCCCACGCCACAGATGCGATGGCCACGACCTTGAACAGCGTCTACATCTCTCGTTTTTGTATTGATCCCATACCTGGCAAGATGGCAGAAGATGGAAATCGCGGCACGTCTCCTTCTGTGGCCACGCATGGACAGACTACCGAAGACTCAGTTGCTCTGCCGTACGAATTGCTGGTGCATGGTGTACTCAGAATGCTTGATGTGGCGGATCTTCTTCGCTGCAAACTGGTGAGTCTCTTTCTAAATGCCAAAGTAAAAGTGCGAGACAATCATGATGATTCTTAACATCACAGGTATGCAAGCAATTCCGTGACGCCATTGATGAGGATTCGCATATACAGTACACTCTCGAATTGGCAAGAACTGGCCACATAGATGGTCCCCAACAATGTTGCCTTTCCGTGCCGGAGCGTTTGCGACGACTCAAGCAGCAGCAGAACGCCTGGCAGGAGCTTAATCTTGACGCTCGGCCTATAGCGCTTGCTGACAGCCGAAACATCCAGCAGTGGAAGTTTCAGAGTGGCGTTCTGGTAGTCGCTTACCTTCTCCATGCTGATCCTGAGGACTTTGACACTCATACGGCATTCGACACACTGGATATCTACTTTCTGGAGTCCGACACGCCCTATCGCCGACATACTCTCAGTGCTCCTCACTCGGAATTCGCGATAGATGCCGCACAAGATCTCCTCGTCGTGTGGTCTGATCTGCATGCGGCTCTCCCAACACTCTGGTGAGTGGATTCACTGGGATCGCGCACGCTTAGCATGCTCATGACGTTTTGCAGCCTCAAAATAATGTCTTTATCGAGTGGCACCCTCCACGCTCGCTCTGTTCACCAGGCCATCTCAATTAGCAGTGTTACCAGATGGATCAAAGATTCGATCAGGATCCGTGGACCCGTCATAAGTGTTCAGCACCCGCCTGGAACTGTTGTTTTCGACTGGACGCACCAGGACCCCGACGTCAGTGTCCTCAATCTTTGTTCTGAGATCTACTAACTCATATCCTATGTGCAGAGTACAGTAGTCAAGTGCGGTGATGGGGTCCTCATGTCAGAAAACTGCTTGGTCCGAGCGGGTTTCGACGGCGGTGATGCATGGATTACGGTGCTGCTACTCCATCGTAGCCCGACTCAAACACTTAAGATTACCCGCCTTGCACATTTTCGGCTGCCACCAACATGTTATCCCCCGGAAAACCCGGAAAATGAAATGCAGTGTCCTCGACTCGAATTCACAGACTGTAATGTCAGATGTCAAGTATCTGCATCCTATGAACGGGGTCACGGTGAATCGTTTCCACCGTCCTCTCCACCCCCATTCTCGCTCTCCTCCGATCCAGCAATGTTACAAATCACCCTTGGCCTACGGAAAGGCTTCGTAATCATGGCATATGCAAGGCCTTTCTTGAAGGTTATCGATGACTATATACGCCTTCCCCCGACGAAGAAGAAAGCGTATAGAAGGAAAGATATCCCTTGGGACGAATGGGGCTTGAAATCTACCTTTTGGTTTGAACCCAAGAATATTTTGAGCAAGTCCACGATGGATGGATATCGCGTCATGACGCCTACCACGTTGTACGACTTCACGCCTCAAGGAAACGGGAAGGCTGCCAACGATACAGAACGCAGTCAAGTTGTGAACGGAACCGACGTGTACGGATGGGGCTTAGACGTGGACCCGAATACCAGTATGCCCTTCCGCGTTTCGGAGTTGAAGGGTCCGGACATGCAGTTCGGTGAATACATTTTGAGCGACGAAATGCTCGCAGTGAAGGTACCTCTTTAGCCCTTCTGCATTATGGTTTTGCTAACGCATTCGAGGAGAACACCACAGGGGAGAAAAGGTTTACACTGTTTACTCCGCAGATCAATGGCTCGATGCAGTAAGTCCCAGTATGGAAGCAGACGCTGAGACATTTTCTGGAGCTATCGGTTGATGGTTAGTCGTGGCTGTTCTAAACGATTTGTACAAAGTCGCGATGTTGTATACAGGCATGTATTTCTTCTGGTTCGAAATGTCAATTTTTTGCCGACATCTGTCGTTGTCGCTATGTTGAAGCCGTTACCCGCCGCTTGACCACCAGTAGCCAATTTGTGGCAACGCAGCGGGCGACCACGGCTGGTCATGGATTTTGAGTGTCCTCCCGCCGTCTGAAGTCTTCGCGTCTCTTCAGCAGAAATCAGTACCGTGATGAGAGATAGACGCTCATCCGCAGCGGTTGTCTGACTGGTTACTTAGTTACGTTTGGATCAATTGCCCGTATAGCCCCCAATTCTCGACTCGAGGAGGATGTCCCAGCACAACATCACGCACGGGCCTCGTCCTGTAATCGCCAGCAATGCTGGCATCTCGGAAGAACAGGAATTGAGCGCGGATCTGCCACCCGAGTTGCTCATTCAGATACTGAGACACGTTGACGCGCATACTCTGTCCCAGCACGACATCACGCACGGGCCTCATCCTCTGGCCGCCAACAAAGCTCACATCGAAGAACAGGAACGGAGTTCGGATCTGCCGCCCGAGCTACTCATACAAGTGCTAAGACAAGTTGACGTGTATACCCTGTTGCAATGCAAGTTGGTGAGGCTTCAGTGGGTCAACACTCCTAAATGAAACCATCACGCTCATGATAATTGCGACTGCTGCAGGTATGCAAGCAATTCAACAACATTGTCAACGAGGAATTCCACCTGCAGTATGCACTCGAGCTGGCTAAAGCTGGTTACGTCGACGGTCCTCAGGTTGAAAACGGCCTCCCTGTTTTCGAGCGCTTCCAGCGGCTCAAAAAACACAGAACCGCTTGGAATGATCTGAAGTTCGACTTGTTGCCAATCAAGCTCGTGGATCATGGAAGAGTCAGGCAGTGGAAGTTCCAGAGTGGCGTGCTTGTGGTCGCTTACCTTCGCAATGCCACGGGGGAGCCCTTTGGCAAGCCTAGGGCATATGACACGCTAGATATCTATTTCCTGCGTTGTCAAAAACCCGACTTGGCATATCGCCGACATCGTCTCGGCTCTGTATATGAGTACTTCGCGATAGACATCGCAGAGGACCTTATTGTCGTATGGAACAGACCACGTACGTGGCTCCCGACTCTGCAGTGAGTAATTGCATCGACACCTAGGCTCGACGGAGTTGAAGTCCATGACGACTTGCAGGCTCCATCCAAAGTCTCTATCGAGTGGTACTTCGCACAATCGCTTTTTCCGAAAATTGATCTCGTGTCGTCTTATCGACGAGTGGACCAAAGATTCTGCAATCAGTATCCGCGGACCCCTCCTGGCGGTAGGGGGTTCTCTTTCGACTGACCTGTACGACTGGACGCACAGAGAACCAACTGTTGGTGTTTCTCTCAACCTCGGATGTATATCTTCTGAGTCATTCGCATGCAGCAGACTACCACTGTTATCAGCTCTGGATATATTTTTCTGTCGAAGTGCTGCATGGTACGGGTTACTTCAGAAGCGCCAGAGTCAGGGATCGAGGTATTGGCTCTTCAGCGAAACTCCGCAAAACCCATCGATGCTATGATCGTCGCTTACTTCGAGCTGCCGACGTCGCAGCAATATGAATGGGTGTATTCACATCCAGGCACAGGCAAACAGGTGAAAGGTATCAGCAATCACGCTGTGCTCTCGTACGCAATGAGCTGCCACGCATCCGCCCCTTGCGACTGGGGCAGGACACATGGTGAACTGTTCCCTCCCTCCAGTCCGCTGCCATTTTCGACGTCGCCGGACGTCCTGCCGCTCTGTTTGATCAATCTGGAGTTGGAGGGAGCCGACGTGACCCTCAGCCACACAATCGTTAGTTACACGCGGCCTTTCTTGGCGATCGCCAATAAGTATATGCGTCTCTCTACCCAGGGGAAGGACTCCTTTCGGTCCGTGTCTGTGCCTTGGCAAGATTGGGGTCCAAGGTCTACCTTCTGGTTCTCAGATCATCCTGATGTCTGGGGGAAAGCCACGACTCACGGATATCGCGTGATGACTCCAACCACTCTTTACGATTTCACTCCCCAGGGAAATGGACAGACCGCTGGTGATACAATTTCCAGCCGCATTGTGTACGGAACCGACGTGGACGAACGAGGGTGGCTCTATGAAAGCATCAAAACCTCCACACCATTCCGCGTCTCGGAGCTGACAGGCATGCAGTTCAGCACGTACGTGATAGATGAGGAAGTACTTGCCGTCAAGGTACGCCATGATCCAGTACGTCTATCATCAGCTAACGACTCGTAGGAGTATCCGGGCGGCACGGTCATGTTCACGCTGCTGGCTCCACAGGTCGATGGGGATCGTGATACTGTGCCTAAGCTTGAGGCGAAGGATTGACTACTGGCGCTAACATGCCACCTCGTCCAGCTCATTGTTGGCCAGTCGCAGCTGCAATCACCATTCGTTATCGTCGGAAGTATGTTGCTGGATATACTTACAGATTTCAATCGGTGTCATCGTGATTCTTTGATTTTAGAGTTCTGGTTCACGTGAGGACATCTACTATGTTTGTTATCTCGACGCGCTAGCGTCATGCTGCCGACATCGCTCTCATTTCCCCTCAGAACAATCTTTACTGACCCTTCCTGCGCTGTCCAGCATCACGATGTCCGCCCCGACACTCGCAGTCGTCGCCGCCGGTGCCATGGGCGCTGCCGTCGCGCGCCGCTTTACCGTCGCGGGATGCACTGTCCTCACAAATCTTGATGGCCGATCCGCCGCAACGCGCGCTCGCGCGGTAGCCGCTGGCATGCACGACGTACCACTCCCCGAGCTCGCTGCGCGCGCCGACTGGGTCTTAAGCATCCTCCCACCATCAGAAGCGCTCGCCTTCGCGACGCGCTACCGCGACGCACACGTGCGCGCTGAATCAAAAATCAGGAGCGCGAAAGTGGCATTCGCGGATTGCAACGCAGTGAGCCCCGAGACGGCGAAGAAGATTGCTGTGCTGTTTGCGGGAAGCGGGATCGGCTTCGTAGACGCGGGCATCATCGGTGGTCCGCCGCGGGATGGATATGACCCGGTGTTCTATGCATCCGCAGAGCTTGAAGACGCGGAGCTGCTGGAAAGCTTCGCAGGCTTGAGCAAGTGGGGGCTTAAGGTCTCGCCGTTGACCGGAGAGGGTGTAGGCGTTGGCGATGCAAGTGCACTCAAGATGTCATACGCGGTCAGTGAGACTACATGTCAATAAGGATTGTGAGAGCCTGCTATTCATTTTGCATATGCAGGGCATCACGAAGGGGTTGACTGGCCTGTGCTCTACGATGATCCTGGGTGCGCAGTGATTGAGTTTGCCCTCTGTGCCGCAGTACTCACTGACCGGCGTCTTGCGGTTACAATATAGCCGCGCACGCCTCATCACCGGCCACCGCGCAAGCGCTGCTGAATGAGCTGAACGCCTCACAGCCCGCCATCTTGCAGCGCATTACTCGAACTATACCTGATATGCTTCCAAAAGCATACCGCTGGGTAGGCGAGATGAAAGAAATCTCCGCCTTTGTGGGCGCTGGTGAAGGCGAGATCCACCAGGGCCTTGCTCATCTGTACGAGCGTGTGGAACGCTCGCTGAAGGAGGAGCAGGAGGGCGGTGGAGGACAGGATGTCAAGGCGTTGCGAGGATTTGTGGATGACGCAAAGAAAGTGATCGAGCGCTCTAAATGAGGCGATCATCCCGATGACACGAGCGGATGCAAGGCTGTTCCATTGCTATCGCGGGTGGTGAAATTTTGCAACATTGAGATGACCGCGGACAGATGACCAGTAATCTGCATATTCTGAGGGTGCCGAGCGCTGATAGTGCACCAGATCCGCCCGTCCCGTTACAAAGGCCCAGTCTCCAGTAAATGCATGTTTCTTTCGTTGTGCTTTTGTGATGCAAGCGGATTATCCACGGCGATTGAGGCTCGGGCGAGGATTCCCCGCTGTAAATCTGACGCCGCCGTTGATGGTGATGCACAAGTACAGTGGCTCTGACTATATGACCGATACTTGACGACCGAGCAAATGAGTCGCTATGACTACTAAGAAGTGAGAATCAACTTGAGAGTAGGTCTGGAGCTGTGAACAACCATCTGACGGGTCAACCATCTTCCCAGATTGTATGGAGGAATCCCGAGTCCAGACATTGCTTGAGGCACAAGAGCGGCTATTGAAGAAGTAGAAGCGTCCAGCTAGACGATAGCGCAGACCACGAGCGGCCGGGAGGGGTGCCGGCGAAGAGCATGGTTCAGGGACCATGCATTGCCGGCGGATGTGCGTCGAATATGGCATCTTGAACCCGTACTTGGAACAGACAAACCCTTTGGATCAAGTTTTTGTGGAACTGTGAGAGAAACTTGGACGTGAACAATAACGGCAGCCGTGGCACTCATAGACTTACGGGAGCAATCATTGCAAGCTTTAGACACACGAAATTTTGGCCGCTGGGGCATCAGAAAGTATACCCGTTTCATGTAGACACTGATAAAAGGTTATGGGGATGGGTATCTTTGTTAAGCCTGAACAGGAGGACTAAAGGACGTGCGAGCATTTCGAACGCCTTTCTCAGCTGGGAATTGACACTCCGGAAGATCAAGAAGTACCTGGTGATATGATTTTGGCACGCCATAATTTCATGACTTGATGTTTAAAAGGCCCGGCCGCATTGAGCATAACAACGGAATCTATCTTTCGTCTTCGGTCCTAGAGCGCAAATTAGCGAGCATGCAGATTGCAGTCGACAGTACTTTGTACGAGCGCGCACAGAACGCCCTAACTCATGGGTCACGTGACGAGCGCGTCGAGCGCGTCTGAGTGGTAGAGGCCTGATCAACACAGGTTTTTCATTGCCATCATGCACCGCGTGGGCCCCTCGGCATTGCTCATCAAAGTATTATCACCGTCGGGCTTCAGCCAGATTCCGCACTCAGATCAATCCTCTCGCGGCAGCTCAGCTGAAGGAAGATATGCTGGGCGTCATCACCGGGGCCTCGGTACGTCTGCGTCCACGCTTTTCCCACTCCTGCTCCCGCCATCTCATATCAAACTCAAAGTCAGGACCTTCCGAATGCCGCCGCCGAGAGATATGAAACGACCAAATGGATACAAGGACGTCCGACATCATCATGCGCACGTCCGGATCCATCTGTCACATTTCAAAGCCTGACTGCTTGGTTGCCTCTCTTCCCACTCTCGTACCTTCTCACAAGTGCCTCCATCTGCCTGCTCGCTGCGCCCATGGCTATCCTGACCCTCGAGCCTCTTGACCCGCTGAGTCTTGTAATTGCGCCGCCTAAGAATGAATCTCCCGCCGATCGTTGGGCGCGAGAGCAGAGAGAGGCACAGGCACGCCTAATCAGCGAACAGATCGACGCCCAGATTAAGGCAGAAAAGCAAGCCTCAAGAAAAAGACTCAAACCGGTCAAGATCCTGTTACTTGGCCAGAGTGAGAGTGGCAAGTCCACCACTGTTAAAAGTTCGTATCATTCTGTCCTTGCTATTCATCATCACGAGTGTGCCCAAAATGTCGTATTCAGCGTGCTGGACTAGTTCCCCTTCCAGCTCCAGGGAGAGGGTGCCCTGTCCCTGGCGCTGGATGAGTACCTGTTTGGTCACATTGTCTATCGATACTCCAGATTGGAGGCGTTGCCGCGAGCGGTGAGCTCCCCAGTCTCATGTTAGGCTGAGGCAACGCCGGAAGTTTACTAGAGCTTTGAACCGCTTGTGAAGTCGGTTGACGCTTGCCCTTCACGGCCAGTCCCTGATTCTTCCGTGCGGCCTCTGAGGGCTCAAATTGAGAAACCTCTGCTGGCCTTGCTAACTTTGAGATGGCAAGCCATCAACCCTGAGAGCCCACAGAGAGTCTGTTATCCGACATACTGCGAAACTTCGTGCTATCTTGATCTTGTGGACCCCTTGCTGACCCAGTGCCTGTCAGATTTCCAGCTTGCCTATGCATACTCTTCATTTCTGGAAGAGCGTTCTGCATGGAAAGCCGTGATACACCTTAACCTGATCCGTTCTGTCAATGCTATCCTAGATGTTCTCTCGAAGGAGATGCCTCGCACTACCTCGCAACCACAATCACCGCTCAATACCCCTCGGAATCGCTCTCTCTCTCGACCATCGACAGTCCGCGTCAGATCCAGCCTGTCAATCACACAACCTTCCAGCACTCCCCCATCTGCTATCCACGTCCGGCCGAGCACAAGTGCCGGAAGCCGAACTAGCCAGCCCTCAGAGGCAACGCTCGTAGAGCCTAACAATGATCCTGATGCAGATGACGACCCAGAAGACGATGACGATGACGAAATAGACTCGAGCGCACCTCCGCTCACCGACCGGCATCGCATGCTCCAGCTGCGTCTCGCGCCCCTGCGGCAGATACAACGTGATCTTGAGCGCAGCCTCGGTGCAGCAAGCACGGAGGCTCCCGAGTTCGCAGGCGAAGCGGCACCTTGGACTCGCCTGGACGATGTTTTAGGCACGCGGGGTACAAGGGAGTTCTCCATCACGAGCCGGAGCGGGTGGAAGAAAGCGCTGAAGCGGGTCAAGGCGGGGTACAGCTCGGGGCGCAGGACGTCGCTGGGCTCCCGGGATGAGGCCCGTGTGGGAACTGGATCAGCAGAGGATGCTGCTCTTAGAAAACAGGTGGGTCCATGTGCAATTATATAAATGTCGGGAATTGACGGATGCCATCTGGCAGCCTCTCGATAAACGGAGAAGCCGACCGCAGTCGCCGTTTGTGTTCGATGTCAGTATGGATGACGAGTATGATGATGAGGGGGAATGCGAGCCACAGGCGCAGAGCGCAGCCGAGGTCATAGCCTCGTGTGCAGAGGACGTGGCGGCGCTGTGGTCAGATGCAGGAGTACAGGCGGTGCTGTCCCGCCGTAAGGCCAAAGCGCGGCTTGAGGAGGGACCAGGCTTGTGCGTATTGCTCATCACAGCCATAACTTCGCGTTGATCTCAGCTTCTTGTTTCTGCATGCCACAGTTTCCTGAACGACGTCGCCCGAATCGCAGCACGAGGCTATGAGCCGTCAGACGAGGACGTTGTGCGTGCGCGCCTGCGCACGATGGGCGTGCAAGAGTACCGGTTTAGATTCGAACGGGGTCAGTCTGCAGACCGCTTTACCTATATAACTATCAGTGTTATACTTACGAGCCATTCCAGGACCAGACGCCGGGCGGGACTGGCTATTGTATGATGTCGGCGGCGCTCGATCCCTCGTGTGTCTTTATATTCACCATCTCGTTACGTTTCTGATTGCAGCATACCACAGCGACACGCCTGGCTACCGTACTTCGACGACATCAACGCGCTGATCTTCCTCGCGCCCATCAGCTGCTTTGACGAGCGGCTTGCGGAGGATCGCCGCGTGAACCGTTTGCAGGATAGCATTCTCCTTTGGAAGGCTGTATGTGGCTCGAAGCTACTGCAGAACGTGCAGCTCATCCTTGTACGTAACTTCGCTTCCTTCCCTTGTGGTGCCTATACACAGAGCGTGCTAACTCTGATTGTATGATTGTGGATACCATCGGAGCAGTTCCTGAACAAATGCGACCTTTTGCACAAGAAACTCTCGCGCGGTGTTCACGTGGCGAAATTTGTCCCAAGCTACGGAGATAAGCCGAACGACGTCCGCGAAGTGGCAAAGTGTGAGTTGCATTTGTCGGTCCTGTCGATTAACCGTGTGCTAAATAGGCCTAATTACGGTATGACAACAGATTTCCGTCACCAATTCAAGGACATTTTCACCAGATATTCTCCCGAGAAACGGCCGTTCTATGCCTATATGACATCTGTCACTGTGAGAGGAGCTGTCAGTTCCGTGGATTGTGGTAACGATATTGTGCATTACTACAGGATACAAAAGCTACAGCCGTTACCGTCGCCACAGGTATTGATGCATCCCAAACACGTAAACGTTCTGCTAATTTTGTCGGTCTCCAGTGCGGGACGGTATACATCGCAACAGCATGAAGGGCGCAGACATGCTTTAATCTAAATTATCGTCGTAACTCTATTTACATATTGGACTGTACGATGGACATGTCAACGCGTAATTTCTTGGTTTTGTAATTGTCGTGGATCCAAGGGCGCGGGGGCCCATCGGTCTGTAGTAATGCACCATACGTACCCTATCGTCCTGCACCATGCTTTATGTCGAGTGTGGATGCCCATTCATGTCAAGCGTAGCTTGTATTTAAATTCGCGTCAAGCGCCATGGAATAATGAATTTCGACCAAGACGACCTATTAAGCGAGTCAGCAGAGATATACCCAAGCACCAGTCCAGTAGACTGTGCATACCCATGCAGTCGGTAGACCGGGCCTCCAAGTCGGCATCCCTTACTGCGAACATCCCGAGAGATTCTCAGGCGGGGATGCGGTGGCTGATGGCACGAAGTCCGAATATTGAGTTCGATAGGTTTTAGGTTGCTTTCCCATAATCCCGCTAGATCCCGCACGACTGTGCTCGTTACACGTCTGACTTGTCGATATGTATCTAGTACCTGTCAAACTTGGGGGCGAGCGACCAAAGAACCCCTTGGAGGAATCAATAGCACAAACACCTAAGCACTTACATCCGATCGGCCCGGGTTGAGAAAGTCCAAAGGAAAGAAACGGGATTCGAGGAATGCACACCTATGACAACGTCCTCAAGCTTCCCAATCACCCCGGTGACTGCTTTTCGAATTCTCGTGTGACTCAGAAGAATACAAGAATCAACGGCGTTGGCCATGGGAAGCAAACCAGAACTATGTGTCTCTCAGATGTCAAACCTCGAGTCTGTATCTCCCTGAGCAGCCAAGATTTCGACAATGTTCGACGCGAGGTTCAAGCTTTAGCGTACCCTTCCCAGTGGTCCGTCAGTCCTCTTAACAATGGACGTCAGGTTGTGCGCCCAAACATTGAGCAACGACGGATCTTCACGTCCACCAACCACCCGTTCGTCTAGGCATCCATCCCGTACACGATGCGGCTGTATTGCGCATCATCGGAATCTTGTCTGTTAGTGTCTCGAGGAGGGAAATCGTACATCATAGCAGGAGTCTAGCGCTATATCCGCACCTCGCGGGCCTCCCCAAGCACAATCGGCGTCCCCAAACCAAGAAGGGTATCTCGGACCCCACTTCTTTCAATGGGGTATTTACCACCTCAGATGCAGTCCCGTCTTCAGGGGAGAGATGCATTAAGCCATCGACGATATTAATACACGGCCCGCGTACACACAAGGCATGACGGGTCAATGAGAGTACATACTGCGATCACTAATCGTGCAGGAGTCCTAGGCCTCGACGACTTCGGAGCGCGCTGACTGAATGCGTTGTGCGACAGAGCGAGTCTTGCCAACACATTGTCGTGCAAAGCGACCAGGATATCGCAACGCTGCAAGAGCATCGAGTCGTCTTCCCTTTGACAAAAGCCCACAAGCTTGTTGAGAAGCCCTGCGGCTCCTGTGAGAGAGAGGGGCCGCTCACATAATAGAACCAGCAGATGGGACGCGGTCGGTGCATGAGGAGTCGTGCAGCCCGTGTTGATGATTGTGGACACCGCAGTCGCAGCCGGCAACGTGACAGCCATCGGCTTCCATGAGACACATTTCGATGGTGGCTGGCGGAGAAGGGGGGGATCTCAATCATGGCTGTCCTGCGGTCTGGCATGAAAGACGCCGCAAGGAACAAGAGGGATGTAGCGGCAGAAATCTCAGAGGCTGTTGTGTTGCTACCGACTGACACATGGGACAGGACATTGTGATAGCCGGTGGTGCTAGCAGCATTGAGACGTGAAAACGTGACTTCTTGCGCTGAATCGTTTCGCGTTGTCGGTCCACACGGCATGTAGCGGCACAGTCAGGCTGCATCTGCTTGTGCTGCTTGACATTTTCTGCACGATCAAGCTTTGTCAATTCAAGCAAATCAAGCTGGCGGGGCAGTAGGCGATCACATATGGTGGAACAACAGCTGCAATCGGCTTCGGCTTCGGATCCGAGGCGAAGGCTCGATAAACATCGGACCGTCCGCGCATGGGGACAATACCCCAGACTTTGCACCATGTAGAAGCTGAGGTGAAGAAGAGGACGTAGCCTGAAACCCGAGCCAATGACGGAAAGGCCATGGATCATGGATAAGCCTCGGTGTTCACATCGCCAGGAGACGCAGGCGCAGGAGATCGAGAGTGTAAAGTGTCATAAGTGTCTCGATGAGCGATAGGGATATTCAATCGAGGAGGGCACCGTGAGCTCCCATATATCCAAGGATGTGATATCTTCCAGCTTCATGGGCAGCTTTTCCAATCTCTTATCCCAAGAAGTTTGCGATAGTTCCTCTCTCCATCTCTCCATAGCATAGCCCATGGTGTGGAACGAGCATCAACAAACCATCAGTGATCACCTGAGTCTCGAAAGGCACCCCTCGAGTTACATGGTCGTTTTTCAGATGGCGAATACAGGCACAATGAGAGCGCAAGTTCGAAATGTCATAAGAAACAATACACAGAAGCTGGCGGCCACTCACCTGCAGCATTCTCAAGGGCTTCGGTCTCGAGGTATAGTTGCCTTAGGCCGTCTATAGTGTGCTGGTGGGGGCCCAGAGGAGGGAACGTGCGCAGCGCACGGCGCAAACCCTCTCGGCAATCCTACACCAGTAAGGTGTCGATAAAGGTGAGCGAGGGGCCAAACAAATGACTCAGCTGCCTCCCAAGATGACTCTGTAATACAGGTCAAAGGCCACGACCTTGATTTTGTCAGCAACTACAGATGGACGAGCTACCAGTGCCATCGAGAATCACAGTGCTGGGTTATCACCTCAGTCTATCGCCACGACACCGTAGAGATAGACTGGGGTGGGTCCCCGTCTCCGGGGATTTGCATTGTGCGCAATGCCACTGCACCCTTCTTCAAAAGCGGCAGAGAACGATGGGCGTTCGCTTGAGCACGGTCCCGCGCTGTCTAGCGAGAAACCTCATCAGGACAAGCAGGAGGGGAGATAAGATCCTTGGCACTTATTTCGGACCGCCTTGTTTCTCGCTTTTTCTCTTCAGCGATATTTAAGCGGCAACTTTGAATCGACCTGGCTTCTACTAGCTAGTCTGTGTTGCTGCAGTACTCTTGCACCGCGAGAAGTAGCAGACACCTCCCATGCCGTCTTGTTGTGCGCACTGCAGCCCGCGTGCCGCATCGGTGCACGCCGCTGGTGATGCAACACGTCCGCTGCTGATATAGATACATGATACATGATATATAAGTGCATGCCGTGGCCCACCGGTGCACCCGCCACACGTCCCCGCGCCGCCGGCGTTGTCCTGGCGGAATGCAATATGGGATGCTCGACGCGTGACGGCCCATCAAGTCGTCGAGGAACAGCAGGAGCGGCGAGCGCCGGACAGAAGCGTCCGCGTCCGCAGCGGCCTTCGTTTCGTCTCGTTTTCTTTCCCGTTCTGATTCTCCTTACGACGCGCGCGCGGGCGGCTGACCAGTGACGACGGGGGCTGCGCGGCGATAGTGCGGGCCGGTGATTCGAGGAGTGCGGGCAGGTGGTTCGAGGACACGCGCGCACAGACGTCTGGCTGGCTGGCCCGCTTCCGTGATCTGATCTGATCTGATCTGGCGAGCCACGACAACGCGGGACGCGAAGGCGCACCTTGCTGCATTTCGAGTCCATCGCGTGGCCTGCTTCGCGCAAGGCTGATGCCGGGGAGGTGGCTGGCTCGATGTTTTGGTAGGTGCACCAGTACTGTTCAACGCTTGCGCCACGCTACTGCCTATGTGATCCCTGTGTCCTCCTCTTCGTGCTCGCCGTACAAGGCTTTGTGTATATAAAGACAAGTCTCGTCCCTCGAGAACCGATGCGGACGTGTCACCTGCCCATGACGTGCAAGTCATAGGCATGACCTCACGAATGCCCCTGCAATCGACCATCGACCCCAAGACTTTAGCTTGACACCCGGGACGTCGGGGGACGTCTATTCTTATGGCACGCCAAGCCTCGTTCGTCGCGCGACGCGCGAGGCTTCGTAAGGGCGTGACGTCTACCGTGCCTTGCCGTATTTGGGATGGGCACTAGCGGGCCACTGGAATGCACTGCGAGCCAAATATACACGCCTTTTGCGTCTCGTGCCAATGGACTGCTTGTTCGGCATGTGCGTTCCGTCCGGCTGATTGTCTCGCGCTGTTGCGTTGTTTGTGCTGCGTGCCCGCGTCAGATGCGGTGCCAGCATTACTGGACGCACATCGCGCCCAGAGAGAGCGGCCCGCCGATGCGCGCCACGCGCAGTATCGCTGCTCCTTGAACTGTGGCATTGACCAACGTCCGGCGTGGACACGGCTTGCGTGTGGACCGTCGTCGAAGGTGCACACGCGCAGGCTGGGCGCTGCTGCGACAGGCACACGCGGCATGCGTGCTGTCGCTGCGGGGACGAACATCAAACGCAAACGGACGGGAGGCGGGTCTGGTGATCGTCGACTGACGAATGCGGCGGGATCACGATGGGCGTCGGCAGGCTAGCGGGGGACGTGCGGGCGACTATCTGCGGGTGTGATGTATGATCCGATACAAGTCGCCGTTTGTGATATTGCGAGGTATTTGCTGCGCGTGGGAGCGGGGAGGCGGGGAGGTCGCCCGACGAGGTCGGGGGTGAGCGCCGACAGGGGTCACGTACGGGCGGGATCTGAGATCTGGATCCGGCTACTTTCCCCGGATTGGCTGACAGGATTGATGGGAGCCCCGCATTCGCGCGCTGGGCAGCGTCGCCCTCGTCGTCGCGTCTGTGCAAGCAAGTGCCCTCTTATCGATGCTCCTGCATCCTGCCACACTCGCGCGTCGATGTGATAGGCTAGCCGTGGCGAAAAGGTTCCGCGGCCGAAAGGGGGATGGCCCGCCAGGCTGAGATCGAAGCAGCCCGGTGCATGACACACCTGCCGAATCCTTCTGGGAGCAGCCCCCCCTCATTGGGCCGTCCCTTCTGGCATCGTGAAACCCAGCGCCTGCGCGAGCGTACATATACTGCCCCGCCCTGCGCGCGGCCTGTCCCCCGCTTGCCCCTCCCACTGCGCACATCATGGCCTCCTTCGACCCCCCAAGCACCCTCAAGCCCGCCCAGGTCGCAGTCGCCATGGTCGAGCACGGCATCGTCAAGCACCGCACCCGCGCAGACAAGGTCTTCTTCAAGGCCGTGCGTCCTCTCGCCCCGTCTGTTCTTCACGGCACGTGCTTACCCCGCCCCGCGCATCCAGGTCGGCGCAGGCATCATGCTCTCCTTCGGAGGCCTCCTCTCCGAGATCATTGGCGGCGGCTCCGCCGGCATCAACGCCAACAACCCCGGCCTCGTCAAGGTCCTCGCCGGCGCCGTCTTTCCCGTCGGTTTGATAATGTGTGTACGCGTTCGCTATTCTTGCCGTCGTCTCGTCGTCTCGCCGCGCTTCCCTCCCATCCCATCCCATCTCCGCCTATCGGCCTCTCCATCACCTCTTTCGCCTTCACCTTCGCGTCCGCGCATATCATCGTAACCGTATCAGGATCATAGCCCTGTTACGGCTACGATTGCGGTTACGGCATCCCCTGCCAAGGCCATGCGCACATCGAGCGCCTTGCATTTCGGCTTCGTGTGCCGCACGCGGGGCCGGTGCGCACGCGTCTGGCCATCGATCGCCACCACTACGCCAGAAGCGCAGAATTCAAGCGCAGAATCCCAACAGAATCCCAGAATCCCATGATCCCAGAACCAGAACCGCAGAACCGCGAGCTGACCATGTCGTGATCCCGCAGGATCGTGCTGCAGGGGCAGGAGCTCCTCACGAGCAACCTGATGGTGCGCGTCTCCGTTCTCATTGGTCGCTTCCCCGCCGCTCACAAGGCTCGCCACGTCCCTGCACCCATCCGGACGCGCACCGCAGATATTCCCCATGGCGTGCATCAAGGGCGTCGTCCCGTGGTGGGGGCTGCCGTGGAACTGGCTTATCGGTGCGCGCCGCTCCGCCTATCCCTGCCGTCTGCGCGCTGATGGCGCCCGGCACAGTGACCTTCGGCAATCTGTGCGGCAGCCTCTTCTTCGCGGCCGTCCTGACCAAGTGTGAGCACGCGCCTCGCGCCCTGCGCCCCGCGGTGTCCAGTGTCCACAGTGAGCGGCTGACACGGCGGGTCGCGCCTTTTGCCTTTTGCAGATAGCGGCGTCATCTCGACGGAGCCGTACATCAGCTACGCGCAGGACTTTGCCCTGTACGTCCCGTCTCTGTCCTCTCCGTCTCGCCCTCCTGGGCGCAAGTGGAGGCCGTCGCGCTGACGCCGGTGTACGTACGCGCGCAGGCACAAGGCGAAGGAGCCGGAGTGGTACCAGATCTTCCTGCGCGGGATCGGGTGCAACTGGCTCGTGTGCGTCGCCGTCTGGGTGAGTGCGCCGTGTGTTGTTGCGGCGCGTGTGCCGCTGGACGGGCGTATGCTGATGAGCGCGATGGGTTGTGGGTTAGCAAGCGGCCGGGGCGCGCGACACGCTCTCCAAGGTGAGCTCGGGCACCCGTTCGTGGTACCGCGGCTGACCGCGACCGCGACCTGCAGATTGTGGCGATATGGATACCCATCATGGTACGCCGCGCGCCGCATCCATCCATGCACCGCAGGCCGCGCGCTCACCCCCGTCCCGTAGATCTTCGTCTCTGCAGGATTTGACCACGGTGAGCAGCGTCTGCGCTGAGACGCCACGGTGCGCACCGCTGAACGACTGTCCCCCTCACAGTGGTCGCGAACATGTTCTCGATCCCGCTGGGCATCATGTTCGGCGCACCCGTGCGTCGTTCATCCCATATCCTCACTGTAGACACGCACCGCTGACGACCCGTTTTTACCGCCCGCTGCAGATGACCGCGGGGTACTACATCGGAAAGTGCGTCGTCTTCCTTCCGCTCACCCGCCCCTTTCTTTTTCCTTGCGCACCGGCGAGAACGCCGCACGGACGCTGACGCTGACATCGCGCTCCACCCCGCAGGTCGCTCATCCCGTCGTACCTCGGCAACATCGTCGGCGGGCTGCTCGTCGGGCTCCCCGCGGTGTACTTCTACCTCGGGGACTACCGCGCGGGCGGGCTGCGCGGCGTCGAGGAGGGCGAGGGCTTCAGCGCCGGCGCGGCGGCCGTGGGCGGGAGCGGGAGCGGGGACAGGGATGCGGACGGCTCGAGCAGCCGGGGCAGCGGCGCGAAGACGAAGGAGGAGCAGTATGAGGTCTCACCGGGCAAGGCGGAGTGAGGTTCTTCCGTATCGGTATCATGGTATGGATAGTGGGGCGCCGCTGCGGCGCTGCTGTTGTCGGTCGACGTTCGACGTCCGGCGTTCGACGTTCGGCGTTCAACATTTAACACACCCTAGACCGCTGTGGCGACGTAATGATTTGTGTAATACTAGGCTGTCTAATGCTACTTTCTTCGATCGATCGCGCGCACGACGCTGTTGGCAAGGGCTGATCGCCGGAGGGCTTGGCTGGGTCGTCGATCGGGCCCGCTCGCGGTTCTCGCCAAGGCCGATGGACATATACTTAGTAGTGCTGGGAATCTCCCGCTCGGCGGTGTACCTGGCTGACGCAGCATGCTGAGTTTTAAGCTTTTGACGGAGCTTCGTCGGTCTCCTCATGGCGGCCAACCAGACCTCTCCGTGCACTCGCGCCCAGGAGGGATGAATGGGCGACAGGGAACTGCAGTATGACATTCATTGCGAATGTACAGGTCGAGGCACACAGACCGCGTGCGTAGTAAGAGTCTCATTTTCCGCAGCATACCGGAGAATACGACCGTCACTGCGTCCCGCGCTGTACGTCGGCCGAGTGGCGCTGCTGACTGAAAGCCCCCACCCCTCCGTCTCTAGCGCCGCGCGCTGAGTCAACCCGTGCGTAGCGGTGCCTGAGCGGTGCCCACGATGCCTATCACGAGGGGAAGCGGCGTGTGAGCACGATCGCACGCTGAATACTCGCACGGGCGCGGGAGGGGGAGGAGGCGTGCACACCTGCGTCTAAGCGGCGTCAACGCCGAGAAACGCGGCGAACGCGAGTGCCATGACCTCGAGCCCGACCTGGAGCTCGCCCGCGATGTCGATGCTCTCGTTGGCGACGTGCGCCTCGGAGATGTAGCCCGGGCCGTAGACGATGGTCGCGTTCAGCGGCGGGCTGAGCGAGTGCACGGGGAAGCGCTGCATGGCCCCGGGGGAGGGAAGAGGATCACGCGTCAGTGCCCGTCGTGTCGTGCGACTGCAGAGGACAGACCGACCTGGTCGTCGCTCCCCGGCGAGCTGACGATGCCCGCCTCCTGGCCCGTCACGACCTGAATCGCGTCCCGGAACACCGCCGCGATCGGCTGCTCCGGGTCGACCCACGTCGCCTCCGTCGCGTAGTTCTCCGCGTACTCGTACCTGAGGTCCTCGAACCCGGGCGTCGCCTTCAGCGCCGCGAGGACGTCCGCGATCTCCCTGCGCGCGTCCGCGAGCGTCTCCCCGGGGACGAGCCGGCGGTCGAACGACACGGCCGCGACGCTCGGCACGGTGTTGATGTTGTCGCCCGCGCGGAGCTGCGTGAACGCGAGCGACGCCATGCGCGCCTCGGGCGGGATCACGCGCTCGTCGCGCCGGTCCGCAAGCCGCGGGCAGAGCGTGCTCGTCGCGAGCTGCACGAACGCGCAGGCGTGGTGCAGCGCGTTCACGCCGAGCCCGGGCATAGAGCCGTGCGAGAGGCGGCCGCGGAAGGTCACGGTTCCCCAGATCGTGCCGCGGTCTGGCGGGCAGGGATAAGCGTCGAGGTAGGAGGAAGAATGCTAGGGAGGCGACGTACGGCCACAGCAGACGTTGGTCGTGTTCAGGGGCTCTGTGATCACGATCGCGTCGATCTCGTCCGCCTTGATGTACCCGTTGTCCACGAGGAACCCCATGCCAGCATTCCGCACGCCAGTCGTTTCTTCATCGACAACGCCAGACTGTTCTATGTTCCCCTTCAGCTTCAGACCAGCCCTCTTGATCGCCTCTACGGCAAATATCTGGGCAACAATGGTCGACAGTTGCAATTTCCATTTGAGCCGAGCACTGGGCATATCGTACCTGCGCAGCAATGCCGCCCTTCATATCGGACGTACCACGGCCATACATGCGACCCCCATGAACCTCGGCACCGAACGGCGGGTATCGCCAGTCCTCGACGGTGCCAATGGGCACAACGTCAAAATGGCCGTTCGCGTGCAGTGTCTTGCGCCCCTCTGTCCCGCGCAGACGTCCGATCACGTTCGTACGCGGCAGACCCTCGCCAGCGGGCGCGAGGGCCGGGAGCTGTTCCGCGGGGACCTCGACGTACTCCACCGCGTATCCGAGCGAGGCGAGGGTGTGGCCGATGAGCTGCGCGCACTCGAGGTAGTTCCTCCCTGGAGGGTTGGTGGTATCGATGCGCACCAGCGAAGCTAGGAAATCGCGGCACTGAGGAAGCACTTCTGCCGCCGCTTGCCTGACTGCGGCGATCTGAGCCGGGGTCAGGCTGCCGGAGATGGTGTATGATGCTCCAGAGGCGGTCATATTCAGGTCTGAGGATGGATATGATGTGGTCGAAAGGAGCCTCTAGATAACACGAGAGCACTATAGGCTCAAGAAGCCGGCGAATCGGTGGAGCGCGCTCGATAAGAACTGTCGTCTTTTGAGATATCAGCTCAGAATACACGAGTTAAGACTTTGCTTTGTCATGATCGTCTCATACAAGCCTGGGCTGATAGACAACATAAGAGACATAAGACAAAGAGAAGCGGCCTGATGAACAGTGTTGTATGTCGAACGAAGCAGAGATGCCGATGCTTGTATATTTCCGGAGTATCGGTTGAGGGTCGTTCGAGAAGACCACGTTGACGAGTAATGGTCGTCGAGAGGGGCACTGTTCGTTGAGTAGTTGACGACCAGTGCAGCAGGAGACAACCTCCGCCTGAGCTCGATGAAGTTCGGTCACGTGTGGCTATACGCGCCGACGCGGCCAGACGCGGCCCCGCTGAAGTTGCGCAAATCTGATTTTCGCGGATACGTGCCACAGCGCGAACTAGTATCAGTCAAGACCACTCACAAGGAAGCAAAGTGTACCCTGGTAGACACAGCCTACGCTTAGCTGAGCATTTGGCTGAGAAAGTCAGCAAGACGCTTCCTTGCATCGTAAGTCCACGATTAAATTGCTATGGCGAACAGTCGGGTTCACTTAAAGTGCCTATCCAACTTCTCGCTCGCATAGCTTATGACTTCTGTAAAAATTTGAATGGCGATGACACCGGCAAATATATCTCATCTCAATGAAACAACCAACGCCCTAACTCTTACCCCTATGAACCATACGAATATCTTTGATACTCCGCGCGGTCAATCGAGACGATAATTCATTTCAAACACTTTGTGATAGTGCATGAGCATCACTACTAAGAGCTAGACGCTTCATGCTCCACTTGAGCTCGCGCTCCGCGCATATCCGCGCCCTCTCTTTCAAGATATGCTCATACGTCTTCAGCTGCCGCATGAAGCCGCTATTCGGCCTCACCACTTGCCGCCTCGACACCGTGTGCCGAAGTGCATCTTCCAGCGACCACCCCTTGGACGCCATGAGGTAGGCTATTGCGACACTGGCGCTGCGGCTCATCCCCCAGATGCAGTGGATCATCACTTGTCCTCTCCGGTCGAAGGCGCGTCGGATCCATCGAATGGTGAAGTCGAGATACTCGATGAGGTGTGCGTCGTGCGTGTCGTCGATAGGAATGCAGATATGGTCCATGCCGGTAGGGAAGCGTGGGCAGCCACGCTTCACCACAGAGGCGACGTGGGTGATGCCAAGACCGCGGATCGTGGCGGGAGAGGTTGCGGTGTACATGTCGCTGATGAATAGACCTGGCACGATCTCGCTGGCCTGGGGGTGGAAGTCATCGAGCGGAGTTCGCTGGATGCATGTAGCACGTAGTGCCCGGCGCTCGAAGTAATCGTCGTCGACGCTTAGGGAGCGTAGCATGGAGAGGGGAGAGTCGGCACGCGGTGGCGAGATCAACTTTCTCGTCTCGGTGTTCTACGCCCGATACTAGAATGAGAATGTGTAAGGGTGAAGGAGAGAATGCGCTCACCTTTGGGGCGTGCTGCACGGTGACAATAGTGACCTCGACGACAGGAGGCACTGGTACGGTTACGGTGGAAGTCATTTCGGGTAAAGTTATGGCAAGCGTAATTGAATAGCGACATCATGGACTCTGGCCTCGTCTTATAGCCACCTAGACAGCGGAAATGACGGATAGGTATCGTCGAGTGGAGTTGTCGGATAAGTTGGGGAGCGGGTTACCCGCATCTCAATCTGGACTGGACATTTACAGTGCTTCCGCACTTGTCAAGTGACCGAAGCCGAGGCTCAGTAGTCAGGATCAAAACTCTGCTCTGAACTTTGGCATCAGGCTCTCGACCAGAAGGAACGCCACATAGACCCAGCCTGTGCACTCAGCCGATATACATCCATCGTCCTCCTGCCTGTAGACATACCTTGAAATACTCACCGTTCGCTCGATGGTCACGCCAAACCACATCGCCTCCCTTTAATTGATCTTCTTCGGTCACCGTGAATTTGCAACGAAGAAGACAACACTGAGCGCGCAATCGCGCGAAGGGCACGGTGCAAGAGCAGGAAGAACATGTGTTGATGACCGTAGTACTTATGTGGCGTGCAGGGTCGATTCAGGGTCCTCCGGCGTATGGCCAGCCAATTATTGAGTAAGGTGGCGTGTCGAGCGGACGCAGAGACGGGGGATTGAGATTGAGAGACATTGCAGAGGCAGGAGCCGAGTCACGGCGCGTGGTCGGAGAGTCTGACTTTCGGACTTGGCTGAGAGTCATTGCGTCGCCATGCATCGTAGTCACATGCATTTTCCTATTCCTTCCGCCCCCCTGCGAGCCGCACCCACAAGACGGCCGTCAGTCAACAACCAAATCGTCAGCCGGCTTACTCGTGGCTGGTTACTGCTGGATACCTTCCCATTTTGTGCTTGAGCCCGCACCCGGATGATTGGCCCGAGATCGTCGTGCGTTGCCGGGGGGGATACACTATCCCAGTTAGCCTTTTGCTCCTCGAGGTCGAAATGCGTTATCGATGCACGCTCGAGCGCTGTTTGCGGTAGTTTTTGGATGCATGCAGGATTACCGTGTCCTTCAACGAGCTCCGGCCCCATACCGCCCGTCCTTAGTGAAGGGGGAGGAAGGCTAGAGCTACCGCGACATGAAGATCTACACCACCCTCCAGGTGAGTTCATCCACCGTGGCGCGTTAGCTGGCAATGGCCATAGACAGAGACCGATATTGCGACATGTGGACGGCACTTGTTTCCACTCACTGCTGCTCGTCGCTCCTTTCCAGGACAGCCCGTCAGTACGCGTTTCGACTATTGCACTCCTTATGCAGGGACCACATGAAATGGTCCCTCGACGTGCGGGCCGTCAGGACAACTAGTCGTGATAGGCCGAGATACGAGATTTATCGATCCTCGGGGCACTGTTTTACCGCGCTGAATCAGTTTAAAAGACCGCATCTGAGAGAGACAACCGACATGACAACAACCTACGACCCGCGACACTCCCGGCCTCTGCTCCTGCTTCAGCGCGAGCCGAATCATTGCTCGTGCAGCTGCCTCATCTTCCGTTCTCATGCATGGGCCCCATGTGGTTTTGTCTGTGCGCTGCTTCATCCTCGGGCAGATTGGTCTATGCATTCTATAGAAGTAAGTCAGACTGATTAATTGGGATGCACTGTCCACATTCTCGGGCTTCATACTAATAAGTCTATAGAACCCCCTTGCTTTCTCGTGCCCCCCTGGGAGCTCCTTGACACCTGGAGCCCCATTCTATGGTCTTGATTCTCCCTCTCATATGCACTGTGACAAACACCCAGCTACTGGGCTTTTGTTATAGTCCATACCATGAGAATGGAAGAATCGAGATCGCGGCATAGGGCTCTGTCTGTCGTATAGCATTCATAGTAGGGTTTGCCCATGGCGCGCACAACCTACTCATTTCTTCATATTCTGGTTCGTCGGAAGACGCGCCCTAGTGACACAGGGACATACAGGGCTCCCCGACAGTACGGCTGCCACCACTATGCAACGGGTACGCACCGTTCCATCACGCAAACAAATCTGGTTCTGACCTCTTCTCGTCCCAGAGGGACGATGCAGCGACAACGATGGTGATGGGATATTGGGCACTGCGTCAAGTCAGTGGTGCAATTACCCCACCGCAGGTACGCAGATCCTGATCTCGCTTCGCGGTCCTGCAAATCTCGTCGCTCACACGTGAATACGATCCGCCAATGACAGAAGGTCTATCTCGTCAACGGGAGCATTCACGATACATGATATTGCACGTAGAGCAATGTCTGTCTCCGCAAGTACTGGCAGACGCCGCGACAGGGCGACCTGGCGAGACTGGATGACTCCGTAGAGCGTATGCTATGATGCCAAGCGACGTACATCGTGGATTTCGAATAGACATAGTTGAGTTGGTGCAGCATCATCCACCTGCGACGCACTGAAAGGCTTTGAGCAAGGTGTGATTTAGTACGTACAGCGCAACATGCCGGTATGATTCAAGCGGCCGCGTCCATTACAGCACAACGCCGATCAAATTCTCTTCCGCTTTCATAACGCGGCTGTCGCAGGACCATATATATTGATACCCACTTCCCGCCATTATCATGGGTCTCGTCAGTATGCGGTGGCATCTGCTTCAAAGGCTCATTTCCTCCTAGTCTGTCTCACTGCTCTGGACACGTACATGTCACGGCTGCATCCGTGGCAGTTCTTCTGCGGATCTTGTCTGTTCACTCTAGGAGAGGATCCCATGTATGTACACCTCCGCACTTGCTCTCAGAACCACGCTGATCACAGCAGTATCTTTGCAATTGATTCCGTCGATACAAAGCCCCGAACATCGCTACCTCGCGATTGCCTTTTGTACCTGGCCAATTAGCCAAAGGCCCGTCAGCGCGCCGGGCCTCCTTTCATGAGGAGGGTTTAGGTCACCTGGCTGCTCACGCCCTCGCTGGCATCGTTATTCCTGGGTTTGGGATGGTCAGAAGACGAGTATACAACGCGGTGAGTGTGCTATTATTACCTCGTGCATTGTTGTTGTATCACACCGGACATCGGTAACCTTTTGTCAAATATTGAGTCTTCGTCTTGTCGTTGGCAATTCAATGCTGGTGGTACTATCCAATGCTCTTGCCAGGAAATCAAAATCAATGTGGCCATAAAGCGTCGCAAGGTCCACCGGGTCGATCATGCTGACGCTATGCAACTTATATCGATCAAGAACTATCCCGAACGCGCATCTGCGATTCAAGCTAGCTGCTACATGGATGCCTGTCCCAACGATATTATGAAGGCTCGCGTACTTTCTAACGGCAACGAGAGGTCACGGCTACGACGTCTCGTAGGTTGTCGAGTCCTTAACTGTGCGATCACGCTGCGTTTACCCTCACCCATCGAGCACAGTCGTCCAGCGCTCCATCAATCTTAACTCCGCGAACATCATGCGAGATGCCTCGCAGACGACCTTCCATCTACAAGTCTTCCACTCTGAGGCACTCATCAGGCACGCTCTGACAGAATTCGGAGCCAAACTGTGCGATGATGGACATTGACTACAGTGAGATAGAATGATACATGTGTATTGTACAGAGTATGCACCAACGACGCTTCTTGGATATAAGCTACGCTCCAGCTCCGACGCTCCGGTACGCATCTCCTCCGAATACGGGGAAGGCATTTGTGTGTGAAACATGGCAATCATGAGCTCGCCTTCCCGCTGAGTTCCCGCTCGACCTTGACGATGTCCTGGACATGCGGGTGTGCCCAGAGCGCCTCGAAGGCATCGGGCTCAATTGGAGGCAGCGGCTTACGCGGGAGGCCACCATAGCCGTACAGCTTCTCGATCAGTGCCTTCGTACCCGAAATCGAGGCCTTCGCAATCGTGAAGTCGGCCCTGCCGACAATGCCCTGGAGGCGCTGAGCCTCTGGGAGTAAGGAGGGGTTCGTGCGCACTCCCTCCGAGAGCTCGAAGAGCCGCACGATAGTATACTGTATATGTTGCGTTAGCCGAAAGGGCTGACAAACATTACGGAAGGTACCCACCGGAGCGACATTTGCGAGGCCAGTAATAGCACCATGGCCATTTGCGTACGCTGATGGGAGTAAGAAGTCGGCGTATCCGCCCAGCACCAGGAACGGGGCGTCCGGGTTTTTGCGAGGATATAACGAGGAAAAGGAAGCATCGGAAACAGTCGCACAGATCCGCGTGAGCTTGCCCACGTTGCCACATCTGTCGGATCTGGTTAGGACGCGTCTAGTTAGGGAGTACCTTAGCAGTACTGACGTTAGTTTTACTCCGGCTAGGTTCGGGTACTCTATGGCGAGCTCTGTGATGAGGTCTGAGTCAAGGTCTATGCCGCCGCTGGCACCAGGGTCTATAACAAGCAACTTAAGGTAACAGCAAGTGTACAAAGGGTCGCGCAACTTACAGTTGTAGATAAGAATCGGAATAGGACTCTTCTCGGATACCTCCGCCCAGAAGGCCTTCAGGGCCTTCTTGGTCAGCGCCCCAGCGAAATAGCCGCTTGCGATTACGATGGCGTAGTCCGCCCCTGCAGCAGCAGCTTCCTTGGTCAACTCCACGGTCTCTCGGGTGCTCCCTGTGCCCGTGCCCGCAATGATGGGTGTTTGTGTGAGACCCGCCTCGTCCAATGCTGCGCGCGCCGCATGAATAATCTCAATACGCTCGGAGTGCGTGAGATGCAACGCCTCGCCCATAGAGCCGGCAATCAGGGGGCGCACGCCGGCCTTCGCTGCGCGAACGACGTGTGACCTCAGCGCGTCAACGTCTGCATCCGGAAGCGTTAGAACCCGACCTCAGCTTTAGGCAACTAGGAAGCTCACCGAGATCCTCGGATCCGGCCTTGAAGAAGGTAGGGATAGGGGCGTAAACGCCTGGAGTGAGCGGGCGGGATATGCTCGCGCCATTAGGCCCTGTGTGCGCGTGGTTAGTTGCGTTGGCCATGGTTGAGGTAGGGATGAGCACAGGGATAGGCCGCCGTATAGGCAGCCAAAGTCCTCGACGAGTTATTAAAGGATTGAAGCTGTCGGAAAGGCCCGACGGCCCGACGGCCCGCTCGCGGTAATCACCCCATCACGTGCCGGCATCCCGAGCAACGGGCCGGCCAACCCCTTCCATCGCTTGCGCCCTGTCGGAGGCGCTGTCGGCCTGTGGTGGCGAGAACGAGACGGGACATTCAGCCTTCGTATCGCCGTTGGCCAAGAGAACGTCGCCTGAAAGGTAACTGTCACTTCAGTTCGGCAGCCCCCTGGCCGGTCCAGCGAACTTCCGCGCCGCGACACCTCACACCCCATGACTGTTGACCAAACCACGAGACGCAGTTCAGCCTGTTCAGGCTTACCTGTTAAGTCAGTGAGTACCCGTTTACAGTACGCTTTGTCGTGCGCTCGGGATATTGCTTACCATGCCGAAGTTTAGTGAATCGAGATTGAGGCTTTGGTTCACACCGATCACTCTTCTCCTGAATTCTAGGAACGAAGATAACGGGTGTTCCAGCGGGTGACTGGCCTTCCGTTGATGCTATCTGTGGTGTGCTATTAGATCAGCATTCTGCCATGTATTGCGTTGACCGTTTGATCACTGTAGCGCCACCTGTAAACTGGTAAATGCATCGTCCGGAACATTGCTTAATCTCTTACCCACCGTGTACTTTTAGAAGGAAGAAGAACCCTCCGCCACCGTCTCCCCAAAGCTCCCATGACATGACTGTAATACGGCAAAAGCCTTGGCTTTCTCCCCGCCTCACCTGGATCAAGATCATTCGCAATGACCTTAGCTTCACTGACATTCTTCTAGTGGTAGCTGTTGTTCTTCCTGTGTCAGAAGGGAAAGACGGGCCGCGAGAGGCCGTACAACGCGTCAACCCCATGATGCATGCTTGTTTTCGCTTGAAACGTCTATGCGAAGAGGCGCTGCTCAGGCGACTAGTTATGTCGGACGGCACACTAAAATGAGGGAGGGAGCCCCGTCAGGAAGCGCACTTCGTTCAGATATGCAGTAAATGGAAACTATCTCCAGCTATTGCAGGCGGAGCCGGAGATGGCCAACTTCCGTGTCAATTGAACCGCTGGATCCAATGGAGATAGGCCACAGGCAACACGAGGCAAGAACTACGCTGCCGTCCTGATAACCCACGAAATAGGGACATGGGTGAGAAAAAGGAAGCACATCTACGCTTAGCGGAAATGCGCGTACGAGCGGTGATCAAGAGAGCCCAAAATATCAAATTATAGACGCAATGTCACTGAACTCGATGGCAGAACCGCTCACAGAGATATGATATGGATTTACAATTGAGAATCGAAGAGGGGATAGGTGATCAGAATCCTTAGACGCAAACTCATGCAATCAACTGAAACAACGTACCGAGCAGACCTCCGCAATTAACCTTCTCCCTTCATTTCGGACCCCAGGGACTTTCCTCGGAGATTCACCTTAGCCAGACCCATGACAGACCTTGGGTAGAGCCGCCGTTGAGTATCACAGATTCATCTGGTGACACCGATGTTTAGAAGAGTCTAGAATGCATATTGGGATAAAAACTCAGTCGCTACACATATAGCAAACCAGAAAAGAGGTGTTTGTGATGTAAGCGCAGTTTTTTTATGTATTCAGCTTTGAGAACAAGGAAATTTCGCCGTATAATGCCGCCAGCGACGGTCTCGTAGACTTCACACCGCCACATGTGTGGCGTCCATGTCTTACGGCGTCACACTGTCACATACACGTGACCGTGGCGAAAGGCCGAGTCGGTCTGAAATCGGCGTTTCGGTTCGTCGGGTCGTTCAATGGTGCCGTGTTCTCGCTCAGAGCGGCCCGAAAAGCATGGGCCGTTGAGAACATTCTTAGAGATCTGATGCGCCACCGCCATAAAATTCTCCAATTGTACCAAGACTCAAGAGGTCGGACATGCCAATTACCCACTGGCACGGATCTGGCTAACGCGTTGAGTTTGGGGGCAAATGCAAGTATGAGGCGTGCCTATTGCGATGAAGTATTATGAGTCACTGCATGATTGATAGCTATGGGGCGAGGTACAGGATTTCCAACGTCATCCGAGATAACGTAATTAGAGAGCAAGCAAAATGCCCGATTTGGTTGCGGTGACCGTTACCATTCGGCGCTTGCACAGACTCACCACCTCGTCGAGCTGTGTTGTATCGTGCTTTTGTGCTCGTTTTCATCGCTGCTGCTGCTGCTGCATTTACCTTATAATTATCCTGAAATCGCATGAGCCTCGTGTAACTAATTGTGTGTGGTCTGCAGGCCACGGGAAACCATGCGCACTGCGCATGGCAACCCCGGGACTCCCAAAAAGGTAAGTGCTCAGCCTCGCTTTGTTCTGCGTCTGCAGTATATAAGGGCGGAGTGACCTTGTCAAACACGTACCGCATCTTATTTGTCCCGCTCTTCGTCGCCACTGCCCGCGGTCCTATCTGCTCACTAACACCATCTGATCTTGCCTATTATAGTTGCTGCGATCCATTTCCACATCAAATTCATCGATTGCTCCCGCTAAAGCTTCCTTTCACATCATTCAAATCAGTGGCGCAGTCAGATATACTCTGGCGACGTACAAAGCAAAGTAGGCCACTCCACTTTGACAACTCTCCGCTTTCTTATAAGTAGATAGCAGCTCTTCCGCCGCATCCGTCCCAGGCTGTCTCATAACTCCACAAACAAGCATACCTACAGGTATCGAGTTCTCAACGTTTCTCTTCCATCATGAGCTCTGCGTTTTATCACAACACACGACCCATCCTCTCGGATTCCCCCACACTCACGTACGACGCACCCACATATCCTGGATTGCATGGCTTCACGGGCACTGCCGCACTCCAATACCCAACGTCATCTATGCCTGCAGAGTACTTGTCTATGCATTCGAAGGAGCCCATCTTTGCTACCCCAACAAGTGCTATGACTCCACTGATACCGGCCGAACACTGTATCGCGTGCTACCCAAGGCGGGACTTTCCGGACTATCACTACAGCCTCGGTCCCGGCATGATCTCTGTACGAAGTCCTGACATCGAGCAGTACCTTGTGGCCCTTGCACGCAAGTATAGTATGGAGGTAGGTCAAGCTGCTGGGTCTGCTACATCATGGCCTACTTTTCAGTCTGCGGATTCGGCGCGTCTCAGTAGCGTCAAGGAAGTAAGGCGGCTGCTCGGATTCCAGCACGACAGTGACCTTCCGGACATGTGGTGCAAATATATCATAGCGCTCGCCGGACTGGCAACTTACCCCGATCCTAGTCATCCAGCACACGCTGCGTTGTGGGGGCCCGCGGTGCGCGATCGTACTGCGGCGATCATACATGAGATCTATGGTGCGTTGCCGTCGATTCTCTCAGGACGTCGAGTGACTGTGTTTGCAGGATACAATCCGCCACTGTTCGACGGGTCTGTTGTATACTTGCGGAGGGAGATATCTCCGCCTGACGTCCCCCCTGCACATAGGGCGCAAATCATAACGATGCCGCGCCACCGCGAGGCGGCTGCAGCCGATGTTGCCACTAACATCGCACCATCCGATTCCGATTCCGATTCCGATTCCGATTCCGATGAGCCACCTCGCAAGCGCGCGCGTTTCGTACACATTGCGCGGCAAGGCGCAGACCCCAACAAAGTCTTTGACGCGCTTGTAATGTCAAGATCAAAGCCAAAACTAGAGCCGACACGCCGCTTGACACGGCAGGCTGCCAGACTCGCCGCGATCGTGCCAGAACCTCCTACGTACCGTGGCCAGAGTCCGGAGGATGCAAGCACGCGCTCGAGCACAGCCGTGAGTTGCGATTCAGAGGAGACAGCCCTGGACACAATCGCAACCACACGGTGTCGCAAGAGGAAAGAAAGAGATGGCGATGATGTGCGGGATGAAGGAAGCGGGGAGCGCGAAGACGAAACGGACGCGCTGCCCGCGGATAGACCGCGCAAGACATCATGGGAGAGTAAACGCGCCACATCGACGAGTGCAGCCAAGGGCCCTACGCGATCACAAGGAAGTATCAATGCTGCGAGGGTGTCAATCACAAGAATGCGCAAGTCTAGGAAGGCATGAGGTGTTGCAAATGGACTCACATACGTTCGGATGTCCGTGCAGCATGGCACGATGATTGATATCCTGACAAGTCCGCTTGCTGTACATTAAATTATTGTTTTGCAGGAATCAGATTGTATTTATATATTCTCTTTTGTGTGCCACTGTTCGACATTGCGTTTGCCGCGCGATCATTCCCAGTGAAAAATAGCTCTGAGCTGATCGACGCTGGTGTGAGCTCATATGTGTTATCGATTGCCATCTGAGCTCTTATGCGTTGATCAGAGCACAATATGTGACTCACGTCAATGTCTCGACATTTGTTAGCTTAATGTCCAACGTTCGTGAGCTTAGTGCTGACTGCTTAACGTAACGGACGCCGTTAACGTTGTGCTTGGCCTGCTTGCACTGCGCGCGTGTCACTGTACGCGTTCTAACATGAATTGTTTTCCGCATGTGCGCATAGTTCGTTGCTGCCCTGTTTCCCTCCTGATTCCATGGCATCCTCATCGAGTAACTACCGCTGGTGCAATGAGCCTGTCTGATGCAGTCAGTGCTAGCTATACTGGATTAGCTCGGTCAGCTCGACACATTCAGTGACTTTGTTCATGGGGATGAATACATCAAAGGCGAAGAATGTCAACTCGTTTCTGTATCCAGGCCTGCATCATCTCGGTGCTCTCATGAACGAAGGCCTGCCCGTCTGGGATCCATTACGTCAGGTACACTATCTTTCGTAGCCTTCTGACGTCACTCTCTGCCTCCACAGGCGCCCGGTCTTCCTCTCCCCACGTCTCTGCGCTCTTCCTTTCCTCTCCCCACTGCCATACACACTCACTGCCCCCAGTCCGCGCAAACGACGTTAAAGCTGCCTACACTGCCTATGTCTTGTCTGACAAGAAAAATGGAGAGATCACGCGTGAAACAACTGCGCGGGGCCGCATACAATCCTGGTGCGCATATTGAAGGCTAACGAGTGAGAGCTATACAGAGTGACATTGGCTTCAGTACGAACTTAAGGAGCGGACTCGGTAAATACATATACAGAGTTGTATCTAAGGTATGTCAGTATGATAGTATGGGGCGAACAATGCGCTAACGACTTGCTTCAGTACGACCTTAAGGAGCGAACTGAAGCCTGTTCGTGTCCACGATGCGAACACTCTATCGAACGAAAGGGGACCCGAACTGTATAGTACGCCATACAATGAGCAAACAAAGTCCGAATCGTGCCATTGGCGCATCATCGCCGGACGTCTCAACGACTTTGAAGGGGTCTCCGACGAAGCCCGCGCTAAGGCTTGCGCTCTGACAGTGCAATCCTGATGATTCTTTGTTACATGCGCAGAGTGCGTTTGCCATGGTTGCACAACGTCTCATCTGGAGGGTTCATGCACGAAAAGATTGCGCAGGCTCGCGCACAATCTTGGTACGCAAATCTTGGTGTGCAATCCTGTTGATTTTATGTAATATGGAGCTCTAGCTCTGCCCCTCGCGTTTCTGAGTATCCCCCGCGCTACGGTAGGCACGACCGCTCTCCTCCTCCGTGATCATGCATACGAGCGAAACGGGACGAGTGCTGGGTCCGCTCGCATAACATCGGGTGGACGGGGTTCAACTCGGCTGTTTGACAGAGTGCGACGTGGGTGCAAGAGGATACCATGGGACCATGGGATGGGCTCTCAGCTGGCACGGTCAGCGTTGGTACGTCCCCTTTACATTTGCCATTTGCCATTCTGCTGATCTGTGTGTACATATTGCTCGTCTATCTAGCCCATCTGCACCCCCTACGTATCACCCTCGCACTGTCCCTTGTATCGGCACTCCTGTCATGGTTAGCTCTGCACCATGTTCGCATTTTTAGAATAATCCCGCTGACCGCGTGTCCCCACACACACATCGCGCCGCAGTGCGCACGAGGAGGTGGAGGTGCAACTACCAGGCGGATGGGTGACGAGTGCGAGGATCAGGTGCGCAGGGTACAGAGAGCGAGTGGAATGGGGAGCGGGGAGCAGGGAGCAGGGAGTAGGGAGCGGGGTACAGGGAGCAGTGTTATGTACTCATATGGACGCATACCAGCGAGGATGTTCGAATTAATATAATATGCGTTGATATGTGCTAGTCGATTCGAACATACTCACACATATCGCGACACACTGACACAGATAACGGTATGTGTTTTTGCCATTTAGTATGTTACGATATGGGCAGGTATGTGTTTTGGGGCCCTCGGACCGACGCATACCAGCGTCGATCAGCTCAGAGCTATTTCTCACTGGGGCTGAACTCTGAGTCACTTACTTAGGGAGAATCTGAGCACGTGATCCTGCACGTATTCATGTGGATGTTGGGAAGACACGAGGAGCAACGGCATCACGACAAAACTTGATCAGCAAGAGGGGGGCATGTAGGGAAACTGACATAGACATCAACATACGGGCAGTTTTGCAGAGGGACGCGCGTTAGCGATGATATTGCGTTCACAGGATATGCTGGGAAACATCTGGCTTTGCTTTCCGTCAAGGCGCTTCGCACGACACTGATCAATGGCGTACCGACAAACACACGGCATTATGCGCGACGCACCGGCGAATACACAGTTGTTCCTTTTCTTTCTGCTCATCCATCCGTTCTGGCTCTGGAATGGTTCAGGAATCTAACGCGTACCCTTTTATTGTTTTCCTCCGGCCTTCGGGCTTGCGAAGGTGGTACATTGCACATCAACAGCAGGAACGAGCCTGTAAAGCTGCAATGGTGCAGCATTAAGATCACAGCACTATGGAGTGCAGAAGGTGTTTGTTTTTCCGTCAGCTGGTAAGTGGCGCCAATCGGAGACTTCGAGTGTGTTGGCAGACATAGTGTCTATGCACGAACTTGCTGGCACGTCCGACCACATATACACCGCTACGGCGTCGCCGGAGGCCTGTGCCCGAACAAGCTCGATCGCCGGCCCGACCCCGGCCGCCACGCGAAAATGGCAGTCAAGCTGCTGTATATAGCAACTCTACGCAAGTAGTGACGTCATGTGGGGGACGCTGGAAGTAGAATGGAGCGCATGACGTCCGCCAAGCAGCGTCGCAGGAGCACCAATATCATCTAATGCGTCGCCAGCATCCTCCAAATTCCCCCACCATTCCCTCTCCCTCTTCTTGCTTCTTGAATGCCTACCATGTCCAGCATCAAGAAAGCCATCCACCGCGCACGCACGTCCGTCTCCAATCTCTCTTCCCGCAGCAAGTCGCCGCTACCGTCGCCCACGTCCCAAACCACTAATGGCAAGGCACACCCTTTTCTCAACGGCGACGCGAAGGCAGCAAACGGTGTGCCACAAATAGTCGTCGACAACACCAACGCGCAGGGTGAGACCGCCGCGCAGGAGCAACAGCAGAATGTCCCCGACGACCCGCGCCAAACAAACCACTTGCAACGACCATCCACAAATTCCAGATCGCGAAGGCTGTCGTTCACAGAGCAGAAGGCAGAGAGGCGGGATGAGCGCAGAGGGAAGGACGAGGAAGAGGACAGGGCGCGCAAAGAAAGGCAGAAGAAATTATATGATGAGGTGCGCTTGAGATGTGTCCGTCTCGCGTTCTTCATGTTGACTTCTGTCTGTAGGACCCGCTGCGAGACAGCTATGGCGACCTACCACTCAACATGTCCCAACAAGTGTCAGGTGCTTGCATCTAGCAAGAATTCTCTCAGCAGACCTGGTGTACTGATTTCTGACACAGAATCCCGCCTTCATTCGCTGATCGGGGTCGCGAGCATGAACGAGGGGCAGCATGTCACATTCCAGGCCCGTGTTCACCACATTCGACCACTAGGTATGACGCACATTTGAACCTAGCGCCCGTACGCGCTCATCCTTAGCTAGGATCCAAAATCATCTTTATGGTCTTCCGAAGTCAATTGACGACGCTGCAAGGGGTGTTGACGGAGGAGGAAGGGGTTATCTCACACAATATGGTCCGATGGGCCGAGGGCTTAAATCGCGAAACCATCGTCCTCGTCAAAGGCGTCGTACAGAGGCCGCCGGACGGCCAGGAGGAAGTACACAGTACGCGAGTACATAACCATGAGGTCAAGATCCAGAAGGTGAGACGTTGTGATGTGCTGTGAGTGGCAGTTGATACATCTTGTGACAGTTGTATGTTATCGTTGGCCCAACGTCGACGTTGCCGTTTCAGGTCGAAGGTGTCTCCAGGACAGAGGAAGCTGATTCCAAGGTGAGTATATGCGGTAGGCTTCGCATCATGGGGGTCGTCGTAACGGTGATATTAGGAAGACGCGCATTTGCCTCGCGTCAACCAAGCTACGCGATTTACCAATCGCGTGCTGGATCTGCGAGTACGTGTGGACATCAATCTCTCGTGTCTCCATTTCCTCATCGATCGCGCAGTTACCTGCAAATCAAGCGATTTTCCGGATACACGCAGGGGTCTGCCTGCTGTTCCGGGAGTTCCTGCAGAGCCAGGGCTTTCTCGAGATTCAGTCGAGCAAATTTCAGGAGTCGAGCACAGAGAGTGGTGCAGAAGTATTCAAGGTGGACTACTTCCGACGGCCGGCGTTCCTCGCTCAGAGCCCACAGCTCGCGAAGCAGATGTGCATTGCGGCAGATATGGAGAGAGTATTCGAGATCGGGCCTGGTGCGTCTTTTCTGGAGTTCGCAGTAAAGCTACAGGTATCGCTAACCGATTATATGCGCTGGTGGTTGCAGTCTTTAGGGCTGAGAATTCAAATACTCACCGACACTTGACCGAATTCATTGGTCTTGACCTGGAAATGCAGTTCGAATCGCATTATCACGAGGTGTTGGACATAATCGACAGGATGTTCATCCACATGTTTCGTGGCCTGCAAGAGAGGTTCCGGGAAGAGGTCGGTACTCTCTCTTGCTCATCGCATCCTATTGGTGTTCACGTCTTGTTTTCTACCCTCGTGTCTTGACGTGCGTATCATATTGGCAGATCGAGGTCGTGAAAGTACAGTTCCCGCACGATGACCTCGTCATTCTGGATGAGACACCACGGTTGAAGTTTGCTGAAGGCATTGGGATGCTGAAGGAGAGCGGGTGGAAGGAGGAGGATGGGTCGCCGGCGGATGAGTGGGATGACTTGAGCACGGCGGCAGAACGACGGTTGGGTCAGTTAGTGAAAGAGAAGTACGGTGCAGATTACTACATCTTAGGTGAGTGATCAGTCGCTGTGGAGCGAACGGTGAAGCGGAATTGACGAGGGACGGGGTAGATAAGTTCCCACTTGAGGCCCGGCCGTTCTATACGATGCTAGATCCTGAGGACGACGTGAGTTACGGTCGAACGTCATATAATTTCTGAATGCTGACGCGTATCTTTGTAGCGTCTATCCAATTCATTTGACATCTTCCTGCGTGGCGAGGAGATTCTGTCCGGAGGGCAGCGAATACATGTTGCACCAATGCTGGAAGAGCGCATGCGAGCCGCCGGGATCGACCCCGAGAGTATGAAGGACTACGTGAACGGCTTTCGCTGGGGCTGCCCACCTGTGAGTATTCGTTTACCTATCCTGTTGTGTATACTCACCATATCACCTTGCGTACCAGCACGGTGGAGGCGGCGTTGGCCTGGAGCGGGTCGTCATGCTCTTTCTCAAGTTGGGTGATATTCGCCACGCAAGTCTGTTCCCACGAGACCCGAAGAGTTTCGCAAAGAACGGTAAGGACCTAGCCGAAGCATCCATGAGCGCAGCAATGGCTATGGTCCTGCACGGACCCGAGGAAAAGACATTCCAGGAGGGTCATCCACACGGTGACCTGCCTCCTCTCGAGGACGTAAGTGATCTGCTACCATTGTCCTCAGGCTGAGGTGACATACTGACAGGGAGGAGCAGCTCATCGCGCACTACGGCGATTCGACGAACACCTCGTGGATAGACCCTGCGTGGACAGTGTGGCGGGACACAAAGACCGGGGCGGCGGTCGGCTACATCACGCAGAGCCACTTTGCTGTCGCTTTCGGTAACCCGCTGTGCGAGCAGAAGCAGATGTTAGGCGTGATCAACGCGTACTTGCAGCACATCGAGGAGAAGAAGCTCAAACCAGTGTGGTGCTGCATAGGCCAAGAGACCGAGCGCGTACTGGCCGAAGAGCTACATTGGAGCGCGATTATAGCGGTGGCGGAGGAACGCCTCAATCCGATCGAGGTGGACCCGGCGTCGAATGACAAGACGGTGCGGCGGAAGGTACATAGAGCAGAGAGAGACGGGGTGAAGATCATCGAGATAGACGGAGAACCCGAGGATGACATCCGCCAGAAGTTGGAGGAGCGGTGCCAGGAGTGGTCGGAGCACCGCAAGGGCACGCAGATACACCTGACGGGCGTGCGACCGTTCGACGACACGCAGCATCGGAAGTACTTCTACGCAGTTGACAAGGACGGCAAGGTAAGCATTCTTGTCCCTGTGTACTCGTATAATCAGGGGCTCACGAGTGCGCTGTAGCCGTGTGCTATGGTCGTCCTCGCACAACTGTCACCGGCGCACGGTTTCCAAGTCAAGTGGGCGCTCGAGTTCCCCGGAGCACCCCTAGGCGCAATCGAATATATCCTGACGCACGTCATCAAGAAGCTAGGCGATGCGGGTATCCGGTGCGCGACATTCGGCGCGGGCGCGACGGATCGGCTACAGCGCGTGGAGAACGTCGGCGGATTTCGTGTGCGAACGCTCGAAAAGACGTACAACGGGCTCTCGTCGCATTTCAACCTTTCTGGGAAGGGCGACTTCCGCCAGAAATTCGGCATCCACCCGGAGCCGGTGAGTGGCCTTCTGTATCTGGTGTCGTTGTGGGAGGGTGTCTGACCTCGGCGTCGCATGTCTGCAGATGTACATCTGCTATCCTAAGGGTGGCTTGGGCGTGAAAGGCATAGAGGCGATCATGGGGGCGCTACAAATGCCAAAGTGAATGTGCGCAGCTTTCTTTCGTGCAATGTGTCTGTTTGATCGTATCCCCGCATTGGATTTGTATATCATACTATACACGCTGTGCCGCCGCTTGTGCTGATAACCTACGGATACGGAATCGCCGGTGTGTTTTGGTCCCCTTGATGATACCGTACATGCTGCTCGTCAGTCTCCACTACTTACATTATTCACGGATGAAATTACCTCTAATGCGACGGACTGGATGTTCATGGGACACCTTTACGGTTTCTATAGACGCAATACCACTGCGCGGTGCCAATGAACCTAATGTGGACTTTGTGAAGGCTGCTCGCCAGTAGATTTAATATGATCAAATCGACTCTGTGGGATGTGAACGGGTTTGAATGGAGGTGATTGTGAGTAGGGAGTCCTCGTATTCCGACAAATATGGGTCTGCAGGTGGATCTCAATCTCGATTCGCCGGTTTTGCCCGATGTCTACAGAGCGCACATCTGAGTCACCGTTCTTTGACCATCTACTACGACTTGCTTCGAGTTGACCGTCTTGTTTTCTCAAATTTCATGTCAATTCTGCTCGCTGCCATGGACTTTCCATCACTTCAGATTTCGCCTCATCTACTCGCAATAGTCCCACTACTACGGCTATGCTGCCGCTGCGTTGGCCCAGCATGAATATGCTGGTTGCCTAGTGTCTCTTATCCGCCCATGTGGTCATCTCATCGGAATGGAAATCAACACCAGTGCTACCCATCCGGTGGTGAATTGCATAATTGCGACCCGGTGCACATGCATCTGTAGAGGGCTGGTCGCGGACGATCCCCATTCTGCTCCTACGCTGACACTGACACCACTGAGACACCGAAGGTGTCCTCGGGCGTTCTTCCGTCGGTGGTGTATGACTCAGAAACGGCTTGCCGATTTCATCTCACTGCCTCCGTCCATGTGCACCGTGCTTCGGATTTTGATCGACGCGTGTAACGCCGAGCAAATTCGGTAGTGAAGCCATTCGGGACATGGGGCACGAGTTGATGGTCCTATGTGTCCACGCTGGTTGGCGTGCATTCGCCGATGCGGTCGTATTCGTAAGTCCGGAGCTTCGTGGCATCCTGTACCCGCTATGCGAATCAGCCTCTATAAAATAACGCTGCTCTCCTTGTCCGCTCTCCAACTTGAAGTGTACTGCCAGTGGGGCACTCTGGTCCAGGTGTCGTCGCCATGCTCCGACTCAGCATTCTCGTGCTTTCTTTGAGTTCGCTCATTTGGGGCAAGCCTTTGGCTAGCACCATGAAAGTTCTTGGGCGGCGAGAGGCTCTGCCTGCGGGCTTTACACTGACTGAGCCAGCTTCTCCTGACACTATACTCAAGCTGCGCATTGCGCTCGCACAGAGCAACCCCGCCGGGCTCGAGGACGCCCTCTACGATGTCAGCACTCCATCAAGTCCAAACTATGGCCAATTCTTGACCAAGGAGGAGGTTTGTCGTCCTCATTACACACCTGCTATCATCGCACGAACATTACTCTTTTCAGGCTGCGAGCTTTGTTGTGCCTTCACCCGAAACTCAAGCCACCGTGAACGCGTGGCTGGCACAGCACGATATCGATGCGACACCTCTAACACCCTCCGGTGACTGGCTGAGCTTTCAGGTTCCAGTTAGCAAGGCGAACGAGATCTTCGAGGCTGAATTCAACGTCTATACGCATGGTGACACAGGGAGGCAGACAATCCGGACGATGTCATACTCCATCCCTCAAGAGCTGCAGGGCCATCTCACCGTCGTCTACCCTACGACAACGTAGGTCTGCATGCGGATGCTGTTCTCGAATTCAATGGCTCAATCATTCGTCCAGGTTTCCGAGTATGAGAAAAAAGTCACCAACTTTGGGCTCAGTGCACGATTCGCGCAGGCGTGCTCTGCAGTCTGACAACTCGGCCGTCGCCTCGTCGTGTGCGAATGAGATCACGCCGTCGTGCCTACAGTCTCTCTACGGCATCCCTACCACGCCCGCCACGCAAAGCTCGAACAAGATTGGCGTGGCTGGGTTTGACGAACAATATGCTGACGATCAGGATTTGAAGGTTGGTCTTCGCGTATCAACGAATATGTGCTACTCGACGTTGACTTTGTCGCCATAGACCTTCCTCAAGACGTACCGTCCGGACACGTCTGACACCACTACATTCACTGTGCAGACGCTGGATGGAGGATCCAACTCCCAGCAACCGTCAGATGCAGGCACTGAGGCGGTCAGTCATTGAAACGACCTCTAAACTGTTCCTGACTATCGTCCGTAATCCAGAGCCTGGACATTCAGTACACCGTTGGAGTTGCTACGAATGTGTCTACGATCTTCATCTCGGCAGGGGAGCAAAACCATGATGGCGACCTCGAAGGGTTTCTAGACATGGCAAATTTCTTGCTCAACGAAGACTCGCTTCCACAGGTCTTCACGACCAGCTATGGCCCTAATGAGAATGACATACCGCTTGATCTGTCTATGTGAGCACAGACATGACGGCCAGTCAGATTAAGTAAACTCACGTTTATGTGTAGCAACGTGTGCAACGCCTACGCTCAACTGGGAGCCCGTGGTGTCTCAGTTCTCTTCGCATCCGGTGACGGCGGAGTCTCGGGAACGCAATATGACTCTTCGTGCAGCGGCGAATTCATCGTGCCATTCCCTTGTGGTTGCCCATAGTAAGTGACCTCACAACGCATCATAGTCTAGCATTCAACATCGTCTTGCAGCCACACCAGCGTCGGTTCTACTAACGGAATCAGCCCTGAAACCGCCGCAGACTTTTCTTCCGGGGGCTTTTCGAACTATTTTGCGCGCCCGTCGTACCAGGATACAGCTGTATCCGCCTACCTTGACTTCCTCGGCGACAAGTACAAGGGGCTTTACAACGCGTCCGGACGCGGTTTCCCGGACATCTCCACGCAGGGCGTGAACTTCGACGTGGTGATCGACACGGAAGTGCAGCAAGTGAGCGGGACGAGCGCGTCGAGTCCGACGTTTGCGTCCGTCATCGCACTCATCAACGACGAGCTCATTGCGGCGGGCAAGAGCCCTCTTGGATTCCTCAACCCCTGGCTGTACTCGACGGCGTCCGACGCGCTGAACGACATCACCGAGGGGGACAACCCGGGCTGCGGTACGGATGGCTTCTCAGCAACGACTGGGTGGGATCCGGTACGTGTTTATGGTCCTGCTGTGTCAAGGGAGTGCAGTCTTGACAAAGTATATGGCCGTAGGTCACTGGATGGGGGACCCCGAACTACGCCAAGTTGAGAGCTGCGGCTGGCTTGTAGAGGGTCGAGTTCGCGTTTTCCTGCCAGCATTGTAGGCTGTTGTTTTCGCATACCCGCCGCCACACCAGACATATCAGCCGAGTGGATCGGGTCTGTCGGTAACCAGTATTGTAGCTCCGCTTGAATGAAGATGAAGTGATCAGCGTCTGAGTGCTTCCCATCGCAGTCTCGAACCGGGTGCAGATGAAGGTCAAGCTACCGGAGCAGCCACTGGCAAATCCAGGTGGCAAATGCCTGCTTTGTGTGGTCAGGTGAGCCATGCGTTGTGGCGGCAAGATCTTTCAAAGTCCAAGGACCCTTCTAATCCGACACCTTCCCGGAGCTATTCTAAGCTACACGGACCATATGGACCATCTTGATGTGGTTTGTGTATTAGTCAAGGATAGGCGTCGCGACTCCGCCAAGCCGACGTATGTACACTTTTCACAGCATTTGATATCGGTCCACATTCCATTGCTTCTGTCGCGGTCTCGTCAAGCCCGGCTTCACATGTGCTCCTCGGGTCGCCTTTCCTCTGCCACGCGTACTTCTCTTATCTCTTGCGGGGGTGCAGAGATCCTCCCGCGCAGAGTAATATTGTGTTATCATCTGGGACAAATCTGTCGCACTGGTGACTACTATATTATGTTTTGCCTGGTTGAGCTCGTGTGCAAGAAGTGTCTGCTCTTCTCCCAGCACCGCCTCTCCTGTCGCCATGTTCCTGTTCCCAGTGGGACTCGTCTTGAGCGCTCTGCTCACTACCGCCTCTTGCACGCCGGCATCTACTGGCTTGCATGTGCTTGGACGCCGGGATAGTCCTCCGTCTGGCTTCACATTCGTCGGAGCAGCATCGCCAGACTCCGTGCTTAATCTGCGCATTGCACTGACGCAGAGTGATCCAGCTGCACTCGAGGAAGCGCTCTATGACGTTAGCACGCCTTCTAGTTCGAACTACAAGCAGTACCTGAGCAAGGAAGACGTAAGTGCGGTACAGCAAATATCGTTATTTTAAATGACTGGACCGCTTACAGGCTGCAAACTATGTGTCGCCATCCTCCTCGACCCGGTCAGCTGTGGACAGCTGGTTGCAGCAGAACGGACTGAATGCTACAGTATTGACTCCTGCTGGTGACTGGCTTGGTGTCCAGGTCCCCGTCGAGCAGGCGAACGATCTACTGGCTGCACAGTACAACGTCTACGCACATGAGAGCACGGGCAAGCAGACCATACGGACCTTGACGTACTCAATTCCGGATGATCTGGTGGGTCATGTTGCGGTGGTGTACCCGACTACAACGTAGGCTGCCGATTTCCCTTGGTCGGGAACATGTTAGCTGATTATTCGGGTCCGACAGATTCCCGAACACGCACAGGCTCGCGCCTGTGTCTTCGGTAAAGGCCTCACAACGGCAGACGCGTGCACGAAGCGAGGATGTTGCCTCTTCGTGCGCGGACGAGATCACGCCGGCATGCCTGCAGTCTTTATACGGGATACCCACCACTCCCGCCACCGAGTCGTCCAACAAATTGGGTGTCACGGGATATGGTGACAATTGGGCTAACAAAGCAGACCTCAAGGTATGCTTGGAATGAAGTAACTATCTTGCAATATCATGAACGCAGGATGCACAGACGTTCCTGAAGTCATACCGTACGGACCTGTCGGCTTCCACAACGTTTTCGCTCGAGACCTTGGATGGTGGTTCTGATCCTCAGGCGTCAGACGATGCCGGACTAGAAGCTGTACGCTTACCCCTGATCTCCTTGCACTACTGTGTTCTCACAATGCCTCGTAGGATTTGGATACACAATACACCGTCGGCATTGCTACCGGCGTGCCCATCACCTTTATTTCCGTAGGCGATCAGACCCAAGACGGCGACCTGGACGGCTTCTTGGACACAATCAACTATCTGCTCAACCAAGACGCGCCTCCCCAAGTTCTGACGACGAGCTATGGAGACTACGAACCAGACATCCCTATTGCAATGGCAGAGTACGTGGAGGCTTCAAGCAGATTTGAGCTGACCTCTGAGGCTTGTCTGACATGGACAGGAACTTGTGCAACGCGTACGCGCAACTTGGTGCACGTGGGGTATCTCTGCTATTTGCCTCAGGGGACGGCGGTGTCTCGGGAGTCCAGTCCGAGTCGTGCACAACCTTTGTCCCCGAGTTTCCCTCTGGATGCCCCTAGTGAGTTCCCTGTAGGCCGAGTATCCCTGTGAGCTGATTAGGGGCTTGGGAAGCATGACGTCCGTCGGGGGTACTACTGGTATAAACCCCGAGACAGCGGTGTATTTCTCGGGCGGAGGATTCTCCAACTACTGGAGCAGGCCATCATACCAGGAGTCCGTCGTCTCCGACTACCTCTCATACCTCGGGGACACGTACTCGGGCCTGTACAATGCCTCTGGGCGTGGCTTCCCTGATGTCGCCACTCAGGCAGAGAACTTCATAATCGCCTACGAAGGCGACTTCGAGACTGTAAGCGGCACGAGCTGCGCAAGCCCGACCTTCGCGTCCATTATCGCCCTGCTCAACGATGAGCTTATCGCTGCCGGAGACTCGCCGCTCGGGTTCTTGAATCCCTGGTTGTACTCGACGGCCGCGACTTCATTTACGGATATCACTTCGGGAAACAATCCTGGTTGCAACACTGATGGCTTCAACGCCACTGTGGGCTGGGATCCGGTATGTCTCTGCATCAGGAGAATGGCCTGGAACTGGAATTGAACCATCTTATACAGGTCACTGGGCTTGGAACCCCCAACTATGCCAAGCTGAGGACTGCCGCAGGCTTGTAGAACGAAGGAACGAGTCATTGGGAGCTTGAGGGCGTGGCGAGGGGCAGCATTCGCGAATGAACGCAAGTGGTAATGACACGCGCTATTCCTGTCGTTATGTTGTCATGTGAGATTTTCAAGGGAGCATCACGATTTGCAAGGGTCGTTAGGAGCCTCCGCACTTAAGCCACACTTTATCAGACGGGCGCCTATTATATCCATCAGGGACTGCCGTACTACGGGCGCCTGCGTGGCCTTTCTTACGCCACGGTGCGGGCAGGGATCCTCACTGAGGATCCTCCGGTCCAAACAGGTCGACATGTGTCCCTCACCTGCTGAGCATGGGAATCTGCATCCAGCTTCCGCACTGACCCTTCTGTCCCAGTATCTTAATATTCTGGGAGTCTTGGGCTATAGTTCTATCCCCGCCGGCAAAACGGAAGCTCTTCAGCACATGCCATATGGATTACTCTGCGTCTCGGATATGATGCTCGCCGTGTGCTTCGCCGGTCCCAATGCCACAATGGGCGTGTCTGCGTCTCGGTAGCCAAGCTTAAGATAAGCAATTTCCGGATTTATCCTGCTATCACTGGCCTTGTGCCATGCAGCTTGTTCGACGGGCTGCTCGTTCTGATCTATTCTGATAAATTGATTATTCGCGCGATGTTCTGTACTCACCGTCACTGATGCAGCCGTTCGGTGCATGCCTATCGGACGTACGTCCGTTGCCTCCTCTCTAATCTTGGACACTGACCGCGGTGTGCCATGCATTCCAGGAAGAACCTCCTGATACTTTCCGCATAGCTGTCCCTGGGCACGCGTCTCCTTTCAGTCCTTACTATGATGCTGCTGGTGTCTCCGGTTCCGTGGGCTCGCGCTTGAGTGCCTACTGGCGCACGGTATAAACGGGCGCCATAGCAAGCCCATCTCTACTGACCGTCGCCCGACTTAACAATGCTGCGCTTTGCCTTAGTATCTGCTTACTGTCTAGTGTCGGTGGTCGGCCTTGCGTCTGGCCGCACCATGCGCCAGTATGATCGCAGAGCAAATATTCCCGCTGGGTTCACCTACGTTGGTCCTCAGGACGCCAGTACGGTTCTCAGCATCCGTCTGGCAATGGCTCAGAGCAACCCGGGAGGACTCGAAGAAGCTCTGTATGATGTCAGCACGCCTTCGAGTCCCGTTTACGGTCAACATCTAAGCAAGGAGGAGGTACGCCAGGGTCTCCGTGTATTTTTAACTGAAGGACTAATCTTTTGATCATTCACGATAGGCGGCGCAGTTCGTTGCGCCTTCGCCAGAGGCTGTTTCTGCGGTGAACGCGTGGCTCCAAGAGAATGACATCACGGCGAAGACCCTGACACCCGCTGGCGATTGGGTGGAGGTCCAGATTCCGGTTAGCAAGGCCAATGAGATCTTCAACGCAGATTATAGTGTCTTCAAGCATGAGAGTACGGGGAAGCAGACAATTCGAACGCTGTCGTATTCTATCCCTGAGGAACTGACGGATCACGTCGCCATCGTTCACCCCACCACGACGTTCGTGTTATTCTATAGCATTTTCCCTACGACGGTGTACGTGTCTAACGATATCCAACCGTAGATTTCCGACGTATAAAGCGAGCCTGCCTGCATTCCGGAAGGTGTCTAGTCGTGCTGCCAATACCGGCGTGATCGACACTGCGTCGTCGTGCGCAGACACTATCACTCCGGCCTGCTTGCAATCGCTGTACAACCTTCCTTCCACACCTGCTACGCAGACGTCGAACACACTTGGTGTGAGCGGTTTTAGTGACCAGTACGCTAACCAGGCCGACCTTGCGGTACGCGGACCCTGTCTATGATACCGAATCATGCTTCTAAGCCCCTCCCAAACAGACTTTCTTGGAGACGTACCGCACAGATATGTCATCAGACACCACTTTCACTGTCGAGACGCTTGATGGCGGTTCTGATCCACAAGACGGGTCTGATGCCGGTGACGAAGCTGTACGGTGTTCCCTGGAATCTGTTGTGATATTCCTCGCTGATGGAACCACACTCAGAACCTGGACACGCAGTACACTGTTGGACTCGCAACTGACGTGCCTGTCGTCTTCATTTCTGTGGGCGAGAACACCAATGACGGGGACCTCGATGGCTTCCTAGATATCATCAACTACTTGCTCGCTCAGGACGCTCCCCCACAGGTCTTGACGACCAGCTATGGTTCAAGTGAATCTGACGTTCCGATTGCTATGGCTGAGTAGGCGATTATCTCCTTCGCCCAGGCCATATTGCTTATAATCACTTCAGGAACCTTTGCAATGCCTACGCTCAACTCGGCGCTCGTGGTGTTTCCATCTTGTTTGCATCTGGAGATGGCGGTGTCTCTGGACCACAGGACAGCCTCTTCTGCTGGGACTTTGTCCCCACATTCCCCTCCGGGTGTCCTTAGTACGTCACAGTTTTCAGCCGCATTCTCCTTATCCCTTACTTTCCACGTCTTGCAGCCTAACATCGGTCGGCGCAACCACTGGCATCAGCCCCGAGACGGCTGCGGACTTCTCATCTGGCGGCTTCTCCAACTACTGGGGCGTCCCGTCATATCAGCAGTCCGCCGTGTCAGGCTATCTCTCGTACCTCGGTGACACGTACTCTGGGAGATACAACGCATCCGGCCGCGGCTACCCTGACGTCTCCGCCCAGGGCGAGAACTTCAACATCGTCTTGGACCAGGACGTCGAGTCGGTTAGCGGCACAAGCTGCGCGAGCCCCACCTTCGCGTCGGTGATCGCGCTGCTCAACGACGAGCTTATCGCGGCGGGCAAGTCGCCCCTCGGCTTCCTGAACCCCTGGCTGTACTCCACCGCTGCATCCTCTCTGAACGACGTCACCTCGGGCGACAACCCGGGATGCTTCTCCGATGGTTTCTCCGCGACCACAGGCTGGGATCCCGTAAGTCGTAGGCGTGCTAGAAGCGTTGAAGCGGCACTTACGAATGCACTTGCACAGGTGACTGGGCTGGGGACTCCTGACTACACAAGCCTTCGTACTGCAGCCGGATTATGAGCATGCATTGCGTGTGAGGCTAAGGACTCGCCTTGTACATTAATTCATACTAGGGTCATATATAGCAAATTCACGTGTCTTGTATTCGTATGTGGGACATATGCTTCCCATGTGAGATGAATGGATCATGATGCGAGTAACATGTTGAAGAATCGTACAATAGGCGCGGAGACGAAAAAGAGGTCTCACCGTGGATCGAACACGGGACCGTACGATAACCGCACTGCAATCGTATGCTCTACCACTGAGCTATAAGACCACCGCTCGTGGAGCTACAAAGCACAATATGTACTGTATCCACTGTTTCTCGGAGTCAAAAGTGCTGCATTCCTCCAAGTCAGACCATTGCAGTGATCAACCCATTGTAAATGAGATGGCAAGATAAGGATTTATGCTTGGCAGTCTTACTGGAAAGATGACTCATTATTACATGGTGGCAACAAATCGTGGCACACTGGTGGTGTGTACAGGACCTAATGTGCATATTAGCTGAGTATCAGAGCTCCCACAACTGACTTCCAGATGCTCTAGGTGCAAGCTGATTGCAAGAAGTCCTATTGAAGATCACCTTTCTTGAGCTGTGTACTAGGAAGAACTTCTGCTGAGTACACAGTTGAGGAAGGGTGATCTCACCAACAACACAGATAAGTGTAATACAACCTCACTAGGTCAGTTACAGCTAGGATCAGCAGTGTCACCAAGGTGTTCCAGCTTTGACTATTAAATTGAGTCACTCACACACTTCAAACTGAGGCTTGGCAAGCAACTCACATCTCATCATTGGGCATCTTCATGAAGCCAATGAGCTGGACACACAAAGTAGTTGTGGTGCATGAATACCTGAATGTGGATGTATCTGAATGTATATCGGGAAAGCAAGCCCTCGGGGGTCAGCTTGCGACAGAAGAAGACATGCCCACTAAGTATCTCTGGCCTCCTGCTGTCAAGCATGCACCCCTCAACCACCGGGATGATCCTGGATGGAGACGCACTCACCCCAGGTCCATCACCACAACGCCTGCCGCTGCAGTGAACACACTTGACAAAGGTCGGGACCTCGAGGGTGTCTGCCGAGGTTTGATCTACACGCATGATTATGAGACATACTTATTCAGTCATGTCCCATGTCAGCTATGAAAGTAATCTCTGAGCGCGCGAGTACTCTTGTGTTTTGTGCCCACAGCTGGCTGAGTTTACATTGTGGAGAAGGTGACATCAAGCTCGACCTATTGACGTGCATAGCTGGAGGAGAGCTGGACATAAAGCTGGAGACGACACACTCATTGTCTGGGAAAGAGGTGGTGGCCAGACGTCGCTGTCTGGATCTGATCTGGCTGTGACCCGATATGGATGTGGTGTACCAATTACATGCAGTCATGTGATCGAGTAGAAGGATGCCTGCTTCTCGACGCCTTAGTACTATCGTCTATCTGACTTCTCCCTTGACGTCCAACTATACACTTCATTCACCATCCTTGTCGCATATACCTAACCCTCATCTATACCTTATTTTCTTCTATACTCTGGGAATCGCAACGGGCACCATCGGTCGAGGCTCCGGACGGAATTAGAGCATTCTTTCGACGCGATTGAACAGCTGCGTAATTTTGGGACTGCTATAATAACTGCTCGGGCATATGGTGGGCTTAAAGTCTGAAGAGAGTACCAACAACGACGCTGGCAGTACTAAACCCGCATCAAACTCAAGCGAGCAGAACACGCCAGATGCAGAGGATACCAATAAAGACTTGCCATCCGCGCCTGCTGTCCACTTGAATGGAAGGCCCACATCAAGCCTTTCATTGAAGCGTGGCTCATCTGTCAACGCCCCAACCACCGACGATGGCTGGGGGTCCAACTTCTGGGTCACTTTGTTGGACCCGCAGGTGCCTACTTAGTCGCTCTCACATCCCACCACACGCTGATGTGGCATCGTCATAGACCCAGGTATCATTCTACGCATGTCCTTCCACCGGTGAAGTCAGTTGGGATCCACCAGTCGGTAACTTCCTGTGAGTCCTTCTGCCGTTTACCCTTGACCAGTTTATGGAGTTAGATGCTCGTCATAGACTACCACCGAATCCTGAAGGAGAATGGTGGGAAATGATCGATGAGACGAGCAATCTAGCGTACTACTATCACACCAAGTCTGGCGAAACAACATGGGAGCGCCCGCAGGCATTCGTAATACCGTTGGGTATCCTTCAAGTGAGTCTCTTGCTTGCTGAATCTACCTACAAATCATTGAGAATTTGCAGAATACTGCTCTTGGCCGCAGGTTGTCTATCCGACGTACTTCACAGCTTGAGCCTGAATCACCGAAGTCAAAACCAGAGCGTGTGCCATACCGCCGCTCTCGATCGTATGTGAGCGAGCAGGATGTATCTGGCCAGAATCGCTCTCCCAGAAGCACCCTGCAGAACCGCCGGTCGCAATCCTCGACGCGTAGTTCCCCCGTCAAGTCCACAAATGTCAACTCTGGCTCTGGTGGCTATAAGAAGTCGGCGCGTCGTCCTTCGTCCAGCGGCGAACCTATGAATCCCACTTCGGGTATCGGTGGCGGCCCCCTTTCGTATCCTCGCGGGCACCCTCTGGCGCCTATCCCTGGCTCGCCCTACATGTCCGATGCTTCATCGCAGGCAAGCTCGCCGACTGGGCGCAAGTCCGTATCACTAGGCGAGCGATCTACAAAGGGGAAAGCACAGGAAACGGAGCGGCACAGTCATTCAGGGCGGAGGAGCATTGCGGACGATCTGGCGCTAGGGCGATCACGCTCGTCCAACTACTTGTCGTACCGGTCTCCGCAGCCACAGAGTCTGAGTGCCGCACTAGAGATGATCGCCTTGTCTAGCTCGCAGTCATCTACCTCCACCGGCAAGCACCATGCTGTGTCAGACAGTAGTCATGAAGAGCGTTCGGCTATGCAAGAGACACGCAGAGCACGCACAGATGGCGGCCACGACGAGCATGCATCTCAGGACCCACGGAGACTACGCATTAGCACCGATCCGCTCCCCGACACGACATCTCCGTCTCCTACGTCCCCCGCGTGGTTGAAAGGAAAGAAGAAGGAGAAGACCCTTATGCCACCCTCGCCTCGAAGACCAATACCTGCACTTCCTCACCTCGGCGGGCGGAGCGTATCCAACCCGATACCTGTGTCGTTGCATGGAAAGGTGATCAGCAGCCCCATCTACAATGCAGGTACAACTTGTTCGTCGGCCCTGCGGAGGTACACCAGATTGATATCGCGCTGCTCGCTTGTCAGACGCAACCAAGATGCTCAACCCAGTGCTGGATCTGATGTCAGCACCAATCGCCGTCGAAGTCTATCGCAAAGCGACCCGGACCTCAGATGATTCACTCAACACGGGGTAAGCCTTCGTTGCCTGTTTTTGAACGAGACCATTGACATCGGACGGTGTCCAGAAGGTATCCAGTGCTTCCTCAAGATCTCTCGTCAGATATCCAGCAATTTGCCGAGACTTACTTTGCCAAGCAATACTTCTCAACACATCGAACGGGCTTTCTGTTCAAAAGAAAGGTCCCGGTGGAGCAGTTGATGTCGTGGCAGAAGGTCAGTCGAACATCGCTACTTTTATGGCTGCTTCTAACCTCTCCCCGTATGTAGCCCCTTCTGAGCTCCCCTCTCCTTATGTTGAATAAGTCACTGCATAAGGACGCCTTGAAACTGTTCAAGGTCATCCAGCATGTGATGGGAGACCGCGAGCGCGATCGGCCAGTGGGCTCGCGAGCAGGAGCAGATACTCACGCGCCTCACAATGCGTCCACTCCCTCACTAGTTAGCGGATCATCCGCTGCTCTGCTAGAGGAAGAACGGTGGCTGTTGAGCGAAGGGCTTGCGCATGGAGAACTGCGGGATGAGATATACTGCCAGGTCATGAAACAGCTCACCGGGAACCCTAACACGTGCGTCGCTATTTGCTGCTGAAGGACATGCGCAGTTGACTGACATGTGTTCAGTGAAAGCATCTTTAAAGGCTGGCAGCTTCTTTGTGTCCTACTCGCGACGTTCCCTCCTTCCAAGGACTTCGAGACCTACCTCCGCTCGTACCTTCAGCAGGCTACCTCACATCATGAAGGTCGGACTGATGTGATGGCGAAATATTGCCTGCGACGATTGGCGTATGTCTCGCGGAAAGGACCACGGGGAAAACCACCTACTGTCGCCGAAATCGAGACGGCCTCTGTCAGTGGTATCTGATTCTCTCACAACTCCTAGCTCACGTAGTTTCATAGGATGCCGCTTTCCATCCCTCAATATTTGGAGAATCACTGGACGCAGTGTACAGACTTCAGGAGCGGAGTTACCCCCACATGAAAATCCCGATTATTCTCCCGTTCCTCGCAGATGGCATCCTTGCGCTAGGAGGTACCAAGACCGAGGGTATCTTCCGTGTGCCTGGAGACGGAGATGCTGTCTCTGACCTCAAACTTCGCATCGACAAGGGTTACTATAGTCTTGATGGTGTCGACGACCCTCATGTCTTGGCTTCGCTCATGAAGCTCTGGTTACGCGAGCTTTGCGATCCCCTTGTTCCGGATGAGCTGTACAACGATTGCGTCTCGAGCTCGAAAGATCCGGACGCGTGTGTGCAAATCATTCACAGGTTGCCGACAATTAACCGGCGGGTCGTTTTGTTCGCCGTCAGTTTCTTGCAGCTGTTTCTAGACGAGAAGATTCAGGCTGTTACCAAGATGACCTCTGCGAATCTCGCCTTGGTGATGGCCCCGAATCTCCTCCGCTGCAACTCGGAGTCAATGGCCGTTGTCTTCACAAATGCCCAGTGAGTGATTATTTAAGGCTGCCGCGCCATCACAATTGACGCCTCGATAGGTACGAACAAACGTTCGTGCACAGTCTGCTCCTTCACCTCCAATGCAACGCAGTAGATCCCGACTACATTCCCAGCCATGGTCAGGGTGCCCTCCCGCCGTCGAACGCGGCACCTCGAGGATCTCAGTCACGCCGTCATCCTCATCATTAGCGTAATCCCGGATCTAATCTCGATACTGTAAGCCCCTGCATAACCACTCACGTTCCTTACCCACACTTTCGCGTCCATTTTGACTCGCACTCAATCTGTTGTATGATCCTTTGGAACCGTCTGCTGTCAGAACTAATCTACCCGGTCGTCCTTCGCTAACTCAACCCTTTGGTTTTGGGTACTAATACTATGGAATCTAGAAAATATCTATCTCATTTATCGTCTTCCAGATCAGCGATACACTAATTAGTGCGCGACAAGAGAGCATAGAGTTTCTGGACGGTACATCTACGTCTGCGGCCGAGACACGTACCCGAAGATGCTAGGATTGCAGCCTTCTTGCACGTGTAGGCTCTGGTACGACGCAGAGCATAGAACAGCAATGGTGCATTAATGTGCTGTGGGGTGACTATCACGCTTCAGATCGTCCCAACGACCAAATTCCCACTCGTCAGACCCTTCGTCGTTGTTCAGCGCCTTGGCTTTCCAACTCTCCTGGTCGGAAGACCACGCTTTCCTCGGCCGGGGCGACATCTTTTCCGATGCAGTATTAGAGTGTCGGCGCGGTCTCCAGGACCGCTGTCTCGCCGTGAAACGCTCGATGCGCGCAAGCATGTCCCAGACCTCCCCGCTGCCAAGTTTGCTCTCCTCTTGCCATAGTTCGCGCTCGCCCACCTCGCGACGAATATGCTCCGCCAACTTGCGGGTGCGGTTGTCCATTCCAACGCCGTTCACGCGCATCTCCTCGAGCGCATCGCATACGCCCCGCAGGTCGCGGAAGCAGTACCACCGCGTCTCGATGAGCTCGTTATACGCTGGCGTCGTGCACCCGAAGACATATGATGGGATCGAGAGGTGCCGTGCGTAGTCGAATATTGACAACGCAAGGTGCGGGTCTGTATACTTCTCGCGGAAAGTGCGAATGAGAAGAGCGACGAGGTGTGGGTACGACGCCGGTTGGAGTTGCACTGGTCCATTGACAGAGCGTCGCGCATTGTCCTCATATCGTTTTGACTCGTCGAAGACTTCCCGCATGGCCCAGTCCAGTAGCTGCTGGTCTGTATTGCACAACTCCATTTCCTCCCTCTTCCTATCAAGCTCCTCGTCCGCCTCAGTTGTCCACCGGACCTGTTTTGACTGCTGGCGTAATGTGCCCATGAGGTCGCCCAGAGCCGAAGATGATCCTCGCCCAATGCCTGAAGAGCCGGCTAGGCCTTGCTTCTGCTCCGAAGATGCGTTGAAAATGATCTCAAACATCTCGTCGAACGTATTTATCTCGCGGGCTGTCATGGCCTGGCGTTTGAGCGAGACCCTGTCTCTTTTTGAGCGAGCTGAAGAAGGAATGAGCGGTGGAAGGTCATTGAGGTCTGCAAAGACGTGGTCCCACGGCGAGACAGAGGAGGAGAATATTGAGTCATCTTTGCTGTTAAGGGTGTCATGCGCATGTCCGCAGAGTAACTCTTGATATGCTCACCGTTGCTTATCCGTAGTGGGAGCATGACTTGTGGAATAATTTCGTGAGTGCGAGTAGATTCTAGAAGGACCGGGGATGGGTTTGCTGTATGGGTAGGAGGGTAGTATACTATTGCAGCACTGTGACGCTCGGTCTTTTGACAATAACAACGATCCTGGCGGTAGAATGGTGTGAGCGCAACAGATAAATGTTCCGAAATATAACAAACCTGGCGTTGATGACCGATGCCAGCAGGTTATTGCTCGTTTGAATGAAGACGTGCCCTGCATTGTCATGCCTCCTTTTTGCCGTAATGTCTTGACCGCACGAGCTTTTGTTGTTAATCGCGAGAATTGTGGCCCCGGAGTCTTCTGACAGAGCTAAGTATGTATACCACCAGAAAGCGGGTGGTCAGAGAGAATTGCGGTGAACACAAGCAAAGTGCGCTGCGAAATTCCAATCCGGATCGGGCACTCACACGCGATCACGTGTCAATGTCCGCATTATTTAAATTACCGCGACTTGCCAGCAGCTATGCCTCGTCGTCGCGTCAATTTCGCACAGGAAGAGTGAAGTTCGCGCACAAGCTCTTCAGGAGTGTGCCAAGAGCGTGGTCTCAACGTTCCGCGCTCTTAGAAACGGTGAGTCAGTTGTTGTTCATCACTAATGACGACCTATGCACTCTATGTAGGTATTTCTGAAGCTCATGCCCTCGCTCATTTGGTAGATGTCGTCTCAAGCTCTTAGCAACAACCTCATGATGAGAACCATTTTCCAATCATTCCAGACTCCTGAGTCGGTGCAAGAAACGCGGACAGATCTGGCTCGCACAGCAGGTGTCTCTAAAATGTTCTCGGAACATGCACTGGACGCCCTATGGAGGAGCCTTGATAGCTTAATGCCCCTCTTTAGCATTCTTGGCAATGCTTTCCGACAAGTGACTCTGTATGAACATGGCGTGGATGGTGCTACCACTACTTGGGTCTGTTCAGTTCCAGTCTGAAACGATTTATTCCTTCTGACATATCAACGGACTAGATGGTATGCGGGCGTATATCATGCGAGTACTGGTCACGATTCGAATCTTATGCGCGTCGTGTACGAATCCTTGAGTGCCATGACACGTTCAGGACGGTCCATCCCTCAGTGTTCTATCTGTTACGAGAAAGAAACGGAAACCAGCCTTTTCTACCAGCCTTGATATCGCTTGACTGGTATCAACAATACCTTGCAATCGGGTCCGACATCTTTCTTGCCCTGTCGGGTTCACTTCGAAAGGTTGTCCTTCGTTACAGCGCCAAAGATGCTTTACAGAAGCAGCGAGCCAAAACTTCGCTAGGAGAGTGGGAACATGGTTGCGGCGAATGGGACAACGTTGTAGGGAATGCTCTCATTTCACTCTCCTCTCATGCTCCTCACCTCCAGAGGTTTTATCTCAATGCCTCTTTACACCCGCATGCGCTGGACTTGTCTGGCTTTCGGAACTTGCAGCGCCTAGAGCTGTGCGTGCCCTTCGTCACAAGGTCCATCGTCCTAGTTTGCATGCAAATGGAGCATCTCACACGCCTGGCACTCGACTGTCCAAACCTTTCTTGGCGTGAGGACCTTGGCATTTTGGTTGGCTTCCGCTCGTGAAACAACCTCTGCATCAAAACAACATCGTCTCCTTTTGTCCTTCAGCTTCTCAAAATGATCTTGTCTTCCTCTTTGATTTCCGTCATCCTCAACGTATGGGGACCTTCACCGCAAGTTTTGCTTTCGATCAGTATGCTGGCAAGAAAACTAACGGTGTGCTTCAGACAGGTGCATGATGCAGAGTCATTGTGGAAGCACGTTGCTCTTGCGGACATTATGAATCCTCTCCTACGCCAAGAGCAATTGGAAGTCCTTCGTATTCGGGTTCCCTCCACGCTACTAACAGAAAGCGACATTCAAGACACGGTGACTGCCTGGCCAGACCTCCGGGAATTGTCGCTCGTTTCCGGTGGTCACGAGTCTACCCTCCCCATCACAGTGCTTTCTTCCTTCGCTTTTCACCACCCTTCATTGTATTCTCTCGAAATGGGCTTAGTATGCCACATCGATGTGCAAGCGCTGTCAAGTGCAAATCTATTTACATCACATGAACTCCGCCAGATCAGACTGCGGAGACGTCACGGAGAAGCGACGTCACCTACTGACAAGGTTGCTCTGGCGCACTACCTTGATGGCCTGTTCCCCCATCTCGAGATGGTAGGCACAGACAGGTTCTCGCCGCCGGAAGCGTTATCGTACTGGGACGAGATAGTTGTCATCTTGAACTGCCTCAAGCAGGCGAGGGCGCGCTTGAAGGTGAGGTTGCGTTGCGATATCCACGGAGAATTTGGGAATTTGACATTTGCGCACAGGGGATTTCTAGATCTGGGTCATGAGGATGTGGCAACATGCAAACAGGGCATTTACATGACGTTTGGATGAATGATCTCCGATATAACGCATGATGATCACGACGGAGATGATGATTCGCATCGTACTTTATAAATACGACTTGCTTAGCATGTGCTTAGCTAGCCTTTCGCTCGGTCTCGATGACTTAGATATGTAGTGATGTGATAGCTTAAACTCACTTACTTGTTCACGTCGAGCTTGCTATGCTGTACTTATTGCGGACCAAGTAGTTTCCTAAAAGCAGAATGGATAAATCCTTCAACCTGCGCCGGCTCCGTATATCATGTCTGACGGTTCAAGGCATCATCTATCCATTCGTAGCCCTGCGAAAGTACAGGAGGCAGTATAGGTTCATCGTACGGGACAGTTCAATTGCTAATGTTTTATCATCGAAATGTAGGACCATGATAAACAGGATTCTTCCAACATAGGCCCTTGACCTTGGTCCGCTAAGCCACATATGAACCTTAACACCTGCCAAAATGGGCGGCGTCGAGGTTGTATGTGATCGAGATCTCGAAAACGCGGGCTAGCCACTGCTCTCTTCCAGTCCCGTCGTGCCATGGTAAGCGAGATCTCCAAGGAGGGGAAGTGCCAATGGCTCTGGGCTTAACATACACACTTTGCAGTTGATCTTCTCTGTCTTCAAGACGCTGACTGACCAACGCGTCACCGTCGAGCTCAAGAATGACCTCTCGATCACGGGCGTGCTCAAGTCGGTCGACCAGTGAGTGACCTATCACGGCTTACCGTCTCGTTGATTCATGTGCTGTGAGGTGGCTCATAAAGTGTGTCTACGCAGGTTCTTGAACATCCGACTGGATTCCATCAAGGTGCTGGACGAGGCAAGGCACCCACACATGGTACGTTAGCTGCAAACGCGACAGCGCGCGACACATTCACCACAATATATCTCAGATGGCGGTGAAGAACTGCTTCATTCGCGGATCAGTCGTTCGGTACGTGCAGCTTCCTGCGGAGCACGTCGACACCCAGCTTCTAGAGGATGCTACAAGAAGAGGTATGGCCCCAGCCGTTCTATCAGGATTATTATATATAACATTGCTTCTCCCGCAGAGGCTGCAAGTCAAGCCAAGCGATAACTTGGCGCGACGATCGTAAAATACGGCAGCATTTAATGTTCAAGCTAACAACACGCCCATTACAGAAGGTAAACAGCGTTGTTGTAGTAAAGAGTCGGTCTCTAGTGTCGGGAACTCTTCTCTGGTGTGTCTTGTAATTTTATATCCCTCGTCATTAGAGAACTACGTGATCCTCCAAATCCCCTTGGTGAGGCGTGCCATGAACGCAACCAATTTACACAACATGTTATACATCGAACTTCACCACCTGTCCGCCTCCACTACGGTCGATCTTCAATAACCGCTTTGCTACACATCCGTAGATAGGTCGAGTGACACCTGAGCCGCCGATCGCAGTGACCGCGCTCACTCCCAACTCCGCCGTTTTGGCTGATAGCGCCTCCTTCAACTGGGTCAGCGGCATCGCATACGCTGGTGGCGCGGACAAAAGAGTCAACAGCATGTACCCCGTGAGTACCTGCTGCGCAGTGGGTTGCCCGGATGCGCCAGCGGACGCTGAGGATGCAGTGTTATTGAATGAGGACAGACTGGCGGTGGGAGAAGCTGGCGCAGGCGTCATGCTGGAGAGCGTCCGCAGGTGGGCGCTATGACGAAGATGTCAGACGAGATAGATGAGAGCAGGACATGACTAACATAGTCTCTTTTGCCCGTGGGGGTTTGCTTCCACTACTGCCTGTTATATCGAACGAGTGGCCGGGCATGATGAGCTCGCCGACAGTGGCCCAGATCTTCGACTACTTTGAGGTCAGCCCGGGCTAGGTGTCCTTACAGACAGGACGCACCACAATATGTTCCAGCTCTGTAGTGACTCGGACCTTCGAGCTCCTTGCAACACCGTGTGTTTCCGCCACTGGTGGCGGTTCTGATGCAGGCTCGAGAGCAGCCTCTGCTACTTCATCTGGAACGTCGACTGCCCCGCCTGGTGGAGGCTGACGCATCACAACGGTCTGCTCCTCTTCCACCTCATCCTCAGGGGGTCCGTCGACAGACCCCATCGATTTGCCGTCGTCCATTGATTCAAGCTCTGCAATATCGGGCTCGAGCTGCGTCTCGGGTTCATCGTCTTCTGCGACTGCTAATCGCGGCAAGGATTGAATTGAACTACGAACTGGCAGCGGGCTTGCGAATGAGACTCCCGATATGTCACCTACGTCCACATGCTCATCCAGAAGAGACTCCCCGGTGAAGTGTAGAGTGCGCGCCGAAGCTGCAGGTGTGTTCCAGAACGTTTCCTCTTGCGCATCAGCAGGAGGCGGCGTTTGTAGGTTTGGCCTTGCCTTCGGCGTTGCTATCCTCGCAGAAGCTCTCTGCTTTAGCAAAGCGTCTTTCTGAGTTTGTGGGTTAATATAAGCGGAGACCAGGAACAAATGAGACTCACTCGCTTCCGAAGCTCACGAATACGAGCCTGGGCTTCCCGTATTCGCTTCTCCTCCTGTCTGATTGTAGCCTTAGGGGAAGCGGGTGGGCTACACGCATCTGCCGTCGCATGCTATACTTAGTCGGCGCCGCACAGATGATAGCATACATTGAACTGACTTGCTTGAGTTCATCATTGAGTTTCCTCATGCTCTCGCGGACGACGTCTAGGTGCTCCGTGATCCGGGTCGCTTGCTCGGCTGCCCGAGGCATGGGCCTGATCGACTGGCTGCCGCCCTTGGTGTGAATGAGAGATCGATAGTGGTACAAGTAGGCTACTCACTAGCGGTCGAGATACTTTATCGCCGCTCGCGCATACACCTCTGGTTCATGCTCGCCCGGCCGCTGTGGATTATGGCGCCCCGGCTTGGGTACGGGCGGCTTCTTCAGCGGTGTCGCGCCGTGGAACTCGGCGCGCGTGATCTCGCTGGTAGATGCGCCAGTATTATCTACGTCCGGGACTTGCTTCGAAGGTGCGACAAGCGTGAAGAGGCCGAGTTCGGCGGGGTCGATGTCGCGGATGAGGTCGCCGAGCGGGGCGTGGAGAACTGCTTTGGTAAATGGGCCGGCGGTCTCGGACGCGCAGCTAGCAGCATTTAGGCGTATGTTTTTAGCGAGTAAGCATATGCGGTCGACGGAGTCGGATAGGCTGCTCATCGTACGCGATGATGAGGACAAGCCCTGTGTTCCAGTCAGCGTTTACCTTCTCGACGCGCTAAAGGCTGCCCTAAAGAGAACGCGTGACGCGTGATGTACGCCTGTATGCGCTTCAATCCAGCGTCAAACTCCTGGACCTGGATGCGTATTCTGTATACTGGACGTCTATTCTTGATGCTGTGCCCGCGAGACGTGATCTTCGGGATGTGATGTCATCACAGACCTCAGTGACCAGGTTCACAGCATTAACAATACCGCTCAAAGACCTAGCCCGAGAGACCAGAGTATCTCCTTGATGCTGCTGCTGCTCATGTCGCATGGTTGCGGGCCCGCGTGAACGTATATGGATACATATGTCGTGAGTCATGCGTACGTTTTCTGTCAAGTAGTGCATTACACCGCCTCTGCAAAGGAGTATGCACCGCAGCCGCCACCAACCGCTCAAACACAGTTCGCTGGCTAGGGAGCCCAGCGCTTTGAAATGCTGGCGCGACCTTTCTCTCCGCCGCGTCAAGATCTCATGTGCGGGATAGGATTCTCTCACCGATGCGTTTGCTGTAACCATGGTGACCACTGGATGATACTCATACAGCTCCCTTCAATGACGGGGTGTTCCCGTGTCAGCGGTAGGCGCGTCTATAATGGGACACAATACCCATGCCTAGTCTTGCTGTCAGATCTGACATTTACGATTCTTTGCACATTACTGCAGTAGCTGCGAAATATTGGATCTTCATCCTGTCACGGAAACTTGTCCTATAGTCCGAAACCGCACTTAGGATTGCTTTGTCTATATTGTTTATATGCCCTACCGCAATCGCTAGTCTATAACGAATCTGGTCTCGCTCATCTGAGATGGTATCCTGATGATCACAAGTGCATGTTGCAGCGAAAGATTGAGCAAAGATGAGGCTTATGTATGGCAACGCCTGGCTAGATAGGCGCCCATATAGTTGTACCTCTTCCATAACTTGGCTTCAAGTCCGTTCATGCTGTGCAGGTTGTTCAGAAGCTCGCTTTGAATTGTTCGTGCGATTCTATCTGAGAATACATCTGCAGGAAAAGCTTATATCCTGGCCGTGTGGGCGCATCGCCGTCGGTGATACCCAGCTGCAGTGCAAGCGCTGCAGTATACCCTCGCAGCACGCATCTGATACCCATTCTCGCTCGCCCACGACATGGTTAGCAATCTCACCCCTCCTGTGGGGCAACGGAAGGGCGTATGGGAACCGCTTCCACTCATTGTCTACGGATACGCTGTGCACCCACTGTCGCCTAATCGCCGAGATACCAAGCTCTCGAGTCGTACTCGCGGATCGACATGGACCAGTACTACCGACGCGTCTGGGGACGACCACCTTGTGCACAGAGACGTAGTTTCTCTTGAAGTGGGAGACAATGTGTATGCTTTCGAGCAGTATACACCGAGGGACAAAGAAGTGGAAGGGGTCTGGTATCGAGGGTACGTGCTCTTCTTCCTTCTCTGCTGATGAGTCTGCTATGCCCCTTCTATATTGCGCACACATCTCGACAGACCCACTGAGGCTTGTCATATCGGGAGTGGCATAGCTTGGTATACCTTGCGGTTTTCAATCGCTATCCTGGTTAAGGGCGCTAGGTCGCACTGGGATGTAACCCCGTCTAAGCTACCGCATGAGTCCAATTGCGGGGGACTTACCATGTCTTCCGATGCTCTCATATGCATAAATGGTCAGGCGACTGGATTACGAGTGGTGAGCCAGCACATATCTGTCATGCCAAATGTTCTTCGTACACACGCCGGGCTACCTTGAGTATGACCTTTCGCATGCTGCCCGTGAGTCGAAGGTCCTATGAGAGCTCGTTCTGATCTGCAAGGACCTTCCATTCGGGACACTGGTGCATACTTTGGCAAACACTTTGGGTGCTCTGCGAGACAATGCCAAAATTACTTTTGGAGACTGTGGTCATTTCTGGTCGGGAGTACCCTGATTCTCCTGTGAACAGATGCCTTCTTGTATGTTTGTGCGGCGAGCTCATACGAGAGACAGCCAGTCCTTCCATGTGATAATCAGCACTGTTTTTCCAATTGTTGCTCCTTATGCCCAGGCGTGTTGTCCTAACGCTTGTCCTTACATACAGGTATGTTGTATGTACCTCGCGGAGACCTCAAGTAAACTGGGCGCAATCTTCAGAACCATCGAGCTCGAAACCCACCGCCAAGGCAGACGACGCACAGCAAGTATTCATCGGTATCTTCCCTGCATCACACATTTTCGTCCGCGACCAGCTCTCGGACGCGGAAAATCGACTGGATGATTTGGCAAGCTCGCTGGCGACGAACCTGAACAGCCACCAGTCCGAAGTCTACAGCCAATGGAACAGGGACAAGGTGATGGGCGGCGCTCAAACACCCAAGGACGAGGACGGCCTGTCAATGCGAGACGGTATCTCGATGAAGGACGGGTTTTCGATGCGGGATGGGTTCTCAATGCGGGACGGGCTCTCAATGAAGGACGGGCTGTCGCGCAAGTCGTTCAAGCTGATGCCTGGGCCGGACCAGGCGAGCTCAACGCGCGCGCGGCTTCCCGTGTACCCCGCGAGCCTGCGCTCGGCGTCGCCGACAGAGTCGCAGGTGATGAAGCCATTCCCGCCGCGCCCGCTGCTGAAGTCGGCGGACGACACGATCTCGGGCGCGGACCAGCCGATGGTGGACGAGATTGCGTCTGCACTGCGGGAGTGGCATGCGCTGATGTTCCAATACCTCGCGCGGCGCGACTACAAATTGTTCCAGCTCGTGCGCGAGCACATCGAGGCGCTCCACCTTGGCCGGCGGCAGCTGCTTGCGCAGACGCTCAGCTCAGAGGAGACGATAAACCTCCGTCGGGACTGCGTCGTTCGGCTGGTAAGCGGGAACCTGGTCCAAGGCCTGGACGTCATTGTGCGGCATCCCACGGGCGGCGGCCTGGTTACGGTCGACGTGGAAGGCGAGATCGACTCTCGCAGCTGGATGAGTGCGGTGCGGATGTACTCGATGCAGGTCTCTCTCGCGTACATGGATGTCTCCCCTCCAACACACCCATACAAGTCAGGCCGTCTCAGCAGATCACTCGATTACTCTGCCTCCGCTACCTCCCAGGTGCATTCCGCATTCCCTGAGTACCCACGCAAAATCCAACCGCGGCTCACAGGCTCCTTCGGCTCGTTGAACGTCACGCAGCCAGTGAAGGCGAAGTTCTACCACGTTTTCCTCGATCTGCGGGCGTTCGTCGCGTCCCCGTGTGCCCCGGGAGAGACCGCTGAGCTGATCTTTTCCCTGTTCAACAAGAATGATGCTCGATTCGTGTCGGAGGATTTTTGCGCCGTCCTCAATCACAACGGCGTGTTGGCTCGTGACCCTTCGGCGCGTATCCGCACGATGTTCACAGATCTCGTGCAGTCTGATGCCCAGGACTCGATATATCTCGTCTGCAAGATCGTGAGGAATGGGTCGATGAAGATGGGAAGCAGTATGGGCTCGATCTCGGAGGGCGGGAGGCGTGTGTCGGAGGCGTCCATTGGGCGTGCCAACGGGAGCGGAGAATCCCTCCCGGCCAATAATCATCGCAACAGCATGTCGGCAGATCTCCCGATACACTTTAGGAGGCCGTTCGGGTGCGCAGTGCTCGAGCTGAGCCAGCTCAACGCGATGGCAGCAGACCCGACCGAGGTATCGTCGACCAAAGAGCACACAATGCCCATCTACATCCCCAAGAACGAGGCGACCTTCTCGATGCTGCATCAGGATATCCTGAATAACAACGTGAAAGAGTTTGAGAAGTCCCCAAGGCAAGTCGTAGTGTTATGTCATATCATAACGTGCCCCGTCAGCTGACCGTGTGGAAGGGCGGAGATGATGGCAGTCTCAATCAAGGTGTTCTACGGAGATGCGCAGACCATTGTGCGCGAGAATACCTCTCTTCTTCAAGACATACCGCTCAGTTTACGCTTGGGATTCCCGGACGTCGTCTTCCCTGGGGATGACCGTAACGATCTATACATCAAGCTATGGAGTGGAGATTTCTCACCGTCTCCGCGGCGCAGCGTGAACTTCGGCCGAGGCCAGGTAGGCAACATGGGCGGCAATGTACAGGTCACGATCGAGATGAGGGACCAGGATGGACGTCCAATCGAGGGTATCATTTCTCAATGCAGCGGGGAACCTCCTGTGACGCAATTCCACTCGATGGTCTTCCAACGCACCGGTCAGCCGACATTTGGCGAGCTCATCAAGATTCAACTCCCACTCGAGGGGCCACAACGATGGCATCTGTTCTTCACTTTCCGACATCGCAATTCTAGAGAACGGTCCATTGGACGGTCTCCCGATGTACCTGAGCGCCCCTTTGCCTTTGCCTTTCTGCCGCTCTTCCCCGATGGTCGAGCATTCCTGGAAGATTACGCACATACGCTTGTTCTGTATCGGGCAGATCGCCTCAGTCAAATCAGCGCAGACCTCTATCTTGCTGCGACGCCCTGGCTACCTGCAAACTCAAAAGCGGAGCAAGTTTTCGTCCCGGTTGAACTCCAGAGGCTGGCTCCTCCTATGCGAGACAGTCTCATCATTCGCTCCTTGCTATGCTCCACCAAGTTCACGCAGAACTCCGTGCTTCTGAGCCTACTAAACTGGGAAACACTAGTCGACCAGAAGCTCCTGTCCACCGTACTCACCAAGTTCACCTTCGTGGGCGAGGTTGAGATCGTCAAGTTTCTCCGCGATATCTTTGACTCGCTCTTCGCCATCATTGTGTCAAATTACAACCAGTCGGGCGAAATGGACCATCTGGTGTTCAACGCCCTTGTGACAGTATTGGGCATTGTCCAAGACCGTCGTTTCAGTAACTTCCAGCCCGTATTGGATGTCTACATTGAGAGGCATTTCAGTTGTGCCTCAGCATCGTCCCATATGATTCATTCTATGAACCGGCTCTTGCAGGATCCTACGGCTAGCGAGACCGCTTCACAATTGCGGTCGGCTTTGAAAGTCTGGCATTATATATTCAAATTCATTGTCCGATCGCGAGAGCTCCAGAAAGCTAAGGAGCTCGGGATGGGGGGCGGAGCAACAGCAGACCATCTGGAATCGAACTTCAAGCGAGAACTGAAAGCGCATCTATCCGAGGTCAATCGTATGATGTCAACTACCACCCCGCCGTCTATCATAGGCACGCAGACAATTGCCCTGCAGCACTTCACCTCCATTCTTCCCGAGTTGAGCAAGGTGTTCCCAATTGTCGAGCTTGTCACCATTGCCACGACATTTGCCAATGCAATAGCCACAAACAAGGGGAAGACTGTCATTTGGAAGCTTATCATGTACTTGCAAATAGTCAAGGGCTTCCTTTTCGACAATCCCAAGTCACGCGCTTTGCTCGTTGAGAACGTGGTGTTCTGGGTGAAGCCGCACTTCGGTCGTTATGATGAATATCTCCACACACAGTCAAGCGACTCGGACAATGCGCGAGAGTCTGCGCGTATTCTCTGGCTAGAGAGCATCCGACTATCAATCACCATCGTAGCGATAATACTCGACAAATGTCTTTCAAGCCTCGTGGATCCCTCCACGGTAGCTGACCACAACAGGCTGAGGGAGGAGCAGGATAACATCGAGTATCTGTTGTCCGTGATACCGAGGTGGGTGGTCGTGCTATTCCAGAGGCACTGACTTATCCGCTTTCGGTTAGGTTGTTGGAGTCGTATCTGGAATATCAGAATCCAGCGTCACAAAGGGCGATCGAGCGCACCCGTCCCTTGTCTCCCATTTCGTCCACGTACCCGGTCCCATTCCCAGAATCTTATCCGTTCTCACTTACGGCTAGTCTGCCTAGATCAGCTGCGACTCCCTCCGCCTCCTTCGAATCGAAGAGAGACTTCAACCCTGGACTGGGGGAGGCCGCCATTGTACTTCTTGTGCTTGTCTCGTCAGCCCAGAAGAAGCATTTGCTCAGCTTTTTCGAGTCGATATCGGAGATCGAAGGCCGTGACAACTTCGCTGCCTTCTTGTTGCAGTGCTTCAAGGTCATTTCGTCTATCCTGGAGAACGACGCCTTTCCCAGCAACTGGCTCAATGTGAACATTCTAGCTCACAAGGTCTTGATCAAGCTCATGGACCCTATTGCAACGCAACTACAACGAGAATACATCTCACGCGAGGGGTCGCAGCAAAAATTATATCCGAATCTTTGGCGAGAGGCGTTCAGTGTCCTGCTGAAGCTATTGTCCTCAGAGCAGTTGGTTATCGAGGAGCTGAGCCCTCAGGTAGGCCGCGCTACATCTGTCAACGAGATGGTGATGACATGAGTTTCCAGAAACGACGGGCTGTTTGGCGCCTCGGTGGAGATATTAGAGGAGATGGCGCGATTCTCCTATTGCGCTTATGGGAAGCATTGAACTGGACAGAGGAAGAGGGAGTGAGTGAGGGTTCCGGGAGAAGCTACGGAGTACGTCTTGGAAGCGTGCATACTTTGATTGTTCTGACACAACTGTCATTAGCATTATCAAGCTGCTCTCACACCCCTCGTGGGGCATGTGGTCAATCTCTGCCTCAGTCATCACGATTCGCTGCGCAACAACGCCGTGCATATTCTCTACTGCATGATCATATCTGAGTATCACACTTCAGGGCATTTCGATCGGATAGAGAATGAGCTCGTCAGCAAGCTCGATACCCTTTTCATGTCCGACAGCAAGGGCGACGATATATCTCGTGCATTCTTCATCGGCTATCTCAAACATCTCTTCGACGAATCAACCGAAGTTGATGACCAACTACGGGTCAGGGTGTCTGACTTCCTCAGGGAGGTAGACATGTTCCTTGAGTTGCTTCTCAGTGTTCGCGCGTTGCCTGAAGGCGAAGAGTACGCGGATGATCGTGTTATTGCCACGGTATGAAATGGCATCCTTGCTCGAGGATGTAGCCTGATCGGATTGTGTCATTAGCTCCGCCTCATGAATTTCATCCGGAGAAGTGGCCGCGACGAGATCTACATCAAGTATGTCCACCAGCTAGTGAATGTGAGCCAGTTTTATGTCCTCGTGTCTTGACATCGCTAACAGCATTTCAGATGCATCTACAGGCCCAGAATTACGTTGAAGCCGCCCTCACGCTCAAGCTCCACGCTGATCTTCACGATTGGGACTTGAACACGTTCGCTCCCCCAATGGAAGAGCTGGGGTTGCCACAACAATCGCACTTCCACCGCAAGGAAACACTCTGTCTTCTCATTCTGGATTACCTGGGTGAGTCCTCATCTAGCTGACGTACCGTATCCTTGGTTTGACCACTACATCACACAGGTAAGGGTAAAGCATGGGAAAACGCAATTGATATATGTAGAGAACTGGCAATTCAGCATGCCGAGGTGACCTTCAATTAGTAAGCTTTGTCCCTATTCGTAAACGCAATGGCTTCTCACTTCTTGTCAGCACTCGGCTAGCTGAGATTCTCCGTCACGAAGCGGCACTTTTGGAACATATTGTGAGCGAGCAGCGATACTACTCTGATTACTTCAGAGTGGTGTTCTATGGCAACTTCCCTCAAGCTATTCGCAACAAGCAGTTTATCGTGCGTGAGGCTATCGTTGGCATCTGCTCACCGTTTTACATTCTTCGCAGTACCGTGGCTATGAGTGGGAGAAGTTTGGAGCATTCTGCGAGCGAATGTTGAACAAGCACCCCGGTGTTCAGCTGCTGAAGAGCACAGGGGACCCTCCTGTCGATATCCGCTTTGGCAACGAGCAGTACATTCAATGCACTGCTGTCATTCCCGAGCCCGATCGGGAGCTACCGATATTCACAAACCCAGACGTTGCTCCACCTATCCGTTCCTATTATGAGCACAGGTACGTCTCCATGGCGCACAATATGAACAGTATAATTGAACACTTTTCGGTAGTGCCATCAACGTATTCAGCTTCTCTCGACCAGTGATAAAGGTGGCAAGCGACGGTGCTGAGGAGAAGTGGATCGAGAAGACATACCTCACGACCGAAGAGGCCTTCCCCACTGTTCTGCGTCGGTCTGAGATCGTCGGAGTCGAGCCGGTCGAGATCTCACCGGTACAATCGGCCTTACACGAGGTTGAACAGCGTACACGAGAGCTAGCTAAATTGAACATGAGGTTCTCAGCGTTATCGAAGACTGGACAGGCGGTCTCTACCACTGCGCTTGCGATGGCTCTCAATGCGGCGGTGGACGCACCCATCAGTGGCGGCATTGGTGCATACCGGGAAGAGTATCTGAGCGGCGACTATGTCCAGAGATATCCTGAGCGTGCAGAGGAGGTAGAAAAACTGCGGAATGCGATAGATGAACAGGTGAGCATACACAACACACACAGAGATTCAAGACTGAAGTTGGCCTACTAGGTCCGCGTAATCTATGATTGTCTGCAACTGCATGGAGAGCTGTGCCCTTCGGAGATGATGACGTTCCACGGGACGCTTGAAAAGTTCTTCCGCAAGAATTTCCAGGAAGAGATTCATCGGCTTGCCGTTGATGTGGCGTCGCTGTCGCGGGATCTTGATTATGCGCCATCCTTACGTTCACGGCCTTTACCTCAGCCAGAGCGCCAAATGTGAGTGAATGGAGATTAACGCACAGTACAAACTTCACGCTGATTGTTCCTCCAGGAGACCGTCACTAGGAGTGGTTCCGGTGCAAGGAGGGTTCTTGACGGGATCACCTGTCCTCTCGCCAGCGTCCTCCCGCTCTCAACAGGAGAATATTCAGTTTAGCGGCGAGATGCCACAAGCCAAGCAGACACCCCTGCAGCAACGACTGGCGCATCTCGTACGGCACGGATTCAACGGCGTCGCATCGGGGCCTGGAGACATCGTCGGAGCCGATGATATATCCGAGGAGTCTCCCCGAGACTCGTTCATAAACACAGGCGCTGCAATGGCCACACTGTCGGGTGCAGCGTCGTTCACGACTTCGACGATGGGTAGCATAGGCTCTATTCGGGGGCGATTGTCAAAGTTTTCCAGCCTTAATTTCGCGCGAAGGGACGGGCTATGAAACTGTATCGTTTATATATTCTCTCATCTATCGCTTGTAGGAATGAATCATGCTTTCCATCTTTGTTTGGCAAACTTTGTGTATGTGCATGCAGATTTTATGTTATTACTATATCGTGTAGAACGCCGTAATGCATTCTGAGGAAGGGAGAATCTCAGTGATGGTAGCACCGATTTGCAGCAGGGCAGTCCCCGGGAAATGAGTTGCTAATGCCTGCGACCTACTGCATGTTATCTAAACATAACTAAGCGCTGAAGCGCTGATCGAGGTTGTGGCTGACGCTCACAAACAGATTGTGAATCGGGATCAGTAACCTGCCACGAGGCTACCGTACACACTCTCAAGTTCGTGTCAAGACTCAACATACGCAACGACCATTTCTCCCTTTCAGTACAGGCGTGGCGAGTAACATGGAAAAGGGAATCTTTCCCAGCTATGGGAGAGCCTCGTATCATCAAGCGCTCAAGGGTGTTCAGCAAGATTCTCGACGCAGTCCCCTATACCATAGACCAGCCGAGATCGCAATCCTGTCGCCGTCTGATCATAAATGAGAAGACGTCTTTCCACTTCACCAGGTGTCTGGGCACTAGTTGCGCAGAAGGACATCATTGATCCCAGAATCAACTAGTCGCTTTGGTCTTGTTCAGCGGAGTCCCGTCCGAGGATGCTTTTTGTCTGCCCCCCTATCAGGGGTGGTCAAATGTCAAATCAGGATCGTGGAGTTATATTTCGGGCAGTGTAAGCCTCATGCCAGCCGCATTGAGGTGCACCCCTCGTCCCGCCACCCTCGTTGTCCGCGACTTCACGGCTGTCCATTGTAACGGCAACAATCAGGTCAGTGCTGAATCCATGCCTCATACACGGAAATGCAGTTAAGCACTATGACGATCAGGATGCCTTATATATCGCCGGCGAACTCTCTCGACGACACCACGGGATTAAGCGCAAAACCTCAGCCTTGCAACATGCCTACACCATACAAGCAGTACACCACTGGTCGACTGAAACCTCCAGGTAAGATCAAAGGCCTGAAAAGTTGCATCCAATTATTGACATAGCTCTTAGCGCGAACCCCCCGGGATATGGCATCGACAAGCGTGTGTGAGGGACTACCTTACGTCGCCTCCTCCCGTGGAGCTTGCAGAGTATATAGCTATGATCCGCCAGAAGGCGGGCCAGGCACTACCATCTCCGCCAGGATGACGTTTGTCATGCGCACCGCAGAAACGACGTACATGCGCCTGGTGATTGGCCGCCGTGCTCTTACAACAGCTGTCCAACAAGTAGCTGAACACGGACGCAAGATCCTGCAACTCCAGGCTTCCGTTCCTCTCGATGCATTTACAATCCATGCTTCCGTGGTGGCGCTGACCGTACAAGCGTTGAACAGCAGAGACGAAATTCTGGATAGCTGCACGTTCGGAGCCTTCCATTACTCTCCGCCACGTGAGCACATTTGCTATGGCAGCCGTTAACGCCTCTAAATTTGACAATCTAGTCACCAGCCGCTATTCAATAGATGCGCCTCTTGGCATGGATAGCATGCACAGTCCTTTGATGCATCCCACGTCAAGCTACCAAGATGTACTCGCGGCTCGACAGTCTCTCATTAGTTCGCAGGGCCTGGGCTCTGAGTCTCATACTAAAATGAACATACGTGCATCGTCACCTCCCAAACGGCAACCTCGGCGCTCCAATGACAAAGGCCGACGCGACGCGATCCCTGGCACCACCTATCAACTAGAACTGCAGACACCGCTAGAGAGCATGGCGACGGGTTGGGACGAAGACGAGCTCGCTGCGTCGCGCCGTCTCGTGCGCTTCACCTGGGAATACGTGGGAAGCAAAATCAAGGCGGCGTGCGAGCGCGTGCCGCCTGGCGCAATTTACGACCCGAGAGACACGGTTATCTCGTGCATTTATCGCGCGGACGAGGACGCATGTTGCGTGACGTCCGTGGACGTGCTCCTCCTGCTCGAGCGGCTCTCGGGGCGCCTGTTCGATGTCGACGAGAAAAACCGCATCCGGCGCAACCTCGAGGGCCTGCGTCCGCGCACGGTCTCAAAATCCCGTGCCGACTCGCGCGATTTCTTCGAGCTCATCATGCGCTTCCCACCGCCGCGGCCGCGCAACATTGAGAAGGACGTCAAGGTGTTCAATTGGGCCGTACTCACCAAGGCATTGGAGAAAGTCATTTCACGATATGTATGTGCTCCTTTTTTGCGCAGAAATCATCTGAGCGTATTCGACTAGACGGTGGTGGAACCTCCTCCAAAAACAACCCACCAACTAGCGCCTGTGAAAAGTGAGGCGCATGTAGTGCATGAGCCGCGCTCTGCTTCAGCCGCGTTGGCGCAGTTGCTCGGAAGATCTGCGGAAATCTCCGCTGATCCCCAGATGCCGACATTGCTGCATTCCGATGCTGCAGGCTATTTCGACATGCACTCTGTCTCTTCTGCTGCTTCGACACCAACGGTCGCAACCCCCACGGCGTCGCAAGACCTAACGTATCGATCGCTGGCTGGGATCTCTCACAATGCAAGGGAGCAAGTTGGAGTCACGATGATCAAGCATGAGTATTATGAAGAGTCGGTGCCTTGGGATATGCCTGGCCTCGCGTCAGACGCGTATCCTGGGATGAATGCGCTTGATCCGATTGAGTTCCTGGCTTTGCGCGAATACCGCACTCCTACCGATACCTATTCCTGAATGGTCTTTGTATAGCCTTACTATTTTACACTGGGCAGTCATTAGATTTAGATTCGCTCCCCGATGTCGCTATCGTCATTCCTGTAAACCATTCTGTAGACGATAGCATGTAGCAGGTGTGCTCACTGGAACAGCTTCATTCATGTAACATCTAGCCGGTTGAATTGGGAGGATATGAGCAACAAACAGACGTTACATAAAAATGGCCCAAACTCAGAATCTTCATGCGCAGCCGCCGAATCTAACATTGATGCTGTGCATTTTCCCTCCCTTCGCAATGTCAACTTGCCAGGAAGTCGCTTGGTGATTAGTAGCAAGTCACCAGTAGTAGCGGGAATAGAACCTTTCATGAGGAGTGGGAATATGTTATCGGGTTAGTAGTAAGAATCTCTTGCTTTCGCTGGGCAAGACAAGATACAGCTTTCCAGAGCGCTCGAGAAATTGAGAGGGAAAACATATGCGCGTTTGTATTGCTGGGCGAGCGTTCAATGTGCGGCGCGTGGACGTTCAGGACTTCAGGTTCAAGTGAGCATGCCTCGAGCGGGTCGCACTGTTACTAAGCGGCGAACGAGGGACAACTGGTCGATTCCATTTGCAATGTACCCACGAGTTTACATACAAGAGAGTGATGCAATGTGACGGAAGCTGGGGGATGTTAGGTCAGTCAGCGAGGTGTCTTGAAGGTGCTGGAGAAAGTAAGCGGCCTATGCGCAATGGCTGAATCAGTGTCCGGCTCGCGAGGCCTGTCCGGCGGTGAGAGACGCACACGATGCAGTAACGCCGACAAGGCCATGTCTGCGCAACGAGATATGGCAACGATAGGAGGCGGCCTCAACCTGTGGCAAGATAAAGCGTGTCCACACTATCGCTGTAGGCACATTGGGTGCCAGGGCTCCCAACCAGGCGGCTTTTCATCCGACCTTCGCGCGGACCATACACGCGCTACAGGGGGGAGATGTGCTTCCGCTGACAGTATCCGCCCGCACGACTGACATTTCTGCTTGAACAGATCAACATAAGTAGCGAGCAGGTCCTGCTAGATATGAGATGAACGATACATGAATGGAGTAAGTTTACACACCAAGACTTGACGCAAGGACACTTGCGGGTCAGATTGTATCGTCTTCGTGATCTGCTGCGATAGCCTTTGGTACACATTGAAGTCGGACTGGGAGTAATTCGGCTTCTGCAGGGCACATAAGCACAGGTGGCGAATCTGGCCACAATTTCTCCTACCTGTTCGCGAGGACCAAACGCGGTTGCATTCTCCACAATCAGTTGAGTGCCGTCTGAATTTAGAGTCAAGTAGATGATGGCCACATCGCGGATCGTATAGCGCACTACAACTGGCAAGACGAGGGCGGGCCGCTTTGCCAGGATGTGCAGCTTGACATGTTCGTGCTCTTTATTATACCCTTTGAGCAACTCGACCAGCTGGTCCGGGAGGACTGGGGGTGTTGCAAGATCAGCAGGAAACAGCGACGTCCGCTGTGGCTGCAGGGGCGCATACGACCGGGGTGATTCTGGCGAAGGTGCGCGCCTACACATTCATGAAGCCACAAGTCATTTTCTAAGGAAGAGAGACACTCACTTTCGCTTGCGATTCACCCGTGGTCTGCCCAGCCTTAGGTCGCTCTTGTCCTTCTGCTCACTATCCCGCGCCGTAACAAGGGCCTCTTGAACCTTCTCGGAGCGTACACATTCGACTGTCTCTTTCAATTCTCGGAAGGCTTGAGGCAAGAAGTGTGGACCTTCCAGCGGGGCGAACGACTGGAGGCGCGACTGTGGCAGACGGATCAAGTGTGCGGGTATGCTGCGTAGACTTCGTAGTCGCTCAATCAACGCATTCAGCACCTCTAGCCTGGTTTGTAGAGTTGATAGCTCTGTCGACGCCTGCACTGTGTCTGACATATCTTGAAATAGTGTGCAGATGAAGCAAGGCTTCAGAACAACAAGAGAGCACTGGGCGAACAGTGAGTTTGAAACCGAGTTCCAGCAGCTTATGTAAGCATTCCACACGGATGGTATGTGCGTAATAGTCACTACCCCAAAGTCACTACATCGTATGTAAGGATGTAGTCGAACAAGTGTAAATCAGATCATTCACGCCAGAGAAAAATGATTGCTAGCTTCACTGCTAGACTGGCAAGCCTCAGACTCCACGAAGCCTCGTTCAACATCTGCAGTGACCCAAATCCATACTCTAGAACCATCTTGCCGCCCTCAATCAACCTTGTAGTATGTTTGCAAACCTTTGACCCCGATGTTATTGCCATTGTTTTCCCCTTCAGATACTTCACGCTAGGCTTCCAACGAGTCCTACGGGCGGGGCGTCAGACTACCCATGACAATCCTGCCGCCGAAGTGCGACTTACCCGGGTCGTACGTCTCCGCTCATTAGTTCTCGCAGCCTGCAAGGCCTGCAAGACTGCTTTGACCTCACGCATGCCCATTTCATCCCCCCAGGAGCCAATCGAGGTTCTGACATATGGGAACAGATTATCGATAAATTGGGCCATTGCAATCTTGTCAAGAACAGTGAGCTCCTGCGTGACTTTGATCATCAGGAAAAAGCCAAATACACGTAGCACTCACTAGAGGCTCTGTAGTGCTCTGTAGGCTATGTGGGACACATAGACATAGGCAGCTCCTAGGTAGAACCATGTTGTATGGTAGAGATCACACAGAGTGCTATACAGCCCATTATACATGGAACACACCTGATAAGTATAAAGTTTATGAACTTGGGCTTTGATATATGTACAATTTTATACTACTAGCTTTTTGACTGACTTTGTAGGTACTGTAGCAAGAGGAAATCATCATGATGAAGATATGGGTTGACATAGAATGAGGAACACTTATCAAGGATATCTGCAGATGCCCAGGTGCGGTCCATTACATGACCCCAATGTGGGATCAAGTGACAACTACGGGCTATCTGTGTGATTGGAATGATTGCTGTGCGATGGCGATGTCGACGTGTTGAGGGTGAAATCTTGAACATACCAGTATCTGGGCATATTGTCTGTAGTGGAGTAAACCATTCCACATATGCTAGTGGGTGCTTTGATGCGAAGCGGCCATATGTTTCTGGGATGCAGAAGATGGCTCACACCTGGGCAACACAAAGACCTTCAGGATCATGCTGATAAGTAAATATAGTCTATATCAAACTTTGTATGACACTGGCCTTCTAATGGGTCAACTTTATCAGACCCAACTACATCAGGCAGGAACTCATAAGCCAAAACTGTGTCAAAGTGTGATGGGACCACCTTTCTGTGGATTGTTGCTGGAATTGCAGGCATTGCACGTACTGTGTCCTGCCGCCCATTGATGCATGAAACTTGACGTGCAGCAGGTAAGTCCACCTTCATCCGCTTGTACACAGCAAACCTTGTTTGCTCATACATGTGCTCTGCTACTTTGGGAAGCTTCTTGTTGTGTGTAGACTTGCACAGGAAGTCTTCCAGATTGCACAGAAAGTTTGTGCACCCAAATGTTTCAGTGAGCGTCTTGATGCTCACCTGACCCAGCCCAGGTTCCTTGGCTACTGAGTAAGTGTTTGATGTCTCCTCTATCTCCTCCTCATTATCATCATCAAGATCTTCATCATCCTCATCATCAGGGACATCTACTGAGGTGCTCATAGGCTCTGCCCATGCAAGATAGCTTCGGAACTGGTGAATGGTCTCCTGGCATGTCAGCCAGACTGTCATTTGTTTAACATATGCCTTCTTGTTGCTTGCACGATAACCCTGTTTTGCATAGTCAATATGTAGTCTTTCAGATCCTTCCATGTTGAAGCCATCAGCGGTTCCTAGTGAGCGGATTGAGGTGCCATAATGAACTTCTGAGTGAACCTTTGGTATGTTGAAGTCATCACGAACACCTTCATCCGCAAATACATGCTTGTTTTCATGGAAAGCATCTAAGGTGGCCTCGAGCTGGATGATAGAATCTGTGGTATGTGTTTCGAAGTGCGCATAGTAGATGAAGTCCAACACTGCACGAACTGCACGCAAGACTGCAGGACTGCATGCACCACCAGTAAGCACCCCGAGGAATACCTTCTCCATATTTTTATACTCTGTGCCAGTCCACTGGGAAATTGTTGAAATGCTTTTCTTGAAGTGCCGCAAATTTGGATGATGTGTCATTGCCTTGAAATGACGATCAATCTCAGCAGCTCCTCCAGCAAAGCATTCAGTTGCCCACTTGACAGTATGGTCTTTGAAAACACCTTTGTGAAGCTGATGCAGAAGATCGGGTGCAATGCAAGCAAAGATATTGCAGTGTGGTAGCTCCTGCCAGAATGGATCAATGAGGCGCATGCCTTGTGCCTCGAACTTTTCAGGCTTCTGTCCATGTGATTCCCTGGCAATTGTTTCACAGGTTTCCTGAGGATCCCGCAACAGTGAGTTCAGAAGTTCTCCACACTGATCAGGCTTGACTGTGCACTTTGGGCAGTGATTCTCCTTGCAGCATGCCATGAGGCACTGTTCCGGGTGGTCCGTAATGTATGCTGCAACAATCAGGTATATCCTGCGCACTTGACCATTAGTGCACACCATCCTGACACCTTGTTTTCCTGCTGCTATCAGCGGTTCCAGGAGTGAGTGCATGCAAGTATGAAAGAGTCGGTAGCCTTCCAGAGCCCGTCGGCTGTCCGAAAAGCACTCTAGCTTTGTGACAGGAAGATAGCCAACTAGTACAGTTGCCCGAGCAGAAGGAGCACACCGAACAGACTTGCGGATATTTCCAATGCTAAGATACACAGGCCAGGCCTGCTTATCACCACTAAATGTGGACAATTGGGTCTTGTCTGATGCGAGAATGACAGGTGTGATTGTCGCATTGTGTGGGAGTTCTTTCTGGATGTCCCACCACCATTCTCCTGTCCACATTTCGTTGAATATATGATTGTTGCAGTCGGGTGAAGTGAAGTGTTGCTCCGGTGCATATTTGATATCATCTTTGAAAGCAGGATTGCCTATAAGCTCCTTGATACACTCGACAGGGTTGCGCTTCCATAGCTCAATGGTCTTGCCCATAACATGTCCCTTATCGTCGAGAAGATCTCCATGAACATCCCAAGTCTGGCAAGACCAAGCAGGTTGTCGCGACTTGAGGTCAAGCGACAGGGGAAAACCAAACAAGGACGCTGGGGGCGTTCGACTGGGTCTCACCGAAGTGATGGTGAGCAATGCTCAAACCTAAGGCTAGGGACAAGATAATATATTAGTTAAGTAAGAAAGGAATACAAAGGGATGCTTACTGACCTAGGGACAAGAGGTCGAAACTGAGGTCCCTAGGGCAGCAGAGGCCGGCTTATATACAGGGGAAGATAAGGGCAGGCTGTGCGCATTGGTCCGTGCGCAGCTGGTCCATGCACAGCATGCTGATGCAGCCCTGGGGGCCAGTGAGTCAGAGCGGCTGTGTCAGCGGGGCCTGAGCTGTGCCGCGCACTGCCGCCCATCTAATCTGATTGTACAGTAGATAAGGAAATGTCCATTTCAGGCGTATAGTACAGAGGTCGCGGGTTTGAGCCTGCGAAAGGGAAAAAATTAAAAAGACGGCTAGGTGCCATGTTAACTCATGACACAGGTCCTGTTGGCAACTCGTCAATCTTCTGAAACAATGTCCGCTTGTTTTGGAATGACAGGTTTGTTTTGTTTTGGGTCTATAATTCCCGTACTATCAGCAATGCTTCTAATTGATCATCAATTGATGGACATACAATGGGAAGCTTCAGATACTTGTCGATAGCTGTCTGGCTAACTCCCGTTGTCATCAGCCAGTCTGCAAGCTCCCATTCCTCACGGTTTGCAAATGGATACCAGGATGTCTGCCCCGCAGTCTTCTTGGCCTCTTGGAGTCTTTCAAACTGGGTGGGTGAAGTCTCAAGCACTGACCCAGCAGGAAATGGATAGGGCTTGACATGTGGCCTCTTCGGAAGCCCTCCGAGTTCCTCATCTTCAACATCTTCCATTTGCACATGTCTTGGGTTTGAATTTGCATCTTCCTCATCCATTTCTACATCTGCAGTGGGCTCATGCAGAGGCAATACTGAATCTGCAGGTATGTCAACATCTTCATCCATTGTGCCTTGTAGGGTAGCTTCGGAGTGGCTGCCTCGAGTGGGTATTCATGATGTGTATAGGTGAGCTTTTGCCATGCGATCTCGGGCTTCACAACATTCTTTGCTGTGAGCAATATGCAGGGACAAGCCCTTCGGAGTCAGAAGCACATGTGTGCAGTATTTGCAGGTAAACTGGGGCTTCGAAGATCGCCACATGGTGAAGGCAGACAAGGTGTGGTGTGAGATGAGCCACGGATCTGCTACGGGCGAGCGTGGAAAAATGCTCGCCACATGTTGGTCAAGGTGCGTCGACTCTTGCCACTTGACCGCTTTTCTCTCACCAACCGCCATCTCGCAACTGCACTCTCACACTCTCACACTCCACCCGATGACCTGCTCTCAACACAACTTGAAGCGTGCCCAGGCAAGTGATCATGAAGCCATTAATAATAATTGCGCTTCTCCGCAGCCCATGCAAAAGTCCAAACATCAGTGTATCACAAGCAGCAAGAAGGCACAGCTGAATGAAGAGCAACTTGCATGCGAAATCAGCTGCAAGAAGTGTCTTCTTGCGAACCTCGAAAAGCAGACCTCGGAGCTACAAATGAACCTCGCGGCCACACCCGGGTATCGCGCAAGCCAAAACCACACCTCAGAGGACCTTACTCGCCTCGGAATAGAAAGTGAAGATGACAACGAGCTGGATCTGAACTCCATCGCGATTCCATCATCAGTAATGTTCAATGCTTCTTCTCTTTCTATTTTTACTGACCATTCACAGTTTGCCCGAGGCCAAACAATTACGGCCACACCCAGGCTGTCTCTGGCTCAATGCAAGCCTACAACATCTGTTCCTCATACTGGTCGCAGTCGCAACCCTCCTCCCAACTCGATAACTCCTTCCTCGTCTATCCCACCCATCAACAACCATTTGTTCGGCTTAGGCATGGAAGAGCCTCAGCATTCTTCAAATTCTCTTCAAGCTTCCCAGTTGTCTGAACTTACTTCCTCACACAGCTCCGACATTGAGGTTCAATTCAATGGTGCTTATACTCCTCGTCGACGGCACCCAGTAACAGCAGTCCCTGCTCCCTTGCGTGACAGTGTTGATGCTTGCTCGCGGCCCAAAGCAAGTGACTACATGCCACGCATCAAGAAGCTGCTTCTATCAGCAGCATACGAGTTTGAGGCACTCATCATGACAAGGGATGCTTATCCCGACTCTGAAGTGCAGCGCCAGTGGGCATATGAGTCATGGCATAATGTAACTGATCCCATAAACGACTCTGAAGAGTCGGACTCTGGGGGTGCTGAACACTCAGGCTTCGAACTAACAGATCACATGATTACTGTGGTGTGTCCTCTCCTCTCTGTATCAAGCCTGTTGAAACCATTAACCTCACGCTGGTGCCGGACTATGCCCAAACAGATCACCAATCGCAAGTCTAACGCGCGTGGCCTTGTTGCCAAAGCTGCATGATCATTAGTTGCGGATCTGTATGGATTTGCCAAGGGTGACTCGCCAGATGTTCACAGAAAGAACATACACCTGCATAGGAGGCTTCTTGAGAAGTCCTCCTTTCATTACAAGGTGCGCGATATGATCCCTTTGTGACCTCTGCTGGTGTCTGATGGTCTGATCCCCTAGGACCCTGGCATCGAATCGGGCATGCGCTCGGGCTTTGGACAGCACACTATCATCTCACGGGTCCTTGAAGTCTGCTTCTTCAAGAAGAAGAGCAAGAAGACTTCATTTGGACTTACATACCCACAGCATTTCAACCTGTTTCCTCTCCCCACGATGGTGCTCATACTCGCAGCAGTAAGTGAATTTTATTTCACGTTAGCGGGATCACAGAACATTCTACAGGTCGAACATGATATTGAGGAGTGGTCCACAGGTGTCCATGTCATGGCTGATTTCCGGGAGCTTGAAGGCAAGCCCTTATATGAAGCATACCTTGCGGACCTTCGTACTTGGGAGAACCCTCCGGATGGCCCATCAAACAAGACGGTTGTGTGCAACATCCGAAAGAAGCTATACAAGCGTGGACGGTGAGTCAGCTTACCAGTTGTTGCACCCAATACCAGGCCGGCTTATATTTGCATTCTACTTAGCGAGTTTGCATCCCTATCTGCTGAGGATAGCGAGAAGCCCAGTCGCGCATCGAAGGCAGACATGCAGGAAGCATATCAGGAGCTTGCGGGACGCACGGGCGAGACAGATAGTGAGGCTGAATAGAATGACATGATGCGACGGGCATAGTGTATGTAATTCGTGAGTGTCTGTATTGTTTGAACAAAATATCATTGTGTTCAGAGCACACTTTTGTGTGGCACTGCAATAACGCACTGAACATATCATGTAGTTCTACAAATACACATGATGACTCTACATGTTACTACAGGCATGCTATGGCATGCTACATAGTCTTAGTCAGATACTACAGGAACTATGTAAGGGGGGGGCATGCAACGATCCAACGGCTACCACATGACCTATGCAGGTCTCCGTGGTATTCCTTGTTTTTCCTGATGATGGTGAGCCAACCCAGCTTGTGGGAGGTGATGATATTTGTCTTGGCGAACATCTCTTCATCAATATGTACTTCCCCCAGGGCAAGGACATGGAGGGAAGGACAGTGTAAGGCAAACACAGAGAGCACTGTGATGGGCAACAAAGAAGGGGGGTCTCTACGATTGACATAATGCAGTGACAGGTTTTGTAGCTCTGGCCAGGCAGTCGCCATGTTATTTATATCGTCGACTGTTGGTGCTTCGGAGAATGTTAAAGTTAAGCCTTCAAGCCACCTTAGAGGCAGCAAAGGCTTGATGCAGTCAGCAGCCTGCATCTGAGATGGTGCATGCTCCATTGTGGGGGAGTAAAAATAGATTGAGCGTATTGAGCTTGCAAATCGTGCTGCCAGAGTCTCCATTGTGCATATGTGCAGGTCTGGCTGATAGCCACCTTGTGAAACATTTGTCTTTCCTTTCTATTCCTTGTACTACTAGCGCCCATACTGGCGCCTGTCTTAGCGCTCACCCGCAGGTTGAACATTATGTAGCTTACATAATGGGGTCCGTGCGCACTTCGCGCCTGGTATCGTACCACTACGTTTCTTTCTTCACTAACACGACCACATAGACACGATGGTCCGTGCACAGTCGGTACTTGTATAAGTAGTTGTACCATTAGTCGGTCGAACCCTAAGTTCGACCTGGTTATTCATTCAAGTCTCTGCTCCTCTTCGCTTGGGGTAGTGGTCATTCTCGACTTCCTCGCTCGATCTTCAGGACGACGCACTGTCCATAAGTCCTCGCTCGTCGTCTACGAGTCAGGCATCAATATAGGAGTGTAGACTGTTGTATCAAAAGGTCGAACTTTCTAAGCTACGTTCCTAGTTTCACCTAGTCGAACAACTCATCCACCATCACGTCGAACAACGCAGTAAACCCGGTTCCCTTGGGACTACCAGCCCTCGCAGGATCTCCCCTTCTCCAGTACGACCGAGCAGACCGTTGCTTCGTCACCACCACAAGAAGGACTCCCATCTATCCTTGAGGCGGCTCCTGGGTTCGCGCAGAAGGTTCCAACCCGCAGATCGTCGCCCATCAACAGCTTGTCAGCTATTACCAGAGACACCCTCCCGCTCACCCAGAAGACGTATTCGCCATCCTACGAATCAACGTCGAACCAGCACAAACAACAGAGAACCTACAGTCACCTGTTAACGAACAACCGTTCGAGCTCCCGGACGTTCAGTACGTTCCCATCGAGGCTCCAGAACTACCACCAGCTCCACCTGCACCAACCAACGCACTGGTTGAAGTCCCTATGGCAACGTTCACTCAAGCAGACATCGATCAGCGCATCGCTGTC